CCTCGTCAGAGATCAGACGGTATAACAATTTGCAGCACGAGGGCTATGAACTGGATGCTGTCTTTAAAGACCACTCTGCGTCTGGGCTCAATCGCTATCATTATGGATCTAGCATCGCGGAAGAGTTCGGAGGGAACGATTCGGAAGATTGGGCGAGCGACTTTTGTCAAGAATCCTTGCAGAGCCAGACCGAAGTGCAAGGATCCTCGCAGAGCCAAATTGAAGTTGCTGGCTCACAGGCAAGGACGAGAACCAGCATCCCGCGCGGCGAGAGCGAAGGATGGCGCTTACAAGGAGGCAATGCAATCGACGCTGATGATGACGAGGAAAAGAAAGAGGCGGCATTGCTACGTGAAGCCATCGGCGGCTCTTACCGATTGCGTGAGATGAACAGTTGATTGAGGAGGAAAGAAGCTGGCTGGTCAGCGGGTCAAGGGTGCAAACTAATTATGGTTCCCTTTTCCTAAAGATGAAAGGAACAATAAAGATAGGAAGGATAGGAAGGATAGGAAGGATTAGCGAAACCTTAACCACTTTTATTATTCACATTGAAATAGCATTTTTAAGGGGTTTATCAAGTATTTTGAGTAATAAGATTGACAGATAAAAAATACTCTGGATTATAGCTTTAAGGTTTAGAAACTCACCTAGGTATATTCGTAGTGTTTAGTAGAAGAGCACCCGCATAGGTACATAGGTATGCTTACACGCGGCTATACCCAGCACCTTCTAAAGTGGCTGGCATGTCACGCCCGAGGTAGGCACCTGAATAGCCCTATAGCGTGAATTGCTAGATAAGAATTCACTAAGATATCACATGGGAATCTTAACTGTTCAAAACCAGAGATACCTAGACTGCCATGGATCGGTATCTCGCTCTCACCCCACATAACTATCTGGCCCGGCGGTGGCCTATTCCGGATCTTCAAGCGAGGGAAAGATACAGATACCTCTGAATAATTTATGTATAGTGTTACATATAATTTGGTATTCTACTGGAATATATGCTTGTAGATGCTGGCCCTTACGCACGGAGAGCCTCAATATCGGCAATCTCCTTGACAGCCTCGGTCGTGAGAATATATGGCTCAGTCTCGTCAACACAAATGCTGTCCTCAATCCGCACACCCATACCACGGAAGTGAGCGGGCCAGCGCTCGTCGTCGGGCACATACACACCAGGCTCGATGGTGACGCAGTGTCCGCGACGGAGCGTCTCTCGTCGCGAAAAGCCTGGGCAATCGTGCACATCCAGACCAATGTAGTGTCCGACGTGATGAGGAAACAACTGGTCAATGTTGGAGTTTGATACGTCAAAGCCTATCGAGCGGAGAGAGTCGACCAGCCCGCGCACTGTTTGGCCGTGAATGTCCTCGAGCGACAGACGCGCGTTCTGTCGGCAAAGGTCGACGCTCTTACGTTGTACAGTAAGTACGGCTTCGTACAGGTCGCGCTGTGCGGCGGTGAATCTGCCCGTCACCGGCCATGTTCGAGAAATGTCGGTAATGTACGTGCCGTACTGCCCACCGGCGTCTACGAGGATGAATTCGCCCTCGCGCAACACGTTGTTGTTGACTGTGTAGTGAATGCAATTGGCACGCTCACCCCCCGCGATTACGGGAATGTATGCAGGGCCTTCGCAACCGTTTACAGTAAATTGATAGTCCAGGAAGGCGTGCAAATCTTTTTCTCGAGTCCAGGGTCGTCGCATTGCATCAGTGATGGCACGCCCAGAGATCTGTCCCGCTCGGCGCATGTTAGCTACCTCCGCCTGGCTCTTAATAACGCGCAACCTGTTCATAATTGGGTACAATGGCGTTCGGGAAGGCCATGAGGTCTTTCCCGAGAACATGTCCGAGATAAAGCTCTTGCTAGTCTTTTCTGTGGGTGGCGCGTCGGCATAGATGGATTTGGCACCGTTGAGAATATCTGGCAGTAATGAGCCCATACCGTCTATTGAGTAGGCTTCGTCGGCATTGAAGACATCCTCGGCAGCTTGCACACCATTGCGGTAGCCGGACCATTGTTCATCTCTGGGGTTTTTGGGCTGGACGAAGAGCCGAAATGCGTAGTCGCCGGTCCTGGAACCAGTCTTTTCTATGACCGCCACCGCATCAGGCTCCTCCCACCCTGTCAGCCAGAAGAAGTTTGACTCCTGCCTATAAGGGTGAAAGACGGCGCCGGATTTGTATTGCAAGGAGGCAGCGTGAAGAACTGCGACCGCCCCCTGTGGAAGTAGATCGACGAGGGCAGCGCGTCGGTCGGCGTACTCTTGGGCACTGATTCCTGGGGTCACTGGTAGAAATGACGGAAAAATAGATTAGCATTTGTTTGCGATTCGGCAGCAGCGTGCTTGAGGATGCGAGCGAATTAAAAATAAAGGAGTGACCAACATTCGCCAGGGTTCAAAATGTGAGGGTGAGTCTCGTGGACTGGTTGTCCGAATTGCAGATGCGCGGCAGAGATGGAAGCATAATGTCTCTTGGGGGGGTCCGAGAATGATGCGCGAGCAAAGGTGATATTACCACGGTATATGGTGGACCTATTGACTCTCGGAAGGGAAATGTTGCTAAGGGTTGACGGACGCGACAAGAGGCGCCGGAATGATGGTTGATGGAGCTTCATTTTAGGAGAGGAATTGAGATGGAGAGATCCGGGCCATGGCCAATGATGAGAGAGCGACAAGAAAAAAATGTAGCGCTGGGCAGAAACGGTACAAGGAAAAGAGGCAACGAGGCCTTGCGCGGATATGCAGTCTGCGAGACCGAGGACAGCGACGTTAGTGATGATGTCAAAATCAAGTTTGCGGCTCAGGTCGGCGGGTGTTGTGCTTGGGCCGAATTAGTGCAGGGCTGGGTGCAGATAGTTAGGCAGGTGCGCTATGCACGTGCTATGCGGTGGGTGCTAGTGAGTTAGTTATGCTTGTCCGCCACTGGGGTTCGGTGAGCACTGGTGGTTGGTGTTGATAGCTGGTGCCAACCGCTGATTACCAGGTACCTACTACCTTACATACCTACCTAAGGTACCTACCTACCTACCTACCTACCTACCCTACCTACCTAACTTACCTTACCTGACCTACGCTGGCCGCTGACCGTACTGGCATTATGCTATAGTGCAAATATGCACAACTTGTGCACTACTTATATCGCCACAACGAGGCGTTCGTCCCCCATCCCGTTGCTGGTCCGGCGGCCTGGCCCGTGCGTGTTTTTGGCGGGTTTCCCTAACCGGGCATAGCGCTGTTATGCCTAGCGCGAAGTCTCCATCAACACCTTCTCTCGTCTCCAACACACGCTTTCTTTTTCACCAGACGACCGCCTGCCTGCTGTTGCCCGCCACACATCAACACCACTCCTCGCAGCTCGAGCCTGCCTTGTGGTTCTTTATCTTGCTTCATCTTTGCATCTAACCAGACATCACGGCCAATGTCTTGTTAGCATCCTTACCGCGTCAGCCTGTGTCTCGTGTCTGCCGTCGTGTCGCCCACACATCGCGTGCATAGTCACAGCCCTCGAGCCCCTCCCACACACCAACCCATCACCCACCACAACAAGCCTCTGGTCTCGCAACCCGGAGCATGCTCAGTGTGGCAGTTTATGGCAACCGTATCTCTATCTCCATCGCCGGCTCCCATTGCGGCCATGTCCTCGCGGCGAGTCCCTCTCTCCAACAACCCAAATGTCGTCAATTCGCCGCTTCGTGGAGCTTCTGCTCTAGCTGCCTATGCCAAGCAGAAACGCTCGTATGCTACCATTCAACGTGAGGAGCCTTATGGACAAGCTCCTCCCGTCAAGAAGCAAGCTCTTGACAATGGTGCCGCACGCGTTATTCGCTCTCCCTCCAAGCTGCCACGCGCCCAGACCGTACCCCGTGCCACCACTGCTGCCACCGCACGTCCAGTCATCCGTGATCGACAAGCCAGGCCTGTTCCCACAACCAAGGCACACGATGTCGAGAACGAAAAGGAAGTATGGAAGAGACACCACCGGTCCAAGTTCCCCAAAATGGTATTTTACTTTGAAAGCATCCCGGATGATATTCGAGCCAAGCTCATCAAGAGAGTCACATATCTCGGTGCTGTATGTCTTTGCCCTCTCTCCAATCTGTCCCATCCCCTCTTGTACTGATAACTACCTGAAGCGCCAAGAGCCCTTCTTCTCCATCGATGTGACACACGTGGTTACGACACGCTCGATCCCTGCCGAAAAATCTGGGACGGAAGAAGCCGACGCTGTACATCATGACCAAGGTGGCCGTGCTGAGGAGCAGCCTCAAACCATCAATCCTTCTCTATTGCTGGATAGACCCAGCGATGCCCGCAGAAAGCTTCTCTTCGAATTCCGCCAAGCACCTATGCCTTCACTACAGCAAGATGAACTCATCAAGCGCAGTCGAGCTGTCCGCAATAACGACGTCCTACACAAAGCTAGGGACATGGGGAAGAAAATCTGGTCACTGGAAAAGTTCCAGACGATGCTCTCCGTCCTGCTGGAATCAGAAACACAGCAAGCTGCGTATGGATCACGCGTTGCCACTGTCCGAAGTCAGTATGGACTCAACAAGGGCGCCCATGAACCCAATCTGTTGCAGCTGCTTCACAACGAACGCATCAATGGCCCCTCGGACCGTGATCCCACTGCTGTGAACAGAGAACTCACATATTTCAAAGGCCCTTACTTGTACGTTTGGGACATGGACGAAAAGCAGAAGCCAATGATGGTTCGCGAATATGGCAAGGTTATTAACAAGGCCGATGGTGACTGGCCCCAGTTTCGCAGTGTCGGTAACGGTCGCTGTCCCTTCGTTGAAGAGCTTGACCTACCTGATCGAGACGCCCGCAAGAACCGTGAGCTTGAAAGGGCGCGTGTTGTTAAACGGGAAGAGCAAGTCACTATACTGAAGCCCCCAGAGAACCCCCTACCCAAGCCGGTAACGGGGAAACGATCTCTTGCTGAGATGGAAGCTGGTCATAATAGACAACGTGGCGCTGCCAAAACAGGAAATTTCAACCCTGTCAAGGCTGTTCTTGGTAAGTACGGTGAGATGCGTCCGCAAAATGCTTTCATTAGCCGTGCCGATGCCGGACGTCAATTCGCTGGCGAACCCGTTGCCTCGGGCATGCAACCTTCCAACATCACATCCGCCATTCGGTCGAATATGATTTCTTCAACCTCTGGCATCAACGGAGCCAAGGCTGGTACCAGCAAGGCAGTTCATGGTCTGCAAAGAAAGGTTCTTCAAAAAGCTGCTCCGGCATCCTACGATTTAAGCTCCCGGCACGTGGGTGAAATTACCATGGACGTCGCATCTAGCAGATCAACGACCATGAGCCGACAAAACTCAAAGCTCACGGCGACTGCAGAGGACGACAGCCAAAGAACTGCCGAGACCCGGGAGAGGAAACCAGCCTCGCAGCTCAAGAGCAAGAAGGACCTCAAGCCTGGCTACTGTGAGAACTGCCAGGACAAGTTCCGAGACTTTGATGAACACATTCTGTCGCGCAAGCATCGCAAATTTGCCGAAAACGGCGACAACTGGACTGATCTAGATGCTTTGTTGTCGCAGCTGGAGCGTCCGGCCCGATTTGCATCCATGGATTCCGAAGAGTATTAAACAATCATGAGTCCACGCCAAGGCTGCAGCAGCAGTGTCGTTGACACACCCTCCCTACTGAACAACTATACACCCAAACCAACGCTACGATCAAAATATTTTGCCTTTGAACCTTGAGTCGATGAATTGCTGTGCGGCGAGGAAATGAGACCCACAGCCAGGTTCGAATACTGCGCATCTCAATCAAACTCCCGCGACGACACAGACCCGAAAGGGGATAGATACCACGTTGTTTATTGACTTTGCATTGGGCAATGGAAGAGAATCGTTTAGCGGTCATTTTTCTGATTGAGCACTATTGGTGTTCTCGTTCTCATTTTTCACTTCTCTCTTCCTCTTGAGATTCCATCATTTCGATACTTATTTTGCTACTACGCACTGCATTCGGACCGAAGAGCGCAGGCGGCATGGCTGATTTTGGCATTTTTCACATTTGATTCTTTTTACTTCTTGGACTGCGATATCGCAGTGGCGTTTTTGTCATTGGCACTCTATTACAGCATGGGTTGGAGCAGACGATGGGATGAGCTCTTTGGACTTGTTTTCATGGCGAGGGGCGGAAAGCAGCTGGCAAACCAGAGGCCGCTGTCGAGTGGACTGTCTGAGGAGAAGCCATGGCCCCTGACAGACTGTACGGTACATATACAGACTAATTCATTGTATATGTAACTAGCATGATATAAATGCACAAACAGTCAATAACTTGTTCGCTGATATCAAGTGAGGTTCTGTAACCGAGTGGTAGGACACCGAGCTAACTGGTGACGAAATACACCGCGGATCCGTGATATATATGATAGACATGAATTATACAGCGCTTTCTTAACTATTCTTACCGTATTTCTTATTATGTTCATGTCGTCAAATGTCATTCTAGTTGGTATTTCGTTTACGCGCATTTTCCTCTAAACGATATTCCGTAACTAATTAATGATGCCTAACGACTCTGGTCACCCGAGGGCCCACCTTCACAACCTCGTTGACACGGCTTCCACTTTCCACTTGAACAAATAACTGTCTACACCCCACGTCCAAAACCCACAGTCTTGATTCAATATTCATCTCTATCGCTACAAGCAACATCTTAAGCAAGTGCCCGCTTGCGCCCCCCCCTCTCCCCGGCCATGAGCAGCAAGGCCCCCACAGCGCCTGAGCAAGCAGCCGCCCTCCGAGTCGGCACCTCGTCACCCAGCATCTCGCCCAGCGGCGGCACGTCGTCTCTCGAGGATGGCGACTCCCCCGAGGACGAGGAGGCGGACATTCCGCTGACCATGGCGGCGTCGGTGGTGCTCGCCGACCTCCCCCAGTCCGCCGCCGCCGCGCTGGCGGCCAGCGGCGCCGCCGCACCGCCCACGGAGCGCAAGGTGGTGGTGCGGTTCAAGGCGGTCGGGTCGGCGCCGCCGCTGGCACAGGACGTGTGCAAGATCTCGGCGGCGCGGCGCTTCGAGGAGGTGGTGCGGTACCTCCGGCGGAAGCTGCGGTGCCGGGACACGGACAGCGTCTTCCTGTACGTGAATAGCGCGTTTGCGCCGAGTTTGGACGAGGTGGTGGGCAACTTGCATCAGGTACGTTGTTTGGGCACTGGCTAGCTTTCTTATCATCCCTAGTTCGTGTTGGGCTCGTATCGTGTGCTGACTGGCGTGCTATGGGGGTAGTGCTTCAAAAGTGGTCAGGATCAACTGGTTGTTGCGTATTCAATGACGCCCGCGTTTGGCTGAGGCGGAAGAGTCTATGAGACTATGGAAATTTTATATAATGTGGCTGCGGAAAAGGCAAAATGTTGGCAAATGCATGTACCATCTACGAAATGAACCGCTCGCTTCACCAGAATATACGGGAGGAAAATATATGAACCGAAAACGGACAGGGCTAGCCCATCATTCTCGCCAAGCTCAGAGCTTCTCGGCAGCTTTGGCAAAGGCCTCAATCTCGGCCTGGGGTGCCGGGTACGTGTGTTCGGGCGCCGGGTAGCGACGGCTCTTCACCTCGTCTCTATACTGCTCAATCGCGCGCATCGACTCGGCCCAGACGCTGCCGTACTGCTTGACGAACTTGGGGAGGAAGCGGCCGGGCGGGAAGTAGCCCGTCATGTCGGTCTGGACGAGGACCTGGCCGGAACAGCCGGCGCCGGCGCCGATGCCAATGGTGGGGACGCTGAGCTTCTTGGTGATGATGGCGGCGACGTCTTCCGGGACGGCCTCGAGGACCATGGCGAAGCAGCCGGCGTCCTGGAGGGCGAGGGCGTCGTCGAGAATGGCGAGGGCGGCGTCGGCCGTCTTGCCTTGGACGCGGAAGCCGCCGAGGGCGTTTTGGCGCTGCGGGGTGAGGCCGACGTGGCCGAGGACGGGGATGCCGGCGGCGGTGATGCGGCGCACTGTGGGCGCCATTTCGCGGCCGCCCTCGAGCTTGACGCCCTGGACGCGGCCCTCCTTGATGAAGCGGATGGCGGTGGCGAGGGCCTGCTCGGGGGCGATTTCATAGCTGCCCATGGGCATGTCACCGATCTGGGTGTGTTAGTAATAAAGAAGATAAACAGAAAAAAGTATGTGAGAGAATGGTGCCTGGGTATACATACAGTAAAGGCGGCTTTGGTGGCGCGGGCGACGGAGCGGCAGTGGAGGAGCATCTCTTCGACCAAGACCTCGCTCGTGTCGTCCATGCCCATGGCGACCATGGCTAAGCTGTCGCCGACGAGGACCATGTCCATGCCGGCATGGTCGGCGACCATGGCGCTGGGAAAGTCGTGCGCGGTGAGCACGGTAATGGGATCGCCCTTTTTGTGCTGGGCCCTCAGGGTGTTGATGGTGACCTTTTTGCGGGGGTTGGCGGCGGCGGCGCCCATGGGCGAGTGCGACGAGCAGCGCACCTGGCCATGGCGGGAAGACGGCGTCACGCGAGGTCGTGATGAGGGGTTTGTACAACAAGAAGAAGAGGAGGAAGGGGCATAGTGGTGAAGAAGGGAGAGTGTGTTGGTGGTGGTGTTGGTGCAGCGGGCGGCACGTGCCAGGGACAGGACGCCAGATCTGGCCAGGGCAGAGGTGGTGGCAGGCATGACGTCTGGGGGTGCCTTGCTGGTGGGATGAAATGTGCAGCGGTCGGCAATTGGAAAAAAAAACGGTTAATTGAGCTATGAGTGCTGGCAGGACAGTGCAGGGGCTTGACTCTTTGGATTAAAAAAGTGACAAATGCAAAATCGCTTTCAGATAAATAATGTCTGTGAGATTGGGAATGAAGAGAGAAAAAAAGAGAACAATGGTCTGGGGCGGGAAAAAAAAATTGTTTTTAACCGGTTCGTGGTCATGATGGTTTTTACATTGTAGAAATGAGCATCTCTGGGGTTGTCCGCGCGTGGGGTGCCTGTCCCTCGGCTTGCGCCACACAGCGTTGGGTGAACGGATCCGGGGAACAACAGGGGACGGGCCAAGGCAACGTGAGCCTGCCTACACCGGCTGCAAACACCTGTACCTGCTAATCTGTAATTTGTAGAAACTACGGATAGGTAGGAGGTACTAAGGTTGTTAGCCTGTGTATAGCCACACCACTTGTCCGGACAGCCCGGTCACCACTTTTGTTGGGTTACCGAGGCACGGCATTGCTTGCAGCTGTGGCGCAAAGAAACGAAGGCCAGTGTGGCTGAGGTCTGGCGTGCCAGTGCATTCGGGCTTTATTAGGTAGTTAACAGGTATGGTTCGTACGACCAGTTCTGTACTGCAAGCCTTCTTCTGTTTCAGAGCTATCATTGCTGATCATGACAACAAAAACGTCCCTGATTTAACAACCAACTCAGAACTGGTAGGACTAAAACATAGCATTCGAGAGGAGAGCCCAAAAAGCGCGCCAGGCAATTTACTGGATTACAATAGCAGGTCCGTAAATGGTGGCATTTGCCAGGGCAGTTAGAATGAAAGCTAGAAAGTGAACAAAGAATGCAAGGGTTCTGAAAATGAAATAAAATGTTCCCGCACTCGCAATATTATTCCATGCATGTACAGAGTATATGATGCATCGGTCGCTGGTTTTTTCGCCTCAATCGAGTCATCTAGTCCCATCTTAGCTCAGCACACCACGCGCCCGCTGGAGCACTAAAAAGCCTCCCCTAAAAACCCTAAAAACCACCAGTGACAGGCCGCAGGACACCCCCGCTCGCCTGCTGCAGTTGCAATAGCGCCTCTGTAACCCACCCACCACCACGCAGGCCCAATCTTCAACATCCTCGTGACTGCCGTCTTGGACATGAGCAGCTGCCCCTCATCACTCTTCCACCGACCCTACTCGTCTCCTCCTCCGCATCGCTCAACGAAGACAATATCCTTTTCGGTTACCCAACGTTATTGTCGCCTCTTCTTTTCGCAGTCTTTTCCCCATCGCTTGACCGATACGCCCAGTCTCCCGCCGACGCCTTGAACCCCCGGCAACCGGCCACGAAGCAATTTCCAGTGACGTCGCGAGACCCCCCGCTGCCCGCGCCACCCCACGACTCTCACCCGCCAGATTCTCGACGACAAAACACCACCAACCGTCTTCTCCGCTCTCGGACGAACCGAATCACTGCCGAAATGAGTAGCCCCAGGAGACGGATCGAGACTGATGTACGTCTTTTGCCGTTGAGTCAATATCTCAGTCTGCTTGCTAACCACCGCTGCCCATCCAGGTCATGAAGTATGGACACCTTGCCCAGCGACTTTGTCCAAGGCTCCTCTGTTGATGCTAACTGGCTACAGGATGTACGAAACCTAGACAATCACCAACAATTACCTTGTCGGTGGTGATGCTGACCTGGACAGGCTCATGAGCGACTACGAGGTCACTCTGGTCAACGACAACAGTAAGGACCCCCCTCGCCCATACCCCGCGGCACCCCGCACCGTCGAGATACTAACCAGCCTCGCAGTGTACGTGTACTCATCAGCTTCACACATAACGCGCGGTTCACTCTAACACAACACTAGGCAAGAGTTCTTCGTCCGATTCAAGGGACCCGCGGAGAGTACGGACGAGAACCCAATCTGCCCATCTGGCGCCGTGATGAGCCCGCCCGCTAACCACAGTATACCAACAGCACCTTTTGAAGGCGGTCTTTGGAAGGTCCATGTCGAGCTTCCGGATGCCTACCCGTACAAGTCTCCAAGTATCGGCTTCGTAAATCGCATCTTCCATCCCAATATTGACGAGCTGTATGTGTCTTGATTACCGACCCCCATCTTGTTTCACACATTGACCTGACTGACGCGCCCAGCTCTGGCTCCGTCTGTCTCGATGTCATCAATCAGACATGGTCGCCCATGTTTGACATGATTAATATTTTCGAAGTATTCCTGCCTCAGCTTCTGCGATACCCCAACCCGACCGATCCGCTCAACGGCGAGGCCGCCGCTCTCCTAATCCGTGAGCCTAAGAGTTACGACGCCAAAGTCAAAGGTCCGCATACATACACAAAGACAGCCCCCGCCGGGCCTGCAATGTGCTAACTATGGTGAGGAAAACAGAGTACGTGCAAAAGTACGCCAATAAGGATGCTGCCGACGAGGCTGGCATTGAGAGCGAGGATGATGATGACATGTCGTCAGTGGCCAGCTTTGGCGAGGACGACGATGAAGAGCCCGCCGGCCAGATGGACGATGTATAGAAATCAAAACGACGATAAAGTGCCGCCGGACAATGCTGAGAACAAGGACGACCAGTAAATGTTGACCATCATTCGCCCGCCCGGCGCTGGCGTTTAAAATCTTTCATGTGCTATTTGGGAGTCTTGGGAACTTATTTATTTTGCGGTATCATGGACGGAGTTGCATAAGGGAGCCGAACACATGTTTGGCGATGCACTGGCTGTTTTTACTCTTTTTTATATTATGCTACACAACCCCCCATCATAAGAAAAAAACTCAATTTGAAACTGAGACAGTATGTGTGTGTGTGTGATATTTCAAACGTTTGTGCTCGCTCCAGGTATCGTTATCTATATATGCCAATCATCCAAGTCTGGTCAAAGCAGAAGCAAGACAAGAAACGCCATGCAGTAAAAACGCCATTTTCCATTCATCAGCATCAAAATAGACTATCATCTGTGCAAAGAAAGAAAAGAGAGAACGCGAAAGAAGAACCTCTTCAGACTGACTGCTCACGCGCCGCAGCGGCCAGGTTGTCACTCGCCCGCAGATACTTGACGCGCAATGCCATGCGCTCCCGACCGTGCTTGTTCAGCAGCCGATCCCTTGTCCGACGCGCCTTGCGCACCGCCTTCATCGCCGCTTTGCTGCGCACCACCTCACCATCCTCCTGATCCAGATCCGGGCCCGCGCCCACCACGAGCCGCAGGCCGGCATCGTCGACGTCCGTCCAGATGCCCTCGTGGTGCGCCGGCACGCCACGGCCGTCGCGCAGGCTCTGCATGACCTCGGCGGCGAGGCCCGGTGTCATGGTCGTCCGCCGCAGGCCCTCGACGACCGTCTCGTGCGCGTACCCGAGCGACTCGTAGTGTTGGATGAGGTCGCTGAGCTCGCGCTCCTTGCTGAGTCGGCGCGGAGCTGCGGTGGTGGTGGTGGCCCGCTGCGCGGGGCGGCGGCGCGATGGAGGAGGCTGTTCGCGGGGCATCGCGAGGGGGAACGGGGCGTCGTCGTCAATGGGCGGCGGCGGTGAAGGAGGCGGCGGCGAAGGCGGCGGCGGTAGCGCGCTGGGCTTGAAAGCTCCGGGGAGGACGCGCTTCTTGGTGGTGCGGGAGGAGGACGCGGTGCTGCTTCTGCCCGGCTGGCGGTTCTGCGCGGCGCTGTTGAGGTGCAGCGGGATGGCCCGGATGAGGGGGCTGCTGTGGAGGTGCTCCGACTGCAGCTGCTGCGACGACGTGATATCTGGAGAGGGCTCGCGCCTCGCGGAGCGTACAGGCGTCGTTGTGGCCGCCGCGTGAGGCCGGATCGTGCTCGGCGTGGGCTGCTGGCGGCGGTTGACCTCGGGCGTCGAGGGGACCTCGCGGGGTATTTGTAGCCGGCGCCGCTTGGCCGGCGTCTGGATCTCGAGCTCGCCGTCGGCATCAAGGGGTCGTTTGGCCGGCAAGAAGCACGGGAGCGGCGACGAGGGCTGCGGCGGGGAATCCTCGCCGTCTTCGAAAAGAGCTTCTTGCAGGTCGAGGAACTCTGCGAGGTTCAGCTCGTAGCACTGCTGCAGGGCGGGGACCGCGGCGTCCGCGTCGGTCCCTGCATAGCCGAGCTCCTGGGCGATGCGAAACCAGTCGATATCGTCGGCGGGCAGTTTTTGCTGGCTTATGGCTCGAGCCAGCTTCCAGAGCTCCACGCACTGGCCCGCAACCTCCTGCGTGGGGTTGATGTTGATGTGCTTGACCTCGGCGAATGTTTGCAGATCATCATAAAAATTTTCCCGCTCTATGGCTTGGGTCCCGGCCGCATCCTCTCGTTCCGCAGCTTGTGGCAGCGGTGACGGTGCTAAAGATGGAGTCGCGGCTGGTGGTGGCTGGATGGCTTCACCCTCTGCTCTCTGTCGAGCTGCTTCCTGCTGGACCCTTTCCCCCTTGCGCTGTAGCATGAGCTCTGTCGGATCCGGAAAGTGGTCGTCTTCCTCCACCTCCTGATTGGGCTGCGGTGTTGCTCTGTCTGCTGCTTGCGCGGCTAGTTGGTGGAGAGATTCGGGAGGCAGCAGCATGAGCTTCTTGACGAATCGATCTCTCCACGACGACCAAGGATGACTCGGGTGCTGGTTTTTCTAGTTCAGCATTGACTAGTGTTCGACGGAGCAAGACCGCGCCAGAGCGTGACTTACTTTGGCTCCAAACTGCTTGTACATCTCATTGCCCATTCGAGAATCCTTACTCGCCAGTACCCAGCTCGCGAGCGCCGCGTCTTCCGCGGCGGTAAATGGGGTTCGTATCGTTTTGTTTGGTTTCGAAGAGGCAGCGCCCCTCGTTACTGCTGGTGCAAGGCCAATCCTGTAATGATCAGGGAGTTGCGCGACCCCGTTTTCGACCGATTCGGTGATGAACTTCCAGGAGATGGAACCAGCGGGAGCGTCCTTCCGAGCATGGTCTGCGATGAGGTAATCGGCATTCTTCTCCAGTGGTACTATGATGCCACTGTTTCTCTGAATTCATCCATACATAATTAGTCTTCGCGCCGATTCAAGGATGCCTGGCATCTCGCACCTGTATATGGTCAAGGATGGCACTGCGTGTTGGCACTCGCTGCGCGACCCAGAACTTCAGGCCGTCAAATATTTGACCTCCATTCTCTACCGGAACACCGTCATATGTGATGCCACCCGCCATTTCTTTCTGGTATTCTTGGTTGGATGTGCTCCGTAGTGTCCTCCACTGGCAGCAGACGCGTAAACGAGGCTAGCGGGCGCGTTACGTTCTAATTAAATCGTTGGTTATCAAAAGATGTGGTGGACAGTTGGAAAAAATTGCTGAGGCGTTATTCGAATGAGGCGTCTTGGTAGACTGTTATAAAAGCCCTCCGAGCAGCCCTCAATTTTCAGCCGCCTAACGTCAGTAAAAGTGTTCTTGGGATGCGTTTTGGCTTCTGGTGCATCGCCGCGTGATGGCAGTTTATCGCGTGATCACGTGGCGACGCTGTTTTGAGCCGAGTGTGACCTTGTCTCGAGGCCTTGCTCAGGGTCAAAGACCAGCCTGAACGGAGCAGCGACCAGAGCAGAAAAGGCGGCCGTTCTTCTATGTGCTTTATTTTTGGTTGTCAACATCACTTGCTTCCATCATGAACGCAGTGAGAGGACCCTGGCGTTTTCCTTCTTAGAACCGCACGCTTGACTAGCCACGTTTCCGTCGTCACCGTTACGCCATTCACAAGAGAGCAAACAGGCGGCTGCTTGCTCTCAGTGCAAGTGACACCTGGCCGACAAGACAGTCATGGGTCCCTTCGCCAAAGTTGTCATTTTTATCTTGATCATCTCCTTTGGTGTTTTTGTAACTTTTTTTGGTCGGATCCCAGTTCTCCGGTAAGGCGTCCTGTTTTTTTTTTTTTAAACCGATTTGCTGACGTAGTCTCTGGGCTTGAACAGACATACGCCGATAGGCGCGCTGCACCGGACAATATGGATTCATATCCCCAAATTCGTTACGGCCGTAGACCAACGTCTCACCGGCGGTAGAATCACTGGGGGTCTGTCGCGCGGCGTGAACCGCATGCTGTACGACAGACATCCCACTGTAGTTGTACGCTTGCCCGACTGCTGGCTTTCTCCAACCCAGCTAACACGCACGATCCAGATCTTCTTCTTTGCTCTACTCTTCGGGGGCGAATACATGTTCCTCCCCGCGGCCTGGCCACATATGAGCTGGCTGGCCAAGCTGATTGCGCTCATCGCCATCGCTCTGCCGTACACCTTTCTGTACCTCGCCTGCGGCGGCGATCCTGGCTTCATCACGGCTGAGACGCACGCCTACCACATGTCGCTATACCCCTACGACCACGCGCTCTTCCACCCGGGCCGCTACTGCGAGACGTGCAAGCTCCTCAAGCCGGCGCGCTCGAAGCACTGCAGTATCTGCAAGCGCTGCGTCGCCAAGGCGGACCACCACTGCGTCTTCATCAACCTCTGCGTAGGCCACGGCAACCACCGCTGGTTCCTGTCGCTGCTCCTGTCCACCGCCGCGCTCACCTCGTACGGCGGCCTGCTCGGCCTGTCCATCCTCTCGGGCGTCATCAAGAACCGCTTTCCAGGCTGGTCCGTGTGGCCGCCGGCCGGCTACGGCCTGAACAGTTATCTCGTGGCCTGGAGCTGGGCCATGGAGCGCGACATTAGCCTTGGCGCCACGACGCTCTTCGCCACGCTCACGTCGCCGCTAGTGTGGGCGCTGCTCTTTTACACGCTGTATCACGTCTACTGCGGCACTACGACGAACGAGTCACTCAAGTGGTCCGAACTGGGTGAAGACATGGCCGACGGGTATGCATTCACTCGTCCGATACGGCGCGGCCGAGAGCGGGATTTTGGAATTGAGCCCTCCTGTTCCCGCTGGCCTGTCGAGCCCGAGATGGTAGTCATTGCCACGGCGGACGGCCAACCTCCTGTAATCCACCAAGGTATGCCGCCCATTGCTGGGGAGGGGGACTGGGAGAGGGTATGGAAGCTCAAAAATGTAGAAAACATGTATGACCTGGGGTTCAGGGATAATTTGGCAGACATATTTTTTCGGGATTACGCATTTGGCCGAGCCCGCGATGAGTTACCTTTCAAGAGTCATCATCAATGCTAGTTGGAAAGGATTGTATCATGCATTGGATAAACTGGATAGAGAAATTACACAAGTTTTTATACGAAGAGCACTGTACGTTTCATGAGGTGTGAAAAAGGCCATGGACTGGCACTTCCGTTCATCAATGTCGCTTCGTCTTTCGTATCTACGCGCCGCTAGGTCCTAAAGTAGACCGTTGAAAGATGCTACCCAAATGACATGTTCCCTCCGCCGCCGCGGTGAAAGCCTTTCCGAACTCCGTTGCTTTTACCCCCTTCTAGAGCGTTTCGACTTTTGGTCTAGTTTCGTGTTTGTATCGTTATATGGGAACTATGGGTTTTTATAGAATGGTACCGAAGCTGTAGTATGTTAGCAGGAGATATTTGCAGCAACGGGCGACATAGTGACGTACCCAAACGTAGCCTTGATACTCTTGACGTAGTATTCAAGCCAATTTCGCTTCGTGACTTCTTCCTGGCCAACAGGAACACCATCCCAGGTGACCCGCATGACAGTAACGTGGTCAACGTCATTTTGGTCGAACTCCATCTTCAGCGTGGAGAAGTGGGTGGCAGGCCACTGAGCCAGTCTCCATTTCTGGACAACCTTCTTGTTCTGCTCAAGCTCAACATATTCACCAGAAACGTTCCCGCCAAAAAGCTCGAATTTGCCGCCCTCCTTAGCGCCCTCAAAAACCTTGGGTGGGGAACGGGTGAAGGCTGCAATACGTTGAGGATCAATAAACGTCTGGTATAGCTCCTCCGCAGTCGTACGGAACTCTTCGTTGTCAGTGACGGTTGTAGTATTCACGACACCGCCAGTGCTAGTCTTGGTGGCAGCAGCGGGAGCCTGCTTCGTCTCACTGTTGGGCGGATTGTACGTTTTTGGTGTGGAGAAGCCGCTGGATGGGTTGGAACCAGCGGTATGCTGAATGTCTCTACCGTGTTCGCTGATCAGAGCGGGGGCAAGCTTCTGAAATTCTTTACGGAGCTCAGCAACAAGCTTTGTACGCACTAGGTCCCTGACAGGCTGCTTCTCTTTCGATTCGGCAAAGACGTCGATGTCGAACTACGAACAACTTAGCACGTGGCACCTTTCTACGGCGGTCAGATATCTACTTACAACATACTCATCTTCCTCCGTATCGTGGGCAACCTCTGGGACTGTGATGGTCCCGGAAACGTCATCGGCATCAGGGGCAGAGCCTTAGTCAAGTTAGCACATCAATCACAGTGCAGCCACTATATACTAACCAGAGTATTCAAGAACAAGCTTCACGTCGAAGATGGTGATGACCTTGCCCTTGCGCTGGCTAACGTCAACGTCACCGTTCATGGACTGGATCTTGCTGATCTTGGCCTTGACATCGCCTTGCTCTACCTGGAGCTTCACTAGGTTCTCCTCAAACCATTCCTTGGCCCAAGCAGAAACATCCTTGTTCACCCAATGCCAATTGTTAGGGTTGTGCAGGACCATTGTGATTTATCGTGGATGGCGGTCGGGCGGGGAGAATCTGACGATGGACCAGTTAGTCAACAATGAGCTTCGACTATAGCATTGAGTCCAGGACAAACAAAATCAATTGAACAAGCGCATATCAGAAAGGGTCTAAGACCCAGCAAATTTGGTCATCAAGGAAGGGAGTACAAGTCACTCTATGACTGGTGCCAGCTTGGGTTTCATCAGGATGCAGAGTGTGGGACGGAGAGATTGTGTGGAAAATGTAGGGTTTGGTGACTTACAGCTTTGAGAGTAGCAGTATTGATAACTGACTGTTGGGCGATGATACGGCGTTGAGGTGAAGGAGCAACAGCAAGCAAGCTGAGCACGAGGAGGAAGAAGAGTAAAAGTTGGAAGAATCCTCTAGAATTTTAACAGCTTGTGCCCCCACAGCAGGCAAAAGTGGGGCGCTGCCATGTTCCGCCCGCTATCCGTAACTATTAGTTAGCAAGAAGCTAATAGCTACATACCACTCAAGCAACGATGAAGATTGCAGAGACGAAGACGTGGCTGGACCAGAGCAAAATTTCACCAATTATTGAAAAGAAGAATTACCATTAATGCATCTCCATCAAACTCTTGGATGGTAACATAGCTGGTCAGTAATTGCTGTCAAAGACGATTCAACGGCGAACAAGCACCGGAACGGTTTGCGTACCACATCAATTGACAGCACCGAAAATCTTGAAAGCGGAAAAAGAACAACAAGACTGGATGGAAATAATCGAGGAGGAGAGACGTCTTTTCAGCGCATTCGTGACTCTACCCCACAACCTTCCATGTCGCAATACCTCAACACGCGATGCCTTGGTAAAGACGACGAGCACGATCATCTCAAGTCATTTATTTGCCGGGTGAAATACACAGTCTGGCGGGATCTTCGCCACCAACTACGAGACATGCTTATAACGTGCTGTCAAATTTGGAATCAGCGTGGGCAGCGGCAGTTGTACAAGACCACAGGACGCCGCTCCACACTGCTGATGCGGCCTGGCGACAGAATGATCAGGTCGTTGCATGCAAGTTAAAAATAGCAGCAAGACACCAGACCACTGCAGTCGATATTCCCTGGTGCCACAGAAGAAGCCATGGCAACACCACACTGATGCAGGGAGCCTCATCCACTGGCGGAGGGACCTTGGCAACACCATTGACAGGCACCGAGCCAAGAGCTTATCCTGGGAACCCCGCTCTCAAAGCCCGCCCGAAGGACGCTTGATCCAAGAAAGTCATGTTGAAAAGAACTGGTTGTGCAGACAAACCATTCAAATGCTGTGGTTAAGCGCCGAGCCATCACGCTACGAATGGATAGTCCGCAGTAGTGGCCAATCACGACGCAGCATGGGAAGGTTGATGGTCTTATCAAGTCGCCATGGGCTAGAAAGGCAGGGGTCTCATTCACAAGCTGAACGTGGTGTTGGGATATGCCTGTGGGTGGTGGCATGAAGATTTGGGATTTGTTGGGAGGGGACTGCTTCGAGAATCGAGATCAACGGCCTCGAAACCGGTGAAGCAGGTATTGAAGGGATGTCGAGGCGGACGCGATAACCTTCCTTGCAGCGTTGTATTACAAGGGGATCTCGCTTTGTCAAACCCGTATTGCCAGTCGAGATGCAGCGCCGGCTCTGGCCGTCCCGTCCAGTCGGCAGTCGCGCAGCGGCGATGGAGTGCGTCGCTGCTGTACCTATTGCCTCGATATGAAGGGGTTGTTAATTTCAAGCTTTGCACGCTATGGCCATTTCATGCTCGTCTGTTGAGACGAGATGGCAGGTTTGACAAGATGGATAACTACATAGCTAGTTACTAATCCGGTTGTGTTCCGGTAATAAATGCAGTCCCTCTGCGTATTGATAAACTGACCTGTGTAGCAGTCCCCAGCCTCTTCATGCGCCCGTTCTCGGTACATGATCAAACTTGAGACTTTGGAGCTGCCACAACATTCGACGTTGCAATGCTGCACACCACCTTCTTGATTCTCCTGTTGTACGAACAACTCGTTAGCTCCTATTCGAGCTGCGCAAGTGTGCTGCCAGTCACCCTCCTCTTCGGACAAGTTCATACGCTTAAAAAGACAGGGGAGGCAGGCTGCAGCACCACCCACACCCCCGGTATTGCGCAAAATCCTCTGCGGGTATCCGACAACTCCCCGCGCAGTCTTTCATGTTTCTCGTTTTTTTTTTCCTTCGTATATACGACGCCTTTTAGATACCAGCATAGCTTGACCACTTCGCTGAATCGCGCGCTGCTTCAACCCCTCGTCCGCCGAGCTGTACGAAGAACGCCAGTCAGCAAGACATAGTCCCTTGTCCTGTCACGCCAAGCAGCCGACGCATCTCGCTGGAGCACCCAGATCGCGTAAATGGATTCGAGACAGAAATAGCGACACACAGCTCACCCCCGTCACCAGCGTGAGCCACCTGAGCTAGCCACAGACGTGTCTTTGTCCTTGTGAGTGGCTACAACCTGCCGCACACGGCATCCACTCCTGGCAGCGTTTGCCCGCCGCATCGTCCCGCCTGGGCCAAGGTGCCGGTTTTCCCTCTTGACTCGACCGTAACACAATTGGCGAATAGATTTCTATCTTTGGAACCAACCCGGTCCCCGGTGACCGAAACCTCAGCCCATTTTCTGACCTGCGGGCGGCTGCGGCTCGCGCGCCGACCGGGTCCCCCGTCCCCGTCCACAATGGCCTCTCCCCGCGACCCAGCCCGCCTGCGTCAGGGCCTCAACCCGCTGACCACCTCTGCCCTCGGCTCTCTCGCCGGACACCAGCACGGCACGCCTATATCTGCCATCTCCATGGCCTCGACGCATCTTCTCTCGGCACACACTCCCGTGAGTGCTCTCCAGCCGTATAATCCCCAGGAATGGGTTCCGCCCGGCGCGACGCCAATGCCAGAGAGACAGGTTCAATACGCCGGCGAGGCACAGGGTGAGCTCCCGACAGATGCCCCTTCTACTGCTCGAGAACAAACTAATCGCCTCCCATAACCTCAGCGCCGCCGCCGCCGCCTCCTCCTCCTTATAGCCCGCCACGGAGTCGACAACAGCGGCCTGTTAGTACGGCCTTTGAGCATGTACTTGGCCCAATGTCCACGCCGTCGCCGAGAATGACCTCGAACTTGGCTCTGCACCATGCTTCGCCTGAACCTATAGCCAATCCCTCATTCCCGCCTCCGCCCGGCACAGTAGGTCGTGGCGGTTCTCGCGAACGCCGATTCGGCCTGCCTTCCCTCGGGCGACGAAAAGAGCCAGAACAGCAACAGGCCAGTCCGCCAGATGCACATGCTGCTGCTCACGCGCGACGAAGCATGGGTCCCGCCTCTTTCTACGCCCCTGAACCCCAACGCCCGATTGCCGGCCCGTCGACAGAAGTAGTGCCTCCAGCAGCACGAAGAGCCGCATCCACTGGTGCTATTGACACTCCAACTTCCAGCCGATCGCGCTCGACATCGCAGACGAGGTGGGCGCCCGGCATGCCGCTACCGCCTCCGCCTCCAGGGCCACCGCCGTCGGGATCTCGGTCACAAAGTGTTCAAAGCGTGGACCGGAGTGTGGTGCCGATCATCTCACCGCCAACGCGACGAAGACCACCCAGCGGCGTCACCACTCTAGGTCCAGTTCCGCCCACACCTGCCAACTGGGTTGATGCTGATGCTCAACAAGCGCCTGCTCAGTCTGAACCGCAGAGATCTCCTAGATTGGCTATAGACACCGACGTCGCGAGACGCTCTACTCAAGTGGCAGAACCCTTGGGCTCAGCATCCAGCACGGGCAGTCTTAGCCGAGCTGGAGCTGTCCGCCATGACAAGACCATTCTACAGCGTCGATCAGAGAGCAGACACGCCTCGCACGGCTCTATAGACGCAGTTGCTCATTCACATGGTGTATCAGATATTGTGGTTCCAAATTCTGCAAACGGGCTCAGCCGCCGTCTGACCATCACGAAATCCACTCCACGCAGTGCAGGTCGTCTAGAGCTTCCTCTTTCGGCCGATTCGATAACCCTGAACGATTCAAGAAATTCCACCCCGCGGGGGCCTGGCTCAGCGCAACTTCCCGGGTTCGAAACAGCTACACCTCCGTTTTCCCCTTATCAGAAGAAACCTAGCCCTTCGTCCGGCCTCGCGCTGGCGCCAAAAGCGCTACCAACTCCGCCGCTACATAGGAGATCTGGCTCGGGTTCTCGGCCAAGAGAATCGTCTCGACCACCGCCTTCTGCCGGCACCTCTGCCTCGAAGCCAGCAGTAGCATTGCAGACCGCAGATCAGTTCGCCGCCAACACGATTGAGCGTTTCCGAACATTTGCAGCCCAAGAAATAGCCGCTGCCTCTGATGCTGATCGAGTGCGCTTATTTGCCGACTTTATCGTGAACGAATCGAGATTGAGACGAGAACGATATGCGAGTGCTATTGGCGAAATGGGGTCGGAAATTTTTGACCTGACCAGAGACCTCTTCCGCCCCATGACGAATTCTCGGCGCGCCTCTACAACTTCGCAGGACTGGACGCCCAGTTCAGCTGGTCCGAGCCGTTCACAGCTCGAGTCGAGTGGGATGAGTTCAACAAGTGATGGCGTGTCGACTTCGGCTCCCACATCGGCAGGCATTTCTCATTCACCGACGGCAAGTGCAGCTGGTAACCAAAATTACGGTGGTACCAATTACATGCCGTCTCTCTCGCCTATTCTGAGCATGAGCGTCAGCGATAACCACGAAAACAGCTCTCGGGGGAGACCGCCAAGTCGCTGGTGGGAGTCGGATTCGAATGGAGACCCAGCGCGGGGATGGGAGAGATCGAAACGAGAATCAAAGTATATGGGAGTTTCCAAGGACAAATGGGTTGAAGAAGGCACAGAATTGACAGGAGCAGGTGAGGGACCATCTATTCAATACCCACCCGAAAAGACGGGATGGCATGATGCAGATGAGTCCAACTGGACACCAAACCCAGAACGGTTTTCCACCATTTCGACCGAGTCCACAGCCTCTCCAGCGACAAAGACCGAAGGCCTGGATGTGTCTCGTCTAGTTACCATGCCACCACCATATCCACGACATCACCCCGCCGTGAACAATAACCACCCCGAGCTCACAGAAACAAGAACAGCTGTCCGGGGTCTTAGTGAGCTTGGTGAGATGGACGCCACAAAAGAAAAATTCACGCTGGCGAGCTCAAAGCGACGTCAAGAATATGCCGAAGCTACAGCCGATCGCCGGAAGGCTTTGCGGGAGAACCTACAAAAGGAACTTGCAGCTGGCAATATCGGATACGCAGATGCCGCTGCCATTGAGTCGGATTCCGAAGCCCAGGAGAGAGACAAGGCCAAGGAACTGGAGAAGAAGGAATACGAGCACTTCCAAAATGAAGTCATTGTACCGCTGAACGAGCTACTCAGTTTGCGAATAGCCACGGCAACAGAGCTGTTTGACAAATTGGCCAGCCAATTGTTTGGCAGCGGTCAAAACGACGCCGATATGCCTCAAGAGGAAGGAGACGATAGGCCGGAGCTGCTCGAGAAGCTCACGCTTCTCAAGTGGATTTTCGAGACGCGGGAGTTTCTGCACAGAACCATATTCGACCTCTTGACGGACCGCAATGCCAGATATCGCGACGTCGTTTTGACACCCTATCGACTGTCTGGTAACACGGAGAAGCTCAAATCTGCCGAGGAGTTCTTCGCTGCCGATGCCTCGAATCGCGAGAATGCCTACGCCAACGAAGTTGTCAATCGCGCCCGCGACTTTCGCTCCGTCGTGGACTCTGCCGTCCAGCACGGCGTGGCCCTGCAGCTGTCTGCGTTCTGGGACATTGCGCCCCCTCTGCACGGCCTGATCGAGAGCATCCCAGCCACGCTCGCGGCGTTTGAGATTCAGATCCCCGCCAGCGAATTCGACGAGAACCCCGCGTACCACGACCACCCGCTGCAGTACCTCTTTAGCCTGCTAGTACACGCCGAGAAGAGCACGTACCAGTTCATCGAGTCGCACACCAACCTGCTCTGCCTGCTGCACGAGGTCAAGGAGGCCGTCGTCAACGGCAAGGGTCGCGTGCTCGAGACGCAGCTGCAGGAGCCCACCGGCGAGCCCATCCCGGCCGAGATGCGGCTGGCGCGCGCGCACAAGATGCGCCAGGACGAGGGCCGCCGGCTCACGCACGACTTGCAGGAAAAGGTGCGCGAGGTGCAGGAACAGTGGGATAACGCGCTGGGCGCCGAGTTGAAGAATGTCAAGTCGCGCACGAGGGAATGGCTCCTGGAGACGGGCGGCTGGGACGAGACGTTGGAGGAGGGCGAGTTTGTCGCGCGGGAGGAATGAGCCCCATCCGTGTGGCTTTATATATATCCCTTTTCTTTTCTTTGCACGTATCCGTGCGTTATTCATACATGTTGATACCCAAGGACCGTGAGGATTCTTCTTTTTTTTTTGCCCAAGATTGCTAGTTTACGGCCGGACTTGTATACAGATTCACATCCCTGTAGCGACGATATTTTGAAATTTAGCAACATTCGAAAATGAAAACACATGTATGCCACGATACACCGATGACTCTAGCCTGCGCCTGGAGAACGGTTATGATGCAATGTTGACTACCAGGCTGCGAGAGAAGAGGCACGTGTTGCTCAATCAACTCCTGTGCGGCCTGCCCAACAGTTCCGCGCTCGTCCAAAATAAGCGATGTAAACGGGGTATTTTGTCTTTGACAGCCTGTCTGGCTGGTATATAGTACAGTGGCAAGATTGTGTTGCCTCTAATTATTTATTGTACATTTTCCATCCGTGCTTTGCGCCCTTTTTGCATCCTCCGCTCATCACACGTCTCTCGGCTCCGCCATTCGATTTCGGGGGGCGGAGGGCACTCCCACGGCAGCATTCCTCCGCTCCGTGTGTATTGTCCGAGTGTCTCGTCCATCGTGTAATCCCATCCATGTCCTTTGCCCTCTCCTTTCTTTCTTCACAGCCGCCCCTTGACCAGCACGGGCAGGTCCATGCCGACGCGGCGGGCGGACAGACGCACGCGCTCCGCCTCGTCCATGCCCATGCCCGGGTTGTAGCGCTCCAGGAGCGTGGCGTACGTGCGCTGCGCGCGCAGGTACGTGACCAGCTCGGCAGCCACGGCGGGGGAGGCGTCGGCGCCGGAGGGAGCGGCGAGGCTGGCGCGCAGATGTGCGTGCAGCGGCGTGCGCGGCGTGGCGAGGACCGGTCGCGGGGGCAGCTCTCGCAGGATGGCGCGGTAGAGGGAGCGCAGGTGCGCCGGCGAGGACGTCATGGTTGGCAAATTGGGGTCGTGTGTGGTGGTGGGTGTTGATGGCCACGAGGTGGTGGTTGAAGGAGGCAGAAAGAAGTCTCGGTCGGGCGACATGGGGAATTTTTATCCACACACCTTGATTGCAGGCCTGACTTGATGGAACCTCGAACCAGCAATAAGCCAGCTTTGGGGTTTCTGGATTTTTTATTCCAACTTGATTATAGTATCAAGTAGTATTTTTTCAACAGTCACGAGAAAAACAAAAGTTAAAGTAGATGTTGCGCGATTTCAACAGTCGCAAAACAAAATGTGCAGTAAATGGTTGCACCAAGGTAGCCAAGCCCCCATTTCGTAATAAAACCATTCCGTTTCATAGCTTTCTATTTATTTAACTACCGCATCTCCACATCCTCTTTAGGCCTTAATCTTGAGAACCTCCTGCACCGCAGCCAGCACCTTGCCGTGCACCGGCGCCGGCGCCGCCACGACGCCCTTGTTGTTGGCCAGCGTGCGGCCCGCGCCGAAATCAAGGCGCTTGCCATGGATATCCGTCACCTGGCCACCGGCCTCGCGCACGATAAGGTCGCCCGCCGCATGGTCCCAAATCTTTTCCTGGTACGTCGCCTTGACCGGCAGGCGCAGGTAGATGTCGCCCGCGCCGCGCGCAATGGAGGCGTACTTGGCCTGCGAGTCCATGCGCACGCTCGGCGCGGTGATGCCGAGCGCCGCCGAGATCTGCGCCTGGTCGCCGTGGGCCGAGTGCGCCGCCTCGACGCTCTCGCAGAAGGTGGCCTGCGCGAGGTCCGTCAGCGCGCGCATGCCAATCGGCTTCGGCGCGGCCAACACGCCGGCGGTCAGCGGCCGGCTGTGCGCGCCGTGGTGCTGCACGGCGGCGAGCAGCACGCCGTGGTCCGCGTCGTCGGTCTGGTTGGCGCCGCTTGCCGCCGTCAGCCGCGCGGCGTCGTCGACAGGCAGGTTCGGGCACCCGAGCACGCCGACCTGCACCTCGCCGTCGACCATGAGCCCGAGGCAGACGGCGTACTGCCCGCCGCGGAGGAAGCCCTTGGTGCCGTCAATCGGGTCAATGGTCCAGATGCGTCCGGTGGCGCCGCCGGGGCTGTTGCCCTTGTCGATGAGGTCGAGCATGGCGTCGGCGCTGGGGATCGCGCCGCCCAGGAGCGCCTCGGCGGCGCTGTCGGTGAGGGCCGTCGAGCGGACCAGCTGCCAGATGGTGTCGCAGAGGGCCGGGTCGGCGCGCAGCTGCGCGGCCTCTTCTTCGGCGACAATGGCGTCGTCGGGGAAGCTGTGCTGGAGGGCGGCGATGATGAGCGCCTGGGCGCCGAAATCGCCGATGGTGACGGGCGACTTGTCGTTCTTGTCGACGGTGCCCTTGGCCTTTTCGTGGAAAACGCGCTTGGTGAGGATGGCGGCGCGCTGCACGGCCAGCTCGGCGACTTGCAGCTCGCGCTCGTATCTAGGGGCGACAACCATGGCGGCGGTGGAGGTGGTGCGGCGGAAGAGGTGCCCGGAGAGCTGGACGAGGCGCCGGGGGGACAAGAGCGAGGAAGCTATGGCTGCGACGGCGGGAATCGGTGGCTGGGCGGCTGCTGTGTTCGGGCTGTGCGAGTTGGTGAAGGTTTCTGGAGGGAGTGGTATCCAGAGGGCGACGAGGGCAATGAGGGCAAAGGCGATGCTGAGGAGAACCGGATGGTGGAAGAGTGAAGAGGCCGGATGGCGGGGCTCGGACCGAGACGTTGGACCGGTAGGCATGCAAACAGTGCTCTTAGTAGGAAGTAGGTGTGTATCTGGGCAAGGAAGAAAAAAGTCTGAATTAATATGGGCTGGTTTAAAGCGCTGCAGTGTCACGGAACATCGGCCGACGAGCCAGGCAAGAATGGAGTCTGACGTAGAGAAAAATTCGCGCCATATCAATAATTCGTTTTATGAAGATGCGGTGCAAGCGGCACGATGGTGTCCATAGTGGGGTTGGCCAGCTACCCTAGATACAGCCACCCGCCAAGTTGCCAAAGTTTGCGGTTATAAAGGCCCTGGTGCTGAGTGGTTTCAGGAAGCCGAGGTCGTTGGTTTGAATTCAGCAGGACCTCCCTCAAACCCGTATCCAATAATATATCAACACAAGAACTAGCCATATTCTTGGCTCTTTAGCACACTCAGCATCTCAGTCTTGTTGACCTAGTCCTCTCTGTATAGTACAATCTTTGCCTGCATGCATGCATGTCAAACGCTACAACAGAATATATAGTACAATAAAAGGAGCAACTCCTTCTTCTCGCGCCAGTCCCTTTTCGGCTGCCTCTTCTGGCCAGCATCCAATATACAAACAATACACAAAAAGGCATCGACCCACGCCTCCGAGTCTAGTTGCCTTGTCTCCGCTTCGCCACTCCTTTATTTAATCTTCTTCTGCTTCAGCTTAATCGTCTGGCCATTGACAAAGACACCCTTGCCCTTGTACGGCTCTGGCGGCCGCCACTTGCGCACCCGGCCCGCAAACGACATGAGCACCTCGCGCTCCGCGCCCTCGAGCAGGATCCTCGTCGGCGCCGGCGTCGTCACCGTCACGCCCGGTGGAATTCCCTCCTCCACCGGGTGCGTGAAGCCGAGCTTGAGACACAGAAACTTTTGCCCGCGGTATTCGGCCTTGCGCTTGCGCTCCTCCACCGTCGCTCGGTAGCCGACACCGACAAGTCGCAGGATCGCCGTGTGGCCCTCGGACACGCCCATGATGTGGTTGTTGAGGTACGCCCAGGTAGTTCCTGCACCAAGTTAGCACAATCAGAACAATCCTGTAAGCTCTTCTCCTTGCTTGGTTGAGCGAACTTACCCCACATCTCTTTTTGTTGCTCAACGTTGGCATCGTCCACTGATAGCATCACCACGTTGTTGTCGAGATCCTGCTCCATCCGTACAAAGTTGGGCACGTCCATACTTAATTCTCCTATTCATCACAAGCCTCATCGTTAGCCAATTTCACACACTGTCCCAAGCCAATGCTCGCGCCATCCTCTACAGCAAAGGGGTATGCACTAACCCAGAGGCCCCTTGATTGTTATCGTTTTTGTGATCTTGGGCTTGTACGACGTCATGCTGTTGATCGCTTTCGGCTGGCCCATGGTCAGTTCCACGCCCGGCGGCACAGTGATGGGCGTCCGGCCGAGCTTGGAGGGCCGTGGCCCAGTCGTTGAAAACTGTCGCGCGACCGTGGCTGCCGCGGTCGATTGCCACGCCGGTATCAAGAATCCGGGGAGTGATGCAGCTGGGGAAGATGCCGCGCGCATCGCCGGACCCAGTGCCGCCCTTTTCGCTGGCATAAACATCGTTGCTACTGGAATTGTCTGCTGTCGCAAACAGCCTCGCTCATCACCGAGTTAGAGTCTTGGTAAAAGAACGAGCTGCCACCAATCTCGACTTTTTGGCCGCTTACTCATCCAGTCACGTGGAGCCCAGCGTTGGCTAAAGTGCAGCCCCCCATCAATTACATCTTTGAAACTCGAGAAATTAATTGAATGCAGATTATACTCACAATTAGGTGATTAAATGGTACTATGGTACTCGTGTTTTGACTGGCTGTGTACAATTGCTACATCAACTGTACGCACTCGAGGATATCTAAAAACCCCTGACAAATAATTACTTACACTGCCTCAAGTGGACAGGCACTAAGAACGGTATTTCTCTTCTGGGTCGACAAACGCCCTTCAATAGTAATCATGACTAGGGATTTACATGAGCTCCTCAGTCTCGAGGGGAGCCTCCTCCTCGTACTCCTCTTCCTCATCATCAATACCAGCATCCTGGTACTGCTGGTATTCGGAGATAAGATCGTTCATGTTGGACTCAGCCTCAGTGAACTCCATCTCGTCCATACCCTCGCCAGTGTACCAATGAAGGAAAGCCTTGCGACGGAACATGGCAGAGAACTGCTCACCGACACGCTTGAAGAGATCCTGGATCGAGGTCGAGTTACCAATGAAGGTAGACGACATCTTAAGACCGCGAGGGGGAACAGCGCAAAGAGCGTTCTGGATGTTGTTGGGGATCCACTCCACGAAGTAGCTGGCGTTCTTGCTCTGCACATTACGCATCTGATCCTCAACCTCCTTCATGGCAACCTTACCACGGCTAAATAGTTGTTAGTTCTGTGGAGATCCGTACGTTACAGAGTCACTTACAAAATGGCAGAGCAGGTCAGGTAGCGACCGTTGCGGAAGTCAGAGGCAGCCATCATGTTCTTGGGGTCGAACATCTGCTGGGTAAGCTCAGGGACGGAGACGGCGCGGAACGAGTGAGCGCCACGGCTGGTCAGGGGAGCGAAGCCGACCATAAAAAAGTGAAGACGGGGGAAGGGAACCATGTTGACGGCGAGCTTGCGAAGATCCGAGTTGAGCTGACCAGGGAAACGCAGGCAGGTGGTGATGCCGGACATGACGACGGAGACGAGGTGGTTAAGGTCACCGTACGAGGGGTTGGACAGCTTAAGGGTACGCATGCAGATATCGTACAGGGCCTGGTTGTCGATACAGAAGGTCTCGTCAGAGTTCTCAACGAGCTGATGTACGGAGAGAGTGGCGTTGTAGGGTTCGACAACGGTGTCGGAGTTGCCGGGGGAGGGGACAACGGAGAAGGTGGCCATCATGCGGTCGGGAAACTCTTCGCGGATCTTGGAGATGAGCAGAGTACCCATACCAGCACCAGTACCACCACCGAGAGAGTGGGTGATCTGGAAACCCTGAAGGCAGTCGCAGCCTTCGGCCTCACGACGAACGACATCGAGGACCTGGTCAACGAGCTCAGCACCCTCTGTGTAATGACCCTTGGCCCAGTTGTTGCCAGCACCAGACTGACCGAAAACAAAGTTGTCGGGGCGGAAGAGCTGGCCAAAGGGACCGGCACGGACAGCGTCCATGGTACCAGGCTCGAGATCGATGAGGACGGCGCGAGGAACATACTTGTTACCGGAGGCCTAGACGAAAGTCGCGGTCAGTATCCACAATGAAGCCAAGCTACGCGTTGGGCGGGCAGAACAAACCTCGTTGAAGTAGACATTCATGCGCTCGAGCTGGAGCTCGGAAGTACCATTGTAGACACCGCTGGAGTCGAGGCCATGCTCGCCAGAGATGGTCTGCCAGAAAGCGGCACCAATCTGGTTACCCTGTTGAGAAAAACCCGGTCAGAACCGATACCACCACTGTTGCCATGGAGTAGATCGTCAGAAGCTACTTACGCACTGACCGGTCTGGAGGTGAACCTATAGACAGAAAAAAAACTCATTAGCAGCAATTCATCGTATTTGCAACTCTCGCGAGCTCTCCTCGCACTCGTAAACAAAGCGTTTGAGCTGGCCGAGTGGTCGGCGGGGTACCACTCAGGGGCAGCGCAAGCTCTCGAGAAACGCGTCGAGGAGGGGTCAACAGGAGCAATGGCGGGGAGAGGGACTCACAATCTCACGCATGATGGCGACTTGAAAATGTGAAAAGGAGGCTTAAAAGAGTTGAATGGAGGATGTAAGAAACTAGATGGGTATCAAGAGTCCGGGAAAGGCTTCAAGATATGTGGATGCGCGAGAGAGGAGAGAAGGGACAGGGAGGAGCCGGGCGGTGTTGATTTTTGCCCTGCGAGGGCTGGAAATTGGTTCACCGCTACGATCCCCAGGGAAAGAGCGGGAGCTGTCCCGCCTGCCAGGGCCTCACTGGCCGCAGCCAGCCAGTCACGGTTGTTTACCACCCTGGCCAACCGCTTTGCCCAAACAGGCTTGGCGCCAAAGCAAGGAACCATCAAATCTCAACAGACAATCCGTTGGAACATAGTATGAACTATTACAACGTGGAACGATTGTGCCGCGGTAGAGCGATTTCTTTAGAGAATATAAGGTACCGAAGAAAATGAAATGCCTAGGCCGATCCATAACTTATCATTGACAAGGAAGCTTCACTGAAATCCCGCTGTCTGCTCGTCTACAGCATCCAAAGGCCCAACCTCAACCTCCTGCAAGGTGCCCCAGCGCCGCTGGAGATTGTTCGGCGGGACCTCACTTTGAACTCGGCCCCACTGTGTTGCACGACAGCTTCGAGGACTCAGGCAGAAGCTTGACTTGCAATGTGACATGTCAACTGCCTCCCAATAATACGAACGACAAGCAATAAAAAAAGGCAGTAGTTGATACGCAAAAAGCCAGAAGAAAATGTAAGAAATGGCTACATTTTAGATGATGACAAAATCTACCATCATGGTATTCATACCCCAGGTGACGCCTATAAATGCATATGTACCAGTTCCCCTGCCCACATCAGTGCTGCTTCACAACACCGGATGCATCGGCCTGTGCTGATATTCTCTTCTTGTACTGGTTCACGTCGCCGTCAAACTTCTCTACCGTGCCGCCATCGCACACCCACAGCGACGTGCACACCATCTGCAGCATCGTCACGTCGTGGGAGACCATAAGCACACCGCCCTGGAAGGCGTTGAGTGCCTCGGCCAGCGCGTCCATGGCCTCGATATCAAGATGGTTCGAAGGTTCGTCGAGAACGAGGATGTGCGGGTTCGTGAGGGCCAGGCAGGCAAACGCTACTCTCGACTTTTGACCTCCGGAAAGGTATTCCATCTTTTGCAGGCCAGTCGTGCCGGTGATGCCAAACGCGCCGAGTTGGCGGCGATACTCCTCGTCCGACTTTCCGTGGTACATCTTGGCCATGAAGGAGACGGCACTGACCGTCAGATCCAAAGCGTCAATGTGATGCTGGGCAAAGAAACCAATGCGCAGGCGCGAGTTGGCCGAAATGATACCACTCAGTGCCTGCAGCTTGCCAATGAGCAACTTCAGCACAGTAGTTTTACCAGCACCGTTGGGTCCGACAATACCAATACGAGAGTCGAGCTGAACGTCGAGATCCACATCGCGCAGCAGGACCTTGTCTGGAGTGTAACCGAAAGAGACCTCGGACATTTGAATAATGGGAGGTGACAGCTTCTCCACGTCTGGGAACACAAACTTGACACTGTATTCGGCCTCTGGAGCCTCCAGCACTGGGAGTTTCTCGAGTTTCTTGATACGGGACTGCGCCTCGGAAGACTTGGCGGCGTTGTATCGGAACTTGTCAATAAAGGCCTGCAGATGCGCGCGGAACGCCATCTGGTTCTCGTACTCCTTCTTGGCAATCTTCTTGCGCTCTTCACGGGTAGCGTAGAAGGAGTCAAAGTTGGCTCCTCTGTAGTAGTCAAGACGCTCGGAGTGCTGGTGAATAATATCGGTCGCGACCTCGTTGAGGAACGCTCTGTCGTGGGAGACGACGAGGACGGTGCTGGGGTAGCCTTGGAGGTATGTGGAAAGGAAAGTGATGGAGGGGACGTCCAACATGTTGGACGGTTCGTCGAGAAGTAGCAGGTCGGGCTCGCAGAACAGGGCTCGTGCAAGAGCCAGACGCATGCGCCAACCACCAGAGAAGGTTTTTGTGGGAAACTGCTGGCGCTCAGCAGAGAAGCCGAGACCAGCGAGAATGCTGGCAGCGCGGGACTCGGCTTTGTCGGATTCCATTTCGGCGAGCTTGCCCTGGACATCACCAAGCTTTGTGTCCATGGTTTCCTTTTCGCGGTCCAGTTTGGCAGCGTCTGCTGACGTATCGGCGAGGGGCGCACGCTTAATCTCCAACTCGGCCAGACCTGCCATGAGCTCTTCTTGTTCTCGCATCAACACCTTGCGCCAAACATCGGCATCGAGGACGGCCTGAATAGCAGGCGTGTCGTCACCAGTGAGCTGTTGAATTGTTAGCAGGGCACGTTCGTGTTCATCACATTTGCTTTGGCGCTTACTTCTTGTTCGACGTGGAGAATGGAAATATGAGTGGGAATGGCGACTTCACGCCTCGACAAGGCTCGCAAGAGCGTGGATTTACCGACACCGTTGTTACCAACCAGACCATAACGGTGGCCGTAAGCGAGCGTAAGGGTGGTGTCGGTGAGGATGCGCTGGGCGCCAATCGAGACATCAATGTTGTCGAGCTTAATGTCCTTGGTCTTGTTGGCGCCGGCGTTGCCAATCTGGAGCGGGTTGACGGCCATGTAAAACTCCTCGTACGACTGCGCGGGGTCTGCCTGGTCGAGCAGCCGCGAGGCCTCATACTCGACATTCTTGTACTGCTTCTTCTGCTGCTTGACGGCAATCTTGCGCTCGGCCTTTTCGAGCTTCTTGCGGTCGACCTTGGACTCGACCTTGCGGGCGTTGGCCGACTCGAGGTCGACACCGCCGCTGGCGACGGCCAGAGTCGACGACATGTTGCGCTGCGTGCTGACCTGGATGGTCTGGTCCAGGCGGCGGACAGCCAGCGGCCCGTGGCGCTCGCCGCCGTTGACCACAGCGTACTTTTGCACCCACTTCTCGACGAGGGCCTTGATCTTGTCCTGGGATGTGCGGTCCGACTTTTCAGAGGCCGAAAGCAGCAGCTCGGTAATGGCGTGCGCGGCTTCGGCGAGCGGCGAGACGGCCTCGACGCCTTCACCACTCTCGTCGGACCACGCCAGCGAGGCATGGTTGAGGTAGCCCGCCGAGTACGCCGAGACCACGGGGTCGATGTTGGGAATGGCGGCCTTGATCTCGGCCTCCATTTTGAATGTGTATGACGTCTCGTGTCGGCTCGGGGCTATATTTTTTTACGTCGGCTTGTCGAATTCTCTTTCGTCGAGCTGCTCGCATATGATGCAGCAATTTTGAAGCGATTTCTAATTGTGGGCCATCATCGCAGATTGACGACGCATGGTGGTGCAAAAAGTCACCCCGCCAAAGCTGCCCCACCATGAGATTCGTTGTAAGCTATAGTCCTCTATGTACGAACTCATGTATGTATATCCCACTCGGTTCTCGTTTGAGCTTTGTCTGTTCAATTTCACGAATGCGTCTATTCTCGTGGCTCGGCACAATTTTCTGTTTCGAAACATCCCCACTCTTCTTTCGTGTTGCTATATACGTAGCCAGCAATGTTGCTGTCAGTCCCTTACGACGGCAGTATAAAAAGTGGCAAGGAAGGCAGGCAATGATTCACTGATGCTGTCCGAGCAGCCCGGGTTGGTTTGCGTACACGATATCTCCTGGTGTACGAGTCTTGAGAAGTTCATGAGTATCATCAAAGAAGAGCCGTTGCAGCATAGCACTGCATGCAGCGCGACAGGAAATAGCGCAGCCAACATTTTGAAAATGATAAGCGTTTGGACAATTTGTTTCTAGCGGATCTCTCCCTACTCGATATGCAATTTAGCTGCGTTGAGATGGTCACACGGTAGCCCGTTTCTCAACATCCGCGAAGTCGTAGCAGCCCTAGTCGTTGTACCATCTACACCCAGTGTAGCCACCTGCGTATGATAAACCCGAAAACACCCAGACCGAAAGACCAGAGCACCAGCTTCTTCGCAGCCAGTGAAAGAATCTTCCACTGCATTGTGGACAGATACTGTAGGATACTCGCCTGGTCATTGACCCGTGGAAACGGCTTATCCGGGACTTTGACGCCGAGGAATTCGCAAAGCGGTGCCCAGCCGTCCTCGTACCTGTACACCAGCAGCTGGCCCGGCCGGACCGACCTCCGCACCATGGCCGAGTGCTCGGCGTGCATCTCCGGCAGCCGCCGCCAGGCGTCCTCGCGCGACCACGTGCCGAGCCAGCCGAATGCAATATCACGGGCGATGCGCGCCTGCGGTACGCCCACCCACGGGCCGACGACGCAGAACACAAAGCCCGCGAGCCCCGCGTGCACGCCGTCTATAATGACAGCGCCGAAGCTGCGCGCCCACGCCTCCACCGGGCGATCGACCAGGATGACGCGCGCCTCTGGGTACGCGGCAATGAGCTGCTCGCTAAAGACGCTGCCCAGGTCCGTCGTTGCGCGCTGCTGCCCGATTAGCCGGTCCCAGTCGGCCCGGACCCATGGCAGCAGGGCGTCGGCGGGGTTCACGTAAAACGGCAGCCGGTCCGTCGCCCGCTGCAGGCCGGACACCCCCAGGAAGGGCAGGTTGCACCAGGCGGCTTGGCCCCAACCGTAATTTGCGCGGATCGCGGGGCTGGTGAGGGTATGGTGGACGGGGCCGAGGTCGAGCATGTGCAGGGCCGCGGCGAGTGAGGCCGTGCCGGATCTCGGCAGACCGGCGCAGATGATGCCGTCGCCGGTTGCGAAGCAAGGTTTTGCCGCTGGTGGGTTATTCATGCTGTGCTGTTTTGCGGGATCTTATGAGGGATGCTATGACGAACAGTCTGACAGTGAGTTGAGAGAGAAGAAGTAGTGCGCGAGCCAGTCTGGTGATGGGTTTGATGTGACGGGCATGTGATAGAAAGTACGGGAGTTCGAGAGGGGAAACTGTACCGGAGAAGTCATCCCGCAAAGCGGAGGTGATTAATTAGATGAAGGATCATTACACCAGGGCTGCTCTTGCACGGCCTTGTCGTCCGGTTTCGGATGCAAGTAAATCCTCCGAATGCACGCAAGCTCCATCTAAATATTGGCAGCCATATTCAGGAGCATACGGTATGCTGATCCCAGTATATGCGCTGAAGGCACTGAATACACTGCTATTTCCAAGTGAGCACCATGTGTGTAGGGCGGAATCGGCTGCCTTGCGTGGGCTACCTCGGTCTTTTCTTCTGTCTTTTCCTCTAAAGACCATGATCCCCGTCTGCGTTTGGAGCAAGATTTGCTGTCGCCGTGACCTCTGCGGGCCTGGAATACGCGAATGACGAGGTGCCCCGGAGGTTTGCACCTAGCCACACGAGTATTCTTCCACCGCTCACGAGCCTTTGGGCTCTTCAGAATTGGAATTTTGAGTCTGAGATGGGGGTGGTAATCTCTCAACCCGGGCTCTGCTAGCAGGCTGACGACACCGGCAAACTCGTCATTCTTCAAGAACTCGGTCCCCGTGTAGCAGGCAGCATCGTGATGATGGAAGAGGAGGATGCCGAGCGTCCGTCTCGTACATCAAGTCGAGAGCAATGCGTGCCCACCGTGCCGTCGTTGATGGCCATGATCTGTTTGAGCCAAATCATGAATCCGTCTGTAGAGTGCCGAGGCTGGCTCGTCGTCCTAGTTCTCGATGAAGCAATGGACGTATAGCAGTAGTGTAGTCGTAACGTATTTGGCGTGTTCGGGTGACATGGTTTCGTACATGAGGTTGAAAGGGCAACGGGGAATAGGCGCATAATCCCGTTTCGTAAAAGCAAGCTACATAACCCGGCAGAAGTCCAGGGTATGTGCGGGCTGAGGTTATGTGCTGGTAAAGGTGGTGAGGCTATGTTCGAGGAAAGCCTTGCGAAATCATCGCAGCTCGAATCACCATCAATAGCTAGCTACGTAACCGAAAGTCAGCATTGCGCCCAATCGGCACACTTCCCTTTGCCAAAACTGGGCGAACTCAGTTCAGCATCCCTATAGGCCGCGCATACCATAAACTATTCATCTCGTCCGCGGCATGAGCTACCCTACAAGATGGTTATTTAGCAGCCTCCTACCACATAACTAGTTACTGTCCCCAGAAGCCTTGGCGGAATGGTTGGGTTTAAATTCCGGGTGCAGAAACAGGGTCCGGGCGAATTCTTCAGCCCCGGGATGCCGCCAAAGTTTCGGGTTCCCGATGCGGCCCTTCTGGCCTTTTGTGGCGTTCACCGAGCAAAGTCACCTTGGACGTGAGATAACCACGATGCTCGTGCGACGTTGGGCGGAGTTGAGCAATATTATGCCTCGGCTGACGTATTTCTTTGATTTCTTGGTACGGCAATCCCTGCGTTTTCTTTTTGTTTTCATGAACCCAGCTTTATGCCCGTCGTCATTGGTCGGTCTGGTTCTGAGCGTACTCGTTCACCAGCCAATCAGGGACGAGCAGGCCTCCAAGTTCGGACGCGTCTGGACACGCGACATGCGCGTCACGATCGCGTTCTCCATGTGGGTCTCTTTCGATGGAGCCAGCTCGCGTCATCCAGTAATCTACGACCCAAAATCTACAATGTTTTCAGGTGCACCAGGATTATTTTCCCAACGAGGTGTGTCATCCATTTGCTGAATGAAGCGATCATCAAGTCTGTCAGTCATGATCTGTCCTCTAATACATACCAGTTACCCTGGACAAGAAAGACCGCCACAAACGGAGCGAGCCCGAGGGCTCGGGACGCAATTTATGCGAACAAGTGTGGCACATGCCTCTAGTCCAGATCCGAACTCAACACTCGGAGCAATCTGTAACCCTAGTTGGCTGCTTCAACGGCCGAGTGGTGAGCACGGACGAGAGGAAGGAGGAGAGGCCAAAAAAAAAGGAAGATCTTGGACATGGACTGACTAATTTGGCTGCGACCCCCCGCGTGCAGATTTTGCCTCAGACTCAGACAATCGAAAACAACCAAAGACTGACCGAACCCACGGCAATTGGCATCCATACATACTCATAGGTAGCTTCTCGCCGGCCTTGGCCGAGCTGGTCAAGCAATGTCGGGCCCGCAGCCACGCAGCCAAGCAAAGAAGGACAGCGAATTCTTCTGTTTGATTTGCCCCAAGAGGTGGGGATGCATTATTATTCGATGTGGTGTACAGTGAATCGTCCATCTCGTTTCCTTCTCTTCAGCTTGGCCGGACCACCACATCACACCACCAGGGCGTCACCAAGTGGATTTTGAGCAAACGCTAAGACTGCCCGCGCTTCAGTGTGGACAAGGAAACGCTGATCCAAAAAAGCGCAGCAGCAGCGAAAAGCTTGGAAACCCAGGGGCTACGTTTGTGGTTGTTTTTTTGTTCTCTTGCCCTTGTGTGTTCTAGCACGTTTCGGAAAACCTGGAATTAAGCTTCGGAACTATTTTATCGACAATGGTGATACAAGGGCTAGCAGTGGGAGGCTTGGCACGTTTGTTACCAGGTTCTCGGGCGTGCTGTACACTTTCAGCTACCTATGGGTACCTGCGTAAGACCTTATCATGCCTTTTTTGGGGGGACAAATATGTTGCTGGTCCCGTCGGTAGGAACAAAGAAGCCCTCAAAGTAGAGGGGTGAGAAAGTACTATCATGTGCGCAAGATATGCGGCTCGGACACAATCGCATGCCGATGAGAGATACGATGTGGTTTGCCATTACAAATGAACATGGTATGGTGGCCAAATCTCCTACTTGGTGTCGTTCATTGACCGTACTGTTGTTGTACAGCCCGGTCATTTGTGGTTTGTATGGGTATTTGACAAGCAGTCAGCCTTTTTCATGCATATTCCATGGTGTCAAGACTGGGGAGTTGGCCTCCTTCGGACTAAAAAAGTACAATGTGTCCAAGGTGCATGATGCGCCTCCACGCGGAGCACGTCGCACGTTGACAAGACCAGTCTAGTGCTGGGTACGCCTTTTTTCCAGCTTCTCGTCAATGCGGAGGCTTTTCCCACCATGTCGTGTCTGGCTGGTTGTTGATGATGAACTAGTTTGACCGATGAGACAAGAGGCGTCATCTGAGGAAAGAAAGCGCTGTTTTGAAGCATTTGCGCCATCTGCATCCAACGTCTGGCACGACAAGTTTCCGACCTTCGCACCAAGGCATTGTGGTTGTACAAAAACACTTTGCCGATCCAAGCTGTCTGCTGACCAGGAACATGTTGGAATGGCCACCTCGCTAAAATCTACAACAAAGCAGGTTCGGCGCCTTTCTGATCCGGGGTATCCGTACTGGAATGTCGATATGCCATTGACCGGCAGCTGGCACCCGAGCCAAGCCTATTATGACAAGACGCCCGAGCCTGTGTGCCACATTGGGCTAAACGAGAGAAATGGTTTGAAGTTTGCATCCGTGAGTCTACGGACCTAACTAGTTATTGTTATGGTAAACAACTGGGTCGTGATTGTTGTGCGTCTCAATCTCAGCCATCTGGTTATCAAAGAAAAACCTGTAGTTATGGAGTAATGAAGCAACCTTTGTCAAGTGATTTCGGCAAAGTTTTTGGCATCTTTCTGAACAAGCAGACGGGCAATTGGTGCCGATGAGCAAGCCACTTGCTGCGTCGCCTAGGGCAGCATGACGTCGGCTCCCTGCATGCGAGTCAATTTAGCTGATGCATGTTTGACTTGAAGCCTCGACTTGACCGCGAGACAGCATGGCGCGATACTGCTGGCCGAGGTCGCGGTGAAGATGACTAGTTAGCACGATGGGGACGGGATGAGGTCTCAATCTGAAGCTGACGAACCCCCGGGACTTGCTTGTTCATGCTGCAAGTGACGTGGCAAACGACCTTGACTCTTTGGGGTGGGCAACCCTTTTTTACTCGGCGTCGCATCATGGACTCGTTCAATGCTTTGATATTGACATGCTTGGTTGTGTTATAGGCGCTCAGTGCGCAGCTGTAACTAGTCTTGTTGTCTATCTTGGTAGCGTTGGTGCGAAGCTGATGCATGTCTCAGACTAACCAAAAAAATACCCCAAAAAACACAAAGAAAAACAAAAAGAAATACACAAGTACAAGAATGTACACAGATCCGATTTGAGGTTGTACGACGCGTGCTCTATTTATTGATTCCCAAACCAGTCACACAATGGGGGAGGTTGTGACAACAAACGCGCGGGGAAAACAATAGAGCCTAATAATGGCTGCCCAGTAATAAAGTTGAGGCTCTGTGTTTTTTGGCCTTTGTTTTGGGTTCTTGGCCCGCAGGCTTTGCAATTTTAAAATGTTTTTTTTTCTTTCTTTCCAGGTCATGCATACATGATGGGGACAGTGTTTGTTGTAACTAATAAGAATGCGCTGAGCCCAGCCTAAAAGCCTGTGTGTGCACTTGCAGCAGCGGCGCCAGCGAATTAGCGAAGCGCAGTGGGAGGCGGAGGACCCTTTTGTGGTACATGGCAATTTGCGAGAAGAAAGGGGCATTGGAAAGCTGCATGTGGGAAAAGAAGGGACGAAAAAAAAAAGAAAGAAATGAAGGGGACCCGATGGAGCGGTCAAACCTTGAACAGCTGCATGGGCTTGCATCTGTGCAAAGGCAGTTATCGTACAGAGTGTAACTAGAGGTAGATATCTGGATATGCCGCCAGTATAGTACATACTACTTACGAATACGTCATATTCCCAAGTAACTTATGTGACTATGCATGTATGGGTTGGTGCGGAATGGCCTCGGAAGGATCTCGCATAGAATGACTGACATACTGGTATGCATCATGATTTATTTCGTACATGCAAACAACATTGGCTCATTGGGCAAAAGATGGACAGCGCCATGCATGAGAACAGCATCGGGCCAATGTGCACAGTGAGCACAGAAGACCAGGATCCGCCTGCGGTGCAGGGCCAGCCAACCATTTGGCGCCGCTGGGACAGAGTTTCTTTGTTGGCGGCTAGAATCCACACGGGATATTGGAGTTGGGTACAGAAAACAAGGGGAAATGAACAACTACTAGTTAGGGAAACAAAAGGAGAAGAGACGGAGATGGGGCGAGGCGTCATGGACAGCGAGAATCTCGAGCAGTGAGTGGTGCCACGGAGTCGTGCAAAAAGCGGCATTTTATTATTAACTACGGATTAGTTGCAGGCTATTTGCGGCGCCATCAGCGCTATTATATGATATCGCCATATACGGAAACGTTTTTCGTTGGCGGCCGCGCCTAACTACTGGGCGGGCCCTTGGGCTGTTGCATGGCAGGGTAGATGGATCATTGACTGCGGTAGGTAGTAACTATTAGTTAGTTAGATCGATCTGTTGCGAAAGCGAGAAAGAATGGCGTTGAGTGTTGAGTATTTTTGAAGCAAAAGAAGCTGGTCGTTGAAGCGTATAGGAAAAGGGATTTCGACGGTATGAAGCTAACGTAAAGGGTCAAGTTGAACTAAACTAGAATAACTAGTTACAAAAAAATGAGAGCAAAATATGGAATTCGCCATCTGCAAGTCAGCACATGCAGTTCATTTTATGCGAACAACTAGTTAATAATAGTATTCCTCTGATTCCTGTTCCAGCTCTAACTATCCTCGAGCCAGTGACGAAGCCGGAACAGCCCAAGACGAAGAAAAAGGCTGACTGCATAGTGGAGAGTGTACACACACAAAACCCACACAGCTGGGAATACATCATGAATAATAAATACAAGTATAAAATAATACTTGCTCAAAGAAAAAAATGGATAAATCGTGGCCGATGGGGCTCTGCAAGGGGAAAATGATCAGCCTTTCTGGCCAAGCAAGGCAGACGTACATAAAGAGGCGGCCACTTAGACGACAGGATGGATAAAAGGGAACATAAAAAAGGTACGACAATGATGTTGATGAGAATTGTTTTCCTGCAGGTTGGTGGCGAGACTCGGATTACGAAGAACGGACGAGTTGCGAAGAGGCTGTGTGTGCATTCGTTCACATGCATTGTCACAGCGCATCGGCGGGGGGGATTTTTGTCTCAAACGATGCCAACAGCTTTTTTTCTAACGAATATAATGAGGATATCATGGCGCCTTTTGCTGGGTTCTGTGTACATGGGCCAGTTTTGCGGAAATGAGGCGCGCAAGGGGCAGAAGGACGGACAATTGCCCGTTTGCATGCATCCCGACACCATGTTGGGGGGAAATAGAGGGCATGTTTGTCCAATTATCAGAAATGGGGTGTTGGAAAGTGGAAGATGGGACACGTTGTACGGCGCGAGGTCAGAAGGTGCACGCCGTCGATGGTGGCGGCTGTTAGTAACTGGTGCTGATTGGGAGATGATCTTGGATCATTTGTGGTTCATTTACCTTGATATCTTGAGAATGCTTCTTTGTCAACTATCAGTTATGAATTTTTACAATAATGTTAGGATGGAGAATAATGCTTGCGCTTCCGTCGGCCCCAGTGCTTGATTGCTCGCCGGTTTATTATTAGCTCGGTCCTTGTTGGCTCTGGCTCCCCAGTCACATGCCCATGACGGTTCTGCATGCATCACCAACATGCTTAATTTTGTAGTGCACCTTTTTACTCTTTGGCTAGTCTCGAGGATGACTGTCTGCCCAATTGATGGTTCTCGATAGAGATGACCGGCGGTATATCACATATGCTCTCGATTGGTCTCTTATCTCGTAACCAGGTACATACGAACGCAGCAGGGAAGCTGGCAAAGGCGGCCGGGCTCCCAAACACAGCGCTGTCCGAGGCTGTGGGACCGCCCGGGGACCCCGCCGCGCCAGGCGTCGGCTCCCCTGCAAGCTTCGCGATACTGGTACCGGCAAAATTTAGGTAGGTTAGTACTAAGGTACCTGGTATCCAACGTCGGTCTTGTAACAAGCCCCTACAACGCACCGTCGCAACTGCAGTTTTTCTCATCATTTCAGTATTAGTACAAGTGCTTTGGCCGCAAATAAGGGCTTTTGCAGTGTCAGAAATCGCATCAGCCCGGTCCCGTTTGGAGCACACCGTCTACCGACCTGGTATCCGTAGACTGTTCCAACTGACCACTGACCACTGACCACTACCTCTAACACTGACCTGGCTGGAGGTACCTGCTGTAGGTCTTAGTAGGTCTGTTTACAGCTGTCAACGCTAATCTCGTCTGACCCCATCGGCTGCTAGTGCTGCCAGTTAGGCTGGCCGGCCCATTGACTCGACCTTTCCTTTCTCTGCACACCAAAACACATCAACACACCAAAGCCCTCTCCTCCCTCCATTGCCAACCTTCCCAGGCACAACAAAAAAAACAACATCAACGCCCATTCCCGTCCGCCTCCCACTTCGCCCACCGCTGCTGTCTCAATCACAAAACGGCCCTCGCCTGGCGGACAATGCATCGCGTATCCCATCCATAGCCTTGTCTCGACACATTGTCCATCTTAGAATGCTCGTCCTGCATCTCTCCTGCTGAGCAGCCAGGAGCCAGCCATCATGCAGACGGTTCCTAGTGTAAGTTTGAAGTTTGTCAACGCCTCATTGACGACGCTGCCCCGATCCCTCACCGGCCCATTTTGGTCTTCTCTCTCGCTCTCTCTCTCACTCTCTCTATCCCCCGTCTCTTGCTCTTGCTCTTGCTCTCCTTCTCCTTCTCCATCAACCTCAACCCCCCGCCCTCTCGAATACCCTCCCCGTATTCCTTCATGCCAAACCCGTTGCATTTCATCTCAACTGCATACCTGAGCCTCGCCACCCCCCGCCGAGCCTGTCGTTGACGCTCTTCCCACGTTTTCTCTCCACCGCTCTGGTGCCCTTGTTTTCCTAGTCTCGCTGACCTGAACCTCGCCGTCTAGCTCGTTGGCACCGGCACCGCCATCGCTGCTGCTGCTAGTGGCCTGGTCTTTGGCCATCTTGCCGACTCCGACCGACCTGCTGGCCGCCGTGTTCTGCACAAACGGAATGCTTCTCTCGAACCTTCCCCAACTCGGCATGATCGCTTGACCACGTCCTCCGTGCCTCGTCCTGCTACGAGCCAGCCACTCGAACCAATCGCCATGGCCTCGGATGACTTGAACCACTTGACTCTCCCTCGACCTGCGTCACGCTCCCGTCCCCCGTTGTCACGCTACCAACGGCCTCAATCCTCACAGTTTCCCCAACGCCACCCCTCTACGACGAACAATACTACACTAGGAAACGACGCCCAAGCGGCCACGCTCACCCAGGTCGACAGCCGCCGAAACTCCCTCTCCTCCAACGGCTCATGGATGCGCAGGTTTTCCTTTCGTGCCCCTTCGCAGCACGGCTCCAGTCCTCGCTCTAGTATGGTTCTCGACAGGCAGTCCGTTGCGCTATCGCACACATCGACCGCGCCGATTCTACGTCCCAAGACGGCTGCCCCTAATTTGCCGCCCAACAAGCTCGTCAAGCGATGTCCCTCGACGCACCAGGATGATTTCCACACAGTGTCTCGTTCCCGATCAAAGGGGCACTTGCCGACCCTCCGTCGACCGGCCACGAGCCACCAGCGTACCGCTACGCTCGAGCAGCTACGTCTGAATGCGCAGGAAAATCAGGGACCCCTCCTGTCTGGAGAGTCCAAATATTCGTTTGAGCAGCGCCCAAGCATCGAGTCTGCCTGCACGGGGTCTAACACGACGGCTAGCCAAGCCTTATCCGAGGACACGCACTGGTCGTCATTTTTCCACTCGAGAAGAACCAACCTGGCGGTAGACGGACGACCCAGTACTGGCACCCCTCGTTCGAGAGCTAACACGGTGCGACGCATATCTGCAAAGGCGATTTCGGCGTGCCACAATACCGTGCATCTGGTGAAGCCCAAAATGCTATCTCCGGCATCTCTTCCGTCGCTACGCCGCGGACCCTCGATATACCTAGCAGAGGCAGCGGAGATCGTGCCTGAACAGGCCGAGCAGGAAGAGCAGGAGGAGCAGAAACAGCAACGACGAGCGGCTATGCAGCTGTCAGGCACAATGCCGACCCAGACGGGGAGTGGCCCGGATGATATAAGTGAACGCCCATCGTCGTCGATGCGCATGAGAAGATCACTGTCGACGTCGTTTGCAACAGTGACTGGTCATCTGGTGTCCAAAACGTCTGGCAGCATCAGGCGTCCGAAACGGGGCGAGCGGCAGCCTGTCTCTGGCATAGATAGTGTGGGCAGGCGTCATGCGTCAGCGCCCATTAGCGGCTCTTTGGGGGTGCTAGCGGGTGTGGGGCATGACACGACGAGCCTGGAACCACCAATGAGTTCGCTAAAACGAGCTTCGCCAGCGACGCTACCACGGATGGCTTCTGCTTTAGCTGCCATTGATGCGCCTCTGAAGCCTCTTCAGGCCCAGCAATCCCAGCCGCCCCAGAAGGCTCAGCGCTTGTTGTTCCAGCAGCCCCAGCAGCACCCACAGCGCCGTCAGCACTCAAATTCTCGACGCAGCAGCCCCCAGCATCCTCTTTACGGCGCCTCGTCCTCCGCTGTTCTGGCCACCACCACCACTGCTTCTATCGCTGCTGCTGGTGGTGGTGCTGCTACTGCTACTGCTACTGCCGCGCCGCCCACCACACCATCTTCCACCACCACTTCGCCGTTTCACGCTTCTCAGAGCAGAAATCTCTCCTCCCCGCTGACGCCCCCGCCCCAGCGCGCTCGGAATTTTCAAATCGACAATTCTTTGCCTCGCCCTCTTTCTCCCGCGCCTGCCTTCGGCCCTGCTGGCGGGGTAGCTGTTGTTGCGACTACCGTCAATTCTGTCCGGCCGCTTCAGCCCTCGACCAGCTCCACGGCCAGCTCGGCAATGCCCACCTCCCAGCAGAGGTCCCCCTACTATGAAGCCTCGCCCCAGATGGAAGCATTCGACAGCGACGGCAGAGGATTTACGTCTGGCGACGACGATGACACGGATTTCAAGAGCGACACCCTCTACGACTCTCTCCGCACCGTCGCCTCTAGCCGCGCCAGAGCCGTCGACACACCTCTGGAGTCAGTCTACGATGAGTCGCCTCCCAGCACCGCCAGCAACGGCAAGTCGCGACGACTCTCCATCCACGCAATGCTCGACAAGGCCTGGGACGGTGACGATAGAATCACGGAAGAGGACGAAGCGTCCCAGACCCCAGTCCGTGCACCCTCCACCACCAAAGTAAAACCATCTACCCGCCATGACACCCGCCACGGCCCCTCCACCGAAGACTTGCGCCTCGCCGAGAACCCTATTCACAGCTCATTCCCCTCTAGAGATTTTGCAAGAATGTCGCTTGAAGACGATTTCGACGACGACTGGGCCCGCTACGAGGACGAAGCCGACTCTCACATTAGCCCCCTGTCTGCCCCCTCCAAGAGCTCCCTCAATGCCAAGGGCATGAATCCCAATGTTCGCCTCGCTCTCGCCAACATGACCAATGGAAGTGACACCGACGAGAACCCACACGCCACCGAACGCCCCCTCAGCAATATTTTCGACTGGAGTGAACCTTCGACCCAAGACAAGAACGATGCTGAGCGACGTTCTGGCCGCCCCCAGACTGCCTCCGGAAAGCAGGCGGCAGATCCTAGAGGCGGCCGTTCTGCCAATCGACGTGGACCTGCGCCTGCCCATGTCAGGAGCCAAAGCGTGCCGGTGGTCCATGATGTTGCCGACGAGAGCAAGTCCACCGCCGCCAAGTATGGAACATGGGGTCTCAGCACCAAGACTGTTAGCGAGGATTGGGACGAGGACTTTGAATTCGGTTCCGTGGCTGGCAATGACGGGCGCGAAGATGACTCCATGTTTGCCGTCCCTGAATCTATTCGAGCCAGCCAGCCCAGTGTCAAGGCGCATTCGGGCCAAATCAGAGAGCTGTCTCTTCTTGTCAACGACCTCAAGAGACTCTGTCGTCATGGCCGGGAAATGGGTCTTCTCGAAGGCTCGCAGAAGGCCTTTTGGAAAGAAGCAGAAGGTGTTATTGCTCTTGCTTCTCCTGACGATGAGACCATGGACGATGACGTTGAATCGAATCCCTCTGTAGATCTCGACGCGTTTGATGGCAAGGCCAAGCAAACAGATCTACGGCCCAGGACACCTCCGACTGACCCGCAATACTATCTGGCATCTCCTAAGCTCGATTCCTCCATTTCAAAGACTGCCGTAATGCGCGAGCGTCATTCGCCCCGACGCCGATCCGTCTTTTCTCCCGACGATGACATCTTTGGCGGAGCCGAAAGCTCAGCCGATAAGAAAGCGAGCCCGTCGCCAAAGAAAACAAGCCAGAAGGCACCGAAGACGCCCGAACGCCTCGCCGACGTTAATGGCGTGGTGCGAACCGTCATGGAGGCCATGCAGCACCGCAGCGATTCGGACGCTATTCCCGATACTGGAAAACCTAGTAGAAAGGTCCAGTTTGACACAAATAGCCTAAGGGCGCTGGTCAAAAGATCTGGCGAGCTCCGTGACACCCTTTCGGATATTATCCGCAGGACAGACCAGCTCATCCAGAGCCCAGCGCGACCTCTACGACACGACCGAGACCGCGGTCCTGATTCGAGCCCAGCATTTACTCGCGTCTTTGACGACCCTGGCTCCAGCCCTCCCCGACGCGTTACGAGGAGCCGGGCCAACACCTCTCTTAAACAAACCACTTCACCAGACAGCTCGCCACCCCCGCAATTAGAACGACGATTTCCGTTGATGACGGTACGATAATGGCGGTACAACTGCATATTCATGTTGGAACCTGCCTCACGTTGATGACGCGTGGAAATGGGCAGTGTATAAAGATTTAATGTTTTTTTGTTATCTTTGCATAGCGATGGCTTTGGGCTTTGGTGTATTACTTTTTAACAATGTTTTTTTGTTCTCTTTTTTCTCACGAAAAAAAAAACCCCTTACTACTCTTTAGAATCATGTTTTCCCTCCCTCTGACACCGTGGGGTATACGTCAACGGCGTTGCTCGTGTATTTCTTTTTCTTTGGTCGAGTACTACCACCTGTGAATAGGGCTTTTTGCTACGCCCATCATGGCAGGGGTTGGGGTTTGCTTGCTTGATTGCTTTTTGCATGGACACGCAGTTTTTTTTTGCTTTTATTGTGCCCCAGTGAACAAGCATAAAAAAAGTCCGATGAGAACTTTGTTTCAGAATCTTTGGCTTAGGTTGAGACGGGTGGTATTAGAAGGGGGGGATCAACAAAATGGGAGCGAAACGGTGCTCCGTGCAAGGAAGACGACGTGGATTTATGTTATTCTGTTGTGCGTTTGCCGCGCGCGCGCGTGTAGAAAAGTTTGCTTTTGTTACATCTCATTGTTGCATTTGATATCTTTGCCATGTCCCAATTTCCCTTGATTTACGCTCTGATTCTTGCATCCCCCCCCGTGCGTTGGGGGTTTCTTGTTGTGTCTTTGCTGCCTTGACGAGTTGGACGGTGTTCTTGTCCCATTGAACAAGTTCTTGGCTAGGGGCAAGTACAGTATAAATCCTCTTTGGTGCAAAGAGTGTGTGCGTGTGTATCACAATGGACTATGGCGGCCCCCTTCCTCTCGTCAACGACGAATTATTTGGAAAGGGGGGCGGGTTGAAACATGAACGGTGTCTCGCCTCGTCTGTGTGACCCCAGAACCGAAACCCGAGGAACACTTTTTTCCTTCTTCTTTCTTTTTCGGAAAAAAAAAAGAAAAGAAAAAAGGGAAAGACGGGTACAAAGTCAATGACCGCAATGACGTTATCGCGTTGATTACTATGGCAACACGGCGGCGGGCATAGGAATTGTTCGTCACGGCCCGTCATCTACAACGCATTAGTTTCCAACCCACAAATTGGATGTTTTGACGGGCCCCGTGTACGAATGGACGTATAGACCGTAGCCAGGATTCTCCGTCTGCGTGGGAGAAAAAATACGCGAACACGAGAGAGAGAGAGGTAGAGTATTGTAGAATGCATGTATTTGTGCTTCTTGTTTACAACTATATTCTCATCCCAAGATGGGAGATTCGCTTGCTATGAAACTCAAAAAAAAAATACACGACGATGATCAACGTCGACATGATTACAAAATGCCCTGAAACCACCAAAAGGTTGATGACAAAAAAAAAACGCCAGCGCCCGCATTATGCTTGGTGAGCTAATATGTTGGTTGCTTACATGGCCATGTATGCTTTGCTTCCCAATCCTGCACCTGATATGGATATTCCCAAAATAAGTAGACAAAGATAAGTATGTATTTGAAAAGCAATGACGAGTTAGCGACGGCGGGGCTTGGGCGCTCCGTTAATGATGCTATGCAAGTAGCCCGTCGCGGCAGGGTGCACATTGTCCGAAGTGACGTGAAGCACGTCGACGGCAAAGACGGGATGCAGGCGACTGACGTCAAAATAGAGCTCCTCCTTCTCCTCGGGCTGCTGCGGCTGCGACTCTTCCTCAGGGACGGCCTCGGGGACCACGAGCTTGGCCTGCATGACGTCGCGAAAGGCGGCGTCGAGCTCGTCCTGCGCGGCCTGCTTCGAGGCCGTCTTGCGGTGCGCCGGCAGCTTGGCAGCAGCGACAGAGCTAGCGGCCGTCGCCTCGGAGCGCAGCGAGACCGAGTCAAAGGCCGAAGCAGAGTCCTGGTCCGAGAGGGTGGACGCGCCGCTGTCAGGCGAGACGGGACGCATCGTGGTGGAGAGCGCCAGCCAGTCGGGCACCTGGCGCATGGGCGTCTGGGTCGTCGTCGACCACAGCGAGGCGGAGCGTAGCACTGCCAGCGGCCGGCGGTCGATGCGCAGCTTGCGGGCCGTGTGAAGGGCGGCAGGGAGCTGCTCGGTCGTCTTGTATCGCCGGCGGACGTGCGAGGCGCTCCAGAGGCCCTCGGTCTGCTCGGTGGGGGCTGTGGCCGGCTTGCACCAGAGCAGCTGGGATGCTGGCGCTTGTTTGGGGGCGGGAACGGGAGCGGGGGCGACTGCCGCAGGGCTGGGGTTGGTCCAAAGAGCGGTGCTGTGAATGACATCGGACACTGAGGGCCTGGGCTTGGGCCGCGAAGACTGAATCTTCTTGGCTGTGTAACGGCTCCATTCGCGTGCGTCCTGCGGTAGGCCAAGGAGCACGCGGGGTACCGGCGCAGGAGGTGTCCAGAGTCCGTATGACTGGGTAGTAGTCTTGACCGGGGCAACCTTTGGGCTCATGCTGGACTCTGTGGTGGTAGGAGAATTGAGAAAAGGGGTCGAGGGGGTGGTCGAAGCGGGAGTTGAGGGTACGTCCTTGGGAGACCGCCAGAGGCCAGAGGGCGAGCTTTGAGCAACAGCGTCTGCCGTTGTGGGCACGGGAGACCAGAGAGACGAGCTGGTGATGCTGGCGGGCTCCGACTTGCGAGGCGCCGCGCGCCCTGTTTCAGCTTGTTTGCCGAGGTACCGCCTCCACGTCTTCGCATCAGGCTGGGCGAGGCCGGCGCTTCTGGTGACGGTGGTGTACATGGTGTTGATTTTCCAGACGGAGCTGTCGGGGAGTGGTAGAGGTGGGAGTTCCTTGTCCTTGCTTCCGAGAGTTGACTCTTCCAAGACAGGAGTGGGGAGCTGTCGGACGGCGAAGATTGTCGTCTCGTCGGTAGAAATGAATCCGGCGCGCGAAGGTGGCCGGTATTCCTCAGAATCTGGAAAGAGACTGTCGCGAGAGGGAACTTCCTTGGACTGCAACATGTCGGCGATATCCTGCAGGGTGGTCTCGTCAAAGGGCTCGTAGTCTTCGTTGTCAGAGTAGTCTTCGTCACTGTCGACGGCAGGAAGCTCGTCGTCGGAGTAGTGATCAAAGAAGGAGACGGGGTAGACTTGCGAGGGCAAGACAGGTCCTTGGGCAGACAGATATGGCTGGGCTAGAGGAAATCCGTTTAGAGTCACTCCAGGAAGTGGAATCGAAAACGCGGAGAGTTGAGGCTGGAGTGTCGCGATATCTGATGTTTCTCCCCAAGGAAATTGAAAGAATCCAAGAGTGTCGCGCTTGTTGCTGACAGGTTGCGGGCTTTCAGGAATGTCGGGGAGCAGCGTGATCCTTTTACTTCGCCGAGGCGGCTTTTGCGTGACTGGGCGGCGCGGACTTTGGCTTTGCTCCGAAGCTGGAGGTGAAACCAGGCTTTCCCGGGGCAGTGAGTTGGGTGACAGGGAGGACGTAGGCGACAGGATTACTTTATCAATCCTTTGTGGAGCTTGTGTTACCTGCGTGTTCCAAGTCAAAGGAAAAGTGCCTCCAGCTGTTCTGACCAGGCTGTCAGGCTCCTGCGCAACGCTTTGTGCCCGCTGCAAAACTTCAGAGGCTAAAGCGGTAGTATCAGAGTCGATGCTCCAGTGCGATACCGGAAGTGGAGTTTTGTCAACCGGCGCAAACTGGACGGGTGCGGTCCAGGCGCTGAAATTATTATTCCTGGCTGATGCAGAGTCAACTTCTTCGTCTTGTCCGGATTTTTCTTCCCTCTTGTTTGTCTCTGGGGCCGTTCGGTGATTCATAAGTTGGCGGGGGGCAGATATCTCGTTTGTCAGAGTCGTGGGTTCCAGACCGTCTTTATTATTGCGTGACGCTGACTTGCCGAATCTGGCTCGGTTTTCTACTTCGCCTATGGCCTGGACCGAGCCTTGGTCGGTGAAACCAGAGTTGCTCCGACGAGTAAGCTCGCCAGGTGCAGGGTCGGATATCTCGTCAGCCGGGGGGGGTTTGGTGTGGTTTTGCCGGGCGCTAGTAGGGTCCGCACCCCTGCCTATTACTGGTGAACCAAGATCAGGCGACTCCAATGTTGGAGATGGCCGGGGTGAAGTGAGATGCAAATCTCCGCCGCTTGGCAGCAGCAGGGAAGATCTGGTAGATGAGGGCGACCGGTCTGCTAGATTACGACGAATGTCTTGCCAATGTGTTTCTTGAGCACCCATCTCTGCTTCGAGATTTTCCAGAAGCCTGCGACGCTGCTTATCTTGCACGCCGCTTTCTGAGTCAGCCTCATCCAGGTCCTTCAGCTGCTGCTGTATTATGTCGAGTGCATGCTGGGGAGACTCCAGGGGTGGCTCTGGGGTCTCTGCAATCCTGGTCGTCCTGCGAGATCTGCCGAGCACAAGAGGAGTAGGTGCCAGCACACGCCTGGACGAGCTTTCGCTATTTTTGCGATCTGAAAATGTTGGACACTCATCGCCCACGCGACGATGCCATCCGGGTTGCTGTAGAAAAGAGTCTCTTTGTGCATTCGGGCCTGTAGATGAACTCTCTGGCTCTGCGTCTAGAATCAAGGGACCAGTTTCGTTATCGCCGTCGTGCTGTAAAAGTGTACTTGTGCCTGACCGTGCACTGCTTGGCCCCGACACTAGCGCGTTTTGCTCTAATTGTGGCACGGGGTTCGCCATGGAAACGTGTTGCATCTCTTCGGCTGGAAGCACCGGAGAAGACTGTCGCCGGATATTGACATTGTATCCATAAGCAGAATCGGGTTCCAAGCTGGCTCTACTACCGAATTCCGTAGATTCTGACAGTGTCGTTTTGGGGTCTATGCTTGCAACATTGGATGGGGCCGGGTCAGCGAAAATGCTAGCCCGGGCACTATTAGAGTCATCAATGCTGCCTGGAGTCTCTGCCTCCTTGCTTGCACTGTCAGAAGTTTTCCGATACTTTGCCAGTGCTAAAACGGCACCGGCACTTTTGGGCGGCTCTGGGAAAGAAGGAATACGCGAGATGGTATCCCCTTCCGACTCCATGCTTTCTCTCTGCAACTCGACAGAGCCGCCTGACCGCGACAGGCGATGCCGATACACGCCAGGTGAGAGTTTGATAGTAAATTCGGCCTTGTAGATGGACCGCTTGCGAGGGATCGGCCTTGGGCGATGGACGATCGAGTCTGCAGAAGGAGAAGAGTTGGCCAAGGCGAGAGCAAATATTTGGCGTGAAACGGGCTCTCCAGATCTGTCGAAATCCAACGTGTGGGAAAACATAAGGGTTTTGCCACGCTCTCTTGTCCCATTCGTGAATTCATTGGCCGGCTGTGCCCTTGGATTCAGAGGAATTCCATTGGCTGTCCTCATTTGCACGGGAGTTTTGGCGGGCACGGGTTCTTGCCCGTCGTCGGCATTACGCGATTTTGGGCGTTGCCTAGAAGGCCGAATATCCCTCCTTACAGACCCAGGACCACTGCGAGTGAGGATAGATGCACGAGCGGCAGCGGCAGCTGGGCTTTCGTAGGATGGCGCGGTAGTAGGTCGCGGAGTAGGAAATGGCATCGGCAGTGGCTCGACCCTAGGGACAAGCGGGCTTTCGGGCGAACCGGACTTTGGCCAGGTGGTATTTTCTTGCCGTAGGGGCGTCGGAATCGCAGGAGGCGTGCTCGGATCGATGAATATGCCAGAATTACCGCGAAGGACGGAACTTGCAGATCCATTCTTTCTCAGTGGGCTTTGGGGCGGTATGGCGGGCGCTCCTGCGTCTGACCGATTCAACGCCTGATTTAAAGGTCTCCTCGGAGATCGCGCTGGTGGTGATAGAAGCGTTTCGGATATGTTGAGTGTCGTGCGTGGAGATCGGCGACGAAACTCGTCTACGGAAGGTGAGATCTGTGTAGCTGTTGTCGCAGCCTCGGGAGATAGCAAGGAGCGCTCGGATGACATGGCTGGTACATTATTAGCAGAGGCAACTTCCTTCCGTTTAAAGCTGGATCGCTGAGGATTCAGTGTCGGAGTCTGGTTCCGGCCGACTCCGTCAACTGTCATAGCTCTAGAGGCAGCTCTTCTTTCCTGGTCGTTTTTTGCAGCCATGGCCAGTTCTACGGTCGGGATCCTGTCCAGGATCTTGATAGCGCTGCTTTCTCGAATGACAGGGTTGGAAATTGCTAATTTGCCGTTGGATCGCTTCTTTGGAGGGTTCTGGAGCACAATCGGATCTGTGGTCTCGCGGACAGGTGGAAATAGCTGCCCTTGAACGGGAACGCCACCGACCCCTCGTTGCGTTTGGCCGGGAGCCGGCCGATTAATGATTGGTAAGGCCGTGTCAATTCCTCGGGAGCCTGGTTTGGGCATTGGAGCAGGCCTGGAGCCAGGTCTCTGTACTTGAGCAATGTGAAGCCGCTGGCTACCTGCACCCCAAGGTCTTTCAAAGATTTCTGGAGACGAATCGCTGTCGCGGCTTCTAGAAGGTCGACTAGGCAGAGCTTTGGACGTGTCGGCGCTTGATGGAGGCTGGAGGTCGGATTGCGTATAGAGTACGTCTCTATTGAATAGTACAACGAGGCCTGGTAGGGATTAGAACTACGCATCTGAGCCGCCTTACACTTCACAAACCTAGTAGAAGAAGAAGGCCAATCGATGGAACAACGGTTCGAGTGACGAAAGGAAACATTTCAAGGCCGAATATCAGCGGGATACTTGTCTTGATGGATGTTAGCTTTAGCGAGAGAGGTGGAAGTAGCAGGCTTACAGCTAACCACGCCGCAAAGCCGGAGGTCAAGAAGGTAATAATCTTGGCTGGCGCAAAGCCGGTATTGTTTGCACTTGGTGGTGGTATCGATGCTCTAGTCATCCAAATAACCACAAATAGTATGCAGACTATCAGTGCGTCGGTCACGAGCGTCGCAATGCCGAGGGGAACCAATATATTCTTGGCGATGCAGACGGGGTAGGCTTGCGGACGCTGGACAGCGACCAAAACACCACCCATGACGAAGCGGACAAATATTAGAACCTGCAGGATAAAAAGGGCGGTGGAGCGCTTCTTGAGCTTGATTCGCCAGAGTAGAAACTGCTCAAAGGCGAGACGAGCGAGCTGATCGAAGGCGGCGGCAATGGCCACGAGGATTTGACAGGCGGGATTCGCATCGCCGCTGGTTAAGGTGGCGGCGAAATCGATGATGCTCCAGAACGCTGCAGAGAGAAGAAATGTTACGAGGACCAGCCTCAGCCCATTTGAAAGGGGCGTATTGTCTCTGAGGCGGCGGCTGCCAAAGGTGAAGAACCATGCGGCGCCGGAAGACGCCAAAGCGACGAAGCCACTGGACGGTATTAGCTATTGGGATCTCGGCCGGTGAGAGATGTACAACTGACAATGCAAAGGTAGCAATGGAGGCTTGTGTGCCGCCAGGGACAGCCATGGCTACCTTGCCATGCGAGCAAGCACACTGGAGGGTGGGCGAGGATGTAGAAGAGAGTACGGTAGCGATATTAGAACGGGTATCAGGTAGAAGGGAAAATTAGAATACGGAAATAAGAGAGCACCCGATAGAACGCCATTATGAATCTTGGATCTCAGTGATTCATGGTGAATGGCTCTGGCGCATGGCGGCTGAATGGTTGAAAGAGGAAGGAAGCTGATCCCAGAACAGGAACAAGGCGACCGGTGACCAGGGACGGCGAGAAACAAGGTGGATATCGGACAGATTTGGCAAAGGCCTCACAAGGACAAGCGCCAAGAAGAATCATTCCATACGGCAGCGTGAGTGCCAAACAGGAAGCCGTACAACCCAGGCTGGATTGGGTGACCCAGGGCGGGCTCGTCTCAAGCAGTGTCGCATGTCAAAGGCGACGGATGCCCCACGCACCAGGAGAGGGCAACAGTCGTGTAGCGTTTCATGTAAGAATCTGCGACGCCTGGTCACTGGTCACTGAATAAAAGTGCACCGCACCATCGGGGGGGCCCACGGAAGAATAGAGTGTTGCTGAGGATAATAGTCGGTGGGCTCGGTGAAATGCCTTGTGGTGGGCAGTCTAATGCCAACAGGTCGCTGCATAGTCATGGCGCACGCGTGCTTGTTGCTGGGAGCTGTGGTAGTTGGTTGTCGGTCACTCCGCAGAAGAAAGACAGCGGAAGCTCGTCGCTTTGTTCTTTTTATTTTTTTCCTTGCCACTCGTGTTACCGGCAATCGCCCGGCTAGAAAAAGAGAAACACCCGTGGACAGGTCTGAGTCGGAACAGAGGGGAGTTGTTTTGAAAAGTGTCGTCAGTGGACCTGGGGGGATCTCAGGTCTGATGCCGGCGCGGTGGGAGCTTCTGAGGCAGAGAGGCAGGCCCCTTGGTCCTGGGAGCGGGCGGTCGCCGATGTAGGCATTGCAACAGATACATGTGCGTGCCTGGAGTGGATTGATGGGGATTGTGATGGAAGTCTGAAGTTTGGATTATTGGGAGAAGAAGAAGAAGAAGAGGAAGAAGAAGACTGGCAGCTGGCAGGATGCAAACATGCAAACGCCTGTCGGGCAGTCAGTGTGCAGGGCTCTAGATACCTACTTTATTAGTACGTACCTAGTAGTAATACTAGGTACCAGGTAGACACTGGGTGGACGCTGGCATGTGCAGGCGGTGACCCGAGCCGCTTTATTTTCGTCGTCTTACTACAACATTGCTGCTTGGCTCTGCATGCTGCAGCAGTAACTACCTGCCTAGGTGGTTAGCCCGATGGACGGCTGCGTTATTTGCCATGTTAGCCTCGGTATCAGCAATTTCCCAATTTCCTCCTCTTTTTGTCAAAGAGACAAAAATCAGAGGTCAAACGAGCAACATGCTAAAGGACGACGCTTCTGCCGCGCCATTGTTCTGCCAGCGTCGGCTCCCCGCCCGCCCGACAAGACGGCCACAAGTCACAAGTGACCACCAGGAAATAGAATAGCCAGTTGCGTGACCCATCGGTTCCGAAACGGGCCGTTCAACAAGGGCTGAAGGAATCGCAGATTTCCGTGTCATGTTCTCGATGCACGCATTTCATCCAATCTTACTTTTCTTCAATGCAGAAAAAAAAGTAGGGCCCTTGGCGGACATGCCCATTAGTTAGAGTTGGCCAGGCCATCATGCAGACAGCGACAAGCAGCTCATCCTTGCCAGCGACAAAGACGGGACGAGCACGCCCTTCTTATGTATGGCACGTCGGATGGAACAAAGTTGGCCAGCATGAACTGGGATGCTAGGCCGCACGGCGCCGAGTCATTGTTCTAGAATGAGTGTGTATGTGTGTGTGTGTGCCTTGTGCATTGCCCAGGCACCTTTGCCGCGTCTGTCCAACCACGGCCCAGAAGCGCCCTTGATGGGGGCGGTGACAGACGGAGCATTGTATGTATGCCGTCCAAGCAGCACACACAATACCCTGGCTCTTATGCAACACGTAGCCTTACAGCAAGGTGGGAGGGTTCTCTGTGGAAACGCATTTCTGTTGCCATATTGAATGCTCATGAAAAAGGTTGCCTCCCGCTCTGGACTCCGAACCGAGCTGCTTGATTTCTCCTGTTTGGTTGATTCCATTGAGAACCCAATCACCCAACGTGAAGTGAAAAAAGACTTTGGCATTCTTGGAGCAGCCGCCTACGTTGGTTGGGTGGACAAGTCGTAGCCGCCGCCGCCGCCGCCACGGCCTGTGCCGACGCAGTACCGAGTACATACACCTACGCTTGGGCGGGTGTTTTGAGACATGGTCCGGTCTACAATAAGACAGGCTCCTCCCGTCTAGCAAGCCGGTCAGTGTATTTGCCACAGCGTACAATAAAAACAAAAAGATTTTGAACTTGTGCCAGCTGTCTGACGGGACGCCGGACGAAGTGTCCAAGTGCTGTGCGCCGCCCAGGTACACCTACCTACCTGTAGGTGTGTGGGAACTTGGGTCGGCTTTGTGCTGGCTGCCACTGACCCGGACTCGATCCTATCCCGCCATTGTCATGTAGAGCAATGGCCAAGAGAGAACACCAGGCCAGGTGTAAGAGCTAGCTCGTTGCAAAAAAAAAATCAAATACCCCTACTGGGCTGGGGCCGCGCCGGGCAGACCCCGCGCCGGAGCCCCGCGGAGTGGCCCCCTCCCCCAGGACCCCGCTACGCCGCGCCGCGCCGGTCCAGCCCCATCCAACCAGCCTTGCTCATTGCGACTCATAACGACTGCAACCTGATAAAGTGTGACGGCATTTCCACCCTTTCAATGGCCGCCCGCATCTGTTGCCATGACATTTACCATTTTGGGAACCTCTGTCCAGTCACGTTCCTCAGGTTGGTAAGCCCACGCCGTGACGAAGCTAGACCGAACAGCTCTGCATCACAGTATTTAAACTAGTGCCCGCCCGCGTAGAGCTGAAAAGAGACAACCACACAACCACCTTGTCCTCTCTTGTCCTTGTCACAATGGGCCGCCACAGTCTTGAATACCCCAAAGATGCCCTCAACAAGGTCAAGCGCCACGGCGAGCGAGGTACCATATCCCCCCCCATCCAAAGACTCTCTGTCCCATCCCCCCAACTAACATGCCACCGCCAGGCGTCTACGCCCTGGAGCAGATCCACGGCCTCGTCAACGCCTCGCACCTAATCCACCTATCCATGGCCGTGCCGGACTCGCCCTTTCCCGTGACGCTGCCCATGATCGGGCAGATGGGGTCCTTTGCGCGGCCGTCAGCCTCGCTCGGGGACCCGCTCGACCTCTACCTGCACGGCTGGGTGTCCGGGCGCATGTTCCACCTGGGGTCGTCGCTGCCCGTGTGCGTGTCCGTCGCGCACCTCGACGGCCTCGTGCTCTCCCTGTCCGCCTTCAACTCGAGCTACAACTACCGCTCCGCCGTGCTCTTTGGCCACGCCGCGCTCGTCACCGACCCGGACGAGAAGCTGTACGCCCTGCGCCTGATTACCGACTCGGTCGTGCCGGGCCGCTGGGACCGGTCGCGGCTGCCGCCCACCGCCGCCGAGCTACAGAGCACGTCCGTGCTGCGCGTCACCATTGCGTCGGGCAGCTTGAAGGCGAGGGACGGCGAGACGGGCGATGACAAGCACGACTTGGAGAATGAGCTGCTGAGGGAGAGCGTGTGGACCGGCGTGGTGCCCGTGCATCAGGTGTTTGGAGAGCCCGTCCCATCGTCGTATAACAAAGTCGACGAGACGCCGGCGTATATCACAGAGTATGCAACGGAGACGACGAACAATAATAGCGAGTATGCGGTCAATGCTATAAAGGCGCAGAAAAAGTAAATGCTAGTAAATAAATAAAGAGAGGCACCAATCGGCCATGGTTTGGCATGTCGATACAGCACATGCACTATTATATATATATAATTTTATATGCCAGTTTATTACCTCCCGTCTACCACTTCTCCCACACCACGCCCGGCAGCACCGTCCTCATAATCGCCCAGTGGCCCTTGGCGCTCGTCTTGTGCGACTGCGTCACCACATCCGTATCATTCGCCCTGAGCAGCTTCACGTCCCCGGCCCCCTCATCCGCCGCCAAAAAGTCCACCGCGTGCACCTCGTGCGTCGGCTCCAAAAACTCGCGACGCGCAAAGCTGTCGAGCCGGTCCGCGTCCGTCGCCGCGCGAAACGTTAGCGCACCGGGCGTCTTCTTGCAAAAGATGACCATGTTGGTGAAGTCGGTGCGGCCACCGTCGTGCGTCGCCGCGGGGTCGGCGGGAAACTCGCGAAAGATGCGGCACGACGGGAACACGGCGCCAATGGTACGGACAATGGCGCGCGGGCCGGGCAGGGCCAGGTCGCCAGCGTAGTTCTGTGCGGCGTTTGTGTCAGTAACCGCGGGGCGAATGAACAGAAAGTTGCATGGGACAAGAAAAATGAACACTCACAATGGCAATGGCGCCGTGGGGCTTGAGCAGCGTGTGCAGCTGCTGCAGAAACTCGAGCGTAAACAGGTCCACGGGCTCGGCACCGCCGGTGAAGACGTCGTGCACAATGTAGTCGAAGCGCGCGCCGTCGTCGTCAGCCGCCAGCCTGCGCGCGTACCGACCAGCGTCGGCCAGGACCGGCTCGTTATTCTCGCGCAGGGCAAAGTACTTTTTCGCAAATGCGTGCACAACGGGGTCAATTTCGACCACGGTGGTATCGATACCGTGCGCCACCAGGGCCGAGGGCGTGGTTCCGATGCCCAGGCCGCTGAGCGCTTATTAGCATTCTTCCCCTTCTCCCACCAGTACCACCAAGAAAACTTACATGACGAGCGCCTTGGCTTCGCGGTCCGACACCGTCGTCTCCGTCTGCATCAGCCGCACGGCCTCGAGCATGGCAAACACGCCGTAAATGGGCTCGGCCACGAGGCTGCCCGTGACCGCCGGATCCGTGTACTCGCCACCTAGCAGGCTGTGGTCGCAGCGCAGGACGCGGAACCCGCCCTGCAGGCTCTCCAGCACCGACACGTACCCGGTATTCGACTCGCGCCGGTCCAGCAGCAGCCAGTCGTGCGTCTGCAGCGTGGCGTTGAGCCGCGCGTCGGCGTGCGGCGTCGGCGTGTGCGGATTGAACCAGGCCGTGTGAACCAGCGCCGGCGCCGCGAGCAGCAGCCACAGGGACGGCGCGAGAGCGGCCATCATGCCGCCCAGCGACAGCTGCATGCCAACGCGCGTGAGCGCAAACGTCGCCGCCGAGCCCGCGCCGCGGCCCGCAAACCGTAGAACGTACTCCTTCGCGAGGTTCTCGAACGCCACCAGCAGCGCCCAAGAGCCCATCCCGGGCAGCGAGTCCGCCACGAACCGCGGCAGCAACGGCAACGCCACCCCCTCGAGCGCGTCCGCCGCGCACGCCGCCGCCAGGAGCACGACCGGCACCACCGTCAGCGACTCAACCAGCACGGGGCCCCAGCCCGGCCCCAGTACCGCGCTGTGCGGCTCCAGGAAATACTGTACGGCCGGCGCCCACAGCGCCGCGACGGGTAGCAGCCGGCCCGCCGACAGCCCGCGCCGGTCCAGCGCCTGGGCCAGGAAGAGATTGCCCGCCCAGCCGGCAAACGCGGCCGCGGCGAGCACGCGCAGATGGTGGGTGGACGCGGGGATGCTCCCGTAGACGGGCGCCAGCGCCAGCTGGGAGGCGTGCGCGAAGAAGCCGGCGAAGAAAAGGTAAGTGATGGCGTGGCGGACCTGGCGCAGCTGCGCAGTGAGCCGGGCGAACCGCGACCCGTCCGTTTGGGCCTTGCGGGCGAGGGAGCGCAGCTCCGTCTCGTACTGCGCCTTGGAGGCGGCGACGGTCGGCGCGGCCTCGGCTTTACGGCCGGCGGCTGTCTTGCGCGGCATCGGTTCGGGGAGGGGGGTTCTCTCTGGTCGAATGGCAAGGGAAGTTGGACGGGGGAGGGAGCTTCAGGGGAGCTAGTTTGGGTCTGGCGGATGCTAGAAGATGTCAATTGTTGTACAGACAAGGAAGACACACACAAAAAAGATGCAGGAGGTAAGAAAGCTCGTCAAATGTCCAGCATCTGATGGCAAAAGGACAAGTTGCGTGTGTATGTAGCTTGGAAGAAACAGGCCGCTCTGACGTCTGGGCCAGAAAGCATGTTTCATGTGCTTTTGCGAGCCTTCAAGGTGGGGGCCGTGTTTGTCCCTGACAGCTCCCCACAAGCCGTTCCAGTTCGCTGGGGCCGTTTTGGATGACGATGTAAAAGTAAAAAGAAGATCAGGGGAAGGATGACGTGGTATTGTAGATTCGGAGAGTTCTATTTTCCGGTTCCTTTGAACCCTTACATGATGACAATCTGTGCCTAGGTCAAAACGCTTGGACGTTTGGCTGATGTAGCATGTACCAGACAGTCACTGCTGTGCATCACTGCTGAGCATTCCCGCAGATTGCCGTTCAGAAATCAAATGGGTATTTCATAATGCATTACTCGTCATATCCAAGAAAAATCCCGCCGTTGATGCCTCGCGCCCTCGTCTCATTTATATATTGTACTCATCATAATCCTCCTCCTCCTCGCTCCCGCTCTCATCCTCGCTGTCCAGGCTGCGCGGGCTGCTCCGGTCCAGCGTGCTGCCGATATTACTAAAACTACTACCCTGCAGTGAAAATATGCCGCCGCCGCCGCCAAACCCAGAATACGAGTTCGGCAAGGAGCGGCCCGCAAAGTCGAGCGCGGCCCCGGCGCTCGCGCAGCGACTCAGCTCCGGCTTCTCCGGCAGCTGGCGCAGAAGCAGGCCCGTCGAGGTGTCGAGCATGTCGACCGCAAAGGCCGTCAGGTACTGGCCCTGCTGGCCCGGCTTGGCGCAGACGGACAGCGTCCAGCGGTACTCGGCGAGGCGGCGGCGGTACCAGTCGGCCTCCTCGCGGCCGGGGCTCGTGGCCCACAGCAGCGCGCCAAAGGTGCCGACGAGGGCGAAGCTCGTCTTGGCGGTAAAGTACCAGAACGAGTGCAGGTGGTGCGGCGCCAGGCGGTTGACAAAGTCCATGCTGGAGATGAGCCGCGCCTTGGCCGCGCTGCGGCATATATGCTCCAGGTAAGGGTCGACCGTTGTCGGGGACGCGCCGAGCGCGCCGACGATGCGCCGGTGCAGCGAGATCTCGGCCGCAAAGTACGCCAGGTGCAGGTAGCCCACGCTCGAGGGCCGTTGCGGGCCGCGCCCGCCGCCGCGGCCCGCGGAGAGCGACTCGAGGCGCACGCAAGCCGGCAGGTCGGCGTACCATTCCTTGAGCTGGAGCTGGATGGGCTTGGCCTGGGCGAGCACCATGTGTGCGCCCTGGGCGCCGGCGTGCTCGACCTTACGCAGGGCGGCGAGCGTGTAAAATGTGTCGAGGATCTCGGTCACGAGACCGGTGAGCTGGACGAAGCGCATAAAGATAACCTGCCCCGTCTCAGCGTCTTCCTTTTGCGCCGCGTTACCCTCGTCCCAGTCGACGTCGGGAAAGTCGTTAACCGTGAGGCCGCGAACGGCCCAGTTGGCGAGGGTAATGTGCGAGGGCCGGCCGTGGACGAGGGCGCCCCATTTGTCCTGCATGTAAACGCCCCAGGAGAGGCGCTTTCGCATGCCTTTCTCCCACGGCGGAATGTCCCAGCCGGCGCAGTCGAGGTGCAGGCCGAGCTCTTGCGCGACGGCCACGAGCTGCGCCGTTGACGGCCATGGCGCGCTACGGCCGGGGATCTGCGCGAGCAGCAGCGCGGCCTCGACCGTCGACAGCTTGGGGCGGCCCATGGCGGCGGCGAGGCTGCTGCGGACAAGACGCTCCAGCGCGTCCGTGTCGGGCCGCGGCCGGTCGGCCAGCACTGGACTGTGGCTCCACCAGTTAATGGCCAAGAGGTACACGGCGGCGAGTAGCGGCGGCGAGAACTCGCGGTAGTCGCGCTCGTACTTTTCGAGGAAGACGTGCTTCTGTGCAATGGGAAACGCCGGGTGCACGCGCTGGAAGAAGAGGTCAATCAGGGTGCGGCCGTGCGGGGCGACGAGGGCCTCGACGGCCATGACGTCCTGCTGCTGCTGCTCGTGGCCGCGTGTCGTATTATCGGGTACGAGGAGGAAGCTGTGGCCCTCGCTGACCTTGCGCAGCGTGCCGCGCGACGACGTGCTCTCGTTCGCGGGGTCGTAGGCGGACAGGTTGAGCAGCGAGGGCTCGAAATCGGTCGTCTGGCCAATGTACTGGCTGTGGCGGTCGAGCTGCAGGCCGAGCGTGCGGCCGAGGCTGGTAGGACCGCCGACGTTGGCAAAGTCTTGGAGAAGGGTGGCGCTGGTGGCATTGCTGGAGAATCTACTGTTGGCATGTCGCCGCGAGTGCAGATCTGACGTGGAAAAACTGCAACACAGTCAGCGGTTTGTGCGAGTGTTTGACAAGACACATCAGGAAGGCCATGGACGCCCCAGGACAGCGGGTTATACCGACTCACCCTCTCTTGACGGTGTTTTCGCCAAACGGCTCTCCGTGCAGCTTCCTCTTACGCGACTGCGGGCTCAGGGCGAGCAGGGAGCACTCAGCGCCTGCTTCGAAGCAGGGTGTACATCCATCGTTGTCGTCACGGGTGACGCAGCGAAAGCCGAGCTGCTGGCACGCCTGGCAACGCACGGCGGACGGCGAAGGGGACTCAGGAATGGCTTCGAAGCCGGCTCTGTCTTGCAGGCTGGGGGGTCCGAGCTCGAAACGGTTCTGGGGCGTGTGCTGGCTTGTCGACGCTGTCGCTGCCTGGGCCGAGGGCCGCCTGTGATTGATGGTGATGGGCACGGAGGGCTTATTTGGATTCCCAGACGCCATGATGAAGGGATGGCCGGTTTCAGCCGAAGAAGCAAGGCGGGCGGCGTTTCAAGATTGTCTCGGCTGGCGGTTGCGCGTCTATTTCACGGAAGGACTGGCGACGGGCCGTGCAGTAAGCTGAAGGTGCGTGTGCGCTTCGTGCAGGCCACTAGAGCCAGGCTATCTCGCCTTGTACGCGTTGTACGGAAGCCGAATGCTCTCACAGAAGCCGGAGAAATGGGTAACTAGTGAAGCTCGGTGACTCTTTGCGAACTCGTCTCACGGTTGGGGAATCGGATTGGTCCTTGGCACAAAACTTGAACAAAACGGCGGAGCGGCAGACGCGGCGGCAGGGATTGTGCTCGACGGGTGCAGTTGGGCCGGGGTGAGATGTGGCAGGGATAGAGGACCTAGATGCATTGACACAAGGCAAAAGGAACTACAGCGAGAGTACCAGGGCAAGTTATTTTGGTTGGTGCTGCGTGCGTATATTGATCTTGTTCTTCTCTTTCTTGTTTGGCCTAGAGGGATGAATTATGTGACATGTGCAGAAGAAAAACGACGTGTCGCAAAATGCACTGCCAGGGTTTCGTAATAGGTTTGTGCAAAGAGGACGTGAGAAGATGCAGGACGGGTGATTTGCGTTAGACGAAGAGAAGAATGAAAGGGAGAGAAACACTTGACCAATGGTGGGCACGAAGTCGTAGTATAAGTAAAATGTTTAGGCGTTGGATGCCGATCGGGCGCTCACGGCATGTGCTTTTGGGTATATGGGCCAGATGAGGGTACCGCGTTACGGAGTCTCCGGATGGCTACTGGTAGGTGTTGCGAAGGGTTGCTTTGAGGATCATGGTAATAAGGAACCAAGTAGAAAATCATCGGCCTCGCAAGCCATGTACAACAAACAGGCTGTACGTTTTAGCGCAGACGACGGGGGGTCGGGTGTGGTGATACCAGCAATGGGCTAAAATTAGAGGATGGAGCGTTGTCGGAGACGAGCGACGGGTGCGCCTGTTTAGGCCTAACTAGAATAAACAGAATAAGAAAAAAAGGGCCGCCTGCAGGTAATTATTAGTAACTAACGTCAATGTTGCAAGTTTGAAGTGGGTGAGCAGACGAGTGGTTTTTCTTGGTGGTGGAGTTTGTAGCGCGGTGCGCGGGCGGGAATTGGTTTCTTGTGTCGACCTAGTTATGACTAGCGGCCGCTGTACATAATTAGTTACTCGACGTCATATGGTTCCAGCCTGGGTGATTGATTGCTGGTTGATGGGGGCGGGAATGTTTTCGCTTCGTTGTGACTGGGAGTTTGTGTCGGAAGCGTGAAAAGCAAGCTGTGGCTCGTGTGTGGCGCCGAAGCGGCTGGTGCTTATCCGTAATCCGTACCGATATCCAACGTCTTGACTGAGCATGCTGCACTGCACCGAAGCACCTGCGAGTGAAGCGTGGCCAAGAAAGTTGTCCTCGATCATGACTACGTCCATCATCAATGACCAACTGTCATTAACCCATCAACCATCAACCCCTACTAGGCGCGCTAAATTCATGACCAGGCAAGCCCCCACGCAGAAAGCCAAGCCACGTTCCTTATCTACGTCCACTCGCGGCTCAGTCGTTTATCAGCCCGCAGCCAAGTATGACCATTTCATACTTCGTAACGAACCGCCGTCCTCCTTCTATTGACCTGATCGAGTAAGACTTTCGACATGCTTTAATTTAAATTTATATTATTAACAAAAAAACAAGCCACTCTTCTCTCAAATGCCCGTCAGATTCCTCCGCCCCCGCACTCCCCCGGATCTCCTCCTTCCGTCTCCAGACTTCAAGTCCTCCAACCGGCCAACGCCGCCCTGAACAATGTACCGAGCATGCATACTGCACTGCCCATTACGTACTGCCAGCCGCCCTGCATTTGTCTTTGTCATCGGTATTGGACCCTGCCTCGTCTGCATTACATGTTGCCTCTTTCTGCCTCGACTCTACATTTTACAAGGCAACCAACCAACCGGTGCTAAAACTGTACAGTATTAGCGTCTCTCGGGCAGCCTCGGCTATTGGTGGCATTCTACCTACCTAGGCGACGAGCAACTCGGCTCGTCTTGCCATCTTGCACAAAGAACCCAAGCAGACGCACTTCACACCATAGTTACTCTCACATCCCCGGATTTCCGTCTGCAGCCCAGCAGAGCCTGTGGGGTGCATCTCACAGCTCTCGTGCCCTCCTTGTGCCCGACCACCACCACCCGCCCTCAAGACCCTTGCTGCATCATCACCATCCAAGAATAGCACAACCCAGCTAGCTACCTTGGTTTCCTGCCAGTTCAATTTGGGTTAGCATCGGCGAGGCAGCACAGAATAGGCATCTACTTGTCTCAAATGCAGGCTCTAGGCAGCTCGAACGAAACTCACTTTATGATTGACCCCCCACTTCCAATCCTCGACAACAGCCTCATCACAACCAATTTGGTCCCCTCTTCTCACCACCTCATTACCAAATCGAAACACCGCCGGCCCAGTCAGCCCTCTCCCTTCGAAACACTGCTTCCGAAACCCCCCACAATCGTTGGCCCAGGTTGCCAGGCTCGTCTCGGTGCGCGCCTTCAAACTCTTACCTAACATTTGCTATGTAGGCAGCTCAGATCATCTTCACACTCCTCCCTGCCCTTGCTTGTTTCTGTCTGTACCGAGCTGCCGCTCTCAATTAGCGCATACTCCGTCTTACTGCCACAGTCCATGATCCGGAACCCCACGTGGACAAGGACTTATTCCAGTCACATCCCCCTCAGATCAATCGTCGGCCTGAACCCCGAGAGCCGACAAAACAAAGGGCAAGTTTGCTGCATTGTCTGTAATGCATAGCGCCGAACTTCAACCCTTGGCCCATCCGAGCTGGCTGCCAATACCGCAGTTTGGTTGTGTAACATCTCATCCATCCCAAACACCGCCCTTTGTCATGTCTCGTCACCTCTCACAACCGGCAGTTCGCTCCAACCACGTTGGAACCCATCGAGTCTAAATGATAATTGTAATTCTATTCGGAGCCTAGCTTAATTGTGCCGTATGAACCACCTCCTCTCCGCCAAGTAGGAAACCAACGCACCAACGTACAAGCTCAACCTTGGCAACGCCGCCCACCACGAGCCACGAGCCCAACTACCAGTAGTCGGCTTCTTAGTATGGTGCATTTACCAATCTGACTCCAAACATTCTGGATTCTGAATACTCGGGAAGCTCAGTGTCCCATCTTGGCGCTGCCACGCGAACTTGTTCAATTTGGACATCCAGGTTCGGAACGTCCGCAAGCGCTATCCTCGACCCATCGCCCTACATTGTCCAATTAGCACAGTCTGATCTTTCTCATTCGAATCCCGCCAAGACACTCACTTTGATGATATCAATCTTAAGTGCCGTTTCAAAGGTATTCAAAACGACGCGGCTGGGTTTGCCTCGCAGCGTGTCTTGAATAGTGTCAAGCGAGATCTCGCCACGAACAATCCCGGAATCAGGCATCGACAGCAAGACTAAGTTTCCCGCATATGTTCCATTCATTGATACTTCAATTGAACATGGGCGTTCAATCTCTGATGCCTCCACAGCAATGTGAGCAAAGTATCTGGTTAGCACGGCGCGTGGGCCACCCAACAGTCCATTTGCTGCGCGCGCTCCCAACTTCAGGAACCCCGGCTCCAGGTTATTGATTATTCGCGTTACTTCCTCGCGCCTGTCCTCGGCGCTCTTGTCCTTCGACTCCAACCCATGATACGAATAGCCGAGGTCATGGATCGATAAAACGCTCTCCGACGTGTGAAACTCAGTCTCACTTCGGCGAAAGGGTAGCAGCGGCGACTGTGTTGTGAGGATCGAGTTGTCCGGCGTGCCCCATTTTTCAAATCCATAGTGCTCGCCAGTGAAAATTTGCTGGTCAGGGTGCATAGCTTGCCAGTATGCCCACAAGCGATCGACATTTGAATGATGCAACATACTGGTAACCCGTCAGTTATCTTGTCGCACGCAGTGTACACGTCACTTACAATAGAGGATCGAACCCTGTATATGCGACACTCAGGAATTGGCCTTGACATGCTGCATCCCAGTGAATGGATCCATGGAGACCCTCCAAACTGCTTCCACGGTTTTTGAACGTCACAAAGTCTTCAAAGTCTGTCGATCTAGTGAAGATGTCGTACTATCTTTCGTCAGTTCGTTGTCAGTCTAGAACACACATCGCCACATACCAGGTGTTTTGTGTGCTGCCTGTGTTTGATAGAACGGTTTGCTGAATCCGGATATGTCATGTTCGGCTGATCGCATCGATATATTCGGTTCCTTTCGAATACTCCGAAGGCTCCATCCTGCACTGACTTGGGAAAATGAAAAGTGTAAAGTGGGTTTTCGACGTACTTCGAAGCGAGTTGACCATTTTCTGGGACAGTAATGCTTATAGTTTCTGGTACTGTGCTTTGCGGCACGGCTTCATCAGTGGCCCAGTCCCAGAAGGGTGCGCGTAGAGTATCAGCTGCTTCGATGTATACCGGTCTGTGCTCCTCGGGATATGTCATGGCGATCGTTTTGGCGTGGGCCACGAGTATTTGCTGTTACATGTAAGCCAAGTCAGCCACGAGGGTCGCCAGCACATACCTCGAACAACGCCACGTATGCTCTGTGCCATGGGACGAAGATCACCTCCTTTATAATGTCAATATATGTCATCGAGTTTGCATCTCCTCCGAAGTCACTTACCCCGTGCGGACAGTAGCCTGCCCAGGCCAGGGACGTGGACGATGTCCACCCCCCTGTTTGGTCGTATTCCATAAACGGCCTCCCATGTATTCCTTTGCGCGTTCAGTTTTTTTTTCGTTCATGTGTGGCTGCTCAGACGTACCGGAGATCTGGAAGTATGATTCAGGATCCGTCTCATTGGCAGCCTGCATGGCTCCAAGCGCCTGAATATAAAGATCCCTTCAAGAGAGTCAGATTCTGACCAGCAGACAGGCAAGAGATGACACTTGGAGCTTACCATTGCGGGCCTCCTATGGTAGAGAATTCGACGATGTTTCGTCTGTGCGGAACTGACAGTACTGAGGGGTCGACTGGGACTCCCGTCACAATGACGGAGGCGGCAGTCGGGGTGACCTTGATCGATAGCAGCGTTGCTGTAGCAATGAATAAGTGATATTTTAGTAACATGATTGCGAAATATACTCGGCGATTTTGGTGAAGAAGTGTTTCGGTTTGAAGAAGGCAGAAGTGAATGGAGACGATGGATAGAGAAGATGGATGGAGACGATGGATGGAGAAGATGGACGGAGAAGATGGACGGAGAAGATGAACGGAACGGAAAAGATAAACGGAGAAAATGAATAGAAAAGATGAATGGAGAAAGTGATTGTTGACTGACTGGCTTCTGAATATATGGGCTCGTGCTGCTCCTGCCTTCTCTGACGCACTGAACCGAGCCACAGACTGCCTGCCGCACAAAATTTCTGCACGTCATTGCCTAGAATCATAGTCATACCAATGACGGGTTTCTGAGAGTTTTCAGCCGCCATGGCCATGTCACCACATGCGCTGAAATGCTGCCTTGCCGCTGGCAGATCAGATGGGGAACCGTTTGTGATCATGCCATCGTGGCTGCTGCTATGCCCGATGTTGTGCAGGCACAGGTCAGGGCAGTGAATGCTGTGCAACCCGTCCTGTTACTTGTATACGAAATTGTTCGCATCCAAGAATCGGTTGAGCGGCACAGCTGACCGCCCTTTGCCGTCTCGGATACTCGCACAAAGTTCTTGGTCGGCCAAGACAAGGTACAGCCGCTGTCTATTATTCATGAATATCATACAAGAAATGTCAGACCTCTCAGGCGCCATACGAAAACAAATGTTATAAACACTACTCCAACGATGCCGTAATGCAATTTCCGGTGTAAAAAATCAAGCCTTGGCGCTCACGCCTGTCATCTTCCAATCCCATTGAGTGACCAAAATCCAATCCGTGTCCGCATCTTGGTCAGCGGATAATCTCCAATTCATCGTCGTCATCCTCCATGGCGATTTGCCTGGTAGATAGATCCATGCCCAGGCTCTCTCTCCCAGCCTCTCGAATGCCCTTTTCTGTGACAAAGCGCGTCTTCTTCCGGACCGGCGAGCGCGACTTTGTTGGCTGCCCTGCACTGGCGGCCTTCATGCTCGACAGCTTCTCCTTGAGGTCACTGCCCCAGCCGTATGCCGATGACCTGTTACTAGCAGAAGTCACGACGCTAGACTGCGAGCTGTCGTTGCGTTTCCGCTTGACTGGGCTCAGGTGAATCTGTCGGTCAGCACCTCCTCGCAACAGGTCCAGTGTTGCCGCCTCTGACGCAGAGTCTGCTGTGCTGGGCGGGCCTCCCGAGGCTTGGCTTTCACCAGCTCGAGAACCTGTAGCGGTCCTGGCTCCCGAAAACTTCATATACTCTCGTCCAGCGGCATTGCCTATTTGGCCCAGCTTGTTCATGATTTCTCTCTCTTTCTCTTTCGCCTCGAGGTTTCTCCTCAAAAACTCAGCTCGCTCTTTCCGATCAACTTGACTGACGTCTTTCCCGTCAATCAAGTCCGATGAGCTCATTGAGCGCGTCACAAACCAATGAGTCTGCGTCTCGCGATCAAAATTGTTCTTGGTATCCCTCTTCCATCGCTGCCATTTGTCAGATTTTTCGCTGCGTTTCTGACCTCCTCCGAAACTACTATTATTCATCTCTATTCGTGACGACTTTTGCTTCTTAACCGCTTCGTTTGAATGATATTCGCAAAATTCCGTTCGCTTCTTGTTGATCCACGAGCCACATGGGTTGCCATCTTTTTTGACAGACTTGCAGAACCCCAAATCGCGAGCAATTCCAATTTCCAGAATGGTATCTTCGTCCGAGTTGACGACAAGACTAAAGCGTCCTGTATCCTGTTTGCCTGGCGGCGGCGGCATAATGACTGGGTTGAGAATGGCAATGGCGGTACCTTCGCTCAACTTCCAAAATCGCTCAAAGCCGCTGTTGAAAAGGAACAGGTCAACTTCAAAGTCTAAATCAACCAGGGTCATGACCATATATTTGCTTCTGTCTTCGTCCTTCTTCTTGCCTGTCCCTGGCTTGTGTGTACGAGGTTCTGATTTCTTTGCCAGGATACAGAACACGACAACGTCCTGTTCGATGTCGGGCAGGCTGAAATCGGGTGCTTTTACTTCGCGCAGCAAGTCTTTGATGGTGTAGGATTTCTTGCCAGATACACTGCGAGTGAGGACATTGTGGGGAAGTATTCGCCGAGAGAGGTGAAAGCTTGAGTATAGCTCATATGACGGCTGCTCCTTATCGGATGTAGGGGCCAGGGACAAGGCTGCGTTGGCGTCATTTACTGAGTCGTCGCTGGTGCCGTACGTGAGCTTACCAGACGGCACTGTGCGACTTCTCGTCAGAAACCCCCCCGTGGATTTCATCTTCCCCAGAACCTGGTCTCTAGAGAAGGTGGGTGGTGCAAGCGGAACATCTGGGATTTCCACAGCATCCTGTTTGTATAAATCCATCTCGTCCTTTCCAATAGCGAAGGCGTTGGAGCGTACGCTTCGAATCTTCGCTTGGCGTTCCTTGCGAAATGCCTCATCCGTTCTTAGCCCTGCAAGACGCTCGTTGAAACTGCTTGCTTGCGGAGCTCCAGAGGACGACGCTGCGCCACCCGGTCGGGAACTTAGCGCACTGTTTAGACGTTTATGGCTTGGAGCCCGCTTCAGCGATATGTCTTTTGCCGTGAGCCCCTTGTCAATACCCAGGAGCACCCGACTGGGCGATGTAAGTGGCTGTGTAGCTTGAAGCTTTCGCACTGGTGACGCAGGGACCTGGATGGCATTTCGGTTGCGTCCGGGGCTCTTGGGCCTCTGCAGGCGATCCGAGATGGAAGGCGAGGCTGAAAGCGCACTTCTCCCACCGGTACTGTTTCCAGTATCTGTTCTTCCTCTCGCATTTTGTAGCTTCTTGAGTCGCAACTTTGCCTGGATTTCCTGTAGCTTTAGCTGCAGAGTCTCCTCGTCGTCTTCCTCATCGTCGTCGCTACCGCGTTTGATTCCGAGTCCGATGCTTGCGGATAGTGGAGGGCCTGCGTTGAGGCGACTACCGCGAGAGGGTGAAGGACTCGGCGAGGTCTGGAGCATTTCGCGGTATCGCTCTCGGCCTTTTGGCGTGCTGAGAAGTGCTTCGTGGGGGGATCGCGGAGGCCACTGTTGCTCGGGTTCTTTACCGCCTTCACTGCGTTAGGAATGCATTAGAGAGTTCAACGGTGGAGGGCATACCTGGAGCCATTTTGCTCGGCGCAAGTGTGCCCTGGCCAGGGCTGCATATGGGCTGCGCTTCGCAACTGGCTATGATGGCAGCACGCGCATGCAGTGGCTCTAGACTGTGAGAGCGACTGGGGCCGCTAAGTATATCGGATCAGCAACGATGGCATAGAGGCCTATCGCCGATGACCTTAATGATGTCGTAAATGGTAAGATAGTCAAGGGAGCGAAAGAAACAGGCTGCATCAAGTGAAACGACAGAGGGGTGGGAAAGAGGCTTAGCGTCATCGCTCATTTTCGTTTGCTGAGTGTCGGGCTCCGCTGGTCCCTGGCTAAGTAACTGTACTGTAGGGTCTGCGACGCGTAAAGCGCGTTCTGACTCTCAAGGTCGGCGCTATTGGGACTGCACAAGCATCTACACTGCGATCCTTTCCCCATCTCTTTGCGCTATTCGCGTCTTTTGCAGTTCTGGATCTTGTGGTCTATTTTTAGGTTCTTTACAGCGTCACAATACCGGCGTCTTGGATACAAATTGAGAAACCACGACAGCTCAACGACCATGAGAGGCACGCGATCATCGAAAACTGCAGCGGCGGATGCTCCGAAAGACACCCCGGCCTCAAAGTCGAAATATGCCCTGTCTACAAAATCCGGACAGTCTTCGAAGCTTTTTATTCTGCCCCGTTCAGCCACAGAAGACGCGCGAATTGTCTCTCTTCCTCACCCCCAGAATGGACAACCTTCAAGATACCTTGTTTGCCCAGAGACGGGTCTCTACGAATTCACAAAAGTCGCAGCGCCAAAGACGGCGCCACGCAGCTGGCTGATTGCATCCGCCGACAGTGACAAGGAAAATCAGGGCAGGATTGAAAGCGCAGAGACGGTTACCAGCGCGGAGCTGTTTGTCGCAACGCATGTCGACCCCCTGTTCCTTCTCCTCCCGGCATTACTAGATGACAATGCAACGAAATCACCAACAAATCAGAAGCGCCTATTCCTATCAATCGAAGACTATCTTGATAAGCTACCAGAGAAGTCGTCGAATCTATCAGAGGTTGCGCGATGGCCCAAGATGAAGGCCCTATTGGAGTCTAGACTCGCTGCGATATGCGACAGCGTGGATGCTGGTGATGAGTCCATGTTTCGAGTCAACGAGGTGAAGCTGTTCTCTGTTATTCTTTCTAAAGCCACGCGTCTTGCTTCTGGGGGCCTGCCTGCTAGTGTCGAGGAGAAATTCGTTCAAAAGGCCCTCGAGGCGCCTATCCTGCTGCGAACTGCGAGCCTCCTCCCAGGCCCTGCCGCAGGTGTCGCTACGGCTCTCGAAGGTACCGGATCCGGCACTTCAACACCGCGGACGGAAACAGCCGAGTCTCAATCCAGTGTTGCAACTGAGGGCTCGACCTTTAGCGCGGCCTCGCAGCCTTCTACCGCGGCTTCCTCGTTCTCCGAGGATGATGTCGCCGTCACGACCGCGATGACGGCGTCGGCCGAGGTTGTCCAGCTTCAGCGTCTCCGAGTCGCATTTGAGTTCATTTGCGCAAGCTATATCTCACATGCTATTGCCGACCGTTTGAAGCAATCTCTCAGTGACAATGCGACGTGCAAGGTGGATTTCGGGCCGCTCAACACATACTTGATGGAACTCGAGAAGCTGCGCAAGGAAACCATGGCAACACGGCCGACTAGTGACTTTTCAAGAAAGCGCATGCGAGATGAGGAGGAAGACGAAGCACGGCTAGAGAAGAAGCGAAAGCTGGAGGAAGAGAAGAAGAAGAAGGCCAATGCAAGCAGAGGCGTAAGGGACTTGAAAAAGGTCAACACGACAGGGATGAAGAAACTAAGTGCTTTTTTCACGAAGAAGTAATTGCCGCCAGGGCATGGGTATCTATTGTAATAAATGTAATATGATGATGAAGATGCTTCTTGAGCATAGCTATCTTGCGCCTCGTGACCGTGCACCTCTCGTAGTCCCTATACCTCTGCCGATTCCCGAGGTCCCACGACTGCTGGAGCTCGATGTGTTTTGGGATATATAGCTGGAACCAGCGCCAATGCGCGATCCCGCTCTTGCCCGGGCCCTAGACGCCGTCCTGCGCGCGCCTGCTGTTCCGCGGAGGGGTCTGGAGCCGGGTGCCAGACTGCGTTTAGTCTCTGCCTCCTCTCTGCGACGGCGCAATTCCTCGCGACGCTGCTCTTCTTCGCGCGCCTTGCGCTCAGCCTCTTGCTGTCGCTGGAGAGCTTCGGCTTCCTGTTCGACGAGGTCTTCCGTAGTGCCTTTCCATCTAGGGTCGAGGATCAGGCGCTGGTTGTGTTCTGTTTGGGACAGGATTCTGGTCCATGTGTTGAGGAGAGTCGATGCATTATTTACAGTCTGCGTCACAACCTAGATGCCAGGTACGTTAGCGATGGAATTGGCTGGTGGTTTGCGCGCGGGGTTGGACATACATCCATGTTGCCGCCGGCTCGTTCCAGGGTGCCGATGAGACCCTCTATAGCCTCGTTGACATTTCGGACGCCTTCGAGCTCCTTGCGCAGCAGGGCATCGCGATCGGGGCCTTCGGAGGCGGGCGTGCGCGGGGTCCTGGGTGACTTGGGTGTTTTCGGCTGGCGGGTTTGCTGGGGGGACGCCCAGATGTCGGTTTCGGTGTACTCTGAGTCGTCAGCCATGCTGGTTGTCTTGTGTGGTTAGAAAGACAGGTGCAGGACACAGCAGCAAGCAGTTGACACGGACAGATGACGGGTCAATGGGAGGGCCGGTGTCACAGAATGGGGATACAGTGATACAGTCCTTGTCGAGCGACGTGCAGAGGGTTGAGACTGTAACTAGCAGGTAGCTGTTGTGTGCTGTGGCGGTGCAGATGTGGCAGACAGCTTGGGGCAGCTACGGAGGTGTGGGCATGGGCGCTGTAGGCACCCAATAGCTGCTGTAATAATTGTTGCAGCCAACTTCTTTCAAACACCAGGGTGTCCACTGTCACCACTGTCACCACTATAAAGGCACCACCAACGGCCACTTTAATGGGCCATGTGCCCTTGTTACACGAAAATAACGCGTCCTACCCTACCTAGAATATAGCGGACGCGTCGCGGCCAGCCGTTGTGCACCTTTTTTCTAAAGTGGGGTACCTCTTCCTCTGCAGCTTGAGGGGGCTGGTCTGGCACCCACGCACCCATGCCTCTGCCCCAGCCTCCTCTTCGTGTCGTCGCACTAGAACATCAACCTCCCTTCTCCTCCGATTTCCTACCATCTTTTCTACCCTGCATCACTTTACAGCAACAGTGTTTACACAACGTTACCACGACTACAACTTAATTCAGCTTCGACTCCTATCACATTACTGCAGCTATTATTAGTCTTTACTGTTTTACCTGCGCTATTTTTCCTGTCACCGCTTATTCTGCCGCCGCCGCTTATTTATTGTTCGTCTTTCTATTGAGTCCTGCCTCGAGTCGGCGGTTCTACCAGACAGACAGTTACGCGACTAGCCCCCAGCATTCGCTGCTTCGTCTCGCAGCCACGTCCCACAGCTTCTGCAAATATCTCACTCGCCGTCGCACAACGTACCATGTCTTCCAGAATGGCCGCCAGAACCCCGTCGCCGTCACCCGCCCGGGAAATGCAGGTCCCCTCAGCGCCTCGCTTTGGATACCAGGACGACTACCACCCCTACCCCAAGCCGAGTCGCGCCACGCGAAGCGCGACCCAGCGCAACCGCACACCTTCACCTCCTACATCTCGTCAAAAACCGGTTGCCTCTCCCCGCGGTGCCAAAAGAGCCAACGCTCAGAGTAACGCTGCCATGGTTTCTCCAGTCCCTTCTCCGCGAAAGAGACGCCAGCCTCCCGCCGATGCCAGCCGCCGCAGTGTCTCTGGCTCACTCACAGCAGAGAGCATTGCAAACGCCGCCGCCGCCCTTGGCCCTGTCGACATCCCACCCACCAGCAACCCAGTGAATTCCATTCTTCGCGCTTCCTCCTCTCGCTCTGGCGGCATGCTTCCCACTCCTTCAAAAACACCATCAAAGCCTGCAAACGAGAAGACGACGGCCGAAATCGCCACTTTCGCCCGCAATCTTTTCCCTAGCGACGACTCCGCCTCGAGGCGAAGGCCCAAGTCGTACTCTGGCATCGGCATGGATAGCTTCACTGCCAAACGCGACGATGACAACATTGAAATCTTCACCGATACCAAGGACTCGATTCCCGAGGTCGACACCAGCGAGGACAATCCGTTCTACACTGCCCCCTCCAAGCAGGAGACCGAGACCAGCCCCCGTCGCAGCCGTAGAAAGGTCATGATTCCGGGTGAGGGCTACCAGTCTCTCGAGGAGGCTACCCAACGTGAGGACGGCATGGTATATGTCTTCCGTGGCAAGAAGTTCTGGCGCCCGTTTGCCAAGATTGAGGAGCAGGAAATGGATCAAGAAGACCGCCTTGCTCAGCCACTTACCCGATCATCCGTCAAGCCGCGACTGCTCTTCCCTCCCAAGCGACAAGAGCAATCCGAGGCGGACTTGGAAGACGAGGAGGCCACGACTGATGTCGAGGACGAGGTCAAGCAACGCATCACCCGTTCTATCCCTGAAACACCTACCAAGAGCCGCAAGGCGACTGCCAAGACGCCGGAGGCCCCAAGATATGCACCCGCTTCTCCACCCGAAACCAGAAGAACGACGAGATCAGCCAACAAGCTCTTGAACGAGGAGACGCCGATCAAGAAGAAGCGTCAGCCAAGTATGTTCGACAAGTGGCCACGCACAAAGGAGCACAAGGCGCCAGCAGCCACCAAGAGAGCTGGCGAGGCCCTTGCCCCTGCGCCTGCCAAGCGTACCCGCGCCTGAACGACTGGCCATGACAAATGGTCTGTCTTTTTTGTATCACGAGCATTACTTCTTTATAATGATTCACGCTGTCGCATATATATATATATATATATGTCGTTCAGCCACCCTTTCTTCTTTTCAACAAATTCTCCCATTTTATCACAAGTCTGTTACCTAGTCAGGTACCTAGTTAGGAAACCTCAGCGATGGAACGAAGAGGGGGCACCTTGGGATATTGAGGCGTTTGGAGGAGTATATTATGTTTACTACTTGTTTTCCACGTTGTAGACTGATCAACTGAGATATATACCTTTTCGCAACAACGTATTATTTCCTCTCCGAAGCAGAATCGCAAACAGAGTTTTACAAGCTCAGACCCGTACCCCAGTGACAAGTTGGCACGCAGCCAAAATAGCCAAAATAGCCAAAATGCTCGTTCAGGCCGTCACTGACTTTGCTGCCCCACCTTGGCTTCAAGATCAGGCGGCGGTGATCGCTTGCGGGTTAAAAAGTCACCCCTCCATCACGAGCTTTTGGCCGATTTCGCTTTTGCCAGCAAGCTTACCTTTTCTGTCTAGGAGCGCCGTCAACATTGGTTCGGGTCTCCCTCATCATCGTCTGTGATCCAGAAAGTCCCAATTGAGCGACCGCGCCGCCATGCACATCTTGGTCACCAACGACGACGGCCCGCCGTCGACCAAGGCGTCGCCCTACATCCACGCCTTTGTCAACCACCTCAAAGCAGCCGGCCACGACGTCTCCGTGTGCCTGCCCGACACGCAGCGCTCGTGGATCGGCAAGGCGCACATGATTGGGCAGACGCTGAAGCCGGTGTACTTTCGGCCGTCGGCCCACGTCTACGGCGACGAGACCGAGGGCACCACCAACGCCCGGCCCGACGCCTCGGGCGCGGGCGACGAGGAATGGGTCCTGGTGGACGGCACGCCGGCCTCGTGCGTGCAGATTGGCCTCAACCACTTCTTCCACGGCAAGGGCCCGGTCGACCTCGTCGTCAGCGGGCCCAACTACGGCCGCAACACGACGGCCATTTTCGCGCTCAGCTCGGGCACGCTCGGCGGCGCGCTCGAGGCCGCCGTCTGCAAGGTCCGTGCCATTGCCGTCAGCTTCGCCTTCTTCTCGCGCAACCACGACCCGGCCATCATCGAGGCCGCGTGCCGCCAGAGTGTCAAGGTTATCGACGGGCTATACAGGCAGTGGCCGACGGACGACAGCGTCGATCTGTACAGCGTCAACGTGCCGCTCGTCGAGGCCGTCGACACGCGCAAGATATATCTCACCAAGATGCTGCAAAACTACTGGCAGGCGGGTGGCTGCTTTGAGGAGATTGACGACCCGAGCAACGCGGACCCCGTCGAGGAGGAGGCCAAGATCCGAGAGGGGGGTTTGTCGTCTGCGACTCCAGACACCGAGACTGATTGCAAGGGGCATAAGCACAAGCACTTCAAATGGGCGCCAAGGTTCACCGATGTCTATTCCAGTGTTGAGGCGGCTGGGCCTGGGTCTGACGGATGGGTGGTCAAGGAAGGTCATACCAGGTATACTTCGTGATTCGCGACCGTGATGATTCACCGCTAACATGAGTGCTAGTGTTACACCTCTCAAAGCAAACTTTGCACAGGCCAATGTAGGAGATGGCCAACAAGAGTTGAACTTGTGAGTTGACCCAGCTGTGCTTTCATTCTACGATTTTTACGTGTTTCTTTTTGTGCTCTGGTGGCCTCGGGGTGTGAAGTCTGGATCTTCCTGGGTCAGTAGGAATAGATAAAGACGACGTGCATACGTTACGTGGCGTGTAGATTATACGTTTCATCGATAGACACAATTCTCACCATTAGACTTTTACAGTTCAGAACCTGCTGTGCAGGAACAAAGCAAGACGTTGGCGATGAGAGAAAAGCAGCAAGATAGCACCAGCCCCGACAAGATTCAGGCATTCGTCGCATACGAGGACGACTACGTGCAGCCACTGATTGTGTCTGCGCTCCAGGCCCTTTTGCCCGACGACCTGGTAGACCTAATCACAGCCGTACCGGGCTCCAACGACGGCACGTTTTCCGCGTCACGCGCCCTCTCCTCGCCGTCAGCCCGGGCGCTCCAAATCATGCCCTACGAGGCGCTCGACTTTGACCACGCCGCCGCGCACCCCCAGTCGTACCTGGTCAACAGCTACATGATCCGGAAAGCGCTCATCCGCAAGCACTACCTCTCGACGACGGTCGAGCACTGCGTCGCCAAGCGGCCCGATTCCGTCCTCGCCACGCACGTCAAGCGCACCGACGCCTTCGAGGTCGACTATGCCGAGTTCCTCGACGACGCTCTCGTTGAAGCATTTGATCTTCGCGAGAGCCTTGCTCGCAACGATGCGCTGGGCGAGGCGGGGGATGCGTCGCCGCCGCAGGACAGGGCGTGGTGGATCTTGAAGCCGGGCATGAGCGACCGCGGTCAGGGCATCCGCTTGTTCAGCACCATGGACGAGCTGCAGGCCATCTTTGACGGGTGGGAGGAGGACCAGCCCGGCACCGACGACGAGGACGAGGACGAGGAAGACGAGGCGGCGGCGGCGGCGGCGGCGGCGGAAGACGAGCAGGCGCCGCAAAGCAGCGGCAACAAGGACGGCATCACGACCTCGCACCTGCGGCACTTTGTCGCCCAGCCCTACATCCACCCGCCGCTGCTCCTCCGGGCCGGGGGCCACAAGTTCCACATCCGGACCTACGTGCTGTGCGCGGGCAGCCTGCGCGTGTACGTGTACCGGCCGATGCTGGCGCTGTTTGCGGGCAAGCCGTACCGCGCGCCGTGGGAGGCGCCCGGCGACTACGACGCCTTCCTGACCAACACGTGCCTGCAAGACTCGCCGCACGAGACGACGGTGCAGCCGTTTTGGGCGCTCGAGGGCCTGTCCGGCGCGGCCAAGGACGACGTCTTTGCGCAGGTGTGCGCCGTGACGGGCGCCGTCGTCGAGGGCGCCGCGCGCGCCATGCCCATCCACTTCCAGCCGCTGCCAAACGCCTTTGAGGTCTTTGGCCTCGACTTTTTGCTCGACGCCGACGGCTGCGCGTGGCTGCTCGAGGTGAATGCCTTTCCCGACTTTCGGCAGACCGGCGGTGACTTGGCGGGCATCGTGGGCGGCTTCTGGCGCGGCGTCGTGAGGGAGGCCGTCGTGCCCTTCTTCTTTGGGGTCGGCGAGGGGAGCTTGCTGCGTGGGAGTCCCGGCGAGGAGGAGGAGGAGCGTCGGGATATGGTCTGCGTGCGGGACGTCGACCTCGGACGACGGTGATGATGTGGCTGCGTCATTATTACAACAATTTTACATGTCTTCCGATTCAGATCTGCGACTTTAAAATTAAGCCGTCTTTTTTAAATACCGAAATTTTGGTGCAATTTCCACCGTTGGCTCCATAGAGAGGGATGACATCGTCGGTGCTTTTTTTAAAGAGCGGGAGGCCTCCAAAGAGATACATAATAATACTTAAATTGCTATCATGTCTCAATAAGTCGCGAAGTTGAATATCACTGAAATGAAGGGACATTGGATTTTGTAGCCTTGTTTTAGCGCGGGCTCTGAGAACAAGCTTAAATGCTGCATGTGGGGAACCGTTGCCGGCCGGGCCACATGAGAATTGCAGAACTAGACAAAAGAGGCCAAGCAAGATTTCGTTGGGCTGGAAGAAAAACAGCCATGTGACCATTGTGCAGGATCCTTTGCGTCGTTCCGGGCTGGGTAAGTGCTGCAGAGCACTTGACGGCTTCCCACGGCTTCCGCTACTCAGCGCAAGCAAAAACTTGCGCTTTTGCACAGCCTCCCTCCTGGGACATGTTTTTTCCACGGCCCATTGCAACGCCAGGCGCCATCACAGGCCCGATGCCCTTTCGAGAAGGTGCGGTGGTGGGTGTGTTGTGGTGACAAGATCATATCAAGCTCGGGCGGCGATGGCGCCAGGGAGGCACTAGTTATTCATTGTTCGGTTTGGGGGCAGGCAAAAGATCAGTACACTTTCAAGCCACCCTGGTTGTGCGCGTGCTTTTGCGTTTTGCTTTGGCACTTGCTCTTCCATATCACCATGGTTGCTGTTAGTAATGACGCCGGCTCGCCTTGCTGCTCCACCCGCTTTATCGCTCCTGAGTGAGGCTGTGCAAGGTAGGAGGGGAAGTTTGGCGCAGCCCGGATGTACGAATAGGGAAAGTGAGGTCAAAGAGGACAGTGGTGGTGGAGGTTCATGTTTGTCGAGACTGCTCGTCGACTTCCCGAGTGACAGACACGTTGTGGCCCTGGAAGCCTGAAGCCTTTCTGGTATAAGCCGTGTAACCAACCGCTAAGGGTGTGTACGTATAAAAGTTGCGATGAGGCAGTGCTCGTTGACGAGGAGGAAGCAACGAGCTTACATGTGGATAACGACGGGACTGCCATGATGGTAAGCCGAGTTATCGCATCTATCATGGCGGGCGGAGTCAGTATGGTCAAGGGCTGTGAAACAAAGGCGGTCACCGTGAGAGGGTTCGAGGACAAGTTTCACGTCGTTGGTCAGTAAACACCAGTTTCTGGATTGGTATCAATCGTTTTTTTTTTCCTCTTGGTCCAGGCGGCCATGTGCATGTTGGCCAGATCCTGCAGCTGAACCCGAAAAGAAGAAGAAGAAAAACTCCTTTCCCCACAGGAGGTATGTCCAAAACGACCCAACTTCGCAGCCTCCCTTTTCCCATGGGTTCTTCTGAAGAGAAGATGGAAGAGAATGAAGAAAAGAATGAAGACATCAACCGAATGCGACTGATATCTGCCGCTGAAAAAAAAAAAGACGAGCAAAAAACGTCCAATTGCTAATGCCGCCGAGGTCCGCCTTTTTTTTAACACTCTCGTTTTCAGATGCCCTCTCAACACTCAATCTCTCACCTATTTTGTCGCTCTATTGAATGATTTTTTTTTCTAATGATTTGTTTGTTTCCGAGTTCAGTCCACCCGGCGGCGCCAGTCACGCGATGCAAATGCCCTGCTCGGCGAGTCGGAAGCACCCACCGCAGGGGGATCGGCGCTGCTGTTGTTGGTGCTGCTGTTGGTGTTGCGCTGGATGTCGTGGCGGTAGCCGCTGCCCTGCATCTGCTCGCGCTGGCGGCGGGCGGTGCGCACAGTGATGGGGTTGCCGTTGAGCTCGATGCCGTCGAGGGCCTGGCGCGCGGCCTCGGCCTCCTCGCGCGTGTCAAAGTCGACAAAGCAAAAGTTGCGGTTGCCGCTGGCAGGCCGGCTCTCGTCGGGGCGGGCGGTGATGCGCTTGCCAATGGCGGCACTACATTGTCCTCTTTGTTAGCCCGCGGGTCTATTTGGTATGCATTGTTTCCCCTCGCGCGCCCTTGGTATTTCGAATGGTATCAAGATTCACGTTTGGATGTAGGGACGACAGTTGGATATCCAACGGGGTGATTGATACATCACGTGCACGACTGAAAGACGCTGTGAGGGAAGGCGAGGGGAGACAAGGACACGTACGGCTTAAACTCGGCAAAGATGGCCTCCATCTCTGTGCGGTTGTGATCCTGATCAACCATCTTGCCCAGTCCGCCGACAAACAGCCTGCGGCCCTCCTCCTGCATGTTCTCGTCAAAGTGGTTGAGCGCCGCGCCAGGACCCTGTCTGTCGCCGGCGCCGCCCCGCTGCTGCTGTTGCTGCTGCTGCGGCGCCTGCCCGTCACGGCTCGAGTTCCAGTCACCCCAGCGGTTGAAGCTCTGGCCTCCTCCGCTGCCGTTGTCGCCACTGCCACCGCGGCTGTTGCGGGCTGGCGAGGGGGCGGGAGACTCAGCGTCGGCACTGCCGCCTTCGCGGGCGTCGCGGCCCCAGCGCACGCCGGCGGCCGAGGCGCGCGGCTTCTTAGGCTCGCAGGGGCGGACCTTGAGCGGACGGCCGCCGATGGAGACGTCGAGCGTCTCGAGGGCGAGGTCGGCCGAGGCCTTGTCGGGGAAGTCGACGAAGCAGTAGCCTGGGTTGCGGCCGCTGACGGGATCGACGGAGATGTGAATCTTTTCAAAGTTGCCGAAACCACCCTCGTGGAGCATCTCCTCGATCGTGCCGGGCTTGACCGAGTACAAAAGGTTCCCTGGTTTTTTTTGTAGAGTTAGCGGGGGGTGCATGCGGAGGGAGGAATATCGGTGTTTTTTTCTCGTGAGTGTCCTCGTACCAAGGTAGATGCGCTTCGAGGTGGCAACGTCCTCTTGCTGCTGTGGTGGGTTGACGGCTTCCATGATGTTCGGGCGTGTGGTGATGGTGTGTAGAAGGTATAGGTGTGAGTATAGGGATGGTATAATGGTCCAGGAAGGAAATGTTAGAAGTGAATAACTACTTCGCGGTGTGTCGCGCGATGACTATGGCAAGGCACCAAAAGAAAAAAAAATATGGTGGGGTGGCAATATGTGCCTGGCCAACCGACCCCACCATAGCTCATTCTCCGGTAGCGGTCATGGCAGCGGGCATCGAATGCGATTGTATTTGTCTAACATTGTCATGTTGAAAACTGTGTTCATATACTTGATCGACTCGTCACTTGGTGATCCCTTAGGATGGGCGTAGAAGGCGGACGCCTGGCTGCGCAGTTGGCTGGTTCGTGCTCCAACGTTGTTGCTCTGCCACTTACATCACAGTAGGTCGCCGTGACTTCTGTTCTCGTTGTAAAGACAGCTTACACCGAGCTGGTAACTAACTAAACAGTAGCAGACAAATCTTTGTTAAATGACAAGAAAAAGCTTGCACATGTAATATACCCGGTTGTACAAGGAATATACCATCAAGAATCGCGATAGGGAAGTTTCATTTGGTATAGGGTAGCCGGCGCGTTATTGCTTACGAAAATCACGACTCGGCAACGGTGAGAAGAGCTTATCCGTCAACAATTCAATGCCAAATGAAAGACACCAAAACGCGAATCACGGGAGACCGAGAGTGCTACCCTGACAACACTTGATCAAAATCTGCAAAGGTGCGGCCATCCTCCCACAACCGCACCACACCACGTTAGACATACAGATGCAGCCACCCTGGCTCGTGAAGGAGGCTGTGTAAAGCAAAAGGTCCAATAGTCAGTCTGCAGTCAACCTGGGAAACCCCGCCCGTGGGATGATATTGTGGCCAGAGTGACACGATCTGATTCATAAAAACCAGAATTGTCTTCAACGGTTGACTAGGATTGTACAGAAAATTAAAGGAACGTAGAGGATACGCACAGTATTCTCAAACGAAACAGTAAGCTGCTTATGAAGAGTGTCCGTCGAGGTCTAACCTGGAGGCTTGGAGGCGCGCATTTTGGTCCCACTGCGGTGGATTGAAGGGCGCGTAGACAAAAGGCTAAATTTCTCGGTTGATTCGCCACTGCATGCCCTTGATTTTTTGTGTGTGTCTGATGCGATGAGAGTTCAGCTCGCGCGGTTGGACGGGTCTGGAGCCACGGCTCATCAGCACGTTCAAGGGACAATGGCTTGCAGAAGAGGCAAGATAACTATGTAGTTACTGTAAGCATCTGGCTAGCTACTGTGCGCGCGGATTCGGCAATCGCCGCCCATGCTGCTGGAACAGCGAGACAGCCCAATCTTACAGATTGCGTTGCTGGGGCGTAACTTATAAAGGTCCCTGGTGAAATTCCGTGGATGCATGCCCATGCTCCTTGGAGGGAAGGATACAGTGAATATATCTGTTGCTATACGCATTTCGGAGTATTCGTAGTTGCTCTCTCCCGCAAAACCTGTATTTAATAAGGCTGGTTCAGATGTCAATCTCTGTCCACCTTCCCAACCTGGTAACAGAAGTCCGTCCGCGATCGTCTTAAATTAGCGGCCACAAGTGGCGAGTTTCTCTTGCCATGACATGACACACGGATGCAACCGCTAGCCCATCTCTAATGTGGCAATAGTTTGATTGCTTCGCCTCAATGTTGGGAAGGGCTGAAAGGACGCCGTTGTGGGATGGTGATGACCGAGCTTGCGAGCCAGTGTTGGCCTGCCCCTGTCGAAACACAAAAGTTGGCTGGCATTGATCCGTGCACAGAACGTTGAAACTGAGAGCGTTGGGATGCTAGTGTAGTCAGGGCAGGGTTTATTAAGAGGCAAATGTGACATCATCTTTGGGGAGAATAGTCGTTGTACTTTGTAAGGCTCGATTGACAGTAGCTAGCTGGTGACTTGAGCGGCAGCAATGTGAGACCATCGTGATGTGAGTGTGGGAGGCCGCCAGTAGAAGACACACGGAAAGACGGACAGAAGCGCTACACAGGTAACAGGTACCTAGGTAGGTAGGTAGTAGCGTGGTTGGGAATGCACCGCCACATGCTAGTCCGGTGCTGGCGGACTAAGTGCATGTGCAACCTCGAGGAAGACTTATAATGTGTACGGGCCAATGCATGACGGGATTTCAGTAGTGCTTTGACGGGAGCCTGGCTGGTTGCTCGGATTGGGGTCTGGAGCGGCAGACTGCAGTGGGCAGCTGAGGGCAACTATACCTAGGTAGTTAGTTGACTAGATATTTCATTTCTCACAAGCGACCCCTGGTCTCGGAAGCTAGCTGTAGAGAGGGTGTCCTTAGGAAAATAACAGCAAAAAGAACATAGGAAATAACTAGTTACTGATGATTTTTGTTCTTGTTGTCCAACGGCGGGCGCTCAGTGTACCAATAGGCAGGTTCCACTTTAACTCTGCAAGTTCAAAGAAAGAAGTTGCAGATCTGCGTTGGCCCAAACCAAGATGTCCACAAAGACTCGCAGCATGGACACTATAGTCAAGGTTGGAAATCGCTACCTTGTGAGCAAATAAAGACGATTCACAGCTCTGCGCCGCATTGGGGTCGAATGCGTAATGCATCTGAAGCAAGCCGAAGTTTATTCTATGGGAGGACAGCAGCGCCTGACAAGTGATGCATCGATGTTGTGCACAATATGAGCCGAAAGCTAAATACCAGTGTTGATGGCCGCCGGCAGCCAATTTTCCATGGTGAGGAATGTACATGGGCCCGGATCCCAGGGCTACATGCCATGACAGCCCGACAGAAGGGTCCAAGCAAAGTTCGTTGATGGGAGGGGAAAAGAGCTAGTTAGTTGAAAGTCGTGGCGAGATGCGATGCCAGATCGAGCAGGGTCATGTGTTTGCAGGTTGGGCCGCAGCAGGCAGTTGAGTTTCAACAACGCACCAAGGTTGACTGACGTTGGCAGCGCAGTGGTGACGTTGTTCGATGCGGCGCCACATTGGGTGGGGTGCCGGGGAATGGACTGTGGTGGGTTGGGCTCTGAGATGTACCAGATTGCTGAGTATTATTCATTGGATGCTGCGGTAACATTGGTCTGTGAGTGAGAAGAAGCGAAGAAGGTGTGCGGGACGATGCCGAGCAGGTGGTGTCTGCAGTACAGCATCCGTGGAAATCCAGATTACAGGAACAGAGGTGCCTGATGGCGTCGGTGCATGATTTAGGCTTGCTATCGGAACAGCATGTTATACAAACAAAAGTGCCTACGATAGCAAGTCACAGGGTATATCATGCCGATCAAAGGATATAGTCATACAGGATATTATTACTCTTCATTCTTACCTGCACGACCACTGTAGTGCCCTACTTCCTGCAAGCCCCCCTTGGGCCGTAACAACGCGGCAATCACTTCTTCCATTGAGTTGAACTCCCCAGACCAGCAACCAAGCATAACACTATCCAGGCGCAAACCCTGAACGTCCGGAAATCTGCCCTCGGTCCAAAGACGCCGCGCAACTTTGTCACGGTCGACACGGTCGACCAATTCAGAGAAGGTTGGTTTGCCTGTGAGGAGCTGGTAGACGGCACAGCCGTACGCAAAAATACCACTCTGTACGTCAACAGACAATCCCCGCCGATTATACCATTTATATGCCGCAGTTGATTCCTTTCCGTCCATTCCACAACCCTCAAAGTCAATTATCTTTACCCTCTTATCAACAATGACCATGTTTTCGCAGCCAATATCACCATGGATTATGTTGTTTTGATGGATGTAAAGCAGCCCTTCTGCAACGTCTTTGATCCAGGCTTCGCGGTTTTGTATCCAAATGTCGGCTGCGTCGCTCAGTGAGAGCAAGGGAATACCGCGTTCGAGAATGATGGAATTTTCTTTTGCGCCGCCGAAGCATTGAATGATGTTGGGGTGTGAGCCGAGCCGGTCCAAAGCCCTATGCTCCTCGGTGCCTTGTTCGGCATCATAGTACTCCTTCAAGACGCGGTTTTCATCAATAGCGTAGACGATTCCAGAAGTACCGTGTGCAAGAAACTTGCGCTTGTTGGAATCGACAAGCTGTGTGTCACAGATACGTTGTTTAGAGGCTGAGGTCATACTATTATGTGGCAATTAGATTGTCTGTAGGCAACCAAAGTCATGAAATGCAAGAATGGAAGCTCACATCTTCGTATATCTCGCCACCAACAGATGCACCCGAGTCGCGACAAATTCTGCAAGGTCCTCGGCGATGAGAATCAAAGTGTATGCCCAAGTCCGCATCGTACGTTGCATCAGCACAACGAGGTCCAGGTTTCGGCCGATCGGAAGGAAAGATAGATAGTTATTAACCCTAATTTTTTTTTTTAGGTATTTACATCTATAGTTAGGTGAATTATATCCGTGGAGGTAATAAGTTAGAAGGTTATAAAAAGGGGGCCGCGGGGCTATAGTGGCTTTGTGGTTATCTACTGGGCATACAGTGGGTAAAGTTGCCTATAGTAGCTGTTAAAATAAATGAAGCGTTGTTTGGTTGTTTGGTTGTTTGGTGAAAGGACAGGGCAGTTGGGCAATCGGCTGCTGCATGTATCAGAATAAAATAATAGGGTGAGTGGAAGGGTATTAGTGGGCGATGGGGACATATTTTAGTGGGACGGGCGGAGAGACGTCGCTGCAACTACCTACGGATAATGATGAACGATACAATACAATCTACGAATTACAGAGTGCTCCATAGAGGTATGTACCTGCCTAAGGGACTGACATGACAGCCTTGCCATCATCATTAGTACCTCGCCTGCCTACTTGCCCCATCTACCTGGCACACCGGTGCCTGCCTTACTTAGTTGTCCTACCTTGATCGATTCTGCGGTCCGGAGTATACTCTGTACATAGAATACAGTATTTCGATAATTTCTCTTCTGATACCCCCCCGCCCCTGGTCATCTTGACTCCCCACATACACAGGCATGCACTGTCCCGCAAGCCACCAATCATAGGCAAGCTGCAGCACTGCCACAATTCAAGCTTGGCGGGTAACCGGTCCTGGTATGGTGTCTTGCGGCCTTAGCAGTTGGCCCTGCTGCTCCGAGCTCTTCGGCCACGCAAAAGAGCTTACTTGCTAATGCATCTCCGACTGCAGGGTCGCCTGGACACACCGGCAATGAGCCTCCCCCCTCCCAGCCTGCCAATCTCATGGAGGGGCGTGCCATGGTCGACGTTGGCCCAAGTGCACACGAGGAGGGGGCCATCGGGATGTCGCACTGCGGCGCCCGCCTCGCGAACAATAGAGAGAGAGCATGGTCCTTTTCACTCCTACACGGGCTAACATTCTTGGCTTATAGCAGGATTACAATTCCACCCCGGCGCCGGTGAGCGGGGAGGTCGAGTACCTGGAAACCCCAAGGTAAGCTTTTATTCCTTATATTCGCCCAATCGGTCCTTTGGACTTTGCACTCCCTTCCCGTTGTTCTATTTGTCTCTCACTGTACGTCATACTCTCTTACACACGACACAAACACACCCGTGTCCCAGTCCGGCTATTCATTCTCCTGGTACTACCCCCCTGCACCAGACCAATCCACAGCACACACGCACCATGGAGTCCTCTTCATATCTCTTTTGCTTATAATACCCTTTCACCCTCCCATGAGCTCTATTCCCATCTCATTGTTCGCATCTTTCTGGCATTGGCTTCCCGATTTCCTGGCACGCCTCTCTGCTCTGTTATGCACACTCACCCAATCATTGTACACGCACTCATGCGGGTCGTGTCACCTTGAAGAAACGAGAGCCTCGTGTGCCGCTGCACAACTTCTTCGTGTGACTTGAACCTCCCTGTACTTGCTCAGACGGCCCCCGCCACTGTGGTCCTGATCGTGAGACTGACGAGTATAAATAGATATAGCACCAGCGCGCCCACATTTGAGATCCCAGCAGCATCGGATACATATATCAACGTATACCAACCACCAAGCACCTCCATCAACACCGGGAACAGTGCCTATTTCGCCGGACAGCCAATCGTCCAGACTCAGTGGGCAGAAACGCCCAGAGTCCCGAGCCAGTAAGTACTTGAACAGTTTTCACCTCATTCTTTCGGACTGGCTGCTTGTTTTGCGATGGCTGTGCTGGTACAACCTGGAGATGCCCTCTGACAATTCATCCTTGCACAGAAACACCACCACTGGAGCAGACCATCCCTACCGTCATACGCAGTCTCAGCCTATGAGCACGCGAGAAAGGTACAGCACATCGACACCACAGCACTCAAGAAGGGCAGAGACGAACCGACATAGAGCAGTGTCCTCCAGCTACCACACCACCGTCATGAGCCCTGGACCGGCTTACGGCGGCAACGAGGCGGCAATGAGCAATTACCCGATGCAGCAGGAACCACCACGGGAGCATAGTGTCAGCCCGGGGTACAATCCGCGCGCAGGCGAAGAGCTCAATTTGCCCATGGGAGTCACGGAGCAATTCGGCGACCTCCACTACATGAATGCATCCATGGAGCCGCAAGGCCCACCGATCGACGTGAACCTTTCGACGCAGTGCCATAAGAACTTTTTCATGGGAGACAAATTCTTTACCTGCTACCGTCGAAACTACATGGCATGCAACGTCTCATACTCGCTGACGCCATACTATGCCGGAGCGCCAATGTTCTTTACGCCCATGTCAGCCACGGAGATGCCAGCACCAGTCAAGGGATTTGCCATGTGCATCTCAGCCATCGTCGCCGAGCACCAGCATCAAGAGGTGGTGCTCCTCCAGCACACGCCGAAGCGTGACAAGGGACCCGTCACGCCACCAAAAAAGATCCGCCTGGCTCCCAAAAGCAGGCACCTGTCGGGACAACCACCCCACATTGGTGTCAATTTCCATGACCGGCAGCCACGTCAAACGCCTGATATTTATGGATCGCATACAACGGATGGAATCCTGGCAACCGAGCACAACTTTGATCGCATCCAGTTCAAGATGGCGACAGCCAACAACGGGGAGCGCAGGGCTGGTCAACAGCGCTACCAGCTGGTAATAGAGTTGTGGGGTGACGTATCAGCAGATGCCAACCCGTGCTGGGTCAAGATTGCAATGCAAAAGTCGGCCGATATCGTTGTCCGTGGCCGATCCCCGGGCCACTATCAAAAAGAGCGCGGCAGGCGCTCAGGGAGTAGTGGCGGTGGTGGCCCTGGACCCTCGTCGCAGGGGCACCTAGGGCACCACGGACACCCGGGGCAGCAGCACCCGGGGCAGCAGCACCCGGGGCAGCAGCACCACCCGGGGCACTACACTGGTGGGAACGACTACGGCACGATGCTCGGCGGGCATCATCAGCCCAGCAGCTACGGCGCGCCAGGATACGACCACCGCGGCGGCGGCGACATATACGGCGGCGGCGGCGGCGGTGGTAGTGGTGGTGGCCGTCGCGACATGGCGGCCTACTCGATCGACCACGGCTCGCGAGTGTTCCCGTCGGCGTTTACGAGCCAGAGCGCCTACAGCGACCCTGCGCTCTACGGCCAGCACCAGTCGGTCGGCGTGTCCCCGCTGGACATTTACGGCAAGCCCAGAGGCGAGCCGGACATGGGTGGCGTGTTGCCGCGGCCAGAGCCCCAGATTCGAATGGGCATGGACGCGCGCTGCAACACGGGCACCGCCACGGGCGTTCCCAGCAGCATCTTGCCCCCGCTCATGTCGAATCCCATGGTGAATGCGGGAGGCTTTATGTCGAGTTCATAAAGGGAATTTAAAAAAAAAAAAAGAATGAAAGAAAAAGAAAAGAAAAAAGAAAAGAAAAGAAAACTATACTTTCTTTGAGCCTCGCAAATGTGGGCCCGATGGGGGAGCGACGCACGAATTGTCGAGGGAACAAGCTGTGGAGTTCCGAAATGGCCTTGGGACTGTTACCTTGCTACTAACTACCAGTAACCCGTTGGCAGGTGCTGTTGGTCCAAATTACCCCTCGAGGACTTGCGGTAAACCCCCCCTCCCCCTCCTCTTCTTTATTATCTTTCTTCTCTCTATTTTTCTTCTTTTTCTTCTTTTTCTTTTCATTCCTCTCCTTGTCTTTTTTGCAACGGGGTAAGGGTTCAATCTCCCCCCCCCTCCCAGCTGTTGCTTGTTTGAGTTACCATTTTCGACCGACAAGGCTGCAAAGCCCCGGGCAGAAAGTGAAGTGGTGTGGTTAGTGCGGGCATTATACCAGGTCTAAAACGGGCACAAAGGGGCCAGATTGGACAGCCCCTTGGCGTTTTCCGGGTTGTCGGATCTCTTTACACACACAAAAAAGCCTGCCGTCTGGCTTTTTTGGGTCTTATTATTATTATTATTTGTGAGTTCCTTTTTGCTAGCTAGGGTTCGCACTGTTTTTTTTTTCTCGTTTCTCGTTTAGCTTTGGATGGCCGATACCATTATATACCGGGAGTTCCTGCACCTTTTGAATACTACATCTGTTTGCTTTTAAAAAAAGAAAGACGCCGGACCTTGAATGCCCTTGATATTTTATGTTGCCTGCCTACTTTGCAACCTAACTCGTAATTTTTCCCATGCCGGCCGGGTTCCCCTGCAACGCGAATAATTCCCGTTCATCTCTGGCCGACCCCAGAAAAGAACCCCCTCTCGACACCCATGCTTCCAAAAGAATTTAGTCCTTATTTGATGTTTATTACCCCGTATTATTATTCGTATACATGGTTTTATGCACAGGGGAGGGGGGGGGGGCCTTTGTTTGTCGCACAAGATATGTGCAACGAGAAATCGCCATTCCTTGCAGGGTGGTCGGTGGGTGGTGGTGGCGGGCATATTGACGAGACACCAGATATGTACGCCCCGGCTCGGGCCAACCCTCTCTTTTCTTTTTTCTTTTTTTTTTTTCAACAAACATACAAGGGTTATCAGTATCAAGTTCAACTTGACCGTGATTTGTCTCTGAAAGAAAAGAACTAGAGAAAAAAGACTCGCCCGTATCCACCGTCTGCTGCTGTGTGGCTCGGTGTAGCAATGACCAGCAGCGAGCTAAATAAGTCGGTCCTGAGCAAAAGCAGGCCCTGAGCAAAGCAGGCAGGGGAGGCGGGAGGGGGGTTTTGCCGGGTTTTGCGCTTCTGACGTGCGTTGCAGCGCTGACTGACCGGTTTACAAGGGGGGGTACATACATGTCCATCCATATGCTCATACACAATTCATGGATATTTGATATATATATATATCTTGTCTCGAGTCCAAACCTATTTTGCGCCCGGCGGGCGGGGAAACCTTCTTCTGTAAGCCATGGATGCCTCTGCATCAAGCAGCAACCCATCTTTCGGCAAGCTACCGCTTCCTTGTCGGTGTAGGCTGATCCGGAGGGAAGCAGCAAGGGCCCGAGACTTGTTTCCCTCGCTCCAGAAATGTTCCCCCCCCCCTCGGTGCGGATGCAGAGAGACGTACATCATGGGAGTCGATTCGTATGCCGCGCGCCTGGTCACCGTCCGGGCTTTTCCCAAGGCTTGCTATCCTGGTCTGATCGGCGTCTTGGCTGTCGTCTACCGCCCTTCTCCCAAGCCATGGGTTCAAGGGGACAAAGAGAATCAAACAAAAAAAAGACGCTCTTTCTGACACAGTCTAGTTGGGTTTTTGGGCAATCAAATGCACTTGTTTCGAGAACAAAGCCCTAGGGCGTAAGATACACGCCCCCCTCTGCTCTCCCTCTCATCTCTCTCTCTCTCAGTCTCTGCCCCGCCTATTCATACTAAATAACGACCTCCCCCTCCATCTCCATCTCCCCCTCTCCTCCCCCTGGCATTTTGGCACGCCCAGCCTGCTGCATCTTGCATGACCTTGGACTGCTTGTGGTGCGTGGTGCGGTGTCCTTCTTTGCCTTGTCTATTCCGAGCCAGCGCGCCGCCGCCGCCGCCGCCGCGCGCCGCGACACACGCGCCAGGGACCGGGGATTTGGGGGGAGGGGGGGTGTGTGGTCCCGAAGAATAGAGCCTCCTTCTCTCGACTCTCTCTCTCTCTCTCACGATCCGTCAAAGCGCGAGCATCGAACCCCAGATGGCTCTCGGGCGGGAGGGCCGGGGCCAGGCTTCCGACGTGACCTGTCGCATGACACAAACAAACGGTTCCTTGAGTCTTTTTTTAGAGGGAGAGAGAGGGTTTACCAGTAGGGCTTCTCTGGGGGTGTAGGACAAGGTCTATCCGTAAAAAGGAACAAGTTAACCCTGAGCTCGTGGTGGGTAACATGGCTGCATTACACCAGATTTGGTCTTTCATCTTTAATACCAGGGATGATGCCGGGGAACGCCATGAAGAAAAAGTCTCGTGCGGAGAAAGCCCCCCCTCCTATCGCTACGGAGTACGGCGTACGGAGTGTGGACTATCCCTACCTGTTCGTTTACTATTATTATTCCTATTATTACCCTCGTGCTTTTTCTTTTTCTTTTTTTTTTTCTTTTTTTTTTCTTTTTATTTTTTTCGCTTGGCTGTTTGCGCGGCTGAAACGAAAAAGGAGGGTTGACGGGGAAGAGGGCAGCAGCTATGACATGATGACATGGCCCATCGGACGGACAGGCTGGCAATGCAGTCTCTCTCATCTGTGCAGAGTGCAGAGTACGGAGTACCATCTGTACAGAGTGCAGAGTACGGAGTACATTTTTTGATTAATTTATGAATGGATGATGAAATTGATTAATTGACCAGAAATTCTCCGACGTGCGTCTGCGTGACCAACAAAGGGCTTGTCGTACCAGCATGCCAATCGGGCATCTCGTGCGTCCTCATCGCGGCTCTCGTCTGGAGCGACATCGGCTCTGAGCACCCGGCAACGTGCCATGAGGTCATCTTGGTAACAGGGTGTGCCCAAGACTATTTAATTCTTTTTTAAAAAAATTACAGAGTAATACCGGTGGCAAGCGTCTCTGTCGAGTAAGAGATGCCTCAGCTACACCCTCCTTCGTCCTCTTCGTCTCTTCGTCCTCTTCGTCCTCCCCTCTTTGCTGTCTGTCTCTCTTGTTCGAGGAACCGGGGGTCGCGGGACATTTTTTTTTTATATTTTCTTTTCTTGATGACAAGGAATGCAGCATCATCAGCCTTGCCGCGCCTCTCCGGAGCAGCAGCCCAGTATAATATGATGCGGTTCGGCCAAGCACAGAGGCCGACTGCGTCGAAAATCTTGGTTCCCATGGTCGCACAGCATTGTCATCTGCCGTCATGAGAGAGGCACACACGACTGTTTCGCTCCTCGGCCGCCCTGAGAATGCGCTGGCAGCAGGTTGAGGTGGTCAGTGAGTCAGTCAGTCAGGCTGTGAGAGAGCGTGTGAGTGTGTGTTGCCCATTTTCACGCACGCCTTCTTCCTAGGAGCAAGGAAGAAGGAAGCAAGCCCCCTTCAATCTAGATGGCATCATGCTCGGCTCCGCCTGGGTCTTGTGTTCAAGATTCGGATCAAGCCCGAGGGTCATCGTTGCAACTCCCAAAAAGAAGGCTTTGTGTCGCCGCCGCCGCCCCGGCTGGCTGCATTTCTTTCCCAAAGAGCGGTGCTGTGTTGCGCCCGCAACCCATGGAGTTTTCAGCTCTCCTAGAAGCAAGCAAGCAACAACAGCAAGGGGAGGAGGGTGCGCGCCAGACGAAAGAAGGGGTTTTTTTTTTCTTTTTTCTCTTTTCCTTTTCCAAAATGGAACAAGAAGAAAAAAGTCTGCATACTCCGTATTAGTGGCTTCCTATTGCGGTCTCTTGCAGATGCAAAACTACCTCGCGCCCGTCTGATTGGGCTCAACATGGATAAGGCGTGTGAGTGAGTGGGACAATCGTCAGTCTGTCCCGTCAGTCCATCAAGCTTGCCTGGCAACAACAACACGACAATACTTTGTAACTAGTCTACTCCGTACAAGTCGGCCGGCGCGGGCGTCCGTCCCAACGGGAATACTGAATACTGACGTCTTCCCCACTGACTGCCCTGTGCCGCCGGGGTCAAGGTTTCCAACGCCAAGCAAAAGGCAAGAAACAAGTCCAAGGCAAGAAGAAAAAGCTGCCGATCCCAAAAACAAGGGGACTTTGCGCCCTTCCACGTGTTGCCCGTGTTACACGGCCGGAGCCAAACCCAGCCCTAGCGTCAGAGGGCCGCTGCCCCTTCCTTCACCGGGCCATGTGTGTGCTTTGACATAACTCATAAGAATGATGAGATGAGATTCAAGAGTTAAATTGGGTTGGGAGCAAACCCTCCCCCCCCTCCTCCTCTCTGCCCCGGCCCTGGGTGGTCCGTTTCAATGGTTCGCCGTTCCTGAGCAAAAGAGTCCTTCTGCTGAAGAAGAGAGGGATCATCATGTCGTTGCGCGCCACGCTCCTCCCACCCCTCCCGCCGGGGGGGAGCGGAACTACTGCCGCACCTTTTTGTTGTGCCTACCAAGGAACAAAGTACGAGAGGGCCAAGCTCCAATACAAGTTGGGAGACGAGGAAGAGCGACCTAGGCCTTCAGCCCCATGTTCCAGAACCCCCATCTCATCAGGGAAAAAAAAAACATGTCCCGAGACCTTTTCCCATGCACGCGTATAATCAAAAGAGTTCAAGTCAGGGCATCTCAAACCATGATAGCCGTACTGTACCGTGCCTTGGACGCATGCAACCGGTCCCAGCCACACAACACACACACAAAGACTCAAGCCCACCCCAAAACATCCTGGTCAAGCCACATCCTGCAGGCCTTCACCGGTGATCGGCAAACGACGTCTGATTCGCCCAGACATGCAGGCATCAGCTCCAGATCATCAATCATTGCCTGTTCTTCTCGTCGACCGGGGGCCCACCACTCGGGAGACAGGCGGGGACCCTTGCGATTTTCATCAAAGAGCGACACGACGCCAATAATGGGCACGTTTGTACGTTCTCGTTTCCCTTTTTGCTCTGTGTGTACTTGCTCAAAGAGAGAGCAAGAGAGAGTATCGGTGACGGACGGGCGGGCAAGTCTAAAACAACATATTGTCCCCCCCCTCTTCGGCAGATGCCGGCTCCCCGCTCCGGGAGAGGCGGGAGCGAAACGACGAGGGAATTTTCAGAGAGAGCGAGACGAGAAAGACAAAGAGTGAAAAAAGGTACATTGTAGTACTCCTGATGGCCAAAGGGTGTGCGTGTAAAAGGCTTCCCCCCTCCCCTTGGCCGATGAAGGGGCGTCCAGAGTAGGCGATGGTGACGTCTGTCGATAGGCTCTCGAAATAAAGAGATGGTGCAAGGAAGGAGATTCACCTCCCCCGCCTTGGTTCCAGAAACAATAATTCCCAACTTTGACTGGGGGAAAATGGACGAGGCTGGCTTTCCACGTCCCGGCAGGCAACAAGGAGAGAAAAGATGACATCGTTGGGCGCGGGCAAAGGCTTTTTGAACTAGGTTGCTAGGCCAGATATCTGTGTAACACACCATGAAGCTTTACTTCTTCTTCGTTTTCGTTTCTATCAGTCTGATGATGTGCGGGATACAATCGACGATGTGTTGAAGACACACACACACACACACACACACACACACACACACACACACACACACATACACACGCGCGCATGAAAAAACAAAACAGGGCTTGCTCCTCCAGAGGTTGCACACACCGGCTCCCATTCTCTTGACGAGGCCGTTCCCAACAACCGTCAAGCCAGCCAGTCCACACCCTCCCCCAGCTGGCGGGCTTGCGAGAACCGAATCTCGTGATACCAGTACGTAGTACTGAGATTTGAGGCTGCATTGTGAAACACCCAAGGAAGAAAAAGAAATCCCCTGCCGGCGCCGAAATGAAGGGAGGCGCGGACACCGCAGGACATTCCACTCCCACCACCACACACGTACGCACACACACACACACACAGAGAGCGAGAGAGAAACCGCTCATGGGAGATGAATAAACTGGTCCCCCTAGGTACCTCGTGAATAAAGGTACATGAAATGACTTGACACGGCGTGACCCCCATAGACGCCGCACTAACCTCTGGCCCTGCCTTGGCTCTCTCCCACCGCGGTCCGTCCGGGGCGAAATGGCTTCCTGCCTGCCGAGACGCCATGCGCCATGCGCCAGCAACACTAAGGCTTTGTCCGCCATACACTACGACGCCACAATTCGCGAGCAGTTCCATACGCAGACACTCGTGCGGCGGTGCGCGCTCCCAAGCGGCGTCGGCGGCAATACGCCCCCCCCTCTTGTCAACTTGTGAAAAGGCCTAGACTCTCCAAATGGCATCTGACATGGCGGCAACGGCCGCCATCTGCTCGACGTCATGGACGCGCAACACGTCTGCCCCGCCTTGGACGGCGGCGGCGACGGCGGCGGCGGTGCCCCAGGTCCGCCCCGCGGGGTCCGCGACACCGGTGGCCTGTCCGACAAACGCCTTGCGGCTGGCACCGACGAGCCACGGCAGGCCTTCGAGACCGGGCCATGCGCGCAGCTCGTCGAGGCGCCGGAGCAGCGTGAGGTTGTGTGTTGTCGTCTTGGCGAAGCCGAGGCCCGGGTCGAGCATGATGCGCCAGCGGCGGATGCCCGCGGCTTCGGCGGCGGCGACGCGGGCCAGCAACGCGGTGGCGACAGCGGGCACGACGCCGCCCTCGCTGAAGTAGTCGGTGAGCTGCGCCATGGTCCGCGGGGTACCGCGCATGTGCATCAGACAAATAGTTGCGCCGAGGCGGCCGACGGTGGGCAGCATGTCGGCATCGAGCGCGCCAGCGGACACGTCATTGATGATATCAGCGCCGAGCGCAATGGCCTGCGCGGCGACGCTGGCGCGGTACGTGTCAACGCTGACTGACACGGCCTGGCAAGCGGGCATGCTCCGGATGAGCGCGACAGCAGGTAGCACGCGCGCGGCCTCTTCATCGGCCTCGATCTCGGGCCGGCCCGGCGCGGTAGACTGGCCGCCGACGTCGATGATGGTGGCACCACCGCGGACCATGTCGAGTACAGTGCTGGACAGGTCGGCCGCCGCATGCCGGCCGCCGTCAGAGAAGGAATCGGGGGTGACGTTGAGGATGGCCATGATGCGTGAGGCGCGGGTTGGCGTGAGCGGCGTGAGCGGTGCCGCGTGGGCCGAGAGCCGCGTGACGCAGAACAAGGGCTCGCTGCCGGGTAGATCATTGAGGTAGTCCTGTACGAGCTTCCACGGCTTGGATGGGTCAATGGACTTGGAGGGGATGAGTCTGGAGGAGAGCAAGGTGGTTAGCATGGGCTCAGGTTGGAGTTGAAGGGGAGGGGGAAACCAACTCGGAAAGTGGTCGGAGTACGAATTCACGTTCGGGAATGCCAATATGAGGTACGGTCAATCTTTCGTTGGATATCCTCTCATTACCGTAGAGCAGAATATCGAGGTCAATGTTTCGTGGGCCCTTGTCGATGAGTTTGCGACGACCCAGGTCCCTTTCTATCGACTGGAGCTCATCAAGCAGAGCCATTGGCTCTAGTTCAGTTTCGACCTGCATGCAGTGACGGATTAGCATATAGAGTTTCATTCAGACATGAAAGTATCTCGTCTCTCATGAGTGGTTCCGCCAGGTCGGGGTTGGTCAAGATAGGATGCATCCATCGAATCTCAAGTGACCTGATTGCACATACCTCACAGACTCCATTGAGAAAGCGGTCTTGGTCCTTGACGTACATTGGTTCCGTCTCCCAGAGGCTACTCGTGCGAGTGACGTTGATCCCTCGCTTGTCCATTTCATTGCAGGCGCGCTCAATCTCGGCGACGCGGTCGCCCAAGTTGCCGCCGAGGGCAATGTAGGCTGTCGTGGTACGCTTGGCGCCTCGACAGCCGCAGCCCGCGTATGATCGACGGCTGATTCTGCCGGCTCCCGGAAGATGAGCCTTGTCCAAAGTATGACGAGCACATGCCGTGGTTGACGGAAGCACGCGGGAAGTGGTGCAGATGGTTCGAGCAACGCTGGCACAGGCGGCGCGGTGCGCGGAGTGCCGGGAAGCGCGGGCGAGCGCCCCAGCGGCGAGCCGGGCGTGCATGATGCGATTCGAGGGACGGAAATGAGTCTCGAGCTGCGCGTTATTGGTGCATCGTCAGTTGTGCTGGTGGTTGAAGGGGCCAGCGGCTGCGGAGTAGGAATTTTTTTGACAGGCGCGCCGACAGCGGGAGGCAGTTGCCATTGTATTACCGCGGTGGCGGACTACAGCGTCGCAAAACGAATGTGTGAGTGAGCTTGGTTGTACATCTACTTGGCATTATTTATGAAAAGTCGTCCGCTTGATTTTCAGTTTTCCCCGAGACTGGGAGATGAGATGTGTCTTTGTAAAGAACCGCGCGCGCCGTGGAGCTTGGGTCGGCTGGTCGCTAACTGCTCACTATGTACAAATTAGGTACCTTAGACCTGCAAAGTGCGTGCGCTTTGGTGGCAGATCCAAGTACCGTTGTCCAGCCCGCAGCATGAAGACGGCTAAAGGCTGCGGCTGGTAGCCTATCACAGGCCATATCAAGGTTACAGCCAATGCCGTCTTGATTCGGGTCACGGCTGTTGGTAGAGGCAAGCGACAGCAAAGCTAAGACAAGGTCTAGATATTTGCAACGATCGGGCTCGCGGATACGGCAAGTCGGAGCGGACATAGTCGGCGAGACGAGATGCGGGTGCGAGATTTTGGGGAAACCGGGGGAGGAAGGTTTATCAATCAGTAACTAGTAGAGTCAACACGGCCCAGTAATGACATGCCTAACTAGGTACCTTGTCGGCCTAATTCGCTCGAATTGAATGCTTGTGACAGCGCCATGGCCGCCCGGGGAGGGTGGCAGAGACATAGCCGGGCAGTGGCAAATAAGCCCACACAAAGTTATTTGGTTACAGTGGCTATATCCGCTAGGAGGACGTTTGCGAGGGGGAGAGCCGCTCTACCACTGTAAAAGACAATTGCGGCGTTGACCCTGCGGGGATGTCTTGCAGTTGGCTGTGCTACCAGTCGGTTGCCTATAGCAAGCAGATAGATGCGGGGTGACAAGAGATAAAAGACACATCATGCAGCCCGATTGAGAAAAGAAAATGAATGAGTTACATGGTTAGCCTCCAATGTCCGCGGATTACTCTACCATTTGCCTGGCGATCAAGACCAGCAACTCCGTGTGCTTCTTTCTGTCCCTCGGCATCTTTTACCCCAGATTGAGCTATGGGGATCCTCCAGTGGCTTCCATGCCTGTAGCGCCCCCCCGTAGTTGCTAGCTCGGCGCATTTTAGGCATTTTAGTGGTCTGATGCCCGTTTCTACCGTTTCTACAGCACATTCGGCCCCACTATCCTCCCCTGGGGATTGTGCCTGCCACTCTTCCGAGCTCGTGCCTCGGCTCATTCTGATTCCCCGGCGACACTCCGCGCATCCAGAAATCCGTTATTAGACTTGCCACCTGCGCCTTTCTCTTCACTCCTGCTCCTCCTCCTACATCCAACTTTGTCTTCATATCTGTATTCTCTCCTCTCAAGGCAAACTGACACCCTCGTCGTCGTCGCTTTCCCTCTCTTCTTCTCCCTACATACCACACATCACACAACCGTCATAATGGCCTCTCCTCGTACGTCGGCTCCTCCATCCCGCGCTACCTCGGCTGCCGAGTCTCTCCATCAATCACTAACCAGTCCTCTTGTCGCGATGCAGAGCAGATCCGCACTCCCATCACCGATCTTTTCAAGATCAAGCACCCCATCCTGCTGGCCGGCATGAACGTCGCTGCCGGCCCCAAGCTGGCTGCCGCCGTCACCAACGCCGGTGGTCTCGGTGTTATTGGTGGTGTCGGCTACACCCCCGAGATGCTTAAGGAGCAAATCACCGAGCTCAAGGAGTACCTCGACGACAAGAACGCTCCCTTCGGTGTCGACCTGCTTCTCCCCCAGGTTGGCGGTAGCGCCCGTAAGACCAAGTAAGCAAACGCGCGCGCCGCAACCAAGAAAAAAATTGCCCGTCTCTCTGTCACAGCGCCCACGCTAGTCAGCCGCCCTGTCACATGCGCAAACATCTGACAGCGCCATGGTCAGCGGCATGCGCACGGCATAGGAGCCGTATTATTTTCGGGGTATTTCCCAAGGCCAGCATTTGCTAACATGTACTCTCTCTGCGCAGCGTCGACTACACCAAGGGCAAGCTCGACGAGCTCGTCGACATCATCATCGAGTCCGGTGCCAAGCTCTTCGTCTCCGCCGTCGGTGTCCCCCCCAAGCATGTCGTCGAGCGCCTGCACAAGGCCGGCATCCTCTACATGAACATGATTGGCCACGTCAAGCACGTCAAGAAGTGCATCGACGTTGGTGTCGACATCATCTGCGCCCAGGGCGGCGAGGGTGGCGGCCACACCGGCGACACCCCCACCACTGTCCTCATTCCCGCTGTCGTCGAGGCGGCCAAGGCTGGCAAGTCCCCCCTCACCGGCGGCCCCATCCAGGTCATTGCTGCTGGCGGTATTCACAACGGCCAGCTGCTCGCCGCCTCTCTCATGATGGGCGCTACCGGTGTCTGGGTCGGCACCCGCTTCATCCTGACGGACGAGGCCGGCGCCCCCAAGGTGCACAAGGAGGCTGTCAAGAACGCCACCCACGACGACAACATCCGCACCATCATCTTCACCGGCCGTCCCATGCGCGTACACAACAACCCGTACATCAACAACTGGGAGACGGAGCGCCAGCAGGAGATGAAGGAGCTCGCCGCCAAGGGTACCATTCCCTACGAGGCCGACCTCGACAAGTTCATGGACGTCCTCGACTCGGGCGACCCGACGAAGATGGGCGAGGCCGCCAAGAAGATTGGCATTGAGGCTCTCGCCATTGACGAGGACAACGACCCCATTGACGCTTTCCGCCCTCTGCTCATGGGCAAGTGCGCCGCTGTTGTCACGGAGCAAAAGTCGGCTCGCGCTGTCATTGACGAGTTTGTCAACGATGCTGTCGCCTGGATGCAGCGCGGCAACAAGATGATTGCCAAGCTGTAAATGACTTTTACAAGAAAAGATGAAGAAACAAAAAGGCATGTGTGAAGCATCTATGATGAGACGGACTCTCGGCCAGTGTCGGGCGCACAGCCCTGCACCATTCCTGGGTGTTTTTTTATTATTTATTTTCCTTTTGTCATATATCCTGTAGATTAGAAAGCATCTGAATAACGAATCCAAAAAAAAAATTGGAAAAAAGACTGTACAAAAATGTCAGACAGACGCATTCCTGATGTGTCCTGTGACGTCCCCTGATGTGTCTGTGTGACGAGCTGATGGGCTACATGGCTCCTTGCAGCGTGGCGCTGACATGTGATGACAGCTCTGCCAAAGAACTCGAGTTGCCGAAGAGCGCGACACGTCTTCCCCACACTTTTTCTCTTTTGACCAGGGCCACCAAAAAGATGCCGAGAGGAGGGCAGGCGAATCTCCGAACCCTGCCTATCACGAATACCAGAACATCGCCTCGGTGCGCGTAACCTGTAACTTGACCACACCGGCTAATCATCTGGAATCACCTCGAATCACAAATGGTAGCCATCATCATGGGCTAATTTTCATGTTTTTTTTTATTCATTCCGTCCCCTCGTTTCATTCCCACTTTTTGTGATTCGCCGTCGTATTTTTACCCTGTTCCACCCCCGACAAAGCGGATCAAACAAACATGAATCACTACAAAGAAAAAGTGTTGCGAAAATTAAAAACAAAAAAGAAACGAACTGCTGCCGTTGCGCGTATATCAAACTCGCCCCGTCAGCCCCGGCTCCTCTAAAGCCTCCCCCAGCTTTTTCGCTAATAAGAATGGGCGCGCGTATGCTCCCCACCGTTGGAATAACCTTCTATACTCATCTTCGTGTCTTTCTTTTGTGGCCGTCGCGATGAATTTAGTTGCCAAGGTACTGACGGATGGCACCTTGTAGGCGGGTGGCACCCTCGCCAACCAGGTTGCCCAGGTTCTCCAGGTCGTCGCTGGCCGTGATGCCGAACTTGCGCACAAAGTCCTTGGCGGCCGACTCCAGATCCCCGTACTCGTCCTCGGGCTCGTCCTCGGGGCGACCAAAGTAGGCGTTGGAGGAAATGGACGTCGCGCCCTCGAACCCTTGGAGGCGCCCCTTGGCCTCGGCTTGCGAGTTGGGGTCGTATGCTCCCTTGCCAAAATATTCGTCCGACGAGATGCCCTTCTGCGTGCCGAATTTGCTACGGGCGTAGTTGTCAGAGTCATCTAGGAAGGAAACATGTTAGCCGACAGCCATCATCACGTGAATGCAGTCTCCCAGCGTAAACCTACCAGTAGAGGCTTTGACGGGACCGACGGAGCCAAAACCGCCAGTATTCTTCTTTGTGTCCTTGGCAGCTGCAGCCTTGGAGCCGCCGCCAATCTGGCCAAAACCGAGTCGAGCGACTTCCACCTCGACGTTCGACTTCTGCCGAGTATGTGATGAGCCGCCCTGCGCGGGGCTGACGGGAGTGGGCGAAATAATGGTGGCAGCAGAGCCGGAGTTGGCAGGAGCCTGCTCTGCCTCCGCATCGGGATCGTATCCCAGCTTGGCGATTCGATCGGCCTCCTCCTTGGCCAGCTTCTCCGCCTCATCAAAGTCAATGACGTCGCCAGTTACCTTCTTGGCTCCAAGCTTCGTCGTCTTCTTCGCACCAAGCACGTTCGTCTTGCGGGCGGCGCCTGTCGTAGTCGTCTTTCTCAAAGCTGCAGACGACGTGCGACTAGTAGCGGGCCGGGGGTCAGCGGCGCCATCAGCCTTAGCTAGGGGCGACGCGGATCGTGAGCCATCCTGGCCGGCATTGATGAAAGGAGACGGTGTGCGGCCAACAACAGGCGGTGTGGCCGTACGCGAGATTGGGGGCGTAGGGCGCTTGATGGCCGGCTTGTCCCACGACGAGAAGAAGTCGTCGTCTGGCTCGCCGGCCGGTGTCGCAGAGCCATCATCGGCACCATCCGTAATGACAACCTCCTCGGGGTACGCCTGCGCATCCTTGGCGGCACGTCGCTTCAGTTCATCCTTGTATTTAGTGGCGGCATTGGACTGGTATTTGGTTTTAGGGTCCTTGCTGTTGAGGGCTGCAGTGCCGCCGTTGGCGCGGAAGAACTTGGCAGCCGACTCGTTGCCGCCAACCTTCATCATTCGCAGCTGTTCCCATTGCCATTGATCGAGGTTTGTAGAGCGGACAAAAGAGATGTGGACGCCGAGATTGCGGTGGTTCGAAGAGCAGTCGAGACACAGGTAAATGCCAAAGGGGACAGAAGTCCAGGTGGGGTTGTTTTGCCCACAGTCAAAGCAGGTCTGGTCGCAAACACGATTTGTTAGCTTCGGCCGCCGCATCAGTCTCTTCCAAGAGGCGCGCTACAAACCTTGTTAGGCAGCTTCGACTTGAGCTTCTCAAAGATCTTGTGCGACTGCTGTTTCGTCGCGAGGCCACTCATCTTGTCGAGCGGGTAGAAGGGGTGAACCGGGTGAAATAGGCAATGCTCGGTATTCTGGGCCGGCGGGTGTATACTCAGAAGGCTATATTACGTGAAATAGACAGGCAGCGATCAAGATTATGTGTTGGTTGCTCGTAGAGTACGGCCAATACGGAATAAGGAGACTCGGAGGGAGGTCAGGGAGGTCAGGGCGGGCGGACTATTGTGGTGAAGTGGCATGAAGGGAAATCGCCCAACGTCATTGGATGAAATTGGGCCCTCGCCCCCACATTATGGCTCTGCCGAGGGCGGTGAGCCTCCCATGGTCTAGAACTTGGTTGAGCGATGCCTCAATGGAAGCTACAAAAGTGCAAGTTCCCAGCATTCAGTAGCAATTGTAGCTACCTCATCCTATGATTCTAGGCTGTTCTCATTGTATTTGAGGACATGTACGCGCGAATTTCGACGTCATGAAACCCGTCACCTCCCTTGCGGCCCTGCGCCCCGCGACGAGCTTTCTCAGTACCAACAACAGCTTGCGCACCTGGACAATCGCTCGATCGTATGCGACGCAAAATACACAAGGACCGACGCCCCTAGGGCCAAAGAGACGAGGCGTGACACCATTTAATGACGACGGCTATGTCCCCTGGACCGAGCTTTCGGTCCCAGAGAAGGCGGCTCGCGCCACGCAGCAGAGCTTCAACGTTGGACTTGTCCTCGTTGGTCTCGTGCTCACTGTCAGTACCCTATACAATGCGAATAGCGCATTTTCCTGCGCATGTTTCCAAACTAATTCCAATGATCTGTTGCAGGGAGGAGTCGGATACCTTTTGTGGACGGACGTCTTCTCGCCAAACAGCAAAACGGTCCAGTTCAACCGAGCCATTGACAAGATCAAAAAGGACGAGCGATGTCTGGAGCTTTTCGGCGAAGCAAAGAAGATTCTCGCTCATGGAGAAGAGACGAACAACAAGTGGCAGCGCGCGCGACCTCTAGCGTATTTTGAATGGATCCAATATCGTCAAGCCATGTGTACTAATGCGCCTTTGCAGGTCGTCGGAGCGCGTGGATAAGCAGGGAGTTCACCACCTGCTCTTACACTTTCACGTACGTGCCATTTCGTCGTCTAGACGGGTCATATCTAACCATGCCACAGGTTGAAGGACCTCGCAACCAGGGTGTAGCGCAAGTCCATATGGTCAAGCCTCTCGGACACTCCGATTACGAATACAAGTACCTGTTTGTCGATGTCAAAGGTCATGGGCGAATCTATCTGGAGAATTCCGATGCGAAACGATCCGATTCTGGAAAGAAGTCATTCACCCTGTTTGGGGTCAAATGGGATTGAGGCAGCATATGGGAAGCTGTCTCGCGGGACTCAGTCTTATCCATGCCGCTGATGACAAATTCCCCTGTACAAATTGTATACTATTTCGAGCATCATGAGCAAGGACAGCGTTTTGACAAATGGGCATATTGGGGTCGAAAGGGGAGCACCAAACGGTCAGCATGCAGGTGAGGAGGCATTTCTTGAATCAGGATTCCGTGTTAGCATGATGCCTTACATCTGTTGATTTTGTTACGGATGCAAAACTTCGGCTTCCATATCATCACTTCCTTAAGGAACAATCGACCCTCAGAAACGAGTGAAAATAAGGCGAGGTGGTAGACTGACTGGACAGAATGGCATGTGTTGCTGAGGAAGAAAGAAGCCGGGTGCTTTCTTGTTGTAATTGGGATGTGAGCTGCCAATCAAGGAGCCGCCAAATCCCGTGCAAGGCCCTAGATTCGAGAACGCTGGAAAGAGACAGGCTGGTGTCAGTCAAGTTGCAGTCCTGCCTGAGGCTGGAACGTGCGGTTCAATCTGGTCTCGAATTAGGAGTTGGAGGCGACTCTGTCGACTCTGTTGATTTGCCGCCATGACAAGCTTCGTAAACAGAACTCTCAGCTCCATGCTTGGAGATACATATGCACACTTGGATCACATGCAATATTCATGGGAGCTCCAGGGCAGTTCGATTTGAGGCGAATCCAGTCCTGTACGACGGCGCTAGAGTTTCCCACGCCCCAGAAGAGTATCTGCACTATTATCGGAAACTCGAATACTTGTGGCGGCATACGAGCAAGTACCTTTTCGGACGGGATGGGTTCAAGGCGACGGAGACCGTCGGAGGGTGTGTGATTAGAGTCGAGGTTGCACGCGGAAGATGAGGCTCTGCTCATAGGCCCTTTTAATGCTGGCCTGGGGGAGATTTGGAGAGCGGGGAGACAGGGACCAAGCTTGACTGGGATTTGGTGAGGAGACTGGAGGAGAAGATACTGGAGAATGGAAGTTGCGAGAGGCACAAAAGCATGTGAAGACTGGCCATTGCGTCAGGGATTCAGCACATCGGCAGAAGATACGATCCCGCCACGCGCCGAAAAACGAATCAATGGCACCAGGGATTGCGGATATGGCGGCCGGGCTTTTGCTGGGCAGCTGGGGTCAAGGGCCAGTGGGTAAAGAACCCCTGTCAGGAGCGTCGCGATAGCCGAAACGCGATTGCTTTGCAGGATTTTGGCTTGTTGAGCCTCATTTCGTTGTGCCTCGGCTATTGCCTGATAGGCTCTGCACCACCAACAGCCTCTTCGGGCCACGGCCAACGGCCGAGCACGGTCTCTCCACCTCGAGGACGCCTTGTTCCCCTTTGGGGACACACCGGCGGGTAGGCTACTGTAGAGGAAAACTTTGTTTTAATCTGACAGCAGGCAGCTGGCACGGCCGCGTGGCGCGTTCCCAATCTACTCACCCTGGAATGAGACCTTGACCGCAGAAATTGCTCGCAAAACAACCAATTGTCCAGGCATGGAAATACCCCGCGGGGGAAGACCAGAATCGAAGTGGGGGCCATTTGAGCCGAGGTTACGAAATTGATGACTCAAACACTTATACACAACATAACATAACCGCGACTACTGGTAACTCTAACTAGTTATGCAGACCAGTATGAAAGCAGAACCGATGTGCCCGATTCTGCTCCAACTACACGCAAGGTCTTTGTAACTATTGCCTAACGCAGTATTCTACACTTGGCAAATCGCACGAGGTTACTCTCACTGCTGTATCGCGAGCCACTCTGCACCTTGTCGCCCTGTGAGCCGGCAACGCGTCTTGCTTGATACGACTTGCCACAAACATTGTAGAGCGTTGCTTGTTTGCCGGCCTATGGGGCGTGATAAGGAGCTGCAGCCGCCATCGCAGCAGCGCGGGGTGAAAGATGCAAAGATAGCGGCGATGCAAAGTCCTGCCCGGACTTTTTGGTAAAAGCCCTACGCGGGCAGCGTACGCGGGGCGTTTTATCCGCAGGGCCCATGCCGTCATTCTGGCTTTTTCGACGTCGGCCCGTTTTGGAGCATGAATCTTTTAGTTACTAGTTACTTTCAGACTTGGGACCATGGCGGCCCCGGATGGCGTCAGAACGGAAACGGTCTGTCTCTGGATACCCATTTGACTCGTCAACTTGCTCGTTATTCAAGCAGCGCGTAGCGACGCTTGGCGAGATGCTTGGGCAAGACGACATGGTTCAGGTATCGTTTATACTACCAACTCTTTACATGAGGCTGTCGGCAAATCAGTGCCAAATGATGGACGCATGGGGGGGAGGGGCTACGGCGCTCACAGAAGCCAGCCGGTCTCCGTGCGCCACGGCCGCTTTGGCTCATCTTGCGAACCAACGTCGAGCTGGGTTGAGACAAGAATGCTACGTGATGCCCTCTAGGTATCGTTTCTGCTCTCTCACGGCAGGTCGCTGTAGACACATGGGTGACATGCCGCTGGCCGGCGTTGGTTGTATTACGGAGCGGAGCGGGTTCTGCCGGCACATGGCGAAAAGACGACGAGAGGTATGTAGGTACCTGCAGGATGGATGCCTTGAACCTTGTCCTCTGGTACAAGTCACTGCTTGACAGGCACTCTGGCGCGCCCCATCTCCTGACAGCGAAAAGGGTACAACTACTCAGTCGCAGCGTCGCACTCGGGAAACGCGGAGCCTAACTAGCTCAGCCGTCGTCTCCGTCATCAGGTTTTTGCGTTGTTCTATTCTGAGAGCGTTGTATGTACTGTAGCGCGGTAAGCACCCGTCACGCCACAAAGGCAGCGCAGTCTTGACCTTTCTTGTCTGGTTGTTGTTGATGCTTGCCACACGCACCGCCTCGAGACAACCTCGCGCCTGGCCTGAGGGTGGTGGAGAGGAGGGGGGGGGCTGGTCCATGTATGTATAGCGGATATAGTGCTATGCATCGGAAGATCGAGCGGGATTCACGAAACAAGGAGGATGGTGTAGATCAGGCCATGCATACGCCGCGCGCGCTCCTTTTTTTTCTTTTCTCTCTGTCGGGGCGGAGCTGCCGTTTCGGCCAGATGGGGGGGGGCAGAAGATGCGGAAGGAGAAGTTTGTTTTGTTTGATGCAGAAGCAGCAGCTGTCCATACCACGGGCGCGTTGTTGAGGAGAGGAGGAGAGGAGGAGAGGACAGGTGCCCGTTGAATGGCGCTGTTGGCCCTGCATAGCGGCGGTTGCTGCAGGGGCCTCGTTCGATTCTAGCCGCCCCTGTGCCTTGGCTGGCCACATGTTTGCACCACGAATTCGGCGGCCTCGTTGACACTTGTTGGTAACTACAAGTCGTACGCCGGTCCTATCCGTTCTCAATGCCCATACATACATACATACATATCCATATATATGCCCATGCTTGCAACCCCCCTCGACTCCCATCGCTGGCAAGGATAATGGGGAATGGGTAAGGCAAAAAGCCCCCAGTGGCGTTCCCTTGGCTGGGCATTAGTACCCCCAAGATATGTATAAATCAGGCAGGCGAAAAGCCCTTTTTTCCCTTTTTTCTCACCACAGCACGCAGTAGTGTCAGCGCCGAGCGGAGCAGCCTCGCTATTTGCTCAGGCTTGGGGGTGTGCAATATTGCTCCATCATCGTCTATTATAACACCATTTTTCTTCTTGGCTTTTTGTTTGCAGGACAGGTACTGTCCACTGCCCCGCGTCTTGGGAACAACAAACGTGCAGATGAAGATTTTTTTTGTGTTTTTTTTTTCCCTCGCCACTGGTGTGACGATGACGCAGAAAAACCACCTCTCCGTACAAGTTTGTCTTCGCCCGTTATCAAGCAGGAGAACAGTGGCGCGCGCTCCGAGAATGCCCGAGGCTGCGAGTCAAGCAAAACCAGCGTAGTTACAGCGGGGTTCGTCCCGTAACAAAAAAAAAAGAAGAAAGAAAGAAGGAAGAAAAAGACGGCCCGGCTAACACGTTGGGGCCTTGCTGTAGTTACCTACCTGTTAGTTAGCAACTCCTGGTAAGCGCTCTTCCAGCCTGTCGCAACAGGAACATGGCCTCTTGCAGCGCAGTGACTGGGCTAGACGCCGACGAGGGGAAGCCCGTTGTAAGCCACCGAGGAACTACGGAAATCGCTTCGCTTCCCCCCTGCCTACAGGGTTGTCATTTTGACGAACTCGCTTCTTCACACAGAGTTATTACTGGTGACATACATACAGCGAACTCACTGCAACGTAACAAAAAGGCCCTGCCGGGAAGCGCGTTATGTTGTAGGCGGTCCAGACCTTGGGCCAGGAGTAGCCGTTTTGGGTGACACCGAGATTGCTGCCCGTCTTACACTGGTTGCCATGTACCTTGATGGCGTGGGAAGCGAAAAACGTGCTCGTGTAAGCGAAGAGGACCATTGTACAAGAGTATTGGACCATCCAAGGAAGAAGAATCACTGCCTGCATCCCCCTTACAATGTACCTGAATCTGTCCAATCGTGCCCATCCGACACGACCGTGGGGATTGCCCTTTTGCCCTGGGTGGCTCTTTTGGCATCCAAATTGCCCCCCCTCTACAAGTTCCAAGGGTCGTGGGGGGTTACATTCATCGTGCATGCCAGGCTTGATCCTCCTTGTTCATAATAGCCCTCCCTCCTTCACCGTGAGAAGGTGCCCGTTTTCCGGGGCAGCGAGGCGCAATCCCTCGGCGAAGCCGAAGCCAAAACGCCCCCCCCCCCCGCGGCCGGCCCTGTTCCTTGCAACAATTGCACGGTGGAAAATGAAAATACCCATATCTGCTATCTCGTCATCTTTCAAAAAAAAAAAAGAATAGTTTGTGTGCCCATCGACGCCGCTAGTCGCCATCATCACACCCCCCTCTTCTGGGGAATACGGGGACATTTTGTACGCCACCAGCACCGGTTCTTAGAGAGTCCCATCTTGAAGTTCTTTCCTCCCTAGTTATAAACTCCGTGTAAAGAACCACGCCGTTTTGAGCCCGTTTGAAGTAAAGCGTTAGGGACCAAAGAAAAGAAAAGAAAAAGGCCAAGCTTCCGGCACCACCCCCGGATTCTCGCTCCGCCTCGTTCTTCACATGTTGTTGGGACAGCCCGCCATAACTACCTAGTCAACTTTATCACTTGTTTCTTTTCATGTATGTACAACTAGTTGGCTCTTTTTTCAACTAGGACTATCCTAGTTTGTGATTATCCCATACCAATCTCCACCCCCACACTTTGTGGTCTCTTGCCTATCCATCCATACATATGTCATATGTAGCTTTGCCAATCATGATAACACGGCCATTTTAGTTTGCCCAGATTGGCGGTTTCTGGAACTTGGGGAGGGGGAAAAACGCCACCAGATAATGCAAACGAAAAAAGGGGAAGGTGGCGAGAAGGAAGCTTTCCAGCTCAGGCCGTCTGCCCCCGTGGGGGAGCTCGCTGATACGGGGGTTAGCTTGTGATGGTGGCCTTTTTGCCCCATGGGTAAACGATGAATCTCACCTTGAGCGTTTACCCGTTTTGGGTCAAGGCTACCATCGCTTTGTCGTACCACAGATTGCGGCGCCAATCAGGCCATCGCGGGCCGACTGGCTGACTTGTCTTCGTTCCGAGCAGCGAACCCTCGGAATCAATGTTACCCCCTCCCCGTTTTGTGTCCGTCAAAGACAACTGTGGGAGAAATTGAGCGGGCCTTTTGCTGGGCAGGGATGCAGAGAAATCCGGGAATTCAACAAGGTTTTTTTGCCGAGCTGGCGAGCGTGTTGCTTGCGTTGGCGAGAGGACAAGGGCGGTATGGTATGTGATGCCAATAAAGCCACCAAGCAGCCGTGTGTTATCGAGAGCCGGCCCGTTCTTCTGGGCTGAACATCTAGGGCGACGTTAACTAGGGCATGATGGGGCGCCGTCTTGGCTTTCCAATTCACCCCCTTGTCCCCCTCAGCCTACCCGAGCGGAGAGCAGAGGAAACGGCTTATTTTTTGCTCTCAACTTATTCTTGTATTTTCTTCCCTCCTGGGGTCCTGGGAAGGGGGTTGAACAAAGGGCGCTGGTTGGCCCGAAAGCGAACCCAATCAACGGGCATCATCAACACGTTTCGCAAAGCCACAGCAGCAACCAGAGGCCTTGGCGAAGAACCCGTGTCGCTCGCTGTGTTGCTTTGCGCCATGGCAGAATCTCTGCCGCATGTTTCGAGTTGATGGGCCGGGTCAGTTTGTGACTCGCAACGACTTTGTAAATGCAGCACTGGCCGAAAGAGGATATGTGCATGTTGCACGCCTTGGGAGCAACAGTTGCCGCGCTTTTGTCAAGACGTTGCGCTCACTTTGCTGAATTTCTCTTTCATTTCTCTTACTTTTTTTTTTCTTTTTGCACCTTCTCTTCATCCAATTTTTGATTTCTTCGTACTTTTGCTAGAGTAGATCGCCATGCAGCCGCCACAGCCCCCAAAATGCAATCCACCACGCAAGTATAACCATCAAGGGCCACATAACCTACGCGAGATCCATGATGTGATTTTTCCTCCCAATTATGTAAAATATTCACAGAGTACTGAACCATTGTGACCTGATCTGGTAAACAAAGTAAAAGGCCTCGGAAAAAGAGAAAGAAGAAAAGGCAGACCAGATAAGATGCAAACGCCTCCTGGCTTACAGCAATGCACCCCGTCTTGCTTCAATGCTTGGTAGGCAACCATCCTGCACCTGCAATAAGGAATGGGCATGTCAATCATGGAAATATACCGTACATGGCCGCCGTGCCATGGCATCCCTCTCGTTGCACTCGTAAAAACTCCCTTCACCGACAGCCGCCACAGCACCAGCTTGCAACCCCACGGGCAGCAAGGGGAGGAGGACAAGCCAATCTATATGGGCTATATGCGGCGCCTGCTATGAACCGCCACGCATCGACAACAAAGTCGTGGGCAAGGGGGTCGCATCGGGCCATTGCAGGGGCAGAAAAGGTGTTCACTTTGCTGAGCTATTCAGTGGTTAGTTGCAGCCGCTTGGACAGTGGCCCTCTCTCTCTCTCTCTCGCTCTCGCTCTGGAAGCTCCGAACGCAGCACTCGGCGGTCCGAGACGGGCTTGTGCAACCAGTATCTTTACATGTGGCTGCACGCAAGCACCCCAGGCAGACTCCCCCAAGGGTATCCTCCATCAGGGAAAGCGGTCCTTGTCGTTTTGCTCATTACATGTCCTTTGCGGCCCGCCAAGCTTCGTAGCCTGGACCTCAAGGTCAAAATAGAAATAGAAACCGCCGGCCGCAATTTACTGCAAGAGCCTGGGTTCCTGCGGCTGTCTATAAAAAAGCGAAACGCTGGTTTCAACGGTTATACTTCTTGTGTTGGCAAACCGGGGGGGGGGAGACGCTCCAAAAGAGACAAGAGGCGCTTGGCAATTGGCGACTTTTCGGCTGAACTTGTTCGTCTCTTTTCTTTTGATAATTTACCCAGGGCTACGTTACTCTAGTTAGACCGATCCCTGCCCCGATCCAAGGTTTCGCTGATCCCCCCCCCCAAAAACACGACAAGCTTTTTGGTACGAGAAACGCTGCACGTTGTCGAGTGAATATATTAACAAGAGCCTGCACCATCCAGTCGCAAAATCACGTTGTTTAATCTGCAGAGGTTGGATCATGGAGGCGAGCCCTCTCTCTGTGTGTTCTGTTCCCACCCTTTCCGTCCACATAATTCGTGGTGCCTGGTACTGTGTAAACGTAATATATATTGCATACCGATTCACGTAAAAAGGGCTATCTATGACAGACACAAGAGCCGCAAGAAGAAGTAAGAAATACCGCGTAAATAACCATAAAAGAGGGCATCCAATGTCAGGACAGGGCCACAAATTCGATAGCCGTTGGGCAAGTTTCCACACTTTTGCCTGGTCTGTGGCAAATGTTTTTGAGATATATACATGTATTTATTACTTGCCTATGGTTTCGTCTATTCTCTCGCATCCGCTCGCTGGCCTCCGGTCTCCGGGCAGTCGTCTTGCAAACGTGGCCGCCCAGATATATTTCTTTTTCATCTGAGCCAGCTTGCCGCCTGTCATCGGCTCAACCGTTCCCCCCCTCCCGTGTCACCGGTCCAACTCTGCAGGCCGGTCCGTCCGTCCCGATAGCACACATCTCTTTCCCTCCATCTGTGCTAACTAGTTTTGTTTGTCGATGGCCAGAGGAGGGTGGCCTGTTTATCTTTCCCTTTTCCTGGCTCCTAGCCATCGTTCCGGAGCGTGATCTCGGTAGCTGGATCCCGCACACCTTCCTCCTTCCTCCAGCCCACCCCCCCCCCCCCCCCCCGCCCTCACCCCTCTATCATCCATGATGGCCGGGCTGGAGACTTCTAGACCCGTGCTGCCGCGTTACAAAGTAAAATGAAAAAAAAAGAGACAAAAAACGTAAAAATGACGGGACAAAAAACGGGTGCCTCGGAAAGGTTGGCGCCCAGCAAATGACGACATGGAACGAGCGAGTGGTGCGCAACAGAACCACTGCGAAATGGGCGGCGCCGCGCCATGGGTCCGACCGTCTGACCTCCACACTGGCACCCCGTGGGCTGCCCACGTTTTCTACTAGTCACTCACTCAATCGTGCACATGCTCACCAGATTAGCTGAACGAGGCGAAAGTGGGCTATCTTTGTCAGTGGTGCAGTGCGTGAGAGCCCAGGTGTGCGCCTGTGTGCGCGTGTGCGTGTGCCTGCTTATTAGACAAGGTGGCTGTGCCATTCTTTGAATCAGTCGACCGGTCACGGCAATCAAACCAGAGCGCACTTGTCATATTGTGTATTGTTGGGCTCCCTGACGCTCCCTACACTGGTTGCGTAGGTTCATCCATGTAAATAAACTAGTCCAAATATTATTGCTCAAAAAGAGCAGGCAAAGCCAACGAGCAAAAAAAGAAATGTAAAGAGTGCGCCGCGAAGTGGTGATGTCTAAGTCCGTTCCTTTCCTGGTCCTGTCCGTTTTGTCCCAATGTTTTTGCACAAAAAGTTACGAGTCCCCAAAACTGAGACGAGAAAAACAAAGTCAATTCAAAAGCAAAATTTGTGTTCGCGCGACGTAGCCACCTGCCTCTGTGGCACTGCCGGTACAGAGGAGAAGCGGCCGTCGGCGTACACCCGTAAACGCCAATGTCTATCCTTTAACCGTCTATGTTCCCAAGTCATAAAGTCGTCGCCGCGGCGGTTGTGAGGCGGCTCCTAGGCGCGATCCATCAAGTCGCCGCCGGCGAGACTGCCAGTAGCAGAGCTGCGTCCGCTGTTGCCATGGTAGCCCTGGTCAGAGAGGAGATCCTGAACCGCCACCTTGGGAGGCTGGGGCACGGGGAGCTTTCGCTGGTTGCCGTCGGGACGGCTGAGAATATCCGTCAGAGACATGCCGGTGCGCTGAGCACCGCTCTGCTGCAGAATCGGAGGAAAGGCAGGTGTCTCCAGGTGGGGCTCCATGGGGGCCAGAGCAGGCGTCGTGTGCTGCAGAGACAGGTTGCGTAGGCTGGGCAGCTCGTAGCCCGAAAAGGGGCGGAGGCGCGGCGAGTGAGCCGGCGTAGCAATGGGCGTATGGTCAGGAGTGGGCGAGAGAGAATCATGAGAAAAGGTGGGAGAAGACGGCGCGGTAGAATTGGGCGAGTTGGGGCGAGAGCGCTTGATGTGGCGGAGGGAGCTGTGGTAGTGGTCATCGCCGTGGTCCTCGCCCGAATGGGATCTCGACATGTGGTAGGAGCCTAGGCCGGCAGGGTTACCGCGAGGGTGGTGAGAGGCGCCGTTATTGTAGTAAGGGTGGTGACGAGCCGAGTGGCCGTGGCCAAGATTCTCACGCTCGACCTGGTGGGCGGCTTTGGCGAGCATGGAAATGTCGCCATTGCGGCTGTAGACGTGAGCACCAGAGTGGGGGGAGGCAAACGAGGCAAACGAGTGAGGCGGCGAGACGTTGGGCGAGCCCAGGGTCGAGGTGGGAGCGGAACGAATCGTCTTGGGGGCGGGAGGAGGAGCCATGAGGCCCTCAGAGTGCATGTGGTGAGGCAGACCGTGGTGGACGGGGTGCTGCTGGTGAAGCTGCTGCTGCTGGCCCTTGTTACCACGGCGAGAGTTGGGGTTGTTGTGGATTCGCGAGTGCCTCGTCAGCTCATCGGAGCGAGAAAACTTTTTGGAGCAGCCGGGGAACTGGCAGGCGTGAGGCTTCTCGCCAGTGTGAGTGCGAATGTGTCTTGTCTGGTGCTCGAGGCGGTGGAAAGCCTTGTCGCAGAGAGGGCACTTGTATGGGCGAGGCAGCTCGGTGGTGTTGGTGCTATCGGCAGCCTGGGTGGTAGGGAGAGGCCCGTTGGGCTTGATGACGCTAACGGCAGCGGAAGCCATGTCTCTGTCACCTCGATGGAGGTTGCTGCTTGGATAAACACCAAGAGGTTGTTGTTGTGGTTGGTGGTGAAGTAGATTCGAGATCTCAAACGCTGAGTGTGCTCGTTGCATGTGATCGATATGCGGCGAGTAGATCCGAGCGATTTTGCGGGGGGGGCAAGTATGCGGAGAGAAGAAGAGTCTGTAGTCTCGAGGTTGAAGCAATTCAGAGTAGGGAATGATTGCACGGTTGGTATTATCTTGAAGGGTTTTTTCCTTGTTTCGAGGCGTGAGCGGAAAGTATTGTTGCGAGTGCGTTGGTGGTGATGATGTGAGGGGAGTAAGGTGCTGGCGTGAGTTTGGAGGAAAGAAACGGAATCTTTTTTTTTCCTGCGCGAGAATGGGGGGGGAGGGACAGGTTATAAAAGGCGGGTTCCGGGGGGGTGACGGGTACACCTGAGCGAGTTTGCAGAGGTACCTCGACCGACCATGCTGGGAGCAGGCACATGCTTGCGGCCCACTGCAGTCGCTGGAGGAGCCCTACAACAGCGCTCAGCAGGGTTCGGCAGGCTTCCAGAGGGTGCTTCGGGGGCAGGGGGTGAGAGGAAGGCACTGTGGGTAGCGGGAGGTACATGTCGGCGTTTGAGGTCAGGTACCCTTTGCAGTCTTTTTTTTTCTGTCCTTTTTTTTGCCTTTTTGCAGGCGCGGTCTAGGTTGGACACGCCCCCCCTTCTCTCTGGGCCCCCAGTCGCACCCCTCCTCCCCTCCAGACTCCTCCCCCCCCTGACAAGCCCAAAAACCGGGGCAGCAGCACTGCGGCATTCGTGGTACTTGTGGAGTTTTTGGGGCCACGCAGCACCGTCCGAGACAGCTGGTCTGGGGGAAAAAACAGCCTAGCAAAGTTCCATGTGCACCGCCTGGGGGATGGGGAGAGGGCCGTCTGTTGTCCACTGATACCAAAAGCAGCGGGCGGGGGGGACCTGATTGCGCCAACGCGCCCCAGCACGGCGCCAGCACGGCCAGTCATCCCTCCAGTGAGGTGGACAAGCAGCCCGACAGCACACAAGCCCTGGAGAAGAAAAAAAGTCAAGAAAGAAATCTGTCCGACACGCCCCTCCTGCCCAGCACCACTTCCCCCACCACCTCCCTCCCCTTGGGCTCCCCCAGTTCAGTTGATAGGTAACTACAAATTACGGAGTAGTTGCTGTCCCCTTCGGCACTACGGCGGGCTTCTTGGCTGAGGGCAAGAGGATTCTCAGGTGAGATTTCGCAAGGCCCTTCTCCACTGGGCCAGCAAAGGGGAAAAGGCCTCCTTCTCCGGCGTGCCAGCGTTTCTTTCCAGGCAGCAGGCTTTCTTACTCTCTCTCCCAATGGCGCAAGGGCGGAGCAGGCGCTGTCGTGCTGGGCTGATTGGCCGCCATTCCAGCACGATTGCGGGTTAACCGGGCCAGATATCAAGGTCGGCACGGATAGATAGGGAGTCAGCTAGTTACCTAGGTATGTACCTACGTAATTCGTAGATGCCTCACGGATGGACATGATGTGAAGAGTCGTTCACTAGACGGGATGACTGGATGGTTGCGACAGGAGAACCAGTCTCCCTGCAGACGGCACAGCAGGCAGTCGAAAAAAATCGAGGAAAAAAAAAGGAGATGACACTAACTATCGTTTCTGGCCGTCAACTGGCGGTTTCGGGTCTTTTTGCCTTTTTGGCCCAGGATTGGCGAGCCCATGGGGAAGCTGCCCCGGTTGCGTTCCATCGAGTGTCTCTGGCAATCTCTACAGTTCGCTACTATCAGCGCGGAGTACGGAGGAACTACCAGTAAACAGGAGAGAGCGGTAGGTACCGACTAACCTAGGTACGTACCTGGCACCATGTTGGAACCATGTTGGACGGAGACGAGCCTACTGGTACGGGGAGCCATCTGGCTGAGACATGCCTGGTACAACGCCCGCAGCTAGCCAACACCGCCAGACCGCTGTACCTCCCCAGTAGCCCCGACAATTTTTGCCCCAGGTGGTTCTTGTCCACTCACCCCCAGGTTATCGCGGTCCAGCCCCTATGTTAGGTACCTATGTACTCCGTACCTATGGTAGAGTACTAAAGGTACTAAGGTATGAGAGGTATGAGCCGCTGTAACAAGCCTACCAATTACCAGGCTCTACCTACCTAGTAATGTTCTTTTCTGCCTAATCATTCACTTATAAATCAGGGTGGTAACCCAACCCGTCTTCGTTCGGCTGCTGACCCAGCAGAAGCAACAGCTGAAAGGTCTCTCGGTTGCATTCAAGCGCACAAGACCGACGTGGTCTTACCCCGTGTTCTCAAATCTCACAGATGGCGAAACCCAAGGTGACAGAAGAAAAATCGCACCTGGTGGGAAATGCAGGGGCTTGATCGGAGCTCGGCCCGCGGCCATCGACGGCAAGACATGCTACTGGTTGCGGTTCTTGCTCGCTTGCACCGGGGTCGGCCCAATTCATTTGCATTTTGTTAGTTACATACTTGTTGAGATGTTGAGATGAGCCGTAGGTAGGGTAGCTAGTGGACGGCCACCAGGTTGCATTTACCAAGGGGGCAGAAACAAAAACAAAAAATCCTTGAGCAAGGACATTTTGCAAGGGACACAAAAGGCCCCCTCGTTATCATCGGTAGTGATGACATGATTTGGTACTTTGCCTTGGCGTTGCGGTTGACGTTGCAGACGGTCCGAAATTCCAGTATTATTGTATTATTGCCCACATTGTACTAGGTCCACGGCATTTGACTGGCAAGCCTGCTGAAACTTGAAGTAGCCCGCTTGACGTATAGTAGCAGGCACATGGTGTTGCATCTGGCAGTTGATTTTTCTCTGCCTCGCAGCTTTCTTGTATCCGTATGGTACGGTACGGCTTCTCGGATAGGATTGGGGGCCGTTGCTCGGTGAAATGGACAAGGTAAAACAAAAAAACAAGCTCATTGCCGACAAAGAAGATGCATCCCAACAAGTTATTTTGTGGGGGAATGCCTTTGTCAAGTTGCAACAATGTCGGGTCAGGCAGCAGAAGACGTGTACATACATACGTACAGTACTGACCTACCGTACTTACCTACACTACGGATTTGTACTGACCTACAGTAATTTGTACTGACCTACAGTGCTGTAGGTACCAGCTGGTGGCGTTTGGTGAGTCCCCAGCATCCACGCGTACGGAAGCAGACGGGGTAGCATTTCTGGCCGTTTTGGCGGCTCGTATTTTCTCTGTAAAAATAGAAGCCAAGCAGAGGACAGGAGAGCCGGAGATGCATCGTTAACAAGTCATTTGTATGTAAGTACGTTGTGAACTAGCCCATGGGCTGGCTGGTCATGTCATCTCGGCCATGACGCCGTATGATTCCCCATCCGCGCCCAGGGGGAAATGGGGAAATCGACTGGACAGATTACAGATGACAAGACAAGCCTTTTTTGGTCCAGGCCCAGCAAATCGAGATGCACCACAAACCGGGCGTTGCGCCGCCACCATGAAGGGACAAAGAGGACAACCCACTCTGGGGGCAAACGACTTGTTCAACCCTGATGCCACAGCTTTTTGCTGGAGATTTTATTTTGTTGGGTTTGAAACTCATTTTTTTCTTCCAAAAAAAAAAAAAAAAAAAAAAAAAAAAAAAAAAACTTAGCCCTGCCCAAACATGGTCAGGCCCCCATCCCCCCTACGGTCCGGGTTGCGAGGTTTTGTGGAGTCTTGTTCGGGCCAAAAAGCGCGTACAATGGTGTGATGTGATGCATATGTGCGTGTGTGTAGGTGCATGTGTGTTGTGATGGGGCCTGATGAGTTCTGGACAAGAAAATAACTCGGATCGCAGATTAAAATTCTTCAAGCAGGTGGTAACGTTAGTTTAAAAAAATCTGTCGAGATTTGACAAGTCCGTCATCCCGAATACGTCATTCATTGCGCATTGTATGGCGTGGTTTTTGTTGCATCTTCTATTTTCATTATCCACCTCTTTTCAAAATACAAAAAATCCAGCGAGTATAAAAAAGTATAAAACTCAATTATTGATCAATCATTGATCAATCGTAAACCACACACTGTCCTCGCCCAATGTCTCGGCTGTTGGGAGCATGCCCATCGAACTAGTTATGCACCAGAATCCTCGAGTCCCAAATCCGGACCCTTGACGCCATCTTTTTTCCCTCAACGAGGAGGCTTGCGCAAATCAATCCGGCTTGTCGTCTCCTCCTTCTTTTCTCACCAAGCCCCCCCGCCGCCGCCTCTTCTTTACTTGTCCGCCTCGTTGCTGCGTGTCGCAACCCAAACAAGTGGTACGTGACAGGTATCCTGTTGAGAAGCCTGGCTTCTAAGTTACCCCGTTACCAACCAAAGTTCCAGACCGACAACACCGCCAGCCACAGACGCCGCCATTTTATTCAGCTCTTGTGCCTCTTTGGCGGCGGCTTTTCGTTTTGGCAATCAGTAGCGCCAACCAGTAGTACCAGTACACATGGCACAAACAACTGCCACCTCGGTACCAGTCGTTATCGAGGCATACTTGGTAGTTACCAGGGATGCCCCTACTCTGATTAACTCTGATTGAATTGTCTCTTTCTCGTCTGGGGTCCCCAGATACTCCAGCTTGGAATTCAGCCAGCCTTGCCCAGCACCCAGTCCCAGCCAGTCCATCATGGCGCACCCGCAAGATTGACATGTCCATTCGTGGTCAAGCTTTCTTTTTCCTATCTATCTATCTTGTTTGCATCCGTCATTTCAGACAGACGAGCAAGCAACAAGCAAAAGACAGCACCGCCCACTGCTCGTCACACATGGCGCAGTCTGACCCAGTCACCCAGTAGTTAGTTAGTCACCAGTCGCCAAAATTATACTGACAGCACCAAAGCAGGGGTGGTGCTTGCGAATGGCGCCAAGGGTCGCAAGAGCTTCATTTTGCCATTTGATGCTTTTTTTGCCATGTTCATAATAGTCAACGAAACGTATCCAGCCGCCAGGCTCACATGTCAAAACGTCCACTAGTTACCCCAGCTTATGGCAAAGGCTAAAAAGAGCCCTCACCTGGCCGTGGCCCGCCAAGGACTTCTTGGGCTTGATCCTCTTCCTTTCCTAAAAAAAATTGAATAAAAATTTTCCTTAGGGGGGGGCGCCTATCCTAACCTTGTTAGGCATTTCCGGGGCGGCGCAAGATCTAAGATCTACTCGACACTACTGGCACTCCCTGGTCGCCCGTCTCAAGCCGACGCGGCCGTCTGACTGGCGGGGAACTTCGGGATCCCAACCACACCCCGGTCTCGCTGTCTCTGCCCCGGTCTGAGGCGCGTAGCCAGTCAATGCTCGCCGCAGCCTCCTCTTGCCTCTGCCCATGCCCATGACGGGATCATGGTCTTGGTACTAGGTGTCGGTGTCGCATTGCCAGGCGAAAATCACCGTGTGTGCGAGGCAAAAAAGGTGAGACGAGTATCCACGGGTATCCGTACGGATACTCCGGTATGTATCAGTAACGGTGTACGGATACAAACTGCTTCTTCCCTGCAAAAAGCTAGTTATTATTGTGCAAAACAAAGGGGCGGCGCCAAGGCACCTTGAAATTGGCTTGCCGCGGGACAAAGATGGCGAACAGGCCAGCAACCCCGACAATGCAAGGGCCATGAAAATTAGTTACCAAACAGTACGACTTAGTATGGGGTACGAATTACTCATCGCGGCGCTACATATTCTAGTCGACAAAATGCTAGTTAGAGTACAGAGTACAATGCGCAAAACTGTAACGTAATCTTGGTGCACTACACGCAACGCGTATTCTCTTGGCAACAAAAAGTCAACATGGTCCATCCGCCTTCCTAAAAAGTCAGACCGCGGAGATGGACGGAGCAAGCCCGACGACGGACGCACTTGCTCGATTGTCCTCGTCGAAGCCAGTTCGTGGGGCGTCTCTCTTGGACGGCCTTTGTCCTCCCAAGGTTTGCTGCCCCGGGCCACGCACTTGGCGACGCCCTGATGGCAGGGCTAACTAGTTACTATCGCAGGCCTGTGGGATCGGCGTCTCGGGCCAGAGGGACCATGGGGTAAAATAGTCTAAAACGGTGTGATACAGACCAGGCCTAACTAGACGGTTGTTCGTTATCGTTGTCTCGGCGCGGCGGTCGTGCTGGCTTGGCCGCGGAGGAGGAGTCGACTGAGCCGAGCCAACCAAAACTAACAATAGTTACTAGTTATTGACTGCGTTTGCTTGGTAAATGCAGTTTGCAAGACATGGAAGAAGAAAAAATAATAAAAAAACACACTATCCTAGGGCGGCCAAAACAGGCAATCGTATGCACGCCCCCTAGCAGCCTGATTTCTCGCGAGTAATTTCATACCAGGACATACATACCACACAAGACGCACCCGGTGTAGTAAACAACTCGCGATCAAGAGTTACATGACTTGCTGTTTGGCTTTTGCTACCGCAGGTGGGCCAGCAAAAGACCGCCCGCGGGATGGCCTCGAGTCACAAAACGGGGGTGACAACGAGACAAGGTGCTCAACCTATTTTCTGGAACGGCCCCCGCGATTGCTGTGCCTCAGATGCCAAGTGCCAAGTGCCAAGTCAGTCCCAATGCTCAGCGAGCGCTGCCCATTCGACGGTCGGTCTGTTGGCGCTGCCACGTCAGCTCTTGTTTGAGGATACACAATCCCTCTACTGCGGTTTTATTTTTACTCAATCGAAAACAGTCGGCCTTATTAATAACTATGAGATGGCGACGCCTTTTGCCCGCCCGCCAGCCGTCCTGCCGCTGCTGCGTTGATGATACGTAAAGTCGAGGCCCCCCCCCTCTCAAACAAGGTCCAGAGGTCCTATTCCGGGTTCGGGATGCGCGGGTTTGGTAAAGGCATACTCGTACCATGGCTAGCATAGGAATTGGAGGAAATTCGTCAAGGCATGCGGGATAGCAATGCCTCAGTGGATGATCAGAGCGCGCCCCCCTCCCCTCCCCCAGAGCCGTGTTTCGCGATGCGTGGCAGAGAGCAGAAAGCTGGCCCACCACGTGCCCAGCTCGAGGGCCGAGAGAAGAGTGACGGAGCCCACGCTCGGGGGTACTTTTATTCTTATCCCAGCTCATGCCCGGCGCCGCGCCACCGACTGCCTGGATGGACCTCCTTCTCCAGCGGCGGGCGGAGACGCGGGGGCTCCGCTCGGTGCTCGGTATCCGATAGTCAATTAGAAACGCCGCGAAAATTGGAAAAAGAAAATGTATAAAAAGAACGGAAGCGGAAGACAGAAGAGTCCAATGCTTCCCTTTTCCTTGCCCGTTGATGCAACATGGCCCGTGGCCGCCTTTCTCCCGCACTTTGCCGCAAGCTTTCAGTGCCCTTGTTCCCCCAAATGTCGCGAACCGATAAGCATTGGCTCGGCATTGCCCCAACCATTCATGCTCTATGTAGAAGCTTCCTTCTTTGATTAGACGAAACGAGGGTAGTGGTCAAGGAAACAACAACGGGATTGCCGGGCGTTGCCGTCTTTGTCCTTGCTATTGGGCGGTTTGTGCCTGGACTGGTGGAACAAGGGGGGGGAGGATCTTGGTGATACAACAGCACATCCCCCGTAGTTACAAAGTACAACAACAATGCCGTCTTTGTTCAGGACGACAACTTGGCGGTCCATCTGGCGGCTCTCGGCCGGGCTGTTGCTTCGCTGCAGTTTGCGTGGGAAAGGAAGGGGGGAAAAGGGCAAAAGGAAATGCCCGAAGCCCCAAATTTCATCCGCGGCAAAAGAAGAAGAAAAAAATATCCCCACCCTGTCGACAAGGCAAACCCGCGGCGCCTGTTGCCAGCCGCTCATTTATCCGGTCAAGACCGTTGAGCGAGCGTAACTAGTTACGAAGTAATAGAGGCTGTTTTGGGGGAGGAGAGAAGTTGTCGGACTCGGTAAATGCCCTATCAGAGGGCGCTCATGGCCACACGCTGGCGGTTCGACTGTCACCTCATCGATCCCCTGCATCGCCTTCTTTTTCGAGTGGTGATGCCTTGTAGAACCCATCCAGCTGAGACTACCCCAGTATTGTTTTGCCCATCTTCCCCTGGGGCCCGAGGGGCATTGATTGATTAATATTGGCTTGTTACACCAGGGGAGGAAAAAAGCAGACACATTTGCGGCCCTATTTGACCCTCGTCAGTCCTCAGCTGGCCTCGCATGTCCTCCGTATTAATACGGGGCGCGCCCCAAGCCTCTGGCCCTTTGTCCCTTGTTCTGTGTATTCATAGTTATGGGGGCATTGGACATACCAAGTATTATCCGTATGCAAGCCGGCCTTGCCGCCTCAAGTAAAACAATAGCCTCGCGTCTTTCTTCCTATTATATCCAGGTCCAATGCCGGCTCAGTAAGCAAGGCTCGCCTGAATAGGCATGTCCAACAAAGCACACACAACAACCTCGTCCTTGTTTTTGTTTGCTTTTACTAGTTGTATATTTATATCCAGCCTCTCGGTGCTCTTGACCGACAGAGCGAGCCCTATTGAAATGAATGTTGCAGCAATCTGTTCGTGCGCCCATCCTTCCCGTTTTCGCCCTGTTCTCGCGTGGCTGTGGTATGGAGCTCCAATGATTCGAGCACAACGTCCCTACAACATGAAAACAATCTTCCGGCATCCACGAGTCCATCCCGTCCATGGCCTTGGCAGCAATGGCGTCGTCGTACTCGCTCGGCGACTCAGCCAGGCAGTCCACGGTGGGTAGCCGCCCGACCTGGCTGTCCACAGCTCTCTGCAAGCAAAAAGAAATCATCGGTAGGACCCATCGGGAAAGCCAAGATGACAGCAATCTCTATCAAACACCCGGTGAGGAGAGGGGGTGTCAAACTGCAGCACGATGGAGTCATATCCTTCGTCGTCGATGGGGCTGCGTCTTTGGGGCTGTCGAAATGCCTCAAACCCGCACTCCCCGCTGACAAGCAGGGGCCAAGTTGACAGTGAAAACTAGGGAGCATTGGAAGCTATTGGAGTACCTAGCTATGCGAATGCCGTAACAGTATCGAGGTCATTACCTAACTACAGTACGCATGCAGCGAATGCCATCTGAAGTCGACGTCAAAGTCCTGGTACGCGGCACCATGGTACAGCGACAGGATCCGGCCATCTCTGAAAACCCGAAAAATGTCGTCCCGCAATGTTACCCAGGAAGCTCCGCACATCTCATCATCGCATTGCATCCGAGTGGAATTCAGGTCGGCCCGGTGTAGTTGATCCTCGCCCCTTGTTACCCGGGCCAGGGCACAACGACGCCAAACGCAGATGCAGCAGATGCAGGGCTTGCAGGGCGGGAAAAGAAATCTTGGCCTTGAGCCTCTTATTTTCTTGTTATTGGCCTCACACATACTGGTACTTGCGGCTGCCGGAATACGTCGCTCTAACTACAGATCAAACATGTTTGGGAGGCGGGACAGACGTGCCAGGCCCAGTCACAGAAGAGAAAAAAATGTCACCGCAAGCGACCCATCTTGGGGCATTATTTTCGGCGCCATTCGTGACCCTACAAAGTATATCCTTCTGGTTAGTCGGTTGTGCTCATTACTCGTACTGATAAAGAGCAAAATGAACGGCGGCGGGGCTCTCTTGGTACGAAGCCACTGCCAACTGCTAGACCGCTCTTCTATTTACTCGGGCAAGTTGTCGCGAGATGCTTGTACTAGTTAGACGAGGAAAAAATTTACATCCCCATATATCTGGCCGGCCTTGGTCAAATCACACGGCGCCACTGTCGCTCTGATGGAATGCAGATGGTGACATCGGTTTAGCCTTGATGGTGGCTCGACGTGGTAAATCTGGGGTAGATCAACTTGGCCCCCTCCTCGCACCGTAGACCATCGGCCCCAAAGGAAGCTGCTATGCTCACGCGTACTAGAATGATGAGAAGACGCACAATTATATTCGTGAGTGGTTCAGGGTATGCCAGCTGACCAGCGACGAGTCGGAGTCGATGAGACTATCTGTCACATTTAGGGTAGCAACTTCGGTTACTGATATACCAGGGCGTACTCTCTGACTTGCGTGACTACCTTGGGTAATAATAAAGGACGTAAAATCCGGACAGGAGCCGGGCAACTGTAGCTCGGAGTTAGTTGTGTGGCTGGCTGCGCTACACGACGCCGACTGACGCCGTCTTCCGGTAGCTGATTCGAGCTACCCTAGGGTCAACGTTCAAGTTGTTTGCACTATATTGCGCGCATGTACATACGGAAACTCTCTTGATTGGATTTTTCCTCTTCTCAAACGTCATTTAATTTCGACAACAATCCAACCATGTCCCTTCACGCTGCCCATCTTCGGGTCGCGCGGCCGACCGATGACATCGACGCCCTCATCCCATTTTACCGGGACGGGCTGGGGTTTGCGATCCTGCTCCGCTTCGGGGAGCACGACGGCTTCGACGGCGTCATGCTGGGGCTCCGCGGCGCCGCCTACCATCTCGAGTTTACGAGCAAGCGAGGGCATGCCGTGGGCCGCGCCCCGACCGCGGACAATCTCTTGATCTTCTACCTCCCCGACGACGGCGCGTTCCAGGCCGCCGTCGCGCGCATGCAGGCGCAGGGCTTCGCCGCCGTGGCCAGCTTCAACCCGTACTGGGACCAAAAGGGCAAGACCTTTGAAGATCCGGATGGCTATCGGATCGTGCTGGCCAACATGGTCAACCCGGCTGCCTAAGGGGGGTCGCGCGAGGCCCGAGGAAGATTACACAGACGAGGTGGAACTACAGAGGCACGTCAATAAAACAAAGGAAAAAAAATAGGATAAAAATCGAGCAAATGCTACTACCAACAAAGCGAGTGGTGCAATCGGCGCGGCGAAAAGGATACAACAGGCCATGGCTTTGCGGGGTCAATCGAAAACGCCATTCGCATATCTATTTACAGATCAAAAGGCGCCATGCTTCAGCAAGCCACAGTTGATAACGACAAACTCGGACTCGAAACCCAGCTTTGATCATCAGTTACCTTGTAATGCCATGCCACCTTGTGTTGCATATTCCACACACCGACAACGCAACGTGTTATTCGTACGTGCAGATACAGCCAACCTACAACTCGTCGCCGTCTGTGCATTTGCCGGGCACCACACCCTTTTGCGCATCTGCCGTTGTTAGTGTTTCTGCATCGACAAGGCCATACCCGACGGCATCTGCGTGCTAATAGGTGGCCAGTGTCATGTAGGTCATGTAGGGGGGGATCCTTGCCTCGTCAGCCATCAGGCTTGGCTCTGCTTTCGTCTGTTGGATCTGCAGGAAGCCTCTCTTGGCCCAGCCCGTTTCACCCTCAGCTTATTATTACAAAGATACCAGTCATTTTAAAGCCCCGACCCGTCGAACCATATGGCTCCGTCATGCACGCAGACCGACTCGGGTTTGCTGCTGGTGCCTGGCTCTGTAACATTAAAACAGGAATGGCATGTTATGCGTCGTTTCTGAACAGGCCACTTGCTGTACCCGATCCCTGTTGTGAACACTTCATTGTTCGCTCCGTTCGTCCGGAAGCTGTAGGAAGTGTCCGTTTCCTGAAAATTTGGCCGAAAGAGCAGAGTGGAAGCGGCGTCTTCGGAAAGTCATTTCAGCCTCTGCGATGCGCAAGCCATAGCGCGCGATCAGGAAGAAGATGCGGAGAAACAAACTTTGGCGGGAACATTCCAGGAGTAGCATCGGCAAGTGATCCCTGGCACACTGCACTACACAGTGCAGGGAAAGCAACAATGAAGCATGCATGACCTTTGATAGTCAACCGGCATGACTGCTAAACAATACACATAAATTGACATGGGTTTTTTTGTTGGGTTTAAAATACTCCAATATGACAAAAGCTTCAATGGTCACGTGATCGACGTGACAAGTTCGTGATTTGGCGCGCTCTAGACCATCTGCATTCTGTAAAACACGCGCGTCCAAGACCATGTCGCCAAAGAATGGACTATCATTCAATACATGGCAGTGATATAGCCAGTTTTGATATATCAAACACACGTATGATGCTACACGCCGGAGAGTTCGAACCAGGCAATGTCTGACCTACAAGCAGATCGCCTACCAACCATATCAGCGTCACAGGCGCTAGAGGATCTAGAGGACAAGGGCTCGAACTGCATATCCACGGGAATTAAAGCTTTAGATAAGATCTTAGCACCTTCATCAGTCTCTTCACAACGATATGGCAGTGCAGTTGCCCAGTCAGGCGGTATCAAACGCGGGCAGGTGACGGAGATATGGGGCCCGCCAGGCAGCGGAAGAACAGCTTTGGGGTGGGAATGAGGCTACCTCTTCGATATTGCCTGGACTTTTGTGGCTAACGTCTAATCAGCACTCAACTGGCCGCGAATGCCCTCGCCAACGATGGTGGCGTGGTCTGGATCGGTCAGTTACGGACCACCCCGTGCAAGTCGCCATCCACGCATCGGACTGACCATACGGTATAATAGATTGCTTCCACAAGACACCAGATTCAAGACTCTCGGCCGCTTTGGAAAACATCCAGCTTAGTAAAGAAGGGAGTGCTGGCGCCCGTGCTTCTGCAGAAGAAGCCTCGAACGGAGATCGCTTCACGCGCTACCTGTGCTTTACGCTCCCTCATTTCCTGGCACTTTTGTCTCGGCCCTCTAGCACAACAGTTCCTGCAGGGACATCGCTAATAGTCATCAACTGCGTCTCGGCTTTGATTAACGCGGCGCTGCCCCGGTCACATGTCGTCAAGCAAAAGACCAAGCAGCCCCAAGGTACACAGATTCGTCTGCAACCAAACAACATGCTAACCGAGAGACACAGGGCCTAATGCGTCCACAAAGCGAATGCAAGCGTTGCAAACAATAATTTCCCTGCTCAATAAGCTTGCCGCAACTCGAAATTGCGCCGTCGTTATCCTGTCTCAGTGTGCGACCAAGATGCAGTCAGAGCACGGCGCTACTCTTGTCCCAGCGCTCAACGCCACGGTATGGGAGCAGGGAATCTCCACGCGCATTGTGCTATTCAGAAACTGGTCGTGGGAGGGCCGCACGCCGCACAGTGTGTTTTTGGCGGGCGTGCAGATAGTGGACGGTCACACCGTGATGGACATGGTTGACAATGCGTCGGCATTCACAGTTGAACTGGTGGGTGCAACCCCGCAAGAGAGCGGCCATTCCAGCCAGTGTTGTACTAACTTGGGCGTAGACGGGCGTGCGAGATGTCGAGTACGAGGCGGGTCACCCGATGGAGATGGCGGCTGCGGCGCAGCAGAAGCGCAAGATTGGACAGACGGAGCTCGAGGTGCCTGACAGCGAGGATGAGGACTACGGCTGGGCAGACGAAGACGAAGCCTCCCTGCCGGCACCGCCTCCACAGTGGCAGGGCAGTGAGGATATCATATTGGGGCAGGATGTTGGGCGGAGCGAGGACGAGGAGGAAGCAGAGGAGGATTATCATAGCTACGACGAGGCCGAGGGGGCGGAGCAGGCCGAGGAGTTGGACAGTAACGCGGAATGAATGATTTCCGGGTACGGATACCAGGCCAATAATGAGCGATCCGAAAGTAATACGAAGAGCATACTTGTAAATGAGTAGGAGTATCGTCACCTGTGCATTGGCCAATCTGAAGTTGAGCTTTCAGCCTGCCGAATCTAGAAGCCCAGGGATGTTACCATAGCAAATATCATCAAAATCGCTATCGTCAAAAGGAAAATACCTTTTCAACATCAACCAGAAATGCAAGTCTAGCAAGAAATGCAGGTTGTATTTTCTCCGTGAAGAATCGTCCATGAGGAGATTCATCTGGCGCCGAGAAACGGGTTTGTTGACCCCACCGACTCGGTGTTAGTAGTCGCCTTTCCCGGTTTCTTCTGGTCCTGAGACCCGAGTAATTACTGGTAGAGGTTTCTGAGGGATTGTTTGAAAAGGCAGCATATTTTAACGGAACTCGGCTAATAATGCTATAAAGGGACGTCCTTCCTGTTCAGATCCGTATACATCGATCCGAGCAGCTCGTAAAAGTGCGGGGCGGCAAATCTGCACCGAACTCGAATCCGAGATGGCAGTCGGGTGGTAGGTAGGTACCCAAGGACTCGGCAAAACAAATGCGGCTGGCTGACTGCCTAGCCGCCAGAGACGATACATGGAGTGGCTGGCTGGATACCGAGAAAAGCTCGAAGCTGCGAGTTGCGGAGGAGAGGAGGAGAGGGGCACACTTGTCGACATCGATTGGCCATTTGAAATACCTGATAGATTGTGGATGGGGAATGAGGGGCAGCCGTTCATTAAGCCGCCACTTCACCACCAAATCTTTTATTGACCCCTTTCCTCAACGCATCATCTCCGTCGCCACAGTCTGCACGCGACTCAATCTCACTATTCTCCTCCTTTGCGTTTTGCTTGATTCTAGCCTATACCCGCACGACCTTGCTTGCAGCGACAGCATTCCCAGCTTTGCGCGTGCTCTTCTTGTCACCCCGCCTTTTTTTTTCTTCACACCAACAGCCATGTCTACCACCACGACAACGACCACCACGACGGCGACGCAGCCCATCACCGCCGACGCCATCCTTCGCCTGTTCCCGGACATTGACACCACCTCCGAGGCACTGTCCGGCCACGATGAGGAGCAGATTCGTCTGATGGACGAGGTCTGCATCGTCCTCGACGAGAACGACATGCCCATCGGTCAGGCCAGCAAGAAGCTCTGTAGGTGCCCCGTCCGTCGCCTTTTGCCTATCCAATTCATGTCGCGCAGCCTTTGTCTGATTGTCGTGCCGGGCACCAACAGCCCGCGCTCCATGCTTGTCCCCCTTGGCTAACCCGTCTCCCCGCCGGGATCCTTCTAGGCCATCTCATGACCAACATCGACAAGGGGCTCCTGCACCGCGCCTTTTCCGTCTTCCTCTTCAACGACCAGAACGAGCTCCTCCTGCAGCAGCGCGCCTCCGAAAAGATCACCTTCCCCGACATGTGGACAAACACCTGCTGCTCCCACCCGCTGGGTATCCCCGGCGAGACAGGCTCCAACCTCCCCGATGCCGTCATGGGCGTCAAGCGCGCCGCTCAGCGCAAGCTCGACCATGAACTGGGTATCAAGCCGGAGCAGGTGCCAATCGAAAACTTCCGCTTTTTGACCCGCATCCACTACAAGGCTCCCAGCGACGGCAAATGGGGCGAGCACGAGAGTACGTATCGGTTCGTGGTTCTCCGTTCCCGGGATGCAGACTAACCAGTGACGCCTAGTCGACTACATCCTCTTCATCAAAGCCAACGTCGACCTGAAACCCAGTCCCAACGAAGTCCAGGCTACCCAATATGTCAGCCCTGACCGCCTCAAGCAGCTCTTCGAGGACCCCAGCCTCAAGTTCACACCTTGGTTCAAGCTCATCTGCAACTCGCTCCTCTTTGAGTGGTGGGCAAACCTTAACTCTGGCCTCGAGAAGTACATGAACGACGAGAAGATCCACAGAATGTAAAGCGATTGAAAAAGGGGAGGGCGATCGAGTCACCAAATTCTTCTTCCGGGATTTGTTCTATATACCACCCGCTCTCGTAGAGCGACCATTCTGTTACCTAGCATCATGGATGGGAAGGCTTTCATGTGAGAGAGGGGCACTGGATCTTCCTTGGCTATCATTTACTAAGTACAAGTGCCATCATACCGAATACAACGAGCATCCAAAATTTAGAAGACATATATAAACGGGCGGCTGGCATGATGCTAACACGAATAGCCTGGCGGATCTTGATGGTTTATATAGTGTGATGCTTTCAGGAAAAACAAGACCTCGTACACGGCCTTGCAAATATCAAGGTTCCTCTTCCTCCAGTCCGAGTCGGACCACAGGTTTGCCAGCAGCGAGTCCAAGATGACAATGGTCATGAACCGGACGTAGTGGTCTTCGGGCGACCAGTCGCTCTTGTCGGGGTGGTAGAAGAGAAACTTTTGCGACCGCGTGTTGATGGCGTCCTTGGTCGCCTGCGCCGTCTTGGCCTTGTCCGGGTCCGGCCGGTCGGCCGGCACGTGCGTGAGCAGGTCGTGCTGAAACTCGCGCCACGCGCCCTGCACCGGCCCGCCGCGCAGCCACTCGTGGAACTTGGCGGCGTCCTTGAACGGCAGCAGCTCGAGGATGAGGCGCTCGCGCTGCTGGGAAAAGGGCGACGTCGCGGAGATGCCGCCGCTGGTGGCGGCCGTGTGCTGCGTAGCCGGCGGCGTGGGAGGGGCGCCGGGGACGGAGACGCCCATGGTGCGCGGGAGGGGCGCTGGCGAGGGTCTGCGTCGTTCGAGGAGGGTATCAACCGAATGGAGCTGTCGGTATTTAAAGGACGGTCTGCGACGGAAACACAGGCACATGTGGTTGCGGCTTCCGCTTGCGTTTCAATGTGGCGAGGGATGGTGGTATAAGTAGGTGGTGCAAGGAGTAACCAAGACGGACCATCCGATGAAGATGACGACAATGGGAAAACAGACCCTACTTTCCTCCTCCAAGCTCACAAGGCAGACACCAAAGTTCATAACTCGGCTGCCTCCTAACAAGGCTCAGGTACTGGGCGAGGGTGTAGGACCCCGCCAGGAAGGCACCCGTATAAGCCAGCCTATCAGCCCGCGGCAGGCCGCTTCCGCATCGTAGATTTCGCTCATTCTTGCTCGATCCGGACATGGTGCGAAAAATTCGAAAAATTCACCAGGACCGAGCAGACGTACGCAACCCCTCTACAGCAATCAATTTACCGCCGTCACTTTGCTGTTGTTGGCGATCCGTTGTTCAGCCCAGTGGCTCAGCCCCCCCTCAGCGCCGTTGTGGTTACGTGGCCTGCAGGTGGCTGCGGCCGGTTCGTGGTTCTACAAGAACATGAAAAAATAGCCAGGTATTGGAGTTGTTGTAGTAGCTAGTGATGTGCTTAGAGAGGAGATGTGAAATGCATCCCTTTAGCAGTGTTGGGGCTTCGCCAGATTGCACTCGAGCCAAACTGGCGATAGTTAATTGTGCCCGTATTCGTATGTATCGTCACTTATGTGTGGTAACATTCGGTACTTATATCTCAGTGTTTAGAACTCATTCCCTGAAGTATCCTGCGTTAGAGTTAGTTTGATTTGCTACAATCCCTGCAAGTGATCGCGCAGCCTAAGCACAGAAAAGGATACTGTTAAACCGCGGCAGCGTTTAAAAAAAAAAAAGAAAAAAAGAAAGATGGAAAGCTTTTGAGTTGAAATAAACAACCCCTGGCCATGCATAGATGGAGGGTGCTGGAGTCGGAAGGTAAAAAGTGCAAAAGTGAATGGTGGATTCAAACCACCTTAGTTGGACAGACGGGGAATCGAACCCCGGACCACTCCCAAGCGGGATCTTCCAGTTGGATGAGATGCTAAGGGAGTATTATACCACTAAACCATCCGCCCGAACTTGTTGAGAGTAATGCAGCTTATTGTTTTATATATTGTAGATACTAAAAAATTCTAGCAATTTATCGTCGCACTCACGACATCAGTATATCAATCGAGTAGAAATTCCCACCAAATATATGTCATACTATACAATCTGGCGGCTGCTAGCGTCTTTAGAGCACCGGTTCTGTTTTGGAATTGACTTTATCGCAAGCGAGATGTGGCAGCACCTGTGCCGGCCTGCGGCGTGTATTGTCGTCACCTCCCATCGGCATTGACCAGACTGATGGGCCATGCAGTACTGTCGATGTAAAGGTACCTGCAAAGCGCATAGAAAACCAAGAAATATATAAGATTACAAAACAAACATTTATTCATGAATCATCAATTCAAAGGCCTTACCCAGATCGCTTTTTCAGAAATGGTGTGGTCACTGGATGAAGCGGTTTGCCTATAGCAGCCATGAGGAGTCGCCTCAATCCCCCTCATTCACAAACGGGGAGCGTTAATATATCTGGACTTCGCTTTTACGTCCACACTTGGTCCGCCGTCTCCCCACTCCGCTTGTACACAAAATGCAATCGCAAGGTCTCTCTTAGTTCTTAAGAAATAAAGTAAACAGGTAGCTCAAGGTAACTCGGTGGATTCAACAGACGTCGTATAAATACTAGTTCTGTCCCGTGTGTGGTGGACTAAGCTTGACGCTGAAGCGACAATGCTTTGACTGTAGCCCCGCTAGCTAAATCAGCTAAAAATTTCTAACGAATCAAAACACAGTGCATATGTGGATACCTTCTACGCCTTTCCTCTTTAATCTCTATACTATACCCCTTTTAGCTGTGCGGTTGGCAGGGGTTTGCGTGCGGTCACCCCGTGTTCGACGTTACTATCTTTGGCATGATATCTTTTTCCATGCGGCTCTCGATCTTCTGGCTTCGGGCCCAGGTAGAATGGAAGCATAGAGGAAGAGCATAAACTCACAAGAAAAAAATTAATAATGCCTTCTATGTTTCTACATCTTATGTTTACTAGGGAATGTGAATGAATGAGAATGGTGTGCCCTCATGTCGTGCTTGTTTCTCCTGCGTCCAGTGTCTCTTGTATTCGTTTGCTCGGAAGCCACTTGTCGGCTGGGACAAACCACCATGACAGAACCGCAAAGATGGTGACAATGGCCATGATGACGGGCGCATAGTTGAGCGTCTCGGCCGTGACGGGGAAGACATACGGCGAGTACAAGACGGCCACGACCCAGCCATTCCACAAGACCGAGATGGCCTGAAAGGGCTTGCTCAGGCGACCGAGACTCCATGCGGGCTTGGGGAACCGTTTGGGCGTCAGGAAGAGGCGACCGAGGCTGATGAGCCCATACGCGGCCGCAGAAGGCACGCCGGCCGCCGACACCAGGGAGGTGAAGGCGACGGCCGAGGGCAGAATTGTGCAGGTGACGATGGAGGCAACCGCCCAGACGACTAGGACAGAGTTCCGCGGTTGGCCGTTGACCATCTTGGACACCCATGGAGAAAAGGGCAGAACGCCATCTCGGGCGACGGCAAATACCAATCGCGACGCAGCGAGAACTGCAATGGCCGTGTTCTGTTCCGGGCTGGTCAGTTTCAAACGCATTGATTGAGTGCGTAAAAAGACTAGAACTTACAAACCAGAGGGCAACGACGCATATAATGTTCATAAATATGTGTCCGCCTTCTCCGAGAATAGCAGCGTAGAGGGGAACGAATGGTTGAGCACCACCAAACGAGAAGAGCGTATTGGCATCAGGCTATAACCCAGAGTTAGTACATACTTTGCTCGGAGAGAGCCTTTCTGACAGCATGAGCTTACAACGCAGAATAAAAATAGAATCACCACTACGAATCCGCCCAGGCCACTGGCAACGGTGCTCCAGAATATCCCTCTTGCCGCCGACAGGCTTGCGTTTTTCGTCTCCTCGGCCACATGTCCAGATGCATCAAATCCGATCAAGATCCCGGCGGTAGCAAGGTACGATAGACACCAGTTCCAGCCGGCTGGCGCCCCGGTCCCATTGTACGTCGTCAGGAATGCGTCGTGTGCGGAGCGGAACCCGTAGGTTCTGCTGGTCGCGATGGGTAGCCAGACCAAGTTCAGGACAAAGTCGAGCAGGACGGTTCCGGTGGACAAGTAGAAAATCCACTTGAAGTATCTCGCTGCTGGGCTGTTAGCGGTCTGGCTATTCTGGCGAGGCAGTCGAGGGCTGACTGACGGGGTAAGAGGTTCCATATGGCGGCCAGCGCGAGCATGACTTCAGTGGCAATCCACTGCACGGCGCGGAACTTGATACTGGAGCTGTCTGACGGAAAGTCGAGGTTGAATACCGTAATTTCCTGTGAATAGGAATGAGCGTCTGTGTCCGTAGTCGTGTCACGATGTGAAACCTACCGACAGCATGTAGTTGACAGCAGCCTGTGTATTGCCTGGGACTCGGGTAAGGAAGTGCGCAAGCAAGCCGAGGATAGCAACTTTGTTTTACTTACTGGCGCAAAACGTCGTCCACGCCATTGTACTCCACCACGCAACGACGTAGCCAAAGAGGCGTCCATATCGAGGGCCGCCCGCTTCGGCGGCCCAGAGGTAGATGGAGCCAGCAAGGGGAAGAGACGAGCATATTTCAGCAATGACGGCTGCTGTGATGAATGTAAAAACGCACGTCACGATGAAGCTCGTCCTTTTTTTTTTCCTGCAGCATCAGTTCCTCGTTCCCTTGCGCGTCCCATTCGTTCCAGCCACATACCAGTACGCCAAGTTGCCACCAGCGGCGATACCGGTGGAAAACGTTACGCGAACGCCGCCGATAAAGTACAGAGCAGCTTGAATCCCAAAGATAGTCAGTCCCCCAGTCGTTCTACTGACGAGAATATTGAGCAGGGGAGAGGGCGAGGGGGTGGACGTACCAAAGCTCGTCGCAAAGTTCTGAAAGGCGTTGAGGGACCTGTGCAGGACCTGTTTCCGGCAATTAGTGCCTTGCCGAAAAAAGTTGTATTATTACCCTTGCGACGGATCTCGCATTCGATGGTCTTGGCATACCGGCTTATATCCAAGTTTTTCCTGGGGTAGCATTAGTTAGTGACTTGGCAATACATGGTTAAGCGACTTGCGCAAAACCGAGAACGGTCGCCGGCGCAAATACCAAAACTAGCTCATCTTTTCTGTTTTCGCTTTCCGACTCGACCTCGGTCTCGGGTTTGGCGTGGCCTTGCCTTTGATGCAGTTCGGATGCCATGGCTTCTGCGCGTTGACGATGCAAGGTGGAGGTTTTGTCGAAATTGGCGCAAACGGCGACATCGTCTTTGGGGTGGAAAAATAGAGTTTTTGCAGGAGTGAAAACGGCAACATCACTGCAGGTTCAGTTCCTTTAGATGAACAATGTGAAAGATTAGGCACAGAAATAACATTTTTGTTTTGCATTGTATTTTCAGCAAATGTTTCGAGTTGGGACCGCCCCAGGGAGACGAAATAAACCGCCGGGTAGGAATACTACAATTCTTCCTTAGTCTTACTAATTTCTTACTATTTATTAACTTATTTATTTTGTTTCTAGTTTTCTTTATGTTTCTCCTCATTATTTATTATTTCTTTTCCAATCCCTGTCTTCCTTTTACTAGTAAACCTTTCTGATAAGATGTAGACTTATCCGTCTGCTCTTTCATTTTCATCACCCGCATGACTTGGTCTCGTTTGCGAGATCAACATTGTACAGGAACAATAATCGAGTCCATTTCATTGATGCATCAACGTCTCTGACAAGCCGATAAGCGGCGAATATATGATTTAAACATGATTTGATTGAGACGCCCCTCAATTCGCTGCGTATCCTACGCACCCCCAGCGTAAAACTCCGTGCCACTTCTCCATGTTCTATGCAGAAGAATAATAGCAGCAATGGTGATCCACATGATCGTGTAGTACATGTAGCATCATACCGAAAAAAAATAAAACCAAAAACAACGTGTACAAACGACATTCGCAGGCTGGAATAACACGGGGCCGGATTTCCGTATATTTAAACCGGCCGCCGCAAAGAGGAAACAAACAACCCTCGTTGACATGAAAACTAAAACTGGCTGGTAGTAAAAGCACTCTATAAGAGACGCAATGCTTGCCAACAGGTCCAGTGGGATTGGAACCAACGCCGAATCAGTCATGCAGCTGCCGCACGTGCGCAGCCTCGCAGCCCAGCATCGAGTCAGCTGAAGCCTCTGGGGTCAAACATGGCCATGCCATGATTCGGCGCGTACTGCTGCTGCGGCGGCAGCCCGCGGCCGCCTCCGCCACCGCCATTCTGCAGCATCGCCTCGAGCGTATGCAGACGGTCCATGAGCTGCTCGTGCTCGCTCATCATGACCCGGTTGGCCTGCTCGAGCTGCTGAATGTACTCGGTCGCCTTGCTCAGGACGGTGCCCTTGCTGACCTTGGGCGCCGCGTTGCTCGTCGTGCCGTCCGACTCGGCGTCGTGCTGCGCCTGCAGCGCGGGCACCGCCGCCCGCAGCTCCGCGATCCGGTCTTTGAGGTTTGTCCGGTACTTGCGCTCCACGTCGTTGTGCGTGGTGCGGTCGCCGCCTCCCGCGGCGGCGCCGGTGGCCGAAGTGGCAGTAGCAGCAGCGCCGGCGGCGCCCTTGGCTGTTTTCGTCGGCGTCGTGGCGCGCTGCTGTACCGGGCTCCTCCGGAGCGCGTTGGCCGCCGACGAGGCTAGGATCTTGGGCTTCATGTCCTTGGACAGGCCGGCCATGGCTAGCCGGCTGCCGGCCATGCTGCCGCCGGGGCCGTGGAATGCCGACTGTGGCCAGCCCGAGGCCGCGCCGGGAGGGTGATGCGACGCCGTCGGTGTCGAGAGGCCGTTGGGAGCCTCGTATCCGTTCGAGGTTACGATGCGGTGTGACGGACCATTTACGATGGAACAATCGCCATAAAGCTGCGAAGGGTTGCTCGCGCCTGCTGACGATTCGTAGGGCGATGCGAGACTACCGTCTGGTAGCATCTGCTGGTGAGAGTGTTGGTGGTGCGGGAGCTCCGACTCCCAAGTGCCGTTTGTCATCCGCCGTGGCACGTATTGTGGAATCGGATTCATTGGCATCGGCATGTTGTGACCCGCCCAAGCCGCACCGTTTCCATACATCTGGGACTGAGCACCACCGGGGAGTTGCCCTGGTCCTCCGAGAGTATTGTTAGCGTCACTATTCCCCGAGGTGGGCTTGTCCATGACCTCTGTGGTGAGAGAGCTGCTGCTCCAGTAGGGTGCACCCATAACTGGATATGTATCGGTCGGCATCGCTGACGATGTAACTATCCCCATGCTAGCGCTGATAGCTCGTTAGCTGGTTGAGTCGCGCAAAGACCGGGTGTCGTTGGCACGGCCGCATTCAAGAGCGAGGCCATCTTGACATACCTTGACTGACTGACCATGCCGGGATTTTGTGAATAGTGCATGTTGAGATGGTCGTGCGCACCGTGTAGGCTATGATGCTCCGTTGCGTCGCCGCCGTCGGTCGAGGCTCCAGAGACGGCTCCCGATTGGCTTCGGATGGTTCGGGGTCGCTTGGATTCTCGTTCCTGAGATGCGTCGGATGAGAGGGTCAGATTTGACGAGGCGGATGGAGATGGATCGTGGTACGGAGAAGCAGTCATGACGATGGAGGCTGACTGGACCCCGGGCGACGGGCTGGTACTCTGCTTGTTGATGGCAGCACGCGAGGTTGTGCCATTCAGATTGTGACGCAGTGGTGCAGTATTGTCCATGCTCGAGGTGAATGCAGTAGAGAAGTGCTCTGCCTGCACTGGCGAGGCAAGGCCCAGGTGTGTGCAGTTGTTGTGGCCACAGAAGGGAGTATTCAGGAGGAGCGAAGGTGCTGGATACAGTTGCAGCGACATGTAGAATCAAGAGCAACGAAGCTGGTTTCCGGGGGCTGTGCTTGAGGTAAGGCGATTGCCAATTCTCTTCTATACCCTCCTTCTTGTCCGGGTTGTCCCTTTCTCCTTGTTGTCAAGACTTTTCAAATAACGCCCAGTTAGGTCAGAGCAGTATCTTGAAGAGGTGAATCGTGAAACTGCCTGTCATGTACTGCGTATAGCGGTGAACGGGTCGACTTGATGAAGCTTCGGAGGATGCAAGACGAGAAACCTCTATCGAGGGCAATCAAGGACATGGAAGGTGTGGACTATAATGGCGAGGACGGTGTATATCGAGGTGAAGATGATTGATGAGTAGGCCAAGTCGTTGGTGGCGGAGGGGGAAGGGCGGGAGGTCAAGACTTAAAAAGAGGATGCTGCCAAGATGGATCCAAGATCGGAACCTGTGTGTCACTGTTTTTAAGTTGATATAGCTCGGGAAACTGTATGTTTATCAGAGAAAGAGGAAAACGACCAAAGCGAGGATTCGGATTCGAGCTAAGACTTGTTGTTGCTAGTTCTTGTCAGTTATTCTCTTGTTCGGGAAAGCTGAGTGGCGCGGGGCGCCATGTAGGGGCCAGTTTTGAAGCATAGCTTGTTAACTACGGTGAGGGGGTGTTTAAAACAGAGTGAAGCAAGCAAAGAGGTAAAAGAGTAAAGAGCGCTAGGCGATTTGTTTTGCGTCTTGCTCCGCCTAGGAAAGGGCACAGGCACGCACTTTGGGGGGGGGGGCAAGTTGTCCACTGTCCACGCACACCCACCCATGTACGGTGGTGGATAGTTGTCTGGAGGAGGCCTGCCGAGCATTTGGCGAGTGAAGCAATAGATAATCAGAAATCACCTCGGCACCCGCCACAAGATGAAGACGAGGGAGCTCTTACAAGGCGCACGGTGGGCGTGCGTGGTTGCGGTTCACCGGGAATTAGGCTAATGGTCTAAAATTCAATCGGGTTTCTTTTCCCTTCCGGTAGCTCCCTAGGATGCCCCAAAACAAGTCAAGAGTGAATAACTAACTGCCCCCAGCTGAATGAGACGTGTCGATTTTCAGTGGCAGCGTTACGCCAAGTAGAGTTTTGCCGGGCGCCAACGCGCATCGGTTATCTCCGATTAAGCACCCTCGGTGCCCATTATTAACAAGGGAGCCCGGTAATTTCTGCTAGAAATTATTGGTACATGCCTATCACCGCAGAACCGTTTGCCCTAGTTTACTAGCTGTGCCACGTACTCCCACAGCACTTACACATTTGAGTTGCCAACGTGACGGGATCTACATGATTTACAGGTTGGGGTTGTGGATACCGCGTTGTCTGTACGCGGGCATCAAAGACGAGAAAGAGGTTTGGGAAAGTAAATCAGAGACAATATTTTGCGTTCTTGCGACTACCGAAGAATGGGGGCTCTTTGCCCACCGCCCATTGGCCGTCCCAGTCCCCTGGCTTTCCAACTGAGACAGATTTTCTGTGGTGGCTGTCGAGGTCGGAAAGGGCGGCGTTTTGGAAAAGTAACCGACCAAAAGAAACGGTCAAAGATAAAACGCGTAATCTGGAAGAAGAAGCAAAAATAATTAGAAAATTAGAAAATTAGAAAAACAAACAGACTCGACATTGACGACAGCCTTATGGCAGGTGAGACACGTTGCAAACGACACAGCAAAGCAAGGGTTGCATGGACAGGCAATCCTAGTCTCTCCAAATCTTGAAATATGGGTGACCATGCCCATCTCGACTTTTGTTAGTCTCCTTCTGATAGCCTTGGCTTGGGGGGCGGGACAAGCTTGCTAGTGTTGCCAGTAACGTAGTTGATTGTGACCAGGACAAGGCGCTAGCTAACAAAGTTGATTGTGACAAGGACAAGGGACCGGGGTGGAAAGAAGACTCATCATCAAGGGAAGCTTGCTTGCATGGACATCGACAAGCCAAGCCCATTGTCACATATCGTTTGCGTCCAAACTCAACCACTGGCCGCGCGCGAGACATTGACGACTGCAGGCCAAGCATGCAAGTACGTAACCAGTAAATGTCCCCCCTTGTTGTCTAGTTCTTGTTTCATTCCTTTGGGCCGCCTTTTCTTGGCCGCAAGCGACTTGGGCACGGATTGGGGGCGCTGCTCTCTCGTTCAAGACGTGGCCTGGCCCCCCCCCTTCCGGCCCCCGGATCCCTGCACAGCTCTACGGTGCTACGCAGCGGCATGCCCACCGGCCACCGGGGGCGGCGGGGACGGTCTTTTGTCAAGCTGGACAAGGTGCCAATCCGGCCGGCCGTGTCGGATCAAGAGCGCCAACACAACCCTTGCGGCCAGCCAGGGACCCTCCCCCCCTTGTCCGGCACTCAACTCGTGGGGGCTGTTCTGTCCAAGCCCCCAATGCAACGTGTTGGCGATCCATGATCGATGGTTGATCAGGTATAAAGAAACCAATAATGGACGAACAAGGGAAACTCGCGCCTCCCCCCTCCCCCTTCGACTTCCCAAAACTCTGGCCCCCCAGATGCGCAACCAGGCAATAAAACGAAGAATAGTATCTATCAGAACCCCTAGACTGGAACGAAGGGGGACCCAATGAAAAAGCCTTGGCCTTGGGTTGCCGCGAGTCATCGTACGACTAGGTCGTCCCATTCAAGCAGGTTGGCTGTGAGTCTGGCGCAGATGATTGGCCGAACCGAGGCTCGGCACCCATGTCGGTCGCCCCGATACATTGTGGCTAAACCGTTCAAGGAAGCCACTGCGGTGTAATTTGTATAATAAAATAGTTACAATGTAGATGAAAAAAAAAAAAAAAGAAAAAGAAAAAGATTACGCCACTTCGAACGCTCCAACGGTCGCCCCTAAAACTAGGGCTTGCTGCATAATCGTCTTCCCGCCACCCATCCACCGAAACCCGCCAGTGTGGGCTTTGCCCAGCAACAACTCCAGCAGTTTCTTGATGAAGCTCCGGAGCGTGGTCCGGTCGCCGTCCTCAAATCATGAGTGGACAAACCAAAGAGAAACCTTCGAGTAAATTGGCCAATCAGACACGTTCCTTTGCCATTCTGCTCGGTCGTCTGCGCCCAAACTTGCTCGCCGATGAACCTTTTGACGACCTATTTTACGACGCGCTTCTGGCTTCTGTTCCACAAAGTCAACTACCACCTAAAAAAACGCTCTGAGCTAGGCATTTCTGGGCTCTACATATTACAGGGGGGGGCTTTTGATCAACCTGGATCAACCGGTGCCTGTTCACAGAAGCAAAAAAACTGAAGGAAACCCCCCCCCCCCCTAGAACCGAAAACCAAGGAACAACAGAACCGGCAATCTCTCAAACTCCACATCATGATCCGTCCGTTTTTGCCGTCGTCCCGTCCTCGGCCGAGGTTGCCAGCGGCTTTGCCCTTGAGAAGAAGACGGCAACCCGTTCCGCAGCTCAACAAGCATACATAGCTGAGCAAAAAAAATAGTTGGTGAGGACCCGACACCCATCCATCTAGACAAGCTGGACGTGGCTCCGTAGAGATCCGCCGGTTTGGCGCGCTTTGAGGACCCTTCCCCCCCCGTTGCTCCCCGATCAAGCACCGCCTGGCCAACCCAGCTCCATAGGGAGGCTTTCATCCAATGGCGTCACCCATGCATATTTTGGTATGAAAAGATGAAAAAGAGGGAATAGCTAATAAAAAACAGGACCCTTCTCCGCTCACAACGAGTTTCAGTTGCTCCATCTCGGTCGCCCCGGACCCCTCACCTGTGTATGTACCCGCCACATCGCCAGGCACACACAGTGTGTTGAATAGACAAGGATGTTTGGGACGATTGGCGTACATAAATCGCGACTTTGATAACGTCATGTGACTGAGCAGCACGTGGGTGTGTTTCTCTGCGTAATAGGAAATTGTCTCTCTGTGTAACAGGAATCACGAAGAAGAGACTTGTCAAAAAAAAAATGGGAAAATGGAGAATGAAAAATGGAAAACCACCACTTGCACAACCTTGTTGGCTGCCTAGCTGTCATCTGTCTATACACATGCTTGCTCTGCATTCCAGTCTCATCTGGTGTCGTCTCATTGTGGGCTCTGACGGCGACTTGTAGATTCGATGCATCATGACCAACGCCTTAGCGTCGTCTACGAGAATACGACCTGCTTTCCAGCTACCCCTTGCCATCTTTTTTTTTTACATCATTTGGTAGATTTACCGTGCATCGGAGATGAAAGTGTCAATAATTCTCCTAGTTCGCCCTGCCAACTTCCTGATTTGGTCGTCAAAAGATCATGGTCCACATGTTTCCGTGCCGCTTCAGCTGTCTTCGGAGCTCTCCCCGGACACTATTACTCGTCGAATTACGAGTCTCCAGTGAAATAATGTCAAGGCATTGTTCGCCTATGACTCGTGAGAATGTAGAATCCAAGTTGATTTCCCGATGAGCAGTGTCGAGCCTATCCAGCCTATCCAAATTATCCAGCTTATCCAAGTTATCCTATCCAAATTATTCAGCTTATCCAAGTTATCCAGATCATCCAGCTTATCCAAATTACCCAGCCTATCCGGCTAATTGCAATACCGGAGATATCTTTTTTCCCGTCTCTGATTAAGCTTTTGGTCTCGATTCGAGACCACATTGTCCCTCCATTTTCAACGCCACCTTATAAGGCTTAGATATGTAGTTCTCTTTTCTTCATGCCGTCCACCCCGAACCCGCCGCTTCCCTCTTTTGCTGTGCTTGTTGACGCTCTAGAACCCTTGTGGTGCTTGCTCACTATCGCCCGTGGTAGTGAGTAACTCAATTTGCCACGCTCCAAGCCCGCCTCCACGATTCAGGACTTGCAGCAGCGCGCCCATTCAAGGGTCAATGAGTCTGTCCATAGCGCCCGACTAGCTCAGAGGCAGAGGCGGAAACCGCCGTAGTGCAGCGGCGGCCTGATTCCACATCGCTGGTTCAATGCTAACGGTGGTGTCACGAACAGACTATTGTACCAGTTTCTTCCCACCAAGTCCCCTTGCGGGGCTGTAGACCCCGACACTAAATTCTCAGGGGAGGATTGGTCATGGCTGTAACTAGACAGACTGTCCTCATTTTTTTGCCATTTTCGTGTGGTAAAGACAGTTGAACGTTATAATTAAGTGGAAATCAAACAGGGTCGTCGCACGGAAACTTTAGCTACCAAACGAGAACCGGAAACCTTTAGGGAACGGACATGCTGCCATCATCAAGTAAACCCAGATATATGTTCCGCATATGTCATGCAAGGGTTAGGGCTCCTGTCATTGCGCGTATCCTGTTGGCTCGGGGGTTCTGTTCCGGGGGCCCGGGTTGGGATTGCTACAGGGTGGACCTTTATGCAATCGAGATGCAGGTCCCCGAACATGTCAAGGGTGAGCTTTTATGAGGTTGGTATCGAACGTTGTCATGAGCTGAGCGCTTGTATCCTTGGCTCGCAACCTCGAAAAGCCGGTGTGGACGGGGGCGTTACGAGTTTCCCGAGTGCGTCAAGATCCGCCCAATAGAAAATTCAGCCTGACCCAAGGAGAATTCTCCGAGGGCAGCGAGAGATGCTAGTTCCGGAGGTAGCCCTACTGTGGTACCAGTGCATGTGGGCTGCGTGCGTGACAAAAGTCCACGAAATAAGGTTTGCTGGTGCAACTGCGGCAATGTCTGTAAGCTTCTGTAAGCGGACTCCGTCATTTCCGAAGTTCGGAAAACCTGCGGCAAGGGGTCCAGTGGTACAACACGGCCGGTTTACCTCGTCCTTGGTGCTGAGGCTGAACACGATGGACAACGATGTAGTTCAACAAGGCGATGGAGGGTATTCACTAGAAGACGCCCAAGTGTCCATGTAGGCTACATACAGGTGCGCAGCATCACCGTCGTTGCGACAGCCGAGATGGCTGTTGGTGGACACTGGAAACCGGCCAGTGGCCTTGGCATTGCGGGGTGCCGTGAGTTGCAGGTCTGTATGTGATAGTGCCAGCTCTTGTTGTCATTGCAGAAAAATAGCGTCTTGGAGGCTGGCTGTTTGGCCGCTAACTGGTGCTGAACTTTGTTATAAAGCATCGACAAATAGGCGGCGCAAAGCGAAATGCCAGGGTCTAGACTGTGCAAGGTCAATGGGCCTTCTCGGCGGCTACTCGGGGATATGTTTAGCTATTAATGTGTTACAATATTAAAAAAATGCCTTTTTGGTCGGCGTTTTCTGATGACAGACGGCCCGGAAGCCGGAGGAACGATCCCCCGTCACCCAGTATGTCTGGCCCATGTGTGCACCATCCCACCAGTCAGAACTTCAATTCAACAACTCCATCTCTCATCCTATGTGTGCCCTGTTGTTCCCAATATTTTCAATATGTAGTCTTTTTTTTTTCTCGCCACGCATGTATACGCTCGTGGAATTCTCTGTTAATCAACTAGCTTGTCGTGGAACTCGCCAAGGCCGTAGTTGCAGGCAATTTCGAGGCATAAACGCCACAACAGCTATGCGACGGGGGTCCTTTTGCACATCATTCGGGGAACCCGGCAGGTTTTGTCCACCTGCATGCTGCTCTTGTAAAAAGGCGAGACCTGGACGGTTTGGTCCAATCAAAATCGGCTGACCAGGGGGGAACCCGATAGCCCTAACAGAAGAAAACGTGTCAAAGAAAAGGGCATTTATGCCGACGGGAGCTAACGCGGAAGAGGCTGAAACAAAAAAAAAGAAAGAAAAAACAGGTCGGTCTTTGGAGTCTAGAGCAGTGATGGTCGAGGTTCAAAGGCCGAAGTCTCATGTTGAAACGCTTACACAGAGTTGGTCCTTGAATTTAAGATGCAAATAAGTGCGTTATTATTTAAACCGGAGCTGCCATGCCTAGCAGTACAGTGACCGACGTTGACTAGTCATAGTGCAAGTTTGAGCTTAATAGTCACTCGACTATAGCCGTGGGAAAACTCCACTCTACAATCGATTTATCGATTCATCGCCGAAATGTTGTTAGACATCTCTATATTCATCTTCCTTTATGCGGACAAAACGGAAGCTACTTCCGACAAGTCATATTCTCCCAACTCGTGTGCCCAACTCCTCAGTTGTGTAACAAAAGCAAAGTATTTAATAAGCTCTCGTCTCATCATGTCGTGACTGCGAGACTTTTCAACCGCCCAGCATCATCTCAGAAAATCATCATCACTTGTGGCCCGTCTCTCAGGTCTTGTCAAGGACATGCATAGGCATAACGCGGTCCTTCTTAGCAGGCATGCCGCCGTCCGGCAATTCCGTGTCGAAACCGACAATCATGGCGGCAAAGCGCAGAACCTCGCCAGTAGCAAAGCATCGGCTAGGGAAAGGCGTCTTTTCGCCACCGAATCCGTGAAAAGAAGCCAGACGAAAACGGACTCCTACGCTCATTAACCCCCCTAGGGTGAAGCTCGTCGACGTCGCCTCAGACGGCTTGTCCGCGTGAACAACGCCACCAGTGATTTATACGACGGCGCCTTTCATTTCAGGAAATACTTATCCCCCAAATATGGCGTCCTTTTGGACGAGCCTTACCGAGCCAGGTCGAGGGGATGCATTGACGCAGCAGACAGCGGAGGACACATTGTCGCGAACAGCAGCGAAACTCAGCCATGTCAGAGCCATTCTGCTCCTAGCTAGCGGCAAGAGCGGTCTAGAGTTCTCCGCGGATATTTTCAAAAGTCTGGGGTCAACAAACAGACCCAGAATAACGCAAATTGGCCGTGGTAGTACTATGTCCGTAAAGAGAAACGGCGGTGCGGAGCGAGCAATTATCGCGATACTCATTCCCCATTCTTCTTCCATGCGCATGCGGTCACGGACTACTTGGGAGGCGCCTGAATCGTGATGATTTTTCAAGTACTCAACAAAATCTAGTACGAGATCTTCTCTTACTGGATGACTATGCTTTCGACGGGATGATCGACAGGACCATGCGAATTCAGGCCCCCTCCCTATCCTCATCGCAATTCCAGAAAGCACACTCGACCGTAGCATACTCAGAGATGGGATTGCCATTGCCAACCGGATTGCGGGCTGTTCCTGTTGTGACAATGTGGCGGCCCAGTGAGAAAGGGTCCGTCGTATCGCCGGGTGAGAGCGAGGTTTGATTGGTCTGTAGCTTGCACAGTTGCCGACATAGCTCGTGGGCGGCGCCACGGCCAAAACCATTGAGGACATGGCCCGGACCGAATAAACGGCAGACCAGATCATGCATAGTTATCGGCCAGAAGCCCACGAGGATCGCCCAGCCTCTGGGTACAGGTTCGGACGAAGATCGCGCCGTCATAATCCAATAACACGATTCGTCATGTCTGTATTTATGGTATGAATACCAATATCTGGTAGTTACGCTCGATATTTGCTGTAAAAGAGGGACCGGTGACCCTATTCGATGCGCGATTGGCTCATTGGGACGAGGCACCCTAATCGTATCATCAAGCTTGGCTGGGCGCCGCCTAACCGACTCGGTTATTCGCTCTCCACATTACGAGTACGCGGAATCTAATACCCAGAGGCTTGCTGTGTCTCATCTTTTCCCTTGTTTTTCGGTTGACAAGGGCAAGGATAATCAGCAGGGCCACATATGACATGCCCTCGTTCTGCGTATGAACCAGGGCCCCTGCAAGGCCGTGCTGAGCAGATGTTCAACGAATCCGATGGGAGAACAGCAGTTGGCTCATTATACCGAAGCCTGCTGGAAAAAGGCCTACTACCGTAAGAGGAGAAATATTGCGACGGTGACGATGGCTGTTGTGGCGCTCGGCAGTGATGAGCACATCGCACATTGCACGGCCGCCAGCCCCCCCTCCCCCCCCCCCCCGGCCGAATATACCCCATGAAGTATAGGCACCGGCTCCCTTTCTCAATGGCAGGTGGATAGCGACAGGGAGACGTGAATGACTCGCAGGGCTGAAAAGCACAGCTGAGTCTGCGACGGAGGCGCTGTTTGATGAGGGCGTAGCTGGCAATAGGAAGGGAGGAAGACTGACAAATCGAACCTCTCGAATGATCAGCATTCGCTCGGATTCACCTGCGACCGGAGTGTTAGAGCGCCGCTCTGGGCAACTGCAATGTCCTGGCAGAGGAGTGGAGGCGTGAAGCATGTGGGAAGCCAGAGGACAGGCCGGGGGAGGAGATGGACGAAACAGTTGTTAGCAAGTAAAAGATACTGGTGCTTGCTTAACCACTAATAACCCAGTGTAAGTAGTGTCGAGTTGGAAGTATTGAAACCGTCCGAGCCATGGCTGTGCTTGTCTCGGACGGTCATGTTGGGCACCACGTCTGGCGGCTTGTTGGTAAGAGCTGGCCACCCGCCGTCGTGAGAATCGGCGGATAATATGGCCGATTTAGTTTTCTTGAGCCCAGCCCATGAACAAATCAGTTCTAATTCTTCTGTGTGTTCTAATAGTCCAGCCTTCGTAGCACGTGAAAAACCATGGCAGTCCTGGCGCGGCTTGGGTTGCGTTTGCTGCACTGTGGTGATGGCTTGGCAGCTGCCAAGTGCTGAGGCCTGCCAGCTGGCGAGTTGCAGTCGTTTGATTTCTGCACTATTCCATCTAATTCACGAAATATGGCCGGATGTCGGATCTCTCAACCACGTCTTTCACTTCTTTCCCATGATTTGATGAGCACAGAGCTACATTGACCATCCCTACCGCTCCCATCTTCGCGAGCTCGTCGCAACGGGGAAAGATGACAAAGCTCTTGCACACTCTCGTCCTTCTTCTAAAGCTCGTACCAGCTGCAGTTGGCTTCTCTTGGAATGCGCAAAAGACGATACACTGTATGGAGACTCCAAAAACAAGACCAAAGGTATGGACTGACACCTCACAGCGCACAGGGTAACGCACACTGCGCACACGGCCGAGATGGGGGCGATACCGTTGCCCATCCACCAAACAAACTCGGATAACTTCTATGCTTCAGCATTGAAAGAGCTCGAGAGTCTCGAGTCGCAGCCTCTCTGCCATCGAATTGCGGCCCGACTGCTCGTCAACAACTGCCACTTGCTTCACGGCCAAGACGAAACGGCCGAGCTTGCCAACACCGGGCGACTGACGCGGGACTTTGTCGACTCCTATGCTGCTGGACTGGCACTCTGCGACCTGGAGCGAGGAAACTTTGTGATTCCCAGCGAATGCACAAAGTTTCGCGAACAGGCTCTCTCAAGAATCGAAATCGCCCAAACGCCCCGTCTACATGTCTCCACGGTCGAGATCGACAAGTGTCTGGAAGGGTTGGCACAGTCAGACTCGTCGTGGAATACGTGGATTAGCTACAGGCACAAGGCTGTGCGCTTTTGCGAGATTGCAAAGTCGGACAGCGACAAAGGTGCGCTTCCGGGAGTTTGTGACTGGGCACCGCTAACCTGGACTAGATTCGACGATTTATGTACACAAAAAGATCACGGAGATTATAGCAAGGTTTTCAGACAAGGTGCAAGTGCAAGTCGAAGAGCAGCTACAGAGAGTCGAGCAGTTGATGAAGAGGACAACCGAGGCGGCTGACTCCCTGCTGCCGCGCACCGAGTCGCTCAAGTCCCAGATTAACGGTCTAGATCGCTTACTCAACGAGAAGGTCATGGCCGTTTCAAAAGTGAGTATCTGCGAAAGTGAATTGAATTGTATCTAACGACAAAAAGCAATCGGCATTGGAAGTTCAGTCCGGACTTGAAGACGCTACACAGTTACACAACATTGTCCAGGCCATGCTTGAATCCATTCGCCAAAATCAGGCGCAAATAATCATGGAGCATAGCAACTCTTTGCAAACAGTTCGAAAAAATGTGTTTGAGGGAGTTGAAACCATGATGGCAACAATTGCTACCGCCTCCTCCTCCTCGGTTCGGCTGCAAACTCAGCTGGTAAGGCGTACTACCCTGCGACGGAACGACCTGCTGGCTGATTTGAAGTAGGAAGAAACTGCGCTTAGAGCTGACATGGTTATAAAAAAGCAAAGTATACTTGAAGAGGTCAGTATAGACATGTTCTATTGGAGCATAACAGCTAATCGAGTTAGAGCCTCGATCATCTTCAAAAGGTTTCGCTCGAAATGTTCCGCTCGCACAGCAACTACCGAGAGGAGCTTGATTCCGCACACACTTCTTTAATGGGTATCATGGGGGTATTGAAGGGCGTCGAATTTTCTACAAGTCGAATTCAGAGCTCTCTTTTAAGCAGAAAGAGTTGGACCTGGTGGCCACACATCATCTGCCCTGTCGCATCACTTTTTCTTGGCTCTTACAGGTTGGCACCTTCGATTGCGCGGAACCTCTTGCTCCTGGGATTAGGTACTTCTATTTTTATTGGATTTTCTTGTACAACCTGCTAACTCTCAAAAGGCGAGATTGCTGGCTTGACCATTTCGGCCGCTCAAGATGACGCGGCGATCCCATTCATTCACACTGTGCTACCAAGTATTCTCAAGACCAAATCCAACGACACGACGCAAACGATTTACGAATATGAAGATTAACGGACGGTTTATTTAACATCATTTTGGGCGAATTTTCATAATGGGAAGGTTAGAGGCGAAACGTTACGACACGCAATTTTACGACACACGGGAGGATGCTTTCGACATTGGGATTTTGCTTTCAACCTTGGGATTTGGTTCAGCTTGCAATGGGATATTACGCAGTAGAGCAAGCTTGGGTTCCTTTTTATCCATGACTAGTGGCTCTATAGACAAAGGCGATTTGCAGTTATTTCGATCAATATAATAGTTTTCGTTGGGCTCGGTTCGTTGGGCTAGGAGAGTTTCTTTTCACTGGCGTCCTTGTAGGAGATTTTTGCTCGAGCGCAAAGTGAATGATTTGTAGCAGGCCAGGCAACTACGTAGATACCAGATTCCCTATATCTAAACAGTGTCATATATCTTTCTCAAGCAACAATTATCATCAATCACATAAATGCCTCACATTTTGCAGTCGATTTTGTTATATTTGCAATGTACTAGCTATAGTGCCTACTAACAAATCGCAGCTCCCCACAACACACCAACAACCACGAACCGTGGAGAAATAGCTTGTCACCATGAGAAGTTGCTTCGTTACAAGCCGACATCCCATATCATCTCTTCACCATGACCAAGCTCAAGATTGCGCTGATTCAACTCTATTCAAAGGTATTTCCACCGGTGGCCATTTCATGCGCCTTTTCTCTCCTTCCACGCTGCTTCCCCCCATTGCATTCCGTCTCCTAACAAGCCATTTGTCGCGCGCAGAGCCTCGACATGGAGGGCAACTACGCCAAAGCCGAGGCCTTTGTCCGGTCGGCGGCGGCACAGGGCGCGCAGCTTGCCGTGCTGCCCGAGTACCACCTGCAGGGCTGGGTCGGGCGGCGGGAGGCGCTGCTGCCGTGCGCGCGGCGGGCGGCCGAGTTCCTCGGGCGGTACCAGGCGCTCGCGCGGGAGCTGGGGGTGTGCCTCGTGCCGGGGACGCTCCTCGAGGACGTGTCGCAGGCGTCGGACGCGCACGACGAGCCGTCGCTGGCCAACGTGGCCTACTTTCTCGGGCCCGACGGCGGCGTCTGCGGCCGCTACCACAAGCGCAACCTGTGGCACCCGGAGAAGCCGCTCCTGCGGGCGCCGGCCGCGGGGGGCCCGCGCCACCACCTCGCGTTCGACACGCCGCTCGGCGTCCGCGCAGGCCTGCTCGTCTGCTGGGACCTGAGCTTCCCCGAGGCGTTTCGCGCGCTGGCGGCCGACGGCGCGCGGCTGGTCGTGGTGCCCTCGTTCTGGGTCGCGCGCGAGGCGGGCGAGGCGGTCAACCCGGTCAACCCCGCGGCGGAGCGGCTCTTCCTCGACACCATGTGCGTGGCGCGCGCGTTTGAGAATAGCTGCGCCGTCGTCTACGTGAATTGCGGCGGCGCGCCAGCGGCGGCGCAGGACGGCGGGGTGGGAGTGGTGGTGCAGCCAGGGTATGACGAGGAGGGCAGGGAGCACGCGGGCGTCTCGCAGGCCGCGATGCCGATGCTCGGCGCGGTCGGCAGGCTGGCGCACGGAAGGGAGGGCATGAGCGTGGTCGAACTGGACTTGGACGTGCTCGACCTGGCGGAGAAGGCGTACAAGCCGCGGGATGACATGGAGCGCCGGGGGTGGAAGTATGATGCGGATGTGAGTGGCATTTGGAGATTGCAGGACTTGTAGAGGCGGACGATGAGGTGGTAGAGGTATTATAAGAGTTGTGTATCAGAATAGTATCATTGGTACGCTGTATTTTGTGATATTGTAGAGTATCATAAGAGCTGTGTTCAAATGGTTCGTTGCATTTCGCAACAGGGGTATCAAATGTGAATGTAGAAAAAAGAAAAAAACGCCGATCCATGTGTAATGCGTAAAATATATCCCCTTCGCTCATTGATTAGGGGCTACTCGGAGTCGTACTCGACCAGAGCCGCCCTTTTTGAAGCGCCAGCGTTGCTCTGTCCTGACACGTCGGCAACCTCTTGCCTCGTTGTCGCGTCTCTCTTGCGCTTGACGGCGCCCAGTACCGTCCCAGCACGTTGCCCGTGCCCTGCGCGTTTCATGCCAGACAGCAGGAAGGGATCCTTGGCCGCTCTCGTGTTTCCCGCGACCTGCGTGGCAAGCGACTCTCTGCTCCCGTCCGTCGTCCGTCTCGGCTCCTTTGTCCTCTCTTTCGGCGGGACCGTCTCAAACAGCGGCTTGGCCAGCGCCAGCGCGCCGTCCTCCAGGTGCTCCTCGTCCCGCCCAAAGTCGACCAGCCGCGCGCGCTGCGCGTCCTCGCGCGTCTCGGGCAGGATATCCAGGCCGAGGCCCATCCTCTCCTGCAGCGCCTCGGTGGCGGCGGCGGCGGCAGCGCGCTCCTTCCTGCCGACGCGAAAGGCGCTCCGCAGCTTCTGGTTGCGGGCGTAGGGGTCGTGCCACTGGCGGTCGGCGACGTCGGCGAGGGCGTCGATGCGGCGCGCCGTCTCGCGCAGCTGCTCCCTGTCGTTGATGGTCTTTTCCAGGCTCGCAAACGCGTTGCTGCGGAGGGCCTGGCGCTGGGCCTCGGTCAGCACGGCGACGCCGCCTTCGTCTTCTTCATCCATGTTGGCGTCGCCCGTGTCTCGGCGCGTGCCGCCCGACACGACGACGTAGGCGGTATTCTGCGGGTCGGTGCGCATCTCGAGGGTGCCGCCGCACGCGGCGTGGCGCATGCGGAAGCTCCAGACGGGCGTGGAGTGGTAGCGGCCGGCGCGCCGCTTCTCGGCGTTGAAGCGCACGCCCTGCCCGATGAGCGTCGGGCGCGGGCACGTCGCGCACCACACGGCGTAGGGCATCTCGAAGCGCACGACGAGGGCGCCGTCGCTGCGCAGCTTGGAGGCGCGCGCGCCGAGCGCGTGCTTGTTGTGCAGCGCGTTGCCCGTCTTGGTGCCCTCGTGCTCGGGCGGCACGTAGCGGCCCATGTTGAAGCCCTGCATGGTGAGGGTGGGATTTGGGCAGCGTGAGAGGGATCGATCTGGTTTGTTTCTGTTTTGTAGGCGGTCGCGGGCTATCGTGGGTGATTTTTGCGCGAGTTGGTCATGGTGAGTGAACAAAGAGAGAAGAGAGTTGTTGAAGCCAGAGTTTTCCTGAGACGTCCTCGCAAGCCAAGGTGGGGGGCAACGTGACTTCAACTATAATAGACGACCAACACACAAAGTCAAATCATTTCAGAGGAGGCTTTACTATCTGTCTTGTAATTCTTTCTATCTAACTGGTAGGCTTTTTTTTTCTTGCAGGTTCACTTGGACCAGCTTTCCTTGCAACCTTGCGCTTTTTTGCTCTGTCTTGTTGATTTAGTTCTTCCGGCTCATCTTTCTTTGCAACCTTGCGCTTTTTTACTCTGTCTTGTTGATTCGGTTCTTCCGGGTCATCTTTCTTTACAACCTTGCGCGGTTTTTCTTTCGGGTATTCCTCCGGCAACCCAGTAGTTGAAAGCGGCCGGACGTAAGGAATGAGTCTGTACCAATTTGGAAAACGGACATGACTTACACGGCGGTAATACCATGAATATTCGGGCACATCTGTCGCCAACATCTCCACAGGTCCGCCCTCTCCATCCCGCAGGTCCCGACGCCACCAACATTCTTCTCCTGCTGGGTTCTCCGTTCTTGTCGGTCCTACATGCGGTACTTGGAGCTGCAGCTCCCACGGCATCACTGTAGCTTTCAATACTAACGTCGGATTAGCTTCACTTGTCTTTGACACCGAGAGAGAAAGAATCAGGGCCATCGGAGACTGTATGAAGCCGAAGACCGATGAATAGACTTACAAGCCTTGACGCCGTGGCAAAAGTCCTTCCGCGCAGGTTGCCAAATCGCCTGAAGCGGGATCGAGGTTCCCTCGTTGCCCCCCCAGCCCAGAATCACCTCGATGGCCCGGGGCTCCGGACAGTCCCTTGCGCGGTCCTTGAAGATGACAAAGTCGCGCGGCTCCACGCCGTATGGATCCGTGTACGCGCCCATGTAATACAAGCCACGTACATGGCCGAGGAACACTTGCGATACAATCTTCTGGAGATTGTCCCAGGTGTCAAAGGGGAATTTAGGGTTATTTTTTAGACCTAATCGCCTCATAATCCGGTTCTGCTCGCTTTGATAAGTCCTATGTCTGCTGCGTCAGTCCTTATCTTAACGAAGAAGCACAGACAGAAAAGCAACACACTTACATTAAAATGTAGTGCGTCGCAGAGGCAAGTGCAGAAATGTTGGATGGGTTGTCTCGCGCGCAAAGAACGGCGCCATTGGCTATATATCGAAGGGATTTCGGTTCAAAGCCTGTTTCCCAGTACCCCCTTGGTACGTGCTGCGGACCACGGTCGTCTCCCCAGAACCCCTTTGGTACGTGCTGCGGACCGGGCTTGGGACGATCGCCTTCATCGGACTTTTTCTTGCCTTTTTCTGGATCTAGGACAATGATTCGGGGCGGAACGTACGGAACGGCTCTATCCACCTGTCTCTGCAAATGTGAACTAAGAGCAGACCGCTCTAAATGCCACCCAGCGGAGTGATCCGGAAAGCTAGGGTCGTGCCCGGGTAGCCCGGCGGGTTGTGGATATTGAGCTGCATTCTGAGATTGGTGAATGAGGGGGCGTTGCGCGTCTTGGGAACCATTGTGCCAGGGCGGGAGCGATGTCGAGCCGAAATCAGGACCGAGCGGGGGATACGGAGGATTTGCTGGATATGCCGCCCCTGGCGTGGGCTGCGACGCGGTTGTTGAGGGGCCCGGGTCGCCCAGGTTGTTCCGGTAGAGTGGCTCGACCGGGTTGAGCGAATTGGCAGGCCGGCGCGGAGCTGGTCTCCGTCTCATCCAAGACGTGGACAGGCTTCCAATAAACCTAGGCGCATGCGAGGAGGAGGGCTGACTATCCGCAGGCGGATCTGGCTGGATCAGGTCATTTGAGCCACGTCTTCGTTTCCGCGAAGCAGGCTGCACCTGCTGGCCGTCTTGGTCGTGTACCGGCGCAGGTTGCGCTTGTTGAATGTAGCCATATCCAGCCCCAAACTGCTGCGTGTTGGCTCCAGTCGCATGCGGCGCCGACCGATGGGCATTGTAGTATGCCACCGCGTTCTGCACTTGCTGGGGCTCAAAATTGGTTTGAACAACAGACTGAACTTGCTGGCCGTCACCGTAGTGCCCAGGTTCAGTGTGTCCTGGTTGGGTACAGCCGTGTACCGCCTGAACCAGCGGTTGCAGGAACGCAAGGTCAGACTCATAGTCGGTTTCCACCGCAGTCTGCGCTTTCTGGCCATCATGGTCATATCCAGTCGTAGTCAACTGCGTGTTCCCAACTTGCGCCGGCGGCGCATCATCCGGTGTGGCCTGGGGCAGCTTCGGTGGTGACGGAACTTCGGCAAAATTGGCTGGTATAACACCGCTAATATCTATGGATGGGCAATCAGAACCCGAGCGACTGCTGAATTGGATGTCGTCGATATCAATGTTATCGTACTCGTGGACTGGCGTTGTCATGGTTGCAAGAGTGTTGCTCGTAATCGCATGAGCATCTGCCCACTCATCATCCTTCGTCGGCCTTTTGCTTCTTATAGAAGCTCTTCTGAACGTCTCTTCTACACGGAACTGGCACACAAGAACCATCTAGGCATCCATAGCCCCAAATAGGAAAAAAACAGGACGTTGACTTTGTATTTCCATCTCGCATCACGTCGTTGCCTAAAAATAACGTGTTCCAACACATCCCCCGCCAGCCGCCCACCCGTGTTTCACTCAGAACCACAACCGGCGGTATGAAAATACCCGAAGAATTATGAGAGAATTACCCCAAGGTGCCGCTGAGTGAGAGAGCTCCCCGGGGTAAAAATAAATAAAACAGAGTGACGCGCCCGACACTGCTCAACGATACACTGGCGTTTCGGCGACACAGCAACCTGTACACGAGCGGCAACGCACGCGCCGACATTGGAAACGTCGGATAGAAAAGGTACACCAGGCAGCAACAAACTTTAAACGTAGTAAGTGATGAATCTGCTCCACCTGCTAGTGCAGCTTCCATGCATCAATGCGAAACGACGTAGTCAGTGTGTCTGCCGCCGGTGGCTCTCCCAAGCTTTGGCGTCGCCGGGCCGGTAGAACCAAAAACTAGCCATGTCGAGAAAAACACCAATACCCATTCATTAATAACAAGCAATCAGTCTAGATAATCCACTTACATCTCTACATTTGAAATGCAAAGCTCGGCGGGCGGTCTTCCATCCTGGACCCCCAGTCCGACTCCTCCTCACCCAGCTCCATCTCCAGCGTCCAGCCCTCTGTAAAGAGCTCATGGCCAATCCACGACCTTGTCCACAGCTTCCCATTGACCGTCACGCGCTGCACGTACAGGTTCGTATACGCTGGATCAAAATTGCGGATGCGCACCGTCGCCGTCTTGCCCGTCTGCGGGCTCGTAATACTAATCTCTTGGAAAAACGGCGGCGTAATCAGGTACACGTTTTGCCCGGCGACGGGAAAGAACCCGAGCACGGAAAAGAACAGAAACGAGCCCATGGCGCCCGAGTCGTCGTTGCCGGGCAGGCCGCCGGGGGTGGCGTTAAAGGACGAGGGGATGTAGGTGTGCAGGCGGCGCGCGGACAGCGCGGGGCGTCCGGCGTAGTGGTACATGAAGACGGTCAGGAAGACGGGCTCGTTGGAAATGTCGGCCAGCCCGACCGTGTGGAAGTAGTCGAGGCGATGGATGAAGGTGTCGTCGCCGCCGACAAGGTCAATGAGGGCCGCAGCCGAGTGCGGGACGTAACTGATATTCTTCCTGTTAGCATTCCTTCTATCCAGCAGCCATTACAAAACGCCCACGTACAAGAGATACTGCCAGATGCTGGCCTCAAACGTCTCGCTCGGGTTCGTCGTCAGCGAGCAAAAGCCCGCGAGCGCCGAACAGGCAATCGGGTCCTGATATCCCCACGTGCCGTTGGCATACCTCGGCTGGAAGAAGCCCGCAAAGCCCGTGTCCGAGCCATTGATCGACGACCGCTGGTCCGCCTTCCACAGGCGCACCCAGTTCGTGCTGCGCCGCAGGTACTTGTCCTCGAGATCACGCCTGCCGAGGCCGCCCGCCAGCGTGGCCACGCAGTAGTCGTCGTACGCGTACTCGAGCGTGCGCGAGACGCTGCGCGAGTTGGTGCCGAAGCCGTACGGGTCGTAGTCGAGGTATGGGATGTAGCCGAGCGCCTTCCAGCTGCGCAGGCCGCCGCGGCCGTGGACCGACCACTCGAGCGGCTCGTCCTCGGCGTCGGCGAGCACGGCGCGCAGGGCCAGGTCCCAGTCGATTGTGCCGCCCGACGACGATGACAGATTCTTGTGGAAGGCGTCGGCGAGGACGACATCGGCGTTGGAGCCGCCCTGCGTCCAGCCACGACACAGCGACATGTGGCAGTCGGGCAGCCAGCCGTCGTGCTGGTACATGTCGAGCAGCGTCTGCACCATCTGCGCCTGCGCGGCCGGGTCCACCACCGTCAGGAACGGGTGCTGCACGCGGAACGCATCCCATATGCTGCCATCCAGTTAGCTGTCGTCTCTTGAGCGCAGCAGCAGGAGCCGCCGATCGTAGAGCGTTCTCACCAGTAAAACGAGTCAAAGTAAGGCCGCCCCGTGTCCCAGTGCGGGTTCTCGCCCGTGTAGTTCTGCGGCGCAATCATGTTGCGGTACGCTCCGCTCCAAAAGCTCTTCTGCAAGTCCTCGCTCGCGCCGCCGCTCTTGATCCGGATCGGGCTCAGCTTCTCCCGCCACTTGTCCTGCGCCTCGCCCACCAGCCGATCAAAGTCTTCCAGCGGCCGCCCAATCTCCGTCTCGGCGCTGTGACAGGCCTGCTCGCTGCTCTTGAAGCTGAGGCCCACGCGCGCCGTCACCGTACGGCTCGCGCCATCTTGTGGCGCGAAGCGCACCCAGCCGCCCGCTTCCACGTAAAACAGGTTGAAACCGCGCGTGACGTACAGCGTCTTGGGCTCGGTGCCGGCGCGGCTGTTGACCCACACGCCCGTGTCGTGGACTGGCGCGCCGAAAAAGTCGACGCAAAAGTGCATCACGTATGAGCCGGCGCCAAAGCTCGGCAGAAACGTGCCGTTGCCCGTCATCCGTCCCGTGTCGGCGTCAACGCGAATCGACGCGTTCTGGCGGCTCTTCCACAAGTCCGTCAGGTCCAGCATAAGGTGCGGGTGCGCGCCGGGGACGTCGCCTTCCGGAAACGTGAAGCGGTACAGTGCCGCGTGCTCCGATACTGTCATATCCGCATGGATGCCCGATGCCAGCCCGATAGCAAAGCGCCCCGGCGCCGCCCGGACCGACTCGTTGACGTAGTGCACCTTGCGCTCGTCCAAGCGGTACAGGCACCCATCGAGGACGTCGTCACGGCAAAGCTGCGGGAAGAGGGGAAAGTTGCCGAGGCTCGGGTTGCCGCCGGTGCCGCTGTCGTGCGCGGCCGAGAAGCCCGTCACGTTGCTGCCATCGCTGCCGAAGCCACCCGTGTTTTGGCCGTCAACGTCGGCGACGGCCTTGGCCAGACCATAGGGCAGCGTTGCGCCGGCAAAGACATTACCGCCAGCCTGCGAGCCGATCAGGGGGTCAACGTGGGCGAGCGGATCGTGAGGTGGGCTGGTCAGCGCGGCCAGTGGGAGGAGGACGAGGAGGAGAGAGAGGAGGGGGGGAAGCAGCGCATGGTGAGGAGGACAAGACTAGAAAAGAGCCAATAAGCGATGTTACTCCCAGAAAGTTTCTCTTGAAAGCAGGAAGAATAAGACCATCATGAGTGACTTTCCGTGTCGGTCAAGAAGATCGGCGCGGACAGCACTACTCCTGGGCGGAGAGACATCATGCGGGGATACATCAGGTTGCATGCCACCATGTAACCATGCGGTCGGAGCAAACCAGGCTTCAAAGATTAGGGCTCGCACTTGCCGAACTGTTGCGTGAGGGGTAGAGGCCGAGGAAATTGGGGGGCGGGGGATGCTCTTTGGCAAATGGCAATAGGGTCGTCTTTGAAACAGTACAAGACTTGGTCCTTACTACTTCAGAGCCAGCCCGTAGCGACCCGAGATCGCGATCGGGTGGCACGCACTAGCATGGCAATAGTGCGGATACGACGCTGAGATCAGACGAGAGTGCTTAGGTAGTGCTCAGCCGAGAGGGCCCTTGGTGGAAGAATCGACTGCGTACCTAATTCTTTGGTGGCCCATGGCTGCTAGTCACAGCGGGTGCAGACAATACAGTTCCGAAATGTCTTTGTATTTGAGAGCCAAGATTTTGACTGTACAGCTGCAAAGCCCGGAAACAAACCCACCACCGCCAATCTATATACCTATCCCTGTTGTCCCTGCACTCGACACCATGAGACTGTGGTGTCTTGCATACCCGGTATACTTATGTGCTCGTGGTCGGGCCCTAAATTTTCAAATGCCATTCCTGTCGCTCCGAGCGAGTTTCTGCTTTGCTAAAGCGGCTGCTAAACTGCTCAACTTTTTATTAGACGCGCTGCGTACTTGCAACGCATCAACGAGAGTACCAGCCACTCGTGATCGAGGGATCCCACCCCCGAATCCTGCTATCGGACAAACTCGCCATCAGCCTGTGCTCTGCCGATGATTGGTTCAAGGAGCACCGGAAGACACGTCGCAGCGTCTTGTCCAAAGGCAAAGTCTTGTGGATCTAGCTTTGCAAGTTCCTCTTCGTTTTCAGCCTCGGGATTAATGACAGCTACAACAGCGCCGCAGTCTCGCGCATCCTCGATGTAGCCTGCTGCAGGGAATACCTGGGCCGATGTGCCGATGACCAGCATCAGATCCTAGGCAGTGTTAGTCATTTCATGGGAGAATATGAGTTCGAGTAGCCAGCTTACAACTTTGCCCTCTTTTAGCCAGTCGTCAATACTATTCAGCATGGGCTCGTCAAGCTGTTCGTTGAACCAAACAACACCAGGGCGCTGCAGTCCAGTATTGCACTGGGGGCACTTGGGAAGCTCCTCTTCCGGAACATGCCTGATGCGATGGTATGGGTCCAGAAGCGCCAGGGGCTGTCCTGGTGGTGCATCTCTGGAAGCCTCAATCAACGCTTCGCAGAAGGGGTCATCGTAGTTGCCTAGTTGCATCCAGTCACACGTCTCGTTGCTGCATTTAATGTTGAAGAGAGATCCATGCAGAGTGTGTAGTTGGTGGAGCGGGTAGCCGGCGCGCTGCGAGAGATCTAAAACGGTTAGTCTTATTGTATACTATGATACATAGCCCCTTGGGGGGGATCGACATACTATCAACGTTCTGACTGAGGCACAGAACATCTGGGTTTGCCTTGGCAAGGGCGGCCAAGGCTCGATGACCGGCGTTTGGCTGAGCTTGGAGCGACGTGTGGCGACGATACCCGTAAAACAGCCAAACTAGGCCGGGATCAGTTCTGAACGCCTGCATCGTGGCTAGACGAGTCGCATCGTGATGGCGCCAGTACCCACCGGCGCCGCGAAAGGTTGGCAGGCCGGATGAAGCTGACAGACCGGCTCCGCAGAGTATAAGGATGCGTCTGCTGGACAGAAGCACACGGTGGAAAGCATCGACATCGTTATGGGGTGCCATGGTGGGGATATCTGTCACTTTTTCAAGACAAAATATGGTAACGCGCCGAAGACGCAAGACTTTTAGAGTGCACTTGGGGAGGTGAGTTTGTGACGGAGTAGGCAGGCCGAGGGGCGGCTCGAAGGAGGCGGCGGCGTCGACGCGGAAAAGGCGATGAAAGAGGGACGGAGAGGCGGACGAGCGGCAGGGGAGAAGAAGAGGGCGCGGAGAATTGATTATATGTGACAGAAATAACGGTTGGTGGTGGGATGAAGGCGCAGCAATGGCGCAGTGTGTGGTGGACGGTGGACGGTGTTCAGGCGGGCAGCGCTGTCGGGCGATTATGACAAGCCTCTTGAAGATTGTGGGATAGGCAGGCGACGGCGGCTTGCCGCATGGCGATGCAGAAGCAGAAACAGGCCAGTCAGTGGAGGAGGCGACGGACGGCCAAGGATGGTGGAGGGGGACAGGGAGCCGTGCAAATGGGCCGATGGAGCAGATAAGAGACGGGAGGAGTGTTGTTTTCCGGATCAAGGACGTGCGGGAGCTTTAAGCATGTCGGAGAGATGCGCAAGTCGATGGGTCTGTAGCAGGGCAGGCTGTGAGACGCAGTACCAGTACCACCTAGTTTGATGAGGTCCAGGGAGATGCAGGAGAGGTATATTTTGTGCTGATCGGACCTGTTGAAGCGGAGTGGTGCAGTGGCGGTAGGATACGATGCGGTGTGCCAGCAATTGCTTGCGCGGGGTGATTGAACGGCAAGCAGGACGCAGATGACAGTCGTTGGAAAGAGACGGGCACAGGCGACCGCTAATTAAAGCTCGTATACGAGAAATCGCGGGCTGGCTCTAGCGAGACGAGACGAGGAGTGGACGACACGATATAGTCGGCGAGCCGCGGGAGCGATCCGAGGAGAGGCAGGCTGTCGAGCGGTTTATTGATGGGAGAGGAAGATAGCAATAAGTATGGAATCGGGGAGACACCAATGATGGTGATGATGGAAGAGGGAAGCAAAGCGGACGAGGCAAACGGATGACTACAGGCAGCCAAGTACTACCTAGTACTTGGTACCTAGGCAGAGCTACCGGATTGGACAGGTCAGCACAAGCAAAAGCCAAGCAAGGTCAATAGGAGCGGACTGGGCGTCGCAGAATAGCGCCGGGCGGAACAAAGAAGAGATGGTTCGACGAGTTCGGAGACTAAGAACGAGTTGGTAATGGGCGAGCCAAGGTACCAGATGGATGAACCATTCGCTTGGGGCGGTTTGCAGGGAGGGTCTCGACCGCAGTTTGGTGGTGGTGGTGGTGGTGGTGGTGGAGGTGCCACCACCACAAAGCTGGCACTACCAGCACAGTAGCAGTAGGTAGCCACAGGAGATGAGCAGAAAAAGAAATACGCAAATCGAGGGGCGTTGGACTAAAATCAACAAGAAGAGGGTGTATACCTACATGAAAAATAAACTTGACGGCCAAAGCGGACGTGGATGGGATTGTACAGTTTTGGCTGTTGCGAGTTTGAGAGTCCGGTTTGTCGCCCTTCCATCCACGGCCCCGCTTCGCCAGCCTTGGGGAGAAATTCTTAATTCATTTCTTAACCTACTAACTATGGAGGTAGGTACTAATTCTTCATCCTTTTTACCGAGTTTGCACAGGTGCTGGCTGTCCGACACAGGCTCCGCCACCAGCGCGCCTCCTCGGCTGGCCGCAGCGCCCGCCGCCGCTAACTGCCCCGAGAACGCTCGCGCATTTGGGAGACGATTCTGACCGGCAATCAACTTCACGGTCAGCTGTCATTTACACTCTAGACGAATATATTGGTAGCCAAACCAGAAGTAACAAGGTTGCGATTTTCTGACATGTCAAGGACTCATCCAGGATCTGCCAAGAATATGTCGACAACATATCAAGCGGGCAAAAAGACACCTGTCTAGAAACCCCCCTGCCGCGCAGGCAAGGGTCAGTCAAGTCTAATTGCATCACGTTTAGCCAGCCCCGCAAGCTTGCCTTCTGCATCTCCATCAGAGTCATCAGTCATCAGCATCGCCCATCGCCTCCGCTGTCCATCATGTCTCCCCCGGTCCCTTCCCCAGTCCTTCCTCCCAGTCTCCCGTCCGCCGATTCTCGAGCCATCTCACTGATCGCACCCATCCAGTAATTCCTCTCCGTTCGAGCTCGCAATGCAGTAGCCTCAACCGCGTCCGATTCAACACCGGCCAGTCCCCAGTGCCGTCGGACCGCCTCTGAAAGCGGTTGATGCTGCCGTCGTCATGTTAGCGGCCGAACCAGCGTGCAACTTGCCCGTATGCACGCCAGGGTCTGCCGCATGTCATGCTGACCGGGGTGCTTGTCTTTTTATGCAGACCACCGCTGGTGTTTTCGGAAAAATCAAATAAACCAGCAGGGAATGATCTACCCCGATCACCAAGTGGCCGAGTCTTCAACAGGTGCCCGCTCGCTAATAAACCCGTGCCTTCAGCTGCAAGTCGCCTGCATCTACATCACCCAGCCATCTGTCCAATCAACCTAGCCACTGTCACCGAACAAGTCGGCAAGCACTCACACCTACTTGACACGCCGAGCGATTACTTGCAAGCCGTAAATTTGCCACTGTGCTGCACACCCAATTGTCGTGTTTCAAGGATGAATACTGCTATAATTCAACTTCGCTAGGTACCCGGCGTGTCTCTAGTCACGCCGCAATTGGACACAGCCTCGTCAAACGGCCCCGGTTCGTGCTAAAAGCTATCCCTGGAATACACTTGCAAGTTATTATCGGGTCACGGGCATTCGGCCTCTGGTAGCGACCCAGATACCCTTGTCCCTTTGATACGAACGTTAACGCTAGGGCTTGGTCGGTGGGCTGCGTTGATGTTGCCAGCAATATGTAACTAACCCTCTGGTTCGCTAATAAGGGTTCAAATACGAGAAACGGGTCTGTTTAGCCCTATTGCGATCTTGGACGCGGCAGCGTTAGGTGCCAGATCCCAATCAGACGAGCCCTAAGGCGCGCCGCGCCAGCCGAGGTCCGCATCTAGAGTGTTCGTATCATTACTTGTATGTAGTATGGAGAAGGTGCTAACAATAGAGCCATACCAGATTTATACAGCTGGATGGCGGATAATGCATGCTTCGCTCACAGCGGGGGCGCGAAACCCCAGACAATGCTTTCCGCCCCGGCCAACGCCATGACGCTCATCCCACCATGTACGGATGGATAGTAATGCTGCGTCCATGCCTTCGAGGTAACAGTCCCGGAGCAAGCCGTGGAGTACGAGGCCACGTGGCTACTCAACAAGGCCAACGGGAAGTTGTAATAATAAAGGGCCGATAAAACGAACCTGGCCGCCTACCAGTATTAACTGGACGAGGGTGTTATAGAGTTCGCACCCAGCCCCCATTCGTGGCTTGGCAGTACATGAATGGCAACCTGCAAACCCAAGTCGAAAGTCGTGATATGCAATAGTTAGTTACCTTCGAACAAGCCACCAATTGAGAAGAAAAAATAAAAACAGCACGGAAAGCACAGCCGACTGAGTTGCCTTTGAAGACAGGGGTTTGCGACCCATTCGTGTATATTACAAGTAATAATCGGTCCAGCGCCAAGGTCCATCGACAAGGGGGAAATCCATCTGGAGATCCAACCGTCCCCGCTGAGGATGTATACCTTGGCATGGGCAGGGACAAGCAACAAGCTTCAGGGTACATACGGCGTCAGGGTCCGGGATGGAATATCTTATACTAGGCGTACGAGTCGAGTCCTCTCCGTTGAGCGTACAATAAGGACTATTTCTAGTTGTGCATCTTGGAGACAATCGCATACACAGGTCGGATGAGTTACGGCATGGCTCTACGAGACATCGCGCGTACAGAAACAATGATCTCATGGAATTTGTACGCAATGCCACCTCGACGATACAAGAACCTTGCTTGTATGTATATCCCGATTTTTGTCTAGAAAATGGGGGATGATATGATAGCCGACGGATGCCGGAGTATAATGTCGTTGGAAGTTCAGTAAACATCTCCTCGTTCCCTAGGTAAGTACCCACTACCAAAATCGGGCGGTATTTATTACAGAAGCAAGCAATTAGTATCAATACTTCTGGTTTTGTTGATGCGGGGAAATTGTACCCCCAGGATTTGTCCCCAAGAGCACCTTATAACTAAGCTCAAGGCTTAACAAGTAGTTAACGAACGACGGCTCACACGGTGGCTAGGGTCTGCGAACTTGATGCGTCGAGAAGCGAAACAGAACGAGATCGTGTCTCACTAGGGAGGCACATTAGCCTCAAACAAGACACCGCGCCTGGGAACAATAGGCGACGTTGTGGCGTGACTGGAATGAAGGTTCGGGCTTTCAGCTGAAAAAGCGGAGGACGGGTTGAGTGGAAACTGGAAGATTTTCGAGCTTCAAAGTCACCAGACAGACCTTCAAAGTATACTCAGAGACGACTATTGCAGCGGCGTGGGATTGTCCACAGTGAAACAGTATGCGAACGAGGGACTAGGACGACAGTCGTTGGAGATGGCGTCTTGGCCCTGGTGTTGGACTCAGCAAGTTGAATGTGGGTTAGTACGGATGTCAATGTCGAATTGTTGACGAAGAGGCTGGTCACTCCCGACTGTCCAGAGGAAGATAAAAAGGAAATCTTTCGGTACTCTTGAACTTCTGTCAGCGCCATCTCAGAAAAAGACGCGCAAGTCATATTTGAGTTTCGGCGCGCCGTGTAATAGCCCCATCAGCCACCGCTGAGTTGGAAACTTGAATGGCGGCGTGGACGAAGAAAGAGAGAGAAGAAAACGGCGCGGGAAACCGGCTCGCTCGTCATTTTAACAGATGCTGGAGCGCGGCGCTCAGAGCCGAGCGAGAGCGGCATTGGGCTTGCCGTGGTGGCGCGCAAGGGGCCATGCCGGAATGCCGGGTGAACCGGGGCGGCCGGCTTTTGGCCTATCGTCGAGCAAACGCCTCATTGGCGCTGGAATTCTCGCACATTCCCTCAGACTACGGGCCGCCAAGAATGAGGGACACAAGATAAAGCAGGGTAGACCAAAAATAGTTTTTCAATAGCAGGCAGGCTAACAGAGCCAACTCATCGTTGAAGAGGCATAAAGAAGGTCAGCAACATCGTCATCGTGGGCAGTGTTCAGACGGTGGATGGATAAAAATAGACACGCGATTGACGGGAGTGACGTCTAGCGCCAGACAAAGAGGTCCCCTAACTACCTAGGTAGCTGTCAGCTTGCGAATGACTGGCAGCTTTTTTCCATTTTTCAACTAGTTTTCGTCGTTTTGGTGGAAGAAATGGTCTGTTGGTGTTGAGCACAGCCACAGGCCCACCCGCTGACCCCCCCCCAAAAAAAAAGCAACCGGAAAAAGCATAGCGTACCTAATTCGTAGGTAATACGAACTGACATGTAGACCAGAATGACGCAGAAGGCTGTCAAGTTTTCTATCCTAGTCAGAATAGTCTTGGCTGCGCCCTGGAGGATACTGTCTTTTTTTAGCCTCGCTCGATACGCGAGCAACCATGATACATCTGGGTATCTGGGTGCGAGGCTGGGATGTTAGCACGACGATGGGGAGCACGGCCTCGAGGCTCGCCTGTTACAGTGGACGACGTGATAGTGAGACTCGGCCGTGTGCTTGTCTTTGCCACCCAATCAGTGTGTCCTGTACCCTCAGTAACTCACTGTTTCAAGTGTCTGTGGCTGTCAGCTGTCTCTAGTACATACTCTTTTGATTGCACAGCTGATGTGGGTAGCCGCCGGATCGTCAACCGCCATTTTGCAATGTAATTGAACAGTTTCGTTGGGGATGATCATTTATTCATATGCCCATTTAACAGCCTTTCTGCCCACCGCTTCACGCTGTATGACAGTACCTGCAGTAGAAGGGCAAACCTGTCGTGCGAGGACAATCTGCTGACATTTTGTTGCCACGGCGGGCTGGGCTCTTGTGGCACTGTGGCTGGCCGACCATTTTTATTTCTTTGTGTTAGCGCTATCCAACTAGATTGACGTTGCTGGCGGCCGCACGGCACCAACCGGCACGTTACTAGTACCTAGCGAGGTACCTAGGTGAGAAGGAAAAAATACTCGACCAGGGTGATACCGGCGGTCGCGCGTTGTCACGGGGATGTTCATGCGACTTGGCCGAAGCGGAATCCCCCCGAAACGATACAACAAAGGAACAAGCTAACGTGATGATGGATATTTTTTCTTTTATGCCTATCATCTGGTCATTTGTGTTTTTTTTTGTTTTTTTCTTTCACTTTTTGGGGGATGAGAAAAATGTTACAGGTGAAAACTGCTGGGCATTCCTGTGACGGTCACAGGTGACAGCAATACTAACAGGTACCTTAGTAGGTACCAGGTAGGGCTCAGAAGTGCACGTTACCTCGTAGCGGCGGTCCTGTCACAACGGCAATACACTTGCCAGCGGTACGCCACATGGAAACCTCGTTGCACAGTGCGGGTTTAACAGTAGCAACATCATCTCACAGCAGGCCACATCTGTCTCGGAGCCTGATGTTTGGCTAGTTACAGATGGCAAGACTCATCAGCCCATGACTGGCACACCATGCAGCCCTTCACAGTGTCCCAAGGAAGCTGGGCCAATCCACCGCCGGGTACCTCCTCGTCCGTCGCCCCCGCCGAAAAGGGGGGGCGCACCGCACCAACCCCCCTGGGGCTACGAATTAGTCGAGGGTTTCCACCAATACGGATCGAGAAGGACCTTGCTTGCTTGGCAGCTCTTTTGGGTCAGCCTGCCAAGCAAAAGCCCCCGAAGCCAACCACCCCCTGGCACAGCCACCCGCTCCCTCGCTGCCCACCACATAATAAAACTCCGTCTCATCGCGCGCTCCTTCCTGGCCATCTATCTCCTCCTTTCATTCAATCCCTAGGTACTTCTCTCGCTTGGATCCGTCCTGTTGTGTTTTCTTCCATTTTGACACATTCTAGTCTTTCGCTACCTACCCACTTTGATAACCTGCAACCTTAATATCTCTGCCTTTTTCGTCTTCTTTTCTCGACAACTTCGACAATCGTTATTACTTTGTTCAAAACACACAACATGTTCGCCAAGTTTTCCGCCGCCGCCGTCCTGGCTCTTGCCAGCATGGTTGCTGCTCAGACCTCGACCGAGTGCAACCCCCTCAAGAAGGGTACGTTGCTGCCACAGCCCGACCGGCCTGTCACGTTCCCAATGCTAACTTGAATCGCTCACAGACTGCCCTGCTGACCCTGCTTTTGGCAAGGATGGCATGAGCTGCGACTTCACCAAGGGCGAGTGCGACGGCTTCAAGTCTCTGGGCACCAAGATCACCTACGACAGCAACGGCGCCTCGTTCCCCATGAGCAAGAAGGGCGACTCCCCCACGCTCCGCTCCGACAACTACATCTTCTTTGGCCATGTCGAGGTCACGGTCAAGGCCGCCGAGGGCAAGGGCATCGTCACCTCGCTCGTCCTCCTCTCCGACGACCTCGACGAGGTCGACTTTGAGACGGTCGGCTCCGACAACAAGCAGATCCAGTCCAACTACTTCTCCAAGGGCGACGACTCCACCTACAACCGCGGCGGCTTCCACGATGTTGACAGCCCCTTGACCAAGTCGCACACTTATTCATTCGACTGGACCGCCGAAAAGGTTGAGTGGTTCATCAACGGCCAGTCTGTCCGCGTCCTCAAGGCCTCGGATGTCGGCGACAAGTTCCCCCAGTCGCCCATGCAGGTCAAGGTCGGCGCTTGGGTTGCTGGTTACGAGGGCAACTCTCCCGGTACCGTTGAGTGGGCTGGCGGTGTTGCAGACTTCTCCAACGGTCCCGCCGTTGCCGTGTACCAGAGCGTCAAGGTCACCGACTATGCCGGTGGTTCCTCGGCTACCGACAAGAAGGTCAAGGAGTATGTCTACGGCGACCGCAGCGGCTCCGCCAAGTCTATCCAGATCAAGCTCGATGACGGCAGCTCCGGCTCGTCCTCGTCGTCTTCCTCCAAGAGCGGCAGCACCTCGGGCTCGGCCACTAGCTCTGCTTCGAGCTCTGCCACTTCCACTTCGTCCGCATCGTCCGCCTCGGCCACAACCCTGACCAGCGCCACCTCGTCCACGGCTGCCAACTCTACCAGCCACTCGAGCACCAGCCGCGCCGGCAGCGCCACCGCGACCAGCACCCCCACCGCTGTCCCCAACGGCGCTCCCAAGGCCGGCCTCACGTTGGGCGCCATTGCCCTGGCTGCCGTTGCCGCCCTTGCTCTGTAAGCGCGAGACTTGTGATGACCTGATTACGCAACAGTCTTGCTCGGGATGTCCTCTAGGACATGATTTACAGTGTACAAATTCGAGCCGATCTTGTTAATATATAGCGGTGTATGCACGTCGCCCACAAGAGTTCGGTCTCTGAGTTGGGAGTCTGGTTGTACGGGATACCTCTTTTTCTTTTAGAATAGAAATGCAAACTATTCAATACACTAATTACTAGACATATTGAAGACTTTTTGCATGACTGTACGAACTGATGCGAGCCGTTGTAGTCACCAATGACCAGCTGACTGAAGTATCGGTTTCATTTGAAAGGGGCCCAAGTTGTCTACATGGATTAGGCCTGCAAGGAATAAGCCAGCATGATCTGCTAGCGTCTGGGCGGCAGCCTTATCCAAGCCGGAAAGAGAGAAACCAAGCGTTTCCCTCAGCTGGTGATCTCTTGAGGCCCCTGGGCATTGGGCAAAACCCTCCCCCCACCAAAAGTGGAAATTGCACCCCCATGAATCGACGAGAAAAAAAAACAAGGCAACAGGACACAGGCAGAAATACCGCGTGATCAAAATTTGTCCCACTCTGTTCGTTTGTCTTGCCGTTTGTATGTTGAGCAACGTTTTGCCAAATGTTGCTTGCAGCATTCGGGTGTGAAGTCATGTTTCTCGTCATCTTTACTTGACAAGGCGTGTAAATGGGTTCGAGAGAAATACAACCGGCATTTCGAGCAACTGCATGAAACGCAAAGGGGGGCGCCTCCATGCAAGGTACCAGCCAACCAGCGGTGGGGATAGGGATCCTCGACATCTGACAGGCCACAAGTTTCTCTCGCACAGTGCAAGGCGAAACCAGAAGGCGTCCTGGTTGCACGGAGATTGCGGTCAAGATGAAAAGAAGAGGATGATGAATAAAACAGCGAAAAGATTGCACTCTCTACTTGGAACCTAGGGGCAGCAATATGCAATAAGAAAAAAGCGCGCGTCAAAACGTTTTGTTTTTCCTCGGAACTGCGCATGTTGCATTGCCCCCTCCCCCGCGCGAATCGCCTTTGTCGAAGCAACAGGGTTGTAACTTGAGCCCGCAGATTCGCAAGTGGCAACGTTGGGAGATGCAAGCCAGCCCCGTGGTCGTTGGACTGTTAAAGAACGGGAGCCGCCACCATCGTGGCACTCATTGATGGTGGCGTTTTTTTTGGGCGATTGCACCCATGTGAGAATATGTATTTGTTGTGTTCTTTTGTAGTTGGGCCGGCCATAGAGTGTTCACTACCCTCCATCTTTGTCTTTTTTTCTGGTTTTGTTTTTTTAATTCGCTGCGAGGCGCGGCCATGCAAAGAGATGCCAAAGCCATCCAGTTGTTTCGTGACCTTTTTTTCGCGCGGACTTGGTTCAGCGTAGCGCTGTTGATCATCAAATTGATAATTTGTTATTGCTGTGTTGCTGTATCTTCTTGCTTTGGTAATAAAAAAACAGCAAGTCTGCTACACGTTACTGCCGCCGGTTTCGCACCGGCTCCTGAATCCTAGCATGCCCTCTCTACGACCTTTTCATATGCCACCGCCCCCCCTATCCTCAATGAATACGCAAATGAGTCTCGGCCGGAGACAACGTTGGATCTTTGTTGGAAGACGCGCCGCAACATGGCGGCAGAGGACGACCGCAGGGAGCGAGACGCTGGGGGCTTCGGTGGCTCGGGCAACGAACCAACACGCAATATACTTATTGCACTGCGATATTGGCTGTGTATTTACCCGCGCGCCGTTAGAGCTGCACGCGACGACACTTTCAGGATGAAGCAGGGCGTTGATACGTATTGCGGTCGTTTCCTTTGCCGCCGTGCCCTCCTCGCAGTAACCAGAAGCAAGACTGTTTGAACTATAAAAGGCGACCAGCAGCCCCAAGTCCTGATGCCCTTCATCAGCTTCACACTATTCACCTTCACCTCGACTTCAACGAAATCTTTACCCACACTAAAAGCAATGGACAAGTTGCGCAACGCGAAGAAAGCGGCTGCTCTCGGCGCAGGTGAGTTGCCCCCGGCCCCGGCCCGTTTTGGTTTGCCGACGACCAACAACACACCCAACGTTGACAAGTGAACTAACCTGTGTTGTGTGCGGCAGACAAGAGTCGCGCCAAGCCCTGCGACATGGAACCGAACGCCGACCCGCGTGCGTGCGGAGGGAACCCAGGCGGCATGACGGCCGATGGCAAGTTCACTGGGTTGAAACGTCATAACGCTCTGCATGGGAAGCCCGGCACGCGCCACTCCAAGTATCCCGAGTTGGCTAAGCCCTGAGGTTCTCTCTACGGCTCTCTCGCCGTCGCTTTTCTACGCACTACACGAGGCATGGGTCGGGCATTCTCGCTGCTGGCAGCCTAAGCTCACATGTCAATCGATGGGATTGTATATATTTGGATAGAAACGGATAGCAACGACGGTAGTGTGGCGTATAGGTCGGCGCGGGAAATGAGCGACCAGAGGGATTTATATGGGAGCCACTTTACGCTGTTGATTCCATTATATTTGGTATAATCTTCTCAATACTACTCTCGCTCATTTTGCCACAAATTCTCACACTAATATCCCGACATCCATCTAAGGAGCGTGGTGGTGGACGGCCTCAATGTTGTTGCCGACCGGGTCCGTGATGTAAGCGGCGTAGTAGTCCGGGTGGTACTGGGGACGGAGGCCCGGGGCACCATTGTCAGAACCACCGGCAGCAAGACCAGCGGCGTGGAAGGCGTCAACAACGCCACGGTCTAGTACCTCGTTAGCAGGAATCTATTCTTTTTGTACTCGTTTTGGCGGGGGAAAAAAGAAGAAGAAGAAAAAGAAACCCACTATCGGCACGGAAAGCAACGTGCAGCTCAATGGGAGCGTCGCTGGCGGCGAGCCACAGATCGGCGGCGCCGGTGGGGCCCGACTTGAGACCGAGTCCGGCGACGACGTCGCCGACCGAGTGGCGGAGCTCGTAGTCGAGCGTCTTGAGCACCTCGGTGTAGAACTTGAGCGTCTCCTGGTACTTGTCGGCAGGGACCATGAGGACCATGTGATCAATAGCCATTATTGCGTCCGGGATTGGGTCTCGGAAGAGTATCAAAGTTGTATTGTTGTATAATTGTATAATTGTATAAGATGAGGAAAAAACGAGATCGTGTCTCTTCAGTGAGCAGACAGTCTCTTTATATCTCTCCACGGTGCAGCCCTGTGCAAGTCGACACCGGATTTCGGTCTTGGACAGGGCTGCTTCTACGTCTACGACGCATGGAGACGTACGTCAAGCGACAAGAGATACATCTACATCCTACCCCGGGGATATGCAGGGACAGGTATCTGTAAACAGCGTGGTGAAATTTCGCACGCCGAGCGAGAAAGAACGAACAGCGAATGAGCGAATGAGACGCCGCTGTGCCACCCCGCGCCGGTACGCCTTGGCCCCCGCCGAACAGCTCGCCCGTGCCCAAAATGGGCTACTTTTCCGCGTCAGCGTCGCAGTGGGCATAGCGTCGCAGTGGGCATCCCAATGTCTCGACGGCATTTGTTTATTCGTTGCGTCGCCTTTGTTTCAGTATTTGCGGTCATCCGTGAGGGGTTCAGCTTGAAATTTTAATTTCCTTGTGAATCCCGTGAGGCGAGCGCGGCATTTGGCTGCTTGTTCGTCTGAGTCGTGGCGATGGGTCATGGATGTTTGCGACTGCTGAATTGCGCCCGGGATGGGCGATGATGGTGGCTAAGAAGGGAATGGAATATGCTGCCCGCTGACAGTTGCATTATTTCTGTTGATAATTGCGAGACGACGGCAAATGTTGATACTAGCGATGAGCTCGACTGACTAAATCTGATCAATCCTCTGTTTCCAATAAGAATTCGTAGAGGGTTGCGGTACTTGCCGTTGGCTAGAAGCTATCAAAAGATAGCATCATCAAGCTCATGCCACCTGCAACTGTCATTTTCCTATTCCAGTCGGATTCGCTTTTGTCCTGGTGACCTGGTTTTGGGTTTGGCGGGGTGTCCGGCCACACTAGCTACCTAGCAAGCGAAGCCCCTCCAAGGCTGCTGACGGACTGCCCGTCCCGTCCCTCCTAGAGCAGCCACTGCTAAACAAAGGAGAATCAAAGATTGCCGGATGTGATAGATGATTTTATGCGAGTCGTTCGATTCGGTCAGTCCTCTGCTGATCAGTGTCTGGCTCATGGTTGGTGGTGGCCTGCTTGCCTGCCTCCCCTCCCTGTGGCTACCGACAAGTTATCAGTGCCGACTTTGCTGGCTAAGCGCCGATCGTTTTTGTCTCAACACTACCTTCAGCTCTGAATGGCGACTGTTGAAAGCTGAAGTGCTGCTTCGCCGTAATAGGCAGCAAGATGTGTCCAGCACTCTGTTTGTAGATTGGCGTTTGCCTCAGCCCCAGCCGCAAAGGACGGCTGTATCAGACTATCTGCTCTTGCACCGCTCTACTGATAAGTTGACGGGATTAACAGGATAAGGGAAACGGGATCGAAAAGATGTCAAAAGAGACCTGATGAAAAAAAAAAGATGAAAAAAAAAAACGTCGACCGCGCGCTCACCTGTTGAAGCACCGTTGCCAAATGTGACTTGGAAAGATGAAGCTTAGTGTCCCGCAAAAGTGCAACAGCCTCGATTTGCCACCCCACGTGTATTGGATCAGCTCGCGTAAGTCTGGGTAGGCAAACGATGCCAAGATTTGATCGTCTGCTGTTCCCCCTCGTTGCCAGCTCGAGCTCTGTGTCATGGGACGTCATGGATCTAGGCTCCCAACGCTTGTTCTTGCCGTTGCACCACATGCCTCACAGCCAGTCATTGGGCAGTGACGATCAGCTGCCACGCAAGCATAAAAGCCGTCACCTTTTTCGTCCTCCTTCATACTCCTCTTCATCTCTTCATCTCCTCATCTCTTCATCTCTTCATCTCTTCATCACTCTCCAATTCGCCAGACAAGTCTTTCGTCCATTTACCCATTGTTTACCATCTTCCTAGACACACAGCTGCCCCCACATCGTAGGCTTCACCATGTGCGACCAACGCTGCTATATCGTTCCTCCTCACCTCCTGCAAGCTATTGCCGACTCGACTAGCAATCCTGAAAAGGTCCGCGAGTCCGCTAAAGCATGCCTTCTTTCCCGCGAAAAGGTCTCTCTGGCCCGCAAGGAGCTCTTCGCCACCCTTGCCCAGCCGCGCGGATACACCACTCAACAACGACACCAGATTGTTCCTCCACACGTCTTTCGACAGATTTCGGACGCCGAAGTGAATGACGAAGAAACTCGTGCACGTGCAAAGGATAATCTGGAGCATGTCGAAGGGGTCATTGCCCAGTACAAGTCCTCTCAAGGTACGCGCTAGCATCCTGCGTCTCTCCACCCAGCTGCTAACAACAATTCATAGGCGCCGAATCTGAGGCTCAGAGTCTCAGCGCACAAGCCAAAACAAAGCCACCTAAAGCAACACACCGTGCTGTGTATGATGCCGAAAACACAACCAACGAGAGAAGCCTGCCAGGCAAGCTTGTCCGAGAGGAGGGCCAAAAGGCCGTCGAGGATAAGGCAGTCAATGAAGCCTTTGACAATGTCGGATCGGTTTTGAAGTTTTACAAGGAAAAGTTCAAGTGGACCTCGATCGATAACCACAACGCCGACGTTATTAGCTCTGTTCACTTTGGTGAAGCGTATGAGAACGCATGTAAGTCGAACGCCCTTGCCTGTCTTTGCTCCATGTCCTTGTCCAGTCGCTGACCTGCAAAGTCTGGGACCCCACGGTCCGCCAGATGGTCTTTGGTGATGGTGGTGATTTTCTTAACAACTTTACGGCTTCGATCGATGTCATCGGCCATGAGCTCACGCATGCTGTTACCGAGCACACCAGCCCTCTCGATTACCAAGGCCAACCTGGTGCCCTCAATGAACACATCTCGGACGTATTCGGCATCATGGTGAAACAAATGGTTCAAGATGAAAAGTCGGATGCCGCTGATTGGCTCATCGGCGAAGATTGCCTCCTTCCTGGTGTCAAGGGCATGGCCCTCCGCAGCATGAAGGAACCCGGCACTGCATATAATGATGCTCGCTTTGTAAGTGTTGCATCCCATTACTGTCCCGATGCTTGGCTAACCACGTTATTTCAGGGCAAAGATCCTCAGGTATCGAATATGAAGGACTTTGAGCAAATGTTCGATGACAACGGCGGTGTCCACATCTTTTCGGGCATTCCAAACAAGGCATTTTATCTCGCTGCTGTTGCACTTGGTGGCTACTCATGGGAAAAGGCTGGCCAAATTTGGTGGAAAACCATGAATTCTGGCAGAATTCCAACTAGATGCACGTTTTTGCAATTTGCGGATGTTACCGTTGATGTGGCCGAAGAAGATTTCAAGGTTGGCAAGGTCGTCCGAAAGGCATGGGACGACGTTGGAGTTAGCCGAGGCTAGGAAGATCCTGATGGCGGCGACGATGGCGACGATGGCGATGACGGTGACGACGGTGACGACGGCGACGGTGACGGCGGTGACGACGATGATGATGACAACGGTGGCGATGAGGGTGATGGCGACGATGATAATGACGACAACGACGATGGTGGTGGCGACAAGAAGAAAGATGACGGCAAGGGCAACGGTGGAAAGGATGGAAAGGACGGCAAAGATGGCAAGGATGGAAAGGATGGGAAGGACGGCAAAGATGGCAAGGACGGGAAGGACGGAAAGGATGGCAAAGACAAAGATGGGAAGGGAAATGATGGTAAAGGTGGAAGTAGATGTGATGAGAAGGGCGATGGCAAGGATGGCAAGAGTGAAAATGATGAAGGAGATTGTGGCTGTAACTAGCTCTTTTGACGGACCTATGATGCTTGCTTTATTCCTTTAGAGTATCTTCTAGGCAATAACCCTTACTTACCGTTTTATTGAAAGAGATTGCGTTCTTGAACCATAATTGGTGATTCTGTGCAGGCGGGTCGGTGCCAGCTGGCAGCGTTTGTAGATGGAGCTCGCAGTTGTCAAAGACGTTTGCGTGCTCGACGGCTTCGTTACGCTTCATCTTCCATCGGAGCACGCCGGATTCTGTACCTTGTATCTTGAGACTTTGGGACTTGTCTTGATGGACGCCCTTGACGAGATTCGCAAACGCTACCCCCTCGCGCCAGAGACGTTTGCCAACATTTGCAAAATCGCCGCGCAACCCGATCGAAGCGCCGTGTTCCAGACGGCCTGCACCGCCGTCGAGCTGCAGGCGCTCTCCATCCGCCCAGGCGAGCGGGCCTGGCTGCGGCACGTCAACGAGCACACGCCGATCCCCTACCCGATCCGCGAGCCTGTGACGGCGCCGTGGCACAAGGCGTCGCTCCTCGTGCAGGCGGACCTGACGGGACAGCCGTGGCCGGCCAAGCTGACGCAGTCGGCGCGCAAGGAGCTGCACGGCGACCGAGCCCCCGTCTTTTCCATCTTCAACCTCGTCGTGCGGTGCACCATTGACGTGCTCGGGCACCGGGGCGACGGCCGGGGCTTGTCGGTCGGCCTCGACGTACTGCGCAGCCTGCACGCGCGCGTCTGGGAAAGTAGCGGCGGCGGCGGCGAGCTGCTCCAGGTGCCGGGCATCGGGCCCGCAAAGATGCGCCTCCTCGCGGACGCGGGCGTGCGCACGGTGCGCCGACTCGCCGGTCTCGAGTGCTACCACGTCGAGCGCCTCGTGAGCCGCAACCCCCCGTACGGGCAGTCGCTGAAGCGGCAGCTGGCGACGTTTCCGCTCCTGACGCTGGCGGCCGAGAGCTTGGGGGAGGCGGCGGCGGCGAAGCGGCGGATGGTGCGGCTGGTCATGGGGTTTGAGAATGCGGCGCTGCCCAGGTGGAAGGGTCGCACGCCGTGGGTGTCGTGCGTCGTGGAGGGCGTCGACGGCGAGGCCAAGGGACGCCTGCTGTGGTTCTGGAGGGGCAGCATCAAGAGGCTGGCGCCGCCGGGCGACGGGGTGGGTGCCGCTGGGAAAGAGGTCGTGGTCGGCGTCGTGGGCTATCAAGGTTGCAAGGTGAGAGTGACGCTGGCGTGTGAGGTGTTGGTGGGTACCATGGTGCAAAAGGAGCTGGAGCTATAAGATTGTTGCTTTTAATGTGTGTGCTAATGTATAGAGTATCGATTACTATAGTTGCTTCAATAGTACTCCCCCAGTGTTTTTTATTTTGTTTGGTGCTGTTCGTGGTCACTTGCACGGGAACGGTGATGGCTTCACTTTGGCTCTAAAGCAACAAGTGGAAATCCATATAGTACCTCCCTTCGTCCGCCAACACCTTCTCGGCCGGGAAATGCTTTTTTTTCTAGCCACAACAGGGGAAGGATATAACGAGAGTACACAATAGAGACTGGAGCGGATCGAAGATAAAGATGCACGATGCCCGTTGTGTTCTTTTCACCGTCCGGGAAGCGTTCAAATTCCGTTCCGAGAACTTTTGAAATCCTGCACGGGTCCGTACTAGAGTGTATTTTGATGAATACATACTGTAGGATGCGCAGGATGCGCAGGATGCGCAGGATGCGCAGGATCACGCGCCTCACCTGCGGCAGCAGACATCTGCATGCCGTGATCCGCCATTACTCAGTGATGGGTCTCGCCCAGGAAGAATATCCGTTCTCTGTTTGCCGGGTCCGTGCAATAGTTGATGGCGGTCCTCGTCCATTCAGGGGCGTACAGGAGGATTACGATGGCCAGGATTACCTACCACAGGTAACCACTATTGTACGGCAGTACTTGTTCAGCTTTCTGTGGTGCAATTGACGGCATAGAGAATGTCTGATGGGATCGAGGATGAGAATCGGGGGCTGTACGGTTTTCTCTACAAGGAAGATGTCGCAGCAAAGTACCCAAGTGATTGCTTCATGGGCAGAGCGTCTGGCAAGAGAGAAAGAGTGATTTGTAGCTTCAAACCACCTTAGCCAATCAAATTCAGGGAGAATGCATTGTGAACTTTTGTCTTTCTAGTTCTCCATCGTGGCTTGACCTGGCGAGCCAAAGGTGCTCTATTTCCACGCTGTATCCGTAACAGCTCGCCATTTTTTGTTTGACAGCTCTGCTCTGTGATTTCGGCCAATAGTTCCGCAACTACCTGGTCATGTATGGGTCGGTTCGAGTTCGCCGCAATCGTCACCCATGTTTCTACGAATAGTGAGTGTCCTTGGAAAGCGTGCTACTCCTGAATATCGATTTTTTTTTTCGACCCCCCTGCTTTATTGCTCCCCAGCCACTGTTATAGCCTTTTTTGGCCCGCTTCCGAGCTTCTAAAAATAGAGACCCGTTAATACTAGCTCTTTTCTCCTTCTCGGCCGATGCTGCTTGCTCCATCATTTCTGTTGGGGTTACAACGGGGAGCCCACTATCGAGCAATTAGGAAGCTGCCTGCGTGGTTGCATTCTTGGTGATGTGTGTGTGTGTGTGTGTGTGTGGGTTAGATGTTGCCTATGTAGCGAGGAGAATTGTTCGCGCATGATTGCTGATCGCTTTCTGCCTCTCCTCCTTCTTTGGGTTACATCGCTGACCATCACTTCACAAAAGGCCCCCGTTTGGTCGCCCACCCCAGACGCACTGCACAAACGGGCTCGGCGGTTACATCTCGTACAGCGTTTTCTTGCTTCTCACCCTCGCCTGTCGTCTTGATTTCTTCACGTCCCATATTGGCGACCCCCGCATATGATTGGCGGTACGAATACGCCGTTCCATTGCATCTTGGACTCGGGCGCCGTCCGATCCTCACAACCCTCACCCGCCATCTTTGTTTCACCCAACTGATCAAAAAACCGACAACAGTATATAATAAAGCCCACAGACCTGGGCGGCCGCGCCAATCACCTTGCCGGCGCAAACTCAACGCCCCGACCAACTACATCTTCCGCTCTTGACAGAAAGTATACCAGGTGCGGTCAGAATGCGTTCCACAACACTGGCCATGGCCAGCCTCGCCACATCCACAGCCTGGGCCACCACCTCCGCCGCCGGCATCTTTTTCCACCTCGCCGGCCACAGCAGCCGCCTCACCGCACGAAGCGGCGACATCTGCCCCGTCGGTCAGGCCGCCTGCGACGCCTCGTGCATCGACGCCGCGTTTGAGTGCTGCCACGTCGGCCAGGGCCAGGCCTGCCAGGAGGGCTACCGCTGCTACGACCAGGGCTGCTGCCGGGAGGGGCAGACGTGCCGCGGCCCGCCCCGGGGCTGCACCGACACGACCAAGATGTGCGACGTCGGGTGCATCGCGCGCGACCGTGTGTGCTGCCTCCTCGGCGACGGCTCCTCGTGCGACGCCGACACCGTCTGCCTCGTCGCCGGCATGTGCGGCCGCCCACGCACCGCGCTCGGGCCCGCCGACGGCAGCAGCAGTAGCCCAGCCGCATCGGGCCGCACGTCCGCGTCGGGTAGTGGTGGCGCCGGATCGGCGACGTCGACGTTCACCACGAAGTCGGTGAGCACCATTGGCGCTACCGTCACGGCGTCCGTCGTCGTGGGAGTCAGCGGCGAGTTCAGTGTCATCACGACGACGACGAAGACGACGGAGACTGCGGGGGACGTCTCGTCGGCGCCTTCTGCTACGAAGAAGCCAATATCGGCCACCATTACCGGCAGTAGTACTCCCATCGCCGACAAGAGCAGTGCCGGTGCGGCACTCAAAGGACCCGTCATTCTCGCAGCACTCTTTGCCGCAGCAGTGTACGCCGTCTAAACACACACCATGAGGGCCTAGGCACATGACCATTCCATCTATTCAAAATTGAAGCCGTGTTTTTATTCAAGGCGTCCCAAGTGTTACCTGGGAGCAGCAAGATACCCCACAACACACATAGTTTAGTCACAAAAGTAACAGGGAACACATCTGTTGTAGCATAATAAAGCGAGATTTGTTCTTTTTTTTTTGCTACCAAGCTCAACAGCTTGGCTTTCGTCATATTGGAGAAAATTTGCTTTAAAACCCCGTCATGTGCAGTCTTTGTCGGCCCCCAGTCATCTCACCAATCCATGTCGAAAAACCGACCCAATACACTCACGCTTGACCTGCTTTTTGCTAATGAAACAATCAAAAATATGATGACAATCCAGAAATAATACAAACGCCTTTGCCGCCAGCCCAAGTGTCTAGTGGATATATGAGATGCAGGAAGCGAAGACGGGGTCTTGTCGTTCCACAATACTGTACAAAAGGTTCCATGGGAGCGATGTTGCAGTACTCAAGAGTTGCAGCTCATATCCTAGCGGCCGTCTCGTTGAATCCCTCCAAAACCGTCTCCTTTATGGCCTCCTTGCGCGCTTTGGCGTCCTCCTCCTTGGAAATTTCGTTGCCCGCAGAGGCGCTGGACTCGGCAGGCGGCGCAATCCGCTTGGCCATGGCCCTGGCCTGCGCCTCGCCCACCTTGCCATAGACACTGAGACCAGTGGCAATCATGCCTGAAATATCGCCGACATTACCAGGCACCACGACCGCAGTGCTCTCCTTGGCCAGTTGGGCAAACGCGTCAACGTACTTTTCGGCAACCGTCAGGCTGATAGCCCCTTGCGCACCCTCGCCGCCGTCCAGGATGCTGCGGGAGACGGCGTCGATGCCCTCGGCCGTGGCGCGCGCCTTGAGCAGGATGGCCTCGGCGTCACCGTCGGCCGTGTTGATGCGCTCAGCGCGTAGGGCCTCAGAGGCAAGGATGACGCTCTGCTTGCGGCCCTCTGCAATGTTGATGGCGCTCTGGCGCTGGCCCTCGGAGTCAAGAATCTCGGCGCGCTTGGAGCGCTCGGCTGTGACCTGGCGATGCATGGCCTCGACGACAGCATCGGGCGCGTGGATGTCGCGAATCTCGTAGCGCAGGCAGGTGACGCCCCAGGCCGAGGCGGCGTCATTGATGGCGGCCGTGATGTTGGTGTTGAGGGTGGCGCGCTCTTTGAGCACGTGGTCGAGCGTGAGCTGGCCGATTTCGGATCGCATCGTCGTCTGCGCGAGCTGCGAGATGGCGTACTCGGCATCCTCCACACCGTAACTATGCACCAATGTGGTAAGCTAGTGTCAATTGCTTGCCTGTTCGCTGGGAGGCTTACCAAGCCTTGTAGGCGTCAAAGACGCGGGTGAACAGAACGCCGTCCAATTCGAGCGTCACATTGTCGGCCGTGATGGCACTCTGGCTAGGAATTTCGATGGCCACTTCCTTGAGGCTTTTGACGTAGGCGATGCGGTCGATAAAGGGCACGAGGATGGCCAGGCCCGGGTCCAGGATACGGTTGAACTTGCCCATGCGCTCGACGAGCCAGGCTGTCTGTTGCGGCACGAAGCGCACCACCGTGTTGGCCGGAAGGCGAGGCTTCTGGAAGTACGAGGGAAAAGCACCGCCGCTGCCGCCAAAGTTCGAGGCCAGCAGGCAGCGGGCCGATGTCGTCAATTGCCTCGAGTGCTGAAGCTGCTGAAGGGGTCCCCGTAGGGACGCCCGCACCAACGCGGACTGCATTGTGTGTGGCGATGTTGGGCTCCCTCTTTGTGTCTTGGTTGGCGTTTTGATTTCAATGCCCTCTCGTCCAGTTCGTCGATAGTCGTGGCAGCAGACTTGGATTGGCCGTTTGGTGATGGTATGGTGCAGAGCTGTGGTGAATGACGATGGCCCGTTTGCGAGCCTTTCAGCTGGTAAGCTTGCCTTGCCCGATGTTTAAGCGCTACCTGCCGATTGGGGCATTTGCGGAGGGACGGCCGCGCTGGAGACACTGGGATTTTTGGGGGAACAACCCGCTGTGAGGACAGTGGTCAATGCGGGGCTTAACCACCACCAGGTTGCCGCTTGCCGCATTTCTGCCTGTGATTTGTTGGTAAGCAAAAACTCGTCTTCTCCATATTGTCCGTATATTTCGTTTTACTGGAATCGACGGGTTCATCGTTCATCTAATAGCCGGGCAAAAACGGGGTAATTGCCGCTGCGGTTTGCGGAGGGGCTGGCCTTGCGTCACTATTAACGTTACACTGTTGGGATGGCTGTTGGCCACACTCAATCTTGCCAAGGTTGGGGTATGACAAGACAGACAATAATAAATTTAGCTGCGACACTCCCAATTTCTCCTCGTTGCGAATTCCAACAACCCCATCCCACGAAGCCCGGAAGCGCACTAATCAAGCCACAAACGCCTCGTCGCCTCCTAACTACCATTTATTACACCCCAAATTTCAAGCATCCTGGAGCTTCACAAAAATGAGCCGCAAAGCTGATCCAAAACCAGCCCTCCCGGATCCCTAAAAAGGCGCGCGTTTCTCTACACCCCTACCAGTGTCTTGTTGGCCCAGCCGATGCGCAGCCTCCCCGCATCCAGCACGGCCACGCCGGCCTGCAGCGCCGGCGCCCCAAACACCACCATGTCGCCCACGCCGCTCTGGAGCGCCCCGACGCACTTGCCCGGCGCAGTGTCCGCCGCCGATGCGTGGAGGTACCGTCCGGGGACCGTGATGGTGGCGTGCTCCTCGACGCCAAACGTAAAGTCGGGCAGTTTCGCGCCGCAGTCAAAGACGTACCCGTGCTCGCTGGCGCTGTAGGCAGCGCCTGCCACCCCCGCGTAGTAGTCGTCCACCACGTCGGCGGGCAGGATCATGATCGTCGTCCCTGTATCCAGGGTCCCGTTGAGTGCGCGCTTCTTCAGAGGCCCGTTTCCGACGGCGTACCCTGGCGAGCTCCACGCCCAGTAGCCTGCGCTCGCGTCCACCGGCGTGTAAGTGACTGGGCCAACTGCCTTGTCAATATACCCAAACGTGTAGGTGCCCTCTACAAACACATCATTAGCTCATGCCCCATTCCACATCACCTTCTTTGTATACTTACCTGCTCGGTATCGAAAGTCAACGGTAAACAATGGCTCGCTCAGGCGTTGTTTGATGTTGCTGAACCACGTCTTCTGCTTAGTCGGAAACGCAAAGTTCAGCTTGTCGAAGCCCATTCCCATGATACCGTCCATGCCCGCGTCCTCGACGATGCTCTTGGCTACCAGAACCGCCACCTGCACACCCTGGCCTTCCACCGTCAGCTGCCCGCCCTCCGTCACCAACTTGACCGTGTCCTTGTACACGACGCCCCCGACGAAGCTCAAGTTGATGTAGCCCGCGAGCCACACCACCAGCGGCACCAGCCGCGACGTGCTGCTCTGCGCCGGGTCGTACTGCGCCTGCCCCAGGAGAAACGAGGACGGGATAGAGCTGCCGTATACCCAGAGGTCGCTCGAGCCTGTGTCGATGTTCAGCCGGAAGCGCTTCGGCGGCGTCCCGATGTCGACGGCGACGACGTACTGATTGTCGGTAAAGGCGCTCGGGCAGGCCGTCGCCGCGCCACCGTTGGAGCGTCGAGTGAGGGCCTGTTGCTGGGCGGCGGAGAGCGATTCGGGTTGCGTAATGTTGTATTTGTGGTAGAGCTGGACGAGGGTCGTGACGAGGTTCTTGCGCGGGCCCTTGTGGCTCGGCGGCGCAGCGGAGAGCGCAAACGCCGTGTTGGACGTGGCAGCGACGCTGGCGCAAAACGCCGCGGCGGCGAATAACAAAGATTTCATTGCGATTCGTCTAAAGGAACAGCGAACAGCGAGGCTAAACACAAACCAAGTTGGTCAAAAAAACAAAGGTATGAACAGAAATCCTTGTTGAAGAACGAACTAATGTTGGCTCGTCACCAACAAGTCAGAAGTGCCTCACAAACGCTGTGCAGCAAGTCACCTCATATTTATCCCCTTCCGTTTCTACCAAAACCTATCTGCCTGTCTCAGAAAATAGACTCAAATGCTTTTATCATTTCCTTTTCCATCGCCGCGCGCGGAATCATTTCCCGCCCCCCCCCATGTTTTCTTTGTTTGTTGCCCCTGCACGTGCATAAAATCCGCTGCATGTCTCGGGGTTGAAATTCTCTCCACAACATCATGCGAAGAACCGAAAGCACAGCCAGAACAACAGGAGAAGCAAAAGAAGGCACATTCGACGCCCGGCTCTGTACTTGGCTTGGCAAAGGCGGGCATGCGCATAGCCAGGGCAAAACATGTCACGGAAAAAACACTCGGGCTTTGTTGTTTGGATTACGGCAAACATGACAAAAAGGACGGGACGTGTTTTGTCAAGGATGGCGGGATCATCTTTTCCTAATGACCTCGGGGCGCGAATTGGCGCGAAGCAATGTTGGAGTTGCCCTCGCGGGGTAGTCCTCTTGCCCACCTTCCCCCGGCAATTCACTCACGAGTCCGTTTGTGGGAGCGAGGGACCGATCTCCAATGTCTTTAAGTGATGTTTCCGACCCCAAAACAAACATTCTTGCTGCCGTAAACAGATGATGGACTAAAACTTGGCGAACTTGGGCATCCTCCGCTGACAGCCTTGTAAAGGACACCGCATAGGCTTGTTAAAAGCATTCTTCCTGCCTAATATGCCTCCAGACTTATTCAGGCCACCGCTTCGCGCGAGGGACCAAACTTCGGAGCTTTCCGAGGAGCACAGGTGTTCAAACTTGTGTTTGGAAGGAAGACTTATTGGCACACTCTGGTCCCAATTTCCAAGCCTGTCGCTGAGCAGCAATCCCTCCTCAACCGAGAACCCAACTTGTCCCATCGAGACTTAGCTGCAGAAACACCATATACACGTGCGCCACATTCTGTCTGATCATGTGGCACGCAAGAGCTCCCCTAAAGGCTCGGCAAAGTCGCGACACTGCAGAGACGGACCGCCGCGCCAATCTCCAACCTCGACGCCGTCAGGGCGTGCCCCCTCCGCTCAGCTTCCCGCCTCTTCTCTGGCCCAGGGCAACGAAGGCTTGAAGAGCCCGGCGTTGGCCGCTTGGCCAACTGTCTGATGCGGACGTGGTGGCACGACCTCTCCGCGAGGGGGGTGGTGCCGGTGCTGGCTCGGGGGGACACAGAAGCGCGGGTCATAATATCCCGTGCGACAAGGAGACGAGCGGCGATGCTACGAGAATCTATATACCGCTTGGACATTTCTTGGGCTGATTCTTGAGCAGTCGTCGTATGTGGTGCATTCGTGGAGGAAGGTGACGGGCTCGCGTCTGATCTGCCCAGACAAGAGTCGGTAGGGACAGGCAGACAGAATCATGAGAGTGGGTGGCATGTCACCGGCTCGACAAACCACCCGGCAGCATCACGACGAGTGAGAGCGGAATTTAAAGTGAGAGTTGTTTTCGGTTTGGATTTATTTGCATGTTCTCACTGCGAAGTCCAAGTATAGAAACAATATAGTACTGCTAGCTATATCCCATCCAATATCACCATTACCCTCAACGGGAAAATGCTCGGCAATGGTGAACAATGAATGAGTGTAGTAAATAAAATGTGTAATTAACAGCAACAATAATAAAAAAGTAAGAGAGTAAAAAAAATAAGGAATTCCTTTGCTATACCTGCCGCCTGGGCAAACACATGAACCCCTGGTCTCATTCCCGTATTTTTCATAACACACATCCATCCATCCATCCAACGCCACGTCCAAACCAGGGGAGGGGTATTTTGTAAGTGCCACTCTTTTTTTTCTCTTTTTTTTGGTCAGTTCTTGTTCCTTGTTCCATCCATTTGGTGTCAATCCCATTTCGCCTGTCCAGAAAGCAAGCTAATCCTACAAACCCAAGTCCGCATGTCCGATAAATACCCTCATCCATTCCTTCACGCCATTGATGCCATCAAGGGGCTTGTTAAAATGGTTTTGGGTGTAACAGGCTTTCTTCGCCATTTCCCATAAGCAGAACAAATCTGGCAGCTGAATGCTTGCGGCTCAAAATAAACGATCAAGTATATACGCGAAGTGTGTCCAGCGTGCTAGACACCGCCACCCATAAATGCAGCCAGGTCATCTAGATCAAGCAGCTGCCTTTCAAAAGCAGCGCACAACTCGGGTGCCGTCATATCCTGACTGGTAGCAGTGGTCTGCGTTTCCTGACCCTGCGAAGAGCCGCTGTTGGAGCTGGCGGGGCTCTGAGGCTTCGCCTCGTGCATAGTGGCTTGAGGTACGCTGTTGGGGGGCGGGGTCGAGTTGTTGGGTGTAGCCACGCCACTCGAGTGGCCATTGATAGTGGTGACACCGGGTCGACGGGGAATGGTGACGGTGCGAGGCTCGCTATCTTCGCGCGAATGTTCGCCAACGGAGCGGGGTGTGGCGTGCTGCTGACCATTGCTTTGGTCGTAGTCCATTGCCTCGGGGTTCGAGTCGGCGTTGGACGAGATCTCGTCTTTGACACCGCCGATGGCGTTGGAGCTGGCACGGCCCGGAGCGGCGGCGGCGTCATTATTGAGAACACGCTGCATAACGGTGAGGTGTCGGAGCCAGCTAGCCATCAGAGGCCAGTTGTCAGTGCCATCGGCCATAAATCGGAGACCGTCTCTAACAATATGGGCAGCCGTCTCAACAGCATTATTGGGAGTGAGGCCCTTGAGAGAGAGATAAGCCACAGTAGCGCTGGCGGTAAAGGCAGAAAAGAGCATGAAAATTGGGAAGCACGGTAGCTGCTCCTTCTCAGCACCCGACTCAACAGAACCGAGCAGCGAAAGAGTGGCGTGGCACGAGGTAAAGATGCGATCGACAATGTCGTGACCACGGCCACTCATGCGGTAGGTATCGGCATTGAAGCCATGGGCATAGACGTCCTGAAGCAGGCGTCGTCGGTGAACAAAGATGGTGGCGCAGTGCAAAAGGCAGTGTAGCATGGCAAAGGTGTAGCCGGAACCCATGGTCATATGCAAGGAGATCTGGCCAGGCTTGTCGACGTACTGCATTGGCAAGTTGGCGCGAAGGTCCTCAATCTTGGCAATAAGACTGGAGCAGTCTTCCTCATCATAGCCATGGAGTGGGCTAGTGGTGAGCATGCCGACGACGTCACGCCAAAGAGTGGCGGCAATGACAATATAGCCATATTCGCCAATCTCGGCGGTGGGTCCATGGCTAGGCGAGGTAGTGTCGCGGTTGAGGTACTGAACCAGTGACTTGACGTAGACGGCATTGCCAAAGGCAAAGTTAATGTCCGTGCAAGGCAACGAGGCGGTGGCGGTATCCTGCGCAGTCAAAGCGGGGAAGCGACCAGGAGTGCTTGTGAGGAGGCAGTCAAGAATGTAGATGAGCCAAAGAGTTCGGCGGCAGCTCTCATCTCTCAACCACTGGTCGCCACTCTCGCCAGCATGGTGGCTGTTGAGAATGCGATACATCTGGAGCATGCGGGCGGCCTGGCCGAGATAGGTGTAGGCACGGACAGCATTGCGCGAACCCCATTCATGGATGATGACGAGGCAGAGGGCCTGTATGTCGGCCAGGTTGGGATGGTCCAGGTTGCCGTTGATGAGGGTCATGGCCTTGGCGGCGTACGTCTCAGCGGCCTGGGTCGAGGAGCCATAGCGGCGGATGAGGCTTGGGGAGCTCCTAGAGAGAAGGGGGGTCAGCGGGGAATGACAGACAGAGGCGGACACGGGCGAAAGCAGGCAGTGCTAGGGGGGTAAGGCGCGTCGGAACGAAGCGGTGCTCGGTGGGTGGGCCGGGCACCGATGAAATTGGGTCGCGGCCCGCAAATAAATGCGGTGGTCCGGAGCAAGACGCGTAGTCGAGCCGAGAAGGGCAGGGAGTGCGCCAGGGCGGCGCGAGAGTGAGACTTACCGAGAGGCACAGGCCAAGAGGCCGTAGACAAGAGTCGACTCGAGCGAGGCATTCTTGAGCTGCTGGACAAAGGAAGGCTTGTGGAAGGCGACACAAGCCGGGAAGGTCTTGGAGACGACGCGCTCGCACTCGGCAACGAGCTCGGGGGTCAGCCTAGGGAGGGTATGTTAGTAGGTGTGGTCGAATTCCGGTCAGACATCCGGTCGGGGCGAATAATGGAATGATGAGGTGCGGGTGCGGGCGGGAGACGGCGGACAGGGCCACAAAGCGAGGCAGGATGAGGCGAGCACGAGTAAATTCAGGGCAAGTAACCGGGGCGCGGCGCAGTGAGGAAAAAACCTCGGCCCATGCGCAGGCCGAATGCCTATGATTTTTGTGGGGATGAGGGTGTGAATGTGACGGAGGACAGGGCCAAGAAAAGCAAGAAGAGCAAAAAAAAAAAACACAGGCGGCATCGGGTAACAGCGAGTGTGCTGGTACCAGTAAACCGCGAACAAGCAAGGGGGAAGGGGAACTGACTGGGCCGTGGTTCGGCAGCCGTTGTGTGTGTTGGGAGGTAAAAAACGAGACAGCGCCTGATGATGGGAGACGGGTGGCACGGGAATAAGGGGGGTAGAGATGGGATGGGAGGAGAGGCCAAAGTCCAGGACAAGACGTGCCAAAAAAAAATAATGGAAAAATGACGAAATGGAAGACGTCTTGTTTCCATTATCCAAATAATTGCGCAACTTACTTTTCGGAGCTGGTCTGGCTATGCCTGGGACCACTGGAGCCCACAACGGCTTGCCTGGTGTCAGAGGACCCGGACCCGGAGGCCGGGAGACTGTCGCGCGAGGGGCGAGACGGGTTGGCGTGGCGAGCAGGACTCTGGCCGTTGTGATGGGCAGCGCTCTCGGATGGGAGATAGCAGTCGTGCATGCCCTTGGAGCAGTTTTTGCACGGGCTGCCAGGACCGCGATCATAGACGCACTTTGTCTTGCCTTTGCGACAGCGAACACAGGCTCCGCCGGCTCTGAGGGCGGTCGAGCGAATGATGCCGGACATGATTTCTGGTGGGCGCGAACGGTCGCGTGTTGGGGGGAGGGATCAGAAAAGAAAAAAAAGCAAGGGGAATAGAATCCGGCGCGAGACGGTCGATGTTGGACTCGAATTCGAGGGTTTGCGATGGGGAGAGTTGGATGATGGAAGAGGGAGAAGAGTTCCGGACAAAGAGCAAACGCAGCGCGGCCGGACAAGTCGGGGCGAGCCTGGCTGGGGGGACCACACGTCACACACGCGCGCGCGCAGAACAGACACAACCAACGGAGGGCAGCGCACCAGGGGAAAACGGCACGGTGAGGATGGGGGGAAAAGATAGCGACGAGGAAATAATAATCAGCAGAGGAGCGGCGATTCTTCTGAATCAACTGTCAAGGCAGCGAGAAGCTCCGAGGGGGACAAGATGCGTGCGATGTGGCAAGGGGAGACGAGGAAAGAAAAAATCGGCAAGTCTGGCACGTTTGGCAGAAGGAAGGGGGCAAGGGGAGAAAAAGAGGCGGACGGGGTGCAGGACAGGCAGGCGGCGGGCAGCGCGGGCGGGCGGGCGAGACGGCGGACACTGAGGGCAGAGGACGGCAGAAAAAGGCGGAGGGCAGAAAACGGAGGAGAGAAAAAAAAACACAAATATAGGGCGTTACAGGGCACGAGATGAAAAAAAAAAATCACCCAAGGCGGCGCACTTTAGTTGCCAGCTGGCAGTCCCAGACGGCGCCAAACCACGGCCTGCCACTGACCTCACTCCAAGGGCCGACCACTCAAAGAACGGGCGGATCGGGTTGGTGGTGCCGGCCCTGCCAGACCCACCCCTACGCAACACAACCCGACACAAGACACAGCACCCACGCCGACTGATTTCCACCAGGGGGGGATACCGGTACTGGCAAGATGCAGACTTGCATCAACTCGACGGCATCGTCTTCTGCCAGTCAATATGAAACGGCGAAAAATAAAAGAAAGAAAAAAACAAACAATAATATACCCCCGTCTCCATTCACCACAAGATGCCCGCCCGCCCTCGTCTGTTTGCTCCGCTCCGGCGCTCGGTGCTGCCGTATCGCCGCCCAGTGCGAGTGCGAGGTGGACCTGCGCCAACACTGTGCCACCAACGCGACAGCGGCCTTTTAGTGGCCTCTGCGGGCATCCATCAGCCCCCCGGCTCGCTGCCAAGCGCCGGCCCGTCTGGTCCCGTAGCCAGGTGCGACGACCCGCGCAGTTCCTCCGTTCCCCGTACACGTACAGTGCTTGATCTGTTGCTGCGAGGCGTACTCTAATCCTGCCTTGAATAAAAATGAAACTCGAAAGAAGGGCTGTTGGAAGTTGATAAATAGCTTCCAACGAATGTACTTTTTTTTGTTTTTTTTTTTCTTTTTACATCTGGTTTGGCTGGCGCGTTTGCTTCTCACTATATTTAACTACCTACATACCTCGACCAGTAAGTACCCCGTGCTTCTTCGCCCACACCCTCACCCTCACCCTCACCACCACACCGCCGAGGCCGACTCCTCTCACATGCTGCATCTCCATCCCAAATGGCCTGTTTTCTCGCCTCACCTTGGCCATCGACCACCCGAACATCCCCAGCGTCTCCCCTCGCCTGGCTCGCCTCGACCTAGGCAGTTCTCCCAGCGCTTTTCCCCCCTGCGGCCAGATTCCCGACAGATCTCACCAGTGGACCTTTTTTCCCCATCCAAACGCCTTTCCGCGTTCCATACCCTGCGTCCTGCATTCACCTCCTCCGTGCACTGTACACACTTTTCTCTCCTGTGCTACGATGCCTTGTCGTCTGATACGCGATGCGCCAAGCTTACCATTTACCTTGCAGAATCGCCCACCCGGTCCCACGCTTGTCGCCAGACGGCAGACTCTACGCGGCCTCCCACCACGACACTGGCGTCGACCCGCTGGCCGCCCGCGCGTCAAAGACTAGGTAGACAGTAGCGTCCAACCTTTTTTCGTCGCGTTCCTGCAATAGGCACGTCATCTCCACGATGCTAGTCAACCTCGCAGCCCTGCGCCCGCCGCATCAATTCTCTTCGGTGACTCCTCCTCGACCTGCTTGCTGCCCTGCCTGCCGTCCCTGCCCGCTGCTGTTTGAGGATCTGCGCTCCAGCCGTCCAGCGCCACCTCCCATTCGCTGCGCGTTGGGCCGTCACGGCAAGCATGATAATCCCTCAAGCAAACAACTTCTTGTTGGTGGCGCCCAGTCTCGAGCCCGGCCCAAAACGACCCTTGATTGGCGCATTGTGGGGGAAGTGTCTCGCTCTATTACACACCCAATGCAGGCCTGCAATTTGGGGGCACCCCCTACCTCGATACAAGCTTGCCGTTTTCATCTTGCTTGCTTGACTCTGATGCATGGACGATTGGGCCAACACGGGTTACCGAATACCACCCTGCTTCCTTGCTTTCCCTGGTGCATATAGTTAGTCACATATCCTCCTCTCCCCAGGCGGCCGATTGTCAGCGCCCTCGCTGCTCTGAGCAATCTGCCTCGCTAACTAGTCATTCTTGTCGCATCAAAGTTTTCCTCTTCCAATTAAACTCTCACTCACAGCGCTAACTCGATTCAAACCCAGCCTCGACCGCACCGTTCTCGCGAAGCGCCCGGCACCGACGCATCACTCCTACGTCAGCCGGCAAGTGTGCGTCCAGCCCAGCTCCGTGACATGATGCGCCGGCCACACCTTGCATAGTTGATGCGGTCTCGTCTTCCGGAGATAGATGTCTCACTGCGACGCCGCGACCCGCCAAGACGCCGCGTACTCAATCCTCCAACGGGCGCGCCACCTATGTTAGTCAAGGCCCCCCTTCAAGCTCTGACCACAAGCCGGGTGCTCAGTCTCCCACCCGTAAAAAATAACAACAACCCGACCTCATTTTCGCGGCCGGGCCCTTCCACACCTCCTTGTGTGGGGCCGGACACAGCCTTCTCGCCAGTGTGCCGCCTGCGGCAAATCAAACCCCCGCTCGCACCTTGATCCTCGCCGACTCGCCTTGCACAAGGGGCTAATTTTACTTCCAAGCCTAATTTGCCAGGCCCGGCGACAGAAACAGCACACTCTTACGGATGCCCGGTTTCGACCCACCCCGCTCCGCTCCTTTCAGGTCGTCCCAACGGCTCAATGCTTCCCCCCCCCAAAGCCCTTGCGAGGTAGCGACCACGCAGTCCAACTCTCGCCCGCGCTTTTGCTAGCCGGCCCAAAATACTGCACGAACCCGCCGACTTGTGCACCGTTCATTTCGGAGCGTCGCGATTTGCAAGTTTCCATACCAACTCTGTCTGTCCATGCCCACGCTTTGTCGTGTCACGGCACCTATTTCACCTATTTCACCTCTACGCCATTTCCCGTAGTTGCTTTTGCTGTGGCCAAGACTGGCTTGCGTCAGTCCGTCGCCGCTGCCACCATCGTACCCGACTGCCCCTGTACGCGCCGGCACGGGTGAACGGACCCCCCCCTTCAACACCCCGGGGACAACCAACCGGCTCGCCCGTATTCGAATTTTTTTGGCGCCGGATGCCTCTTGATCTACATCCCGTCTCCAACCGCATGTCTTGTAGCGATTACGTGGAGCGGGGAGTTGGGCTTTTAACCCCGTCGCCGCCTCCGGACCTGTAACACACCAGACTTGTAACCCGGTGCTAGCCCGGCACCTCCGGAGCTTCCGCTCTATTTTTCCTCGCTCGCCGCATTCCCATTTCTCGGGCTTAGTATTTCCCGAAAGAACCTAATTGCTAGAAACTCGTCAGTAGAGCGGAGACCGCATTCTCCCCCACTAATAGCAGGCAGACGTCTGTCCCATGTCTTCCGGCGCATCTTTAACGAACCGCTTGATCCGGCGTCGCCAAGCTGTCTCTTACAACAGCTCCGTTTGCGCAGTCATTACACAGCTGTACCTAATCCGTAGCCCGCAATGACGGCATACGCCTTTGTATAAGTACTCACATTACTCGACTCTTTGCAGAATATCAGACTTCGATGTAGAGCGAGCTGTTGTCTTTGCGGAGCCCACGATTTCCGCAGATACTGCCTATTTTGGTTTGTGTATGCGAAGCTTGCGCCTGTGCCACCAGAAACAAGATGAGTTGAGCTATTTGGTGCAACATCTGATTTATTCGCTGCGTAACTATCCGTACACGCCTGCGTAATCCACCCCATCTGCATGGTAGCACGAACCGGTCGTGGTGTTGGCGCCAGCCTATGGAGCAGACGGTCGTTGGTACTAGAAAATAGAAAAGATGGATGAAAAGAGAAGTCTTCTTTCGGCCATTTATTATGAGATACGATGCTCCAGTAAGTCTTATGATACATGCTCAACAAGCCCCAATCAGCACTCCACGGCCACATCACCGCTCGGCGCCGACACGGCATACTCGAGCCACAGCTTGACCATTTTACCTGCGTTCAACCTGACATCCCAGCTCACCTCGCCGCCCTTGGCCAGCTGCGCCGCCGCCCTGCCCCAATCCCGATCCCGATCGCCTTCCTCCCTGCCCGGCGCCCCCGCCACCACAGCCGGCCCGTCCACGACCAAGCCCCTCGGCGTCACCACGTCCACTCTCAAACTCTCGTCCTCGGACACGGGCACCTGATCCCGCACCGTCATCCTCGCCACCGCCGCTCGTGTGTTATGCAGCACCACGGCCCTCGCAAACACCTCACTGCTCTCCTTGCTAAACAGGCCGGTTGTGGCGCGCCGCACGTCGGGCTTGGCGTAGGATATCTTAATGGCAGGGTCCACGCCGAGGTTGAGCGTGCAGACGTCGCCGGGGCTGCAGCGGGAGAGGGCGGTGCGGCCGAGGAAGCTGCCGTCGAGGGTAAGGCCCGCGGGACCGGGGAGGAGGGTGAGCTTGCTGTGGTTGGGGAGCCGCGCTTGGAGGTAGGCGACGGGACGGTACTTGGCGACGACGGAGTGGCTGAGGGTGACTTGGGAAAAGGTGACGCGCGCGACGCGTTGCTTGGACGGGGCAGATTTAGGGACGAGGGTTTTGAGGCCGGGGAGGTCGTAGCTAGTCATCATGCCGGCTTCTTCGATGAGGGAGCCTTCAAAGTCGATGATGGGGGGCTCGGCGTAGGGCGCATTGGCGCTGCCGAAGGCGCCGCCGCGGCCGCCGCCGGGCGGAGGGGCGGAGGCGGCCATGGGCATGGCTGCGGATCGCGCGAGCACCGACTGCTGCCTCTTCTTTGCCTTTGGCGATGCCCTCCTCGCAAACTCCACCGCTGCCTCCGGCCCCGCGGAGGAATCGTCCTCGTCCACGTTCACGTCGACTTCCGCTTCCAAGTGCACGTCCATGTCAAGGCATTCCAGGTCCGCCTGCACAATATACGGGGTGTCGAGGCCAAACATGTCCTCGCGCGGCTTCGTCTCCGCGCGGCGCCTTCTCTGCGCCAGCGCAAACGCCCTACGCTCTTGCGTCTCGACGCGGCTGCGCGTGATGCGGTCCTCGTCCCCCCTTGCCAGATGATGACTCTTGCCGGCGAGGCGGATGCGCCACGGCGTCAGCTCCGGCAGCGCCGAATCCGCGCCGGCGAGCGCCGCGTCCGACGTGGACAGCGAGACGCGGCAGTTGCGCCACGTCTCGGACGTCTGGTTGGACACCTTGGCGTCGAAGCAGAGCGTGGCGGTCGCGCCCGTCGTCGAGAGCTGCAGGTCGTAGCTCGGCGTCCACTGCGCGGCTGACGTCACGTAGGAAACGCAGAGGCTGCACGCAGTCGGATCCGGGAACGCGTCGTCGCCGCCGCCGCCGCCGCCGGGCCGGACAATGTCGGTCTCGCTGGCGACGGACTGCCGGCGCGATGACATGGGCGTCATGGCGCTCATCGCCTCGAGCGTGATCTTGACGGCGTAGCAATACCGGGGCCAAAATTTGATGCGCTCCTTGCGCACGCGCTCCCGCTCCTCGCGGCGGTCCGCGCGCGCGCGCCGCTCGCTCTCCCGGCGCCGTCGCCGCGCTGTGCGCCGTTCCTTGCTCTCCTTGAGCGCCG